TCATTGTTATAATTCAGTAGGCTCACATGACATTGACTTTTCCAAGACAGAGGTTCTGTGTAAGCCATCTGGCTACCATGAGAGATTTGTTCATGAGGCTATCCACATATACAAGCACAGAGACAATTTCAACCGAGAAGATGGATTCTGGCTTAGCAATCATTGGAAAGAATTGATAAACCATTTCAGGTCTTAATTGATTGTTCACGCTTACAGTGGCTTTCAGACAGCATGCATTAATTTTTCATCTCCCCCCTCCTCTTTTCAGAACATAGATGGACTCGTCCTTCTAAATAAACTGCCAAATCGCTGCGCGTGGCGTTGACGTTTTTTATGAATAAATAAATAAATACACCGTTTAAAAATAAATACATTTATGCAAACCGACACACCTGATGACGACCGTTTGTGTTATGGTCGAAACGTCGTGAGAATTTGAATTGTTTTATATATATATTTTATTGTTTCCCTTCAACGTGACTTTACCGAAAGAGCTAAGAATATGAATTACTGCAGTCACGAAAGCTTTAAATTAGAAATAAGTGGCTTTGATCTGAATTTCGGTGAGTGAGTGAGTGGGTAAGTGAGCGCGTGAGTGAGTGGGCGTGTGGGTGAGTGATTGGTTTCGTAGCTGTGACCTGAAGTGTGGCAGGGCTGAATTCAGTGCGGCTGAAACAAAACAATCGGTCCAGTAGACCGAGTTCTCGGTATGCGAGGAGAAACGAAGAGGTGAAGTTCACGGGAACGGTAAACCAGGGTCGTAGCAATAGAAGAGTGACAGGGAGGTGACTGGCGGCTGGTGAGTGATGGCTCTGAGATGTTAACTACCTCGCTTGGTATACAGCAGGTCGTGGGTTCGATCCCAACCCTGAAGCCTGCTGTATATTTGGAGCTTGCGTGTCTCTGTCTCTCCCGTGGTGAGATGTTAACTGCCTCGCCTGGTATACAGGCGGTCGTGGGTTTAATCCAGACCCCTGATGCCTGTTGTATATTTGGAGCTTGCGTGTCTCTGTCTGTCCCGTGGTGAGATGTTAACTGCCTCGCATGGTATACAGGCGGTCGTGGGTTTAATCCCGACCCCTGATGCCTGTTGTATATTTGGAGCTTGCGTGTCTCGCGTGGATTTTTCTCGGGGCCCTCGCGGCTTTTCCCTACGCATTTGGAAATCGACGTCACGCGTTTCGAACATTTTGGCCGCTATAAAATTTCCACGCGACGGATGTGGTTCAGGTCGCTTCTGAAAAAATAGCCACGTAAGCTCGGTGGATTAAAATGATTAAAAAAAAAATCGCTCATAGTTTAAAATGACTTTGAGCCGCTCACCGACGAGTTTGGCAAAGGAGCAACGTCGAAATTGCCGACGTTTTTTTTATTTATTGCTCGGAGTGCGTTGGGGAGGTGGTGGTGGTGGTGGGGGGTGGCTGCTGCTGCTGCTCGAAACGCCGAAACGTTGGCTCAGACGCCGGGGGAAACTCGAAACGCAACGCGCGACACCGGCCCGGCAAACATCGCCGGCCAAACCGAATACCTCCTGGATTAAAAAAAAAAGTCTCTAAATAGGCGCGATCCGTACGTCCTTAGCAGAAGTAAACAAGTAAATAAATAAATGCACCGTAACCTTGCCCCCCCCTCTCCTTCCCCCTCCACTGCCTCGTGGAGTTGAGCGGCGAGCGTGTGCCCGCGGTGCTGTGGGCAGGCGATAGAACTTCAGAGCGTAGTACGGTACAACAAGGGTGTGGAGGGCAAGCGAGATCCCCCCCCCCCCCCCCATGGATCGTGATTATGATGATAATGGCCCCACCGCCAATGCCGGATGAAGTTAGTGCGGTGCCTGTAGCATATGTTATGAAGGGGCCTTAAATAAAAAAAAAACACATAAATATTAAAATACACATTTTTTTACTTGGATAGGAAAGTAATTGTATTTTTTCATTTGCGATACAGTCGGATAATACGACAAATCGCTAACCTTAAACACCCAGTCGTTCGTAAAAGTTGAAGGCAGTATAGTACTGTAGTAGTAGAGCGAGTGCAGAATCACTGAACCGGAATTGATAGCATGAAAGCATTTAACGCGGGGCTCTTGAACGTGTGGGGCCCGTAGCTACTTATGTAGCTGCTACACGTGTTGTAGCTGCTACACGTGTTGTAGCTGCTACACGTGTTGTAGCTGCTACACGTGTTGTAGCTGCTACACGTGTTGTAGCTGCTACACGTGTTGTAGCTGCTACACGTGTTGTAGCTGCTACACGTGTTGTAGCTGCTACACGTGTTGTAGCTGCTACACGTGTTGTAGCTACTACTTACGTAGCTACTTTTGCTACCAGGATAATATAATCCGGCTTTGCTCACCGCATGCGACCTGCCGATCAATAAAGAATTGAAACTTTCGTGACTCCATGAATTACTCATATGTTTTTTTTCCCGATCGACCTGCCGATCAACTTCAACTACGCTTTCGGGAAACCCGTTTTGTACTGCTGGGTGGACAGAGACGTCCGGGTTGAGTTAAGAAACTTGCCCCCCACCCCCTACCTTCCCCTCCCCATATAAAAGTTCACGCACCCCACTCGCAGTCCCCACTCGCTCGGGGCAGCAGCGAGCCCCCCCTCCCAATCTCCTCCCTCCTCGAAGTTCTGGAGCACAGCGCTCTGGGGTTTTTATTTCTGTACCGTTCGACCTCCACCGCACCCCCCCCTCCCCCCCCCCTAAAATCCCTCCCCTACGTCGCGCGGTTCGGCAATTTTTGGAATGACAACAACATTTTCGACAACAAAAACATATAAAATTGCCCCATTGTTTCGACTGCCGCGCCAGGAGGTCGTAATCGTAATCGGCGACTTCGGCATTTGGAGGCCCGCCGCTCTGCTGAGCGCTACAAACCCGGCAGACTCCTTGTCCACGTGCTTGAACGTCATCATGCAATAAGGGACCGTCCATAAATGACGTCATGCACCTAGTGGAAGGGGGGGGGTCAGACATTTGTGACGATGTGTGACGAGGGGGGGGGGAGGTTTGAGAAATGTGACGTCACATCAAAATGCGCAACTTTAGATAAATATAGAATCGTTATAACAACACTAATTGTTGTAACAACACTCCCTACAACATCAGAGTGCAGCGCCACATTAAATACGCACTACAATGACAATAGTTTGAAGCGATTTGAAGCGTGTTTTATTTTCAAAATGGAAATATGGTTTTGCGGGGGGGGGGGGGGGGCAGAGCTTTGTGACGTCATATTTGAGTGGGGGTCTGACTTTTTGTGACGCCGCGTGACGAGGGGGGGGGGGGGTAAAAAATCGTACAAAATCGCGTGACGTCATTTATGGACGGCCCCTAAGGGCAATTTACTGGCGCGCGTGTCATCGCACTGTGTGAACCGCGGGTAGCGGTGGTGTCATCACTACCCTGCGCTAAACCAACCCGGCGACCCGGGTTCGATTCCTGCTCACGGCCAACACCAGTGGCGATCATCCGCACCGGTCTTGGGCCTCCCCCTAGGTCGACTCAGCCTCAAATGAGAACCTGGTGCGCTGAGTAAACATCGCCACTGGGGAGACAAAGGCGGCCGGGCGTGGTGCTGGCCACTCACCCCATCGCGCGCCGTTCCGGGGCTTCATAGGTGCTCGCTAACAGCACTTGCTCCAACACTGCGTTAAGGCTACACGGGGGATCTTTGTTTGTCTTTGTGCGTACCATTGTACAACTCTTCAAGTATTTCTTGTCCGGGTACTTTCCTGATTGAGCAATTCCCCCTAACTCTGCACATCGCTGGCTGTTTTTTTTTTCTTCCTAAGAGAGGCGAAAGTAAATATTCCCAGCACGAGCCACAAATCCGTATCAGCACAACCCCAGCAGGCTAATAATAATAATAGGAGTAGCCCTTGCATGCCCGGCAAGAGCCTCGGCTAAGTCTCAAGGCCCTTTCTAGATTTAAAGCTTTCGTGACTGCTAGGATCCATACTCTTTGGTTCTATTGGGTAAAGTCACGTAGGTGAAAATAAAATAACAAAAAATCACGACGTTTCGGCCACAACACAAGCGGCCTTCATCAGGTGAAGGGACGAGACTCCAGCGCTGTCCTCCAGACAGTCTCGTCCCTTCACCTGATGAAGGCCGCTTGTGTTGTGGCCGAAACGTCGTGATTTTTTGTTATCTCAAGGCCCTTTTTGCAGGATAGGGGGAGGGGGGGGAGCTGCCCCTCGACGGATATTTTTGGCGAATTCCTCACCGAGCAAAGATTTTGCAAGGTTGGGAAGAAGTTGCGAGTGCCTGGGGACACTTAACGAGGAGATATCAGCTGGCAGCAAAACATTCTGATGCCACCGATAAATGAATCGCTCAATCGCTGTCGCGTCCGTTTGTCGATTCACACGTCCGGCTGACGGAGCGGCTAGCGGTGTGCTGTGCTCGTGACTCCAACCTTCCCGAGTTTGACTCCCGGTCGCGGCTAACACATCGGTGGCGAGTGAGTCTCTGAACCGGTCATGCGGCACCCAATCATACCGCCCAAAATCGCACGTCCATGCCGGTCTTCGGAGGTGCTCGCCAACGACACTTGCTCAAAAAGCTCCCCTCGACGTGCGTTGCGTGCGTGCGTGTGTGTACGCGCCAGGTACTCAGCCTCAAATGAGTACCTGGTGTAGCGGTGTGTAGTAAACATCGCCACTGGGGAGACAAAGGCGGCCGGGCGTGGTGTTGGCCAACCCACCCCCTCGTGTGCCGTGTGCCGGCCTTCACAGGCGCTACTCGCTAACAGCACTTGCCCCTGCAGTCTGTTACAGGCCACACGGGGGATCTTTGTCTTTGTGTGATCTACCAAGCCGACGTATCTATCGAACCCGCCTCTTCCGCCTTTCCTGCCCACCGTTAACCGCGTTACGGAGACCGTCGCCTCAAATGCATTTCCAGCGCAACCCCCTTTTTGGTTGATTTTTTGTTTTTTTCCCCGCTCGACGTTTCTCCCCGCCCTGGCCCCCCTCCGTCCAACCCCGCAGGATGACGAGGTGGTGCTGCAGTGCACGGCCTCGAAGCTCAAGGAGGCCGTCAAGGTATGCCTGGCGGCGGAGGGCTTCGGAAACCGCCTCTGCTTTCTGGAGTCGACGTCCAACTCCAGGGTGAGTCGACGTTCAGACGCTACACCACCCACCACCACCACCCACCCACCACCACCACCCACCCACCACCACCACCCACCCACCACCACCACCCACCCACCACCACCACCCACCCACCACCACCACCCACCCACCACCACCACCTGCCCAGAGCCTCATCCCCCCCCGGTGACGAGATGTTATCTCCCTCGCCAGGTGTGCAGGAGGTCGTGAGTTTCGATCGCGACCCTGACCACGACGCCTGTGTAATTGGGAGTTTGCGAGTTTCCGGGTTTCCCCTCCACATTTATTAAAGGCACGCTTAGATTAAAATTGTTTGACTGCTATATATTTCCCACGTGATAAGCCACTTCGTTGGCCTATCATGTGTGGCCATATTTGCCATGCGCCAGTGCCGGATGAAGCTAGTGCGGGGCCCGTAGCCATATGTTATAACGGGCACTAAATAAAACACGTTTTTAACACAGTAAAGTAACTGTATGTTTTCATTTGATATACAGCCGGATAATACGGCATACAAGTTGAAGGCGGTATAGTACTATAGTAATAGAGCGAGTGCAGAATCACTTAACCGGAATTGATAGGTTGAAAGTTTTTTTCGCGGGGCATATTTTCAATCCAATTGAGGGCACTAACATGATCTCCGAAAATCAAGACGTGGCTATAAGATTGCGGGTGATCCCAATATTTTGATTTGGTGATCGATACTAAAGCGTGACGTCACCGGAAACGACGTCACCGCAATCGATGCCACTTCTTTCCCTGCACCTTCCTGCCAAGAGGTGGCAGCGCCGCGTGGCTCTGGGTGAGGCCGCTTCTGTTGGCACGAAGACGCCTTGGTCATTGTGCAATGTAAATGAATCATCATCATTCATCATCATAACCAGCCGTGGTCAATCCACTGCTGGATCAAGGCCTCCTTCCATGATCCTGCGACGTCATAATCTACCTGGCACCTGCACCTGAAATTATTTTGTGTAAACATCCGAAAACCCCCCCCCCCTAAAATTCTATAAATATCTTAAAACCCGGTCTCTTTGTCTGCCTTTCGTTTTTCTTGCTTTTATACTCTGAGATCAATGAGCATACGTAGGGGCCACTGCTGTTACGCTGGTGTGCGCCGATCTTGGATGTTGTGTACCCTCAATCTTGGCTCTCTTAGTATTGTTGAAGGTGCAAATATAATTGCAGTATAAATGATCAAAACACTGTAAAACTAAAAATTTTTAATCTGAAAATCATCTCCAGTCTTAGTAACAAAAACAAGCGGACGACGCTTCCTTCACGTATCTGTGCCTCCACATGAAAAAAAAATTGTTTATAAACATCCCATCAGCCACACGGCCTTTTATAAAAAGCGCACAATACCAGCAGCGTTGGTTCAACTACAAAGCAAACTGTGGGAGCGGTTTTGACATTGGCTGTCTCATCGGCGTCCTCGCGTGACGCGAGTGTTCTCCCGCTCGCTCTCAAATCTCCGCCGTGCTCCCGCAGAACGTGCCTCCAGATCTCTCCATCTGCATCTTCGTGCTGGAGCAGTCTCTGTCGGTGCGAGCCCTGCAGGAGATGCTGGCCAGCAACGAGGACAAGATGGAAGGGGTGAGTGGCCAACCGCGCGCTGGGCAATCGCCGTCGACCGGCTTGTGGGTCACTCCTCGGTGAGGAAGCCCCTTTTGGCCAGGCGGTGGTGAGGGCCGAGGCTAGCCGGCGTTTCGCTTGAGGAGACGCTGCACGTGTGAACGTCGGCGGAGCGAGGTGTTAATCGAACTCGTGGAGCTTTGCAAGTAGATTCAAGGTGCCCTGGATTTATGTGAGATTTAAAAAAAAAAAAAAGACGTCGGAGTGCACCGGATGACCGTGAACGAGACGGGTGCAGGATACACGGCAGGTGGAGGTGAGACGCGGGGCTGATGGGTGACGACGCTGCTACAGGTAACCCACGGGGGTTGCAGTTTTGCACATTTGGAGGCCCTCAAGCAGAACGTATCATCGTGCCGCACGCTTTGAATTTGCAATATCCTCGTCAGATGACTCGAGGTATATCGATGAGCTGAGGTGAGAAGATGTAGACAGAGCTGTAGTGAGAAGAGAGACAAGGTGCAAGACAGATTCATGTGTTATGTCCATTCCCCTTGTTTGAATTACAGCCGACATTTGATGTTGCTTCATTTCTTTATTTTTTTTTTACATTAAATCTGCAGCCCCCTTTAGCCATCCAGGGTCGGTCCCTCTTTATTTCCCTTGGGGTTCTCTCACTCCTGCCGCCACCACTGCCAGGGGGTTAAACGAGACCCTCGTTGCTGCAGACGGCCCCCTGCGTTCTGTGGTGGATGCCACCCCCTGTGCGCGTGTGTGCGCGCGTCCAACAGTGGGGAGCGGTGGTGCAGCGGTTAGCGCCACGCCGCGCTACGAACCTGGCTACCCGAGTTCGATTCCCGCTCACGGCAAACGCCGGTGATGATTATCGGAACCAGTCCCTGGGGCTCCCCCTAGGTCGACTCGGCCTCAACTGAGTGCCAGTGCCGGATTAAGCTGGTGCAGGGCCTGTCGAATTTGTTATAAAGGGGCCCTAAAAAAACACTTAAATATTAAAGCACATACATTTTTAACTTGCATCGTCAAGTAATTGGATATTTTTTATTTGCTATACAGCCAGATAATACGACAAATCGCTAACCTTAAACACCCAGTAAAAGTTGAAGGCAGTATAGTACTAGAGTAATAGAGCAAGTGCAGAATTACTGAACCGGAATTGAGAGCTTGAAAGCGTTTAGCGCGGGGCCCTTGAAAGTGCGGGGCCCGTAGCTACATATGTCGCTACTTTTGCTACGAGGATACTCCGGCACTGCTGAGTATCCAGAGCGGTGTGTAAACATCGCCACTGCGGGGACAAAGGCGGCCGGGCGTGGTGCTGGCCACCCACCCCGTCGTGTGCTGTGGCGGCATTCATAGGTGCTCGCGAACAGCACTTGCCCCTACAATCTGTTAAGGCTGTACTGGAGGATCTTTGTCTTTGTTGAACATCCTCTGCCACCAAATGTCGCATAGCTGCAAGGTGTCTATTTGTTGGCGTGACGCATATGCTGCCCGATGCCACCATTCTCATTAAAATTAATTTTGCACGTGAACTACTGCTTAAAGTGACCTCGGTCATAATACGAATACAAATAATTTACAGCCCCTATTGCTCAATCCACTGCTGTATGTGGGCCTCTCCACAGCCGTGCCAATAATGGGTGTCGTTTGACCGTACTTCACCACGCTGGTCAGTGTGAATTGGTGAAGTGGTTGCCCCAGCACAGAGATCATCTCTCTGTTATAAAAAAAAGGAGGGCTACTGCCCGAACCCGTCGCCTTTCATACGTTAATATATATTCCTTTTAGGGCCAGGGTACTATTGATGAATGCGTTGAGTTTATTTTTTAGTTATTCGTCCATAAGGTGTAAACTTTTGAGTCCCACTTGTTAAGAGGTAGAAGCCACGCTGCCATAGTTCCAGCTGTCGTTGATCCGCGCACGTAATTTCTCGTGATGGGTTCGTGCCGTAAACGTAACGACCCCTGGACCTGTGGTGTGTCCCTCCGAGAATCGTATCAAACAAACCCAGTCCAGTCGAATCGTTACTTCGCAAGGAAGATGGACAACGGTCCAGAGAGAAAGAAAACAAAAACGCAACAACGTGGATATTTGTGTTGCAAAGGTCACCTCGGCTACGTCAAAATCGAAGATCGCGACGTAAATTAAATCCCTCCTGGAGCGGAAGGAGGGAGGGAGGGAGGGTGAGTGGGTAGTGTGGAGGAGAGAGATAAGGGAAGTGCGATCGTGAATGTGAAATTTCCATCGCTGGCTTGGAGCTGTAAAAATGACGTGAGAATAGTCCAATTGCTTTATTGAGTGGGAGGCCACGTTGATTGTATTTATTATCATTATTATACGAACAAAAACCAGCTTATAACCTGTGGTTATATTTATCGGACCCAAATTATTGTGTGAACAAAGAAAACCCATTATATATTTGTTCACTAAACTTTGTTTCGAGAATTGAATCAACCACCGTCTCGTGTAGATATTTCAGCTTCGTAGTTCATGGGCCCAGATAAAATGTTGTCCTCATTGGGACCACCTGCGATGGCAAAACTTGAGTTATACCATCATCTTTAAATCGGCAATAAAATATAATTACACAATAACATTATTTTATAAGTGCAATACGCGATCACCTAATACATATTTACCAGTGGAAATGCAGAAACTGGAATCGTTAAATATTGTGCCACCCTTTCCGGTACTAAATTCTGCTCTGGCCCACAGATGATGTATCTCAGATATTTTAGTTTAGTGTCTGCATAAGAAAGAGAGAGCGAGAGAGAGAGAGAGACCCATGAAGGCTGAGTGGCAAAGTCTGGGAATCGAAACATTATTTGATGTTTACCTGCATACCAGCGTTGCAACTGCAATGCTTTTCACTGGAGTCTACAAACGTGAAAACAAATTATACATTTACCGAAAGTAAACGCATTACGACGGTCGGGTCGTTAGACATAGGCCAACAGATGAAGCTCAGTTATCCTTATGCAACTTAAGAAAACGCAACTGAATCGACATTTTTTTTGTCGTGAAACTGATTTGTTTTGCTCTGTGTTTTCTTGTGTGTGTGTTTTTTTTTGTTTTATTTGTCGATGACAGAATGTTGACATGGAGAAATGGGTATGTTCCCTTTTTTAGGTTTTTTTCCCCTAAGTTTCCCCGTCACTCTAAACATCTCTCCCTCCCGTGTGACGGTGTCTCCTTAGTTGTCTCACTCGTTTTGATGTCTTCTCCTTGCCTCCCACTCCTACTCACTTTGTCCGTGACCAATTTAAAGCTGACATGCCTGACGACTCGACCATTGACCCACGCAAGCCCCCCCTCCCGCCCCCCCCCCCCCCCGTGGGATGAGTCTGCAGATTAAAAAAACCCCGAAATAGTAACAACGAACAGCTGTGAATTTCGGTGTAAGAACGAGGCAATTTATAGAAATGCCATGCAATGTTTGCCCGTGGCATCTTGTCACTTGACGTATATATATTAAAAAAAAACAACCCATATCTATGCATTCGTTAAATGTTTGGGGTTTAAAAAAAAACCATGCGTACGCGTGGATTACGTCAACGCTTTCCAACATGCGTAGACTGCGGCCACTGCAGCGACGCACATTGTAATTTGACCTCGAGGTTTGAGTTTACATGGTTCACTGAGATCGGGCATGGCGGCTTTAAGTTCCGTTTGTCAATTTAACTCATTGAGTCTGACCAGCACAGGTGAAGAATTCCTCCACCAACCCCCCCCCCCCCCCAAATCTCCAAAAAAAAAAACCTCCCAACAACTACAACTATATATATACAACAACAACACAAATAAAAAAAAACCCAAAGTCAAACAGGGCAACTGACATTCAAACGACCCACAGACAATGCCGGTATCAAAGTGAAACGGGTCAAATGCGGCTCCCGCATTTTTGCCTCGCGACCCATTTTTACTCTCTGCTGGAATCCGAGAGAATTTCCGCACGGCCTTGTTGCGTTTCGGGGCTAGGGCGGGGACGGGGCACGACAACTAACGGCGATGTTAAAAGTTGCTCTGTTTAACGGCGGTGTTGGACTGGCTAACTCTCACGCGTCTCAACATTCCCTTTCCACCCCACTCCGTGTTCGCTCTGTCGCCTGTCGTCATCGTCGTCCACCTTGTCCCCCCTTCCTTTTCTTTCAGCTTGGATTTTCTTTCTTTCTCCAAATGATTTCTTCCCAACCACCCTCCCCCCCTCTCCCCACCCACCAATCCACCCACCAATCCACCCACCAACCCACCCACCAACCAAGCCACCCCCCCCCCCCCACCATCGTGCAAACAGGAAAAAAAACACCTTCCAATGAATTCATTCCGTCCAAATCACAAACCCGTTGCCCCCTGCCTTTTGATTCCCCTCGAAGTTTAGTGGCGGCTGAAATTGGAGGGGGGGGGGGGGTGGTCTGGGTCTGCGTTTGCTTTGCACTCGCGCCATGGATTTCGGTTGACCCCCCCCCTTCCCAAATAAAAATAAATAGGGGAATTAATTTCGGATTCAGATGTCCAACGCCTTCTTCCGAAGGGGTGGGGGGGTGGGAGGGCAAAACAAATTTCAGCCCCCGTTTTGCCAATTTTGCGTTTCCAGCGTAGGGTCCTTAATGTACGCAGAATAGAGGGCTCGCCAACGTAGGCACAATTCAACGTTTGAGAAGATAACCGTCGACTACAAACGGTGATAATTAAACAATATTAATTGCGAATATTGAAATACATAGGCAATAATGTATTCGTCACACGAATAATAATAATAATGCGTTTTGTTGATTTATTGCATCAACAAAATTTTAATAATAAATATACTGTAAGGAGAGATAATGTACGTTTGTTCAGAGACATTGCATTGTGTGGTAATGCAATGAACACACACATAGGTACACTGGGCCTGTAAACAGAGACCAGACGCACACACAAACACAGTTCAGGACATCCACTGTAAGTCTGGCCCACAACTTGTAACTACTGTTCACTACCTCACCTGGTATACAGGAGGTCGTGGGTTCGATCCCGACCCTGACACCTGTATATTTGGTGTTTGCATGTTCTCCCGGTGGTCATGTGGATTTTTCTCTGGGTCCTCATTTTTTTTTTTTTACCCCCTCTGTATTTAGAATCAACGTGCGGTTAAAGCATTTGCCTGATATAACATCTCCACACGATGATAAGCCACTTCGTTGAGCTCTCATTTGTGGCCAGGTCGCTTCCGAAAAAGAGCTACAAGTCTCAGTGGGCCTAACCTGGTCAAATAAAACATAGTTCTTAGTTTAGTTTATAATCTGGCCTTCATGCCCTTTGGAAAAAATGTTTCAACAATGTTCATTTAATATATGCTTTACAAAAGCCACCCATGTCATTACATATACACACACATCGCATGTCATGTCATCTATGCACATGCTATGTATGTAACGTCAAATTGGTTACTAAGTAACGTAAAGTTACGTGTTCCCGACGTTAATGTAAGACGTTAAGTTAGCGTCGTCACTGATGGACAGGAAGTCAGCTGTACACGGAATTTGTTGAAATTGGCCACGAAAGAAATAAAATTGAGAAGACATTTAATGATGAAAGTCATGATTATAATAATAGGAATGGGTTTGTTTTGGATGTCGTATTACTGACCGAAACTGTTCACAAATTTGTCTTCTAACAAGTATATTTCACCTTGGTATGCTTTGGTTACAGTGTTCATTAATGACCTTGGTATTGACGATGCAACTGGTGATTGTTGTACTGCCTTGTTAATAACCTTTGTTGTAACTAATTTGACCGTTACTCCTAATCAAACCTCAAAAATGTATTTGACCTTCCGTGTCAACGTTGACCCCTCCGCCCCCCCCCTCCCTCTCTCAGTGTCATTAAATGTCCCCTCGTGTACTCACTAACAACACTTTGCGGAATCCGCGCTAACATGTTTTTTTTGGTGTTTTTTTGTCTTCTGTTTTAACGCAAAACATTTTTTGTGTACGCTAAACATTGCAAACCGATGTAGAAAATGTTGCTCAAGGTAAGTTTGCACTTGTTTATTCAAATACAAAGCAATCAACCGACGGCTGTGAACCCTTTGTTAATGACAGGCAAGTGTCATCTCACGGGCCAACGTGCTGTAGCATCAATATATATAGTTATATGATGTGTATATATACATACACATTGCAACAATTTACAGCCCCTTTGCCAATCCGTGGCTGGATTGAAGGCCCTGGTCCTCCGTTTAAATAGAACAGCTATCCTTCACATTTAACTTTTCGTACAGATTTAATAAGTGTAACTATATATATGTACACGTATTTATTTAAAGCAAATATACGGAACAGGAGCAAACCACTTGGCGGTGGTACTCGGGCGCATGCTTCGTTTTCACAGCAGCAGAAACGTGAATGTCGACGCTTGCCCAATGTGCACCCTGTACGCGTTGCGTTAAAATGCAGTCGACTCTCGATTATCCGCGGGCATGCAATTATCGCTTCCAGGTCCGCTCGATTGTAACCGTGCACTCGCGAAGAACCCAACAACAACAACAACAAAGTTTAACACGTGGGAGGCTTTCGCGACCAATATTATTCACAATGAAGGTTTTTGGGTTAGATCGCGTTATTTATAAATGTGTCGTAACCCTCCACCACCCGACACGGCCAATCAGCAAAAAAAAAGTGTCACGTTGACAAAAGACAAAATAGTTCACGACTTTAGCCCCCCACACCGGTGTGTTGAAGAGTGAATCCACAACATTTACGGTTTGAGTAGTACTGTGACGTTTCGCCGGTAATTACATCCAGCATCGTCGGGGCAATTCGCCAGAATGCTAAAGCCCTCTCCACTTGCTCCCGGTCTTAAATAGAGCAGCAGCAGGGTGACGTCATCATTTAACTCATTCAAGTGGGGGGGGGGGGGGTGGATATTGTAATTATATAATCGATTGGTGATCAGTCAATGGTTATGATTAGTAATGAGTTGTAGACAACAAACCCGACGATGGCGATGCACCTCCGTGCGTGCCGTTTGAGTTGTTCGCCGCACCGGTGTGGGGGAGGGGTCGGTGACGGCTGACCGCTTGGCCGCACGCCGCGGTCGGCGAGCGAACCGACCGCGCCGAGAAACGAAACCGGCGCAATTCCACGTCCTCGCCCTCGTCCCGCTGGACATCTGTGCGCAAGCCCCAAACAAACAAAAACAAAAGCTTGAAAGAGTCCCGGCGTAAATAAAAAAAAACTCTTTAAGCGATGAAACGGACTTCAATATTCGACTGTTTTAGTTGACTGGACTAAGAGAAACGACCAATTGAACTGCACAGACTCAATGCCCCATATTCCTAGTCACGGCTCAGTTCAGGCTTGGGCGGTGGCTCACGTGAGCCACCGCTCAAAGCCGTACGCTTGACTTGAGCCGTGCTCAGGATTCCCACGAGGCTGAGCCAGGCCGTGGAAAGATTTTAACTACCTCGCCTGGTATACAGGAGGTCTTGGGTTCGATCCTGACCCTGACGCCTGGAGTTTGCGTCTCTCTCTCGCTGTGGTCGCGTGGAGTTTTATCCAGGCCCCTCCGGTTTTTCCCTCCACCATTTAGTATCGACGCGCGTTCAGAGCATTTTGGCTGCAATCAAATCCCACGCGATAAGCCACCAATTTCGTTGAGCTATCATTTGTGATAGCCAGGCCGCTTCTTAAAAAGGGCAACACAGCTGAGTGGTAAAATAAATCAAATACAAATTAGGAAATAGGTCAGGGCACTGGCCGAGTAAGACTTCACCACGAATCCGCAGTTTGCCGTCAACAAGACTTGCACTGCTGCTAAAAATACAACATGCCCACGACATGGACACATCAGGCCGCCTCTCCTGTTCCCCCACCCCCTCTGTGCTCCGGATATTCGAGAGTTGACTGTGCGGCTAAAATGTATATTTGCCAATTTACGCTGTACGCGAATACATGAGAGGCAGTCAAAAAGTTATTTTTTTTTTCTCTTCTACCAGACCCTACGTTTAGATCTTCTCATCTTGTCCACGTAAACGTGCAAGCAAAGCCGTGAGTGGATTGTGACGGCAAAAGACGGACCCGGCGTTCGCCCGCTTGTTGCCGAGGTCACATGGTTTTAACCCAGCGGCCCGCCCTGGTTAACACCGCGGCTGCATTAACCGTGAGCGCTACACGCGCCGTCTGCTTCGCGGTGGGCATTGAAGATCCCTTTGAAGTTATTCTAAACGGAGGAGGTCGTTGTTGCCTGCCGGCAGCACGATCCAAATTCGATGAAGCACAGAGCTCGCAAATTGCTTAAGTGGGGTAACAGTCGCAACGTCGCCCCCCCCCCCTCCCATCTGGCAGACTCATGCCCACCTGTTTGCAAGGTGCTGCACAGGGACAGCTGCCTGTTGGGGTGGGGGGGGAGGTCCCCTGGGCTTAAACTGCCGTAGGATGATGCCTCGAGATGTGGTGCGTCGGAGGCGCCGGTAATAAACGATCGGTGGTGATGTTTTAATGAAAGGGCGTTACGAAGTCGCTTGAATTGTGAGCCGCTGCTTTTAAATTTGCACACAATGGGGAGTTTTGTAAAAGCCTTTTTGACTGCCATTCGTGTCTGTCTTGCGTGTACGTGTTATAGCTTAAATATATAAATGATATACTGTATAATTGTGCAAATGCTGTACGTATGCTTGGCTCATTAAATGCTAACAAAAAATGTATAATAATGACTCATTGGTTTTTTCGGTAAAGTCACGTATGTAGGAATACCATAAAATTATATTAAAACAAATCAGTCACGACGTTTCGACCGCAACACAAGCGATCTTCATCGGGTGTAAGAAAGCAATCAAGGAGGTAAATACAACAAGAATATGAGAGACGAGAATTCAACAAACCAAAGAAAAAATTACGTGATGCACAACCAGTCAGGTCAACAACACAGTTAGACACTTACCTGGCGGACCACGAATTTCAGAAGAGTGTTAAATTTCGTGTTCAACCTCTGGATTGAACATAGCAGCATGGACAGAGTGAACAAATGCGAGGTATTCCTACATACGTGACTTTACCGAAAAAAAACAATGAGTAATTTATGCAGTCACGAAAGCTTTAATTCTGTATAATAATGACTTAATAAAAATATTCTTCAAAAGTTAAACAGCAGCAACGATGATAACAATAATACAGATACCAATAATGAGATTATGATCACGTGCTGTGCAAAGTGGCTCAGCAGTAAGCCAGTACGACTGAGAACCTGGGTTCGTTTCCAGGTTTCATCTGCCCAAGCATGTGACTCAACCAAATTTGGTAGTTTGAGTGTATGGACTCGGCCTGGTCACCAATGACTGCGTATATATATAAAAAATATATTTAATGTGTTCCTTCGACTTGGTTAAATTTAATCTCAAATAACAAAAAATATAAAATAGTGAGGTTGGAATAAAAAATAAATATTCAGCTCCCCCCCCCCTCCCCACCGCTGTGGATAAGCGGTCACTCGAAGGGATCTCAGAAGTAATTCCCTTCTGAGGGCCTCTCTTCGACTTCCACACACAGAGTGGTGGTGGTGGGGAGAGGAATTCGCCTTGTCCACAAAATAGCGTGGCCAGACTTTACTGTGTCCCACAGAAACTGGGATGTTCGGGAAGAATCCTGAAAATTTTGGGGGAATAAAACGGGAGTGAAATGTATAATTTTTTTTTTACTTTTTTGAAGTACAAATATTTTGGGGCTCTAAAAATCAACGTCGACTTGTTGCTAAGTGCGCAGAAACGGCGAGACAGCGGGCAAGTCCCGGCGTCCCCCTGTCAAGCTTCATCGCAACGTGCGCGAAAGTAAAACGCGAGTAACGAATTACACCCATACTCTTTTGGTTCTTTCGGTAAAGTCACCTAGGTCATCACCTGATGAGGGACGCTCGTGCTGCGCCCGTAAACGTCGTTATTTTACCCAAAGAGCCGAAGAGTATGGATTCCTGCAGCCACGAAAGCTTCAAAATCAAGATTGAATTACATCGAGCTGTGGATACGAGGCCCACCGTTCAGCTTTCAGTGGAATATAACGCGGTGGTGGTGGTGGTGGTGGTCGGGCGGGCGGGGGTGGGGAGGAGGTTGTGTGTACACGTTTGTCGGGCTTAAACGGCCTCGACCGTCAGCCGGTTATTTTGAGGACGCGACGCAACGATGGACGTCCTCGCGCCACCCGCAATGTGACCGCCTCCTCGCCGCGTCCCAGCAGCAGGGGGGATCGACCGCCGTCGGCTCGCGGTCGAGTCGACGCGCAGGGTGGGATGCGTGGGAGGCAGGACGCGGAGGAGCGTCGGGAAGGTTCCTCACCGGCCATAACCCACCCCCTACCCCACACCCCACACAATCCTCCACACTCCCCGCACTGACGAGTGCCTCTGTGTGTGGGGGGCGAGCGCAGACGGCGCAGGGAGGTGGACACAGGACGCTGCTGTACGGACACGCGATCCTCCTGCGGCACTCCTACAGCGGGATGGTGCGTCCCTCTCTCTCTCTGTCTCTCTCGAAGCACCACTGGTGGATGTGTGTGGAGGTGGGGGGGCGGGGGCACAGGAGGTGTGGGGGTGGCCGATGGGGGTGATCGCCCCCCCCCCCCCCATGGGAAGTTGGGACAAAGGGGGGCTTGGAGGGGGGTGAGGGGGGGGGTGGCGATCGCTGGGTTCACATTCGGAACGGGAAGAAATAACCCAGCATTGTTAGAAAAAACTCAAACATTTGGCCCAGTTTTTATTCGTGAAATCGTTGGACACGATCAGTCAGCTGCTGGATGAAGGCTCCCCGCGGACACTTTGCCATCTCTCACAATCCTGCGATGCCACAATCCTTCTCCCGCTCCACCCCGCGTTAGTCGCGCGGTGGGCACTCTTCCCACCTTTGACTGCCGTTCTTTCACCAGTCTCGTCCACCGGCCGTCAATCATCCCCAGTCGTGGCACTTCCTACCCAAGCCCCGCTTACTTCCCCAGATGCATGGTGTCACGTCTTCGATTCGCACTCGATCCCTGATCCACGCGTTCCTCTTCCTACCTCCCAATGGCATTCCAATGACCCACCTCTGCGTATGTTGCATTGTGCGTGTGCACAGCGAGTTGGTGCGGTGGGGGGTACTGGTGGTGCATCTGCCCGTCATCCCAGTCGGTTAACCCCGTAACACCTGACTCTGTCCCGGGGCCTCATGCCAGCGACGAGACTTCCACACTTCACGGGACAGCCTCAAAGTGCACCTAGCCTGGCACCAGCGCTGCGGTGACGTCACCGCCGCATGGTGGCGAATGGCAGCTGCTGCTGCTGTTGTCTGTGGGGGGGGTAGCGCCCTGCGCTACGAATCTTGCCAAACCTGAGTTCAATTCCCAGCTGTGGCTAACATGGGCGTGTGATATCAGAACCGGTGTCCTGTGCCTCCCCCGGGTCGAATTTAGCCTCAGATGAGTAGCTCGCGTGGTGTGGCCACACCATCCCCACTTGAGCCGTGCTGGCTACATGGTGGGAATGGGGATTCGTGTGGTTTTGTGTGCGTGTGTGCGTATGGGGAGTGGTGGTGTAGCGGTTAGCGCGCTGCGCTACGAACGTGGTGACCCAATTATGATTTCCACTCGCGGCCAACACCAGTGACGATTATCTGAACCGGTCCTGGGCCTCCACCCCCTAGGTCAACTCAGCCTTAAATGAGTATCTGTTGCGGTTTGTAAACATCGCCACCGGAGAGACAAAGGCGGCTGGGCACGGTGCCGCTGGCCACCCACCCCCACGTGTGCCGTTCGGGCCTTCATAGCTGCTGCTCGCTAACAGCACTTGCCCCGACAGTCCGTTAAGGCTATACTGGGGGGGGGGGGCACCTTTGTCTTTGTGTGTGTGTGTGTGCTCGTGCGTGTTATGACCCTGCAGTACTTGAGCTGCCTCTCGACGTCGAGGTCGTCAACAGACAAACTCGCGTTCGACGTCGGGCTCCAGGAAGACGCGTCAGGTGCGTGCCACCGTGTCCCACCCTCCCCCCATTGCTTCCGTGGACGGGAATTCATGTTGTTGTGAATTTAACGCTGGGGCAGATGCTATTCTATACATTTTTGTAAATCACTTTACCATAATATAGGTTAGATCGCGTAAATATAGATGCGTCGTGAAACCCCGCCACCACGTGACACAGCCAATTAGTGAGGTTTGTCACGTTGACAGAACTTGCCAATTCGTTACTAGTACAGCACACGGCCAAGAGCCCCCGCCGCCGCCGCTGCTACAGCTACAGCTACGAGGATGACCGAAGTTTGTGCGACGATGGCTTATGCTCCCTGACGAGCTCGGCATTGATGGACAGTTCCATTCCTGCCACGGACACCCAGAGACGCACGCGTCCTTGCGCGCGCCGTGACCCAGCGCAAATCGGGACTGAGTTGGTTGTCGGCGCGGTCCCTCCCCCCCCCCCCCCCCCCGCGCAGGCGAGTCGTGCTGGTGGACAATTCACCCGGCGTCCAAGCAGCGCTCGGAGGGAGAGAAGGTCCGGGTGGGAGACGACCTCATCCTGGTCAGCGTGTCGTCGGAGCGCTACCTGGTGAGACGGACCGCGTCTCGTTGCGTCTCTCGCCCGGGGACGGCCTCCATCCTCGCCATCTCAGTCGCGTTCCGTCCTGGGGCCCTCTCCCGTCTCTTGTCTCTCAATTTCGGGAACCCCGTAGGTCAGCGACCAAACAGTCAGATGGTTGTGATCAGCCCGTGAGTACGTCGCTCGGATTAGAAACACGCCTTTAAGTTGTTTTCGATGAATTGGCTGCTGTAAATGTCCACGTGAAGAAGACATTTCGTTGAGCCATCATTTCTGGCGAGGTCTCTTCTGAAAAATAAAGTAATATCTCAGTGGGCTTTGCCCGGTACAATAAAATAGTTTAGTTTTATTTGCTTACCTTTCATACACTTTGCACTCCTATCGTGTTTATGTACCGTTTGTTGTTGTAACATTCTGACCCGCCCCTACTTGACATCTGTGAAAAATAGATTTATAGCTCATCAGAATGTTCCAGTATAAATCAATATTATGATTCTGATTTGGAGTTTGCATGTTCTCCCCGTGGTCACTTGGATTTTTATCCAGGCCCTCCGGGTTTTTTCGCCATATGCATTCAATCAATATACGTTTAGGATCATCATACGTTGAGAGCAGTGGTTCTTCACCTTTTACTGTAGCCTTGCACGCCTTTGGTTCTCAATCATAATTTCTTGTAGCATTAATAAATACATCGGTTTTGATGAAACAAAGTAGTTGTAATCACGTGCCCGTACTTAATTTGTGTTTCAATGATTGACCTTAAAAAAAATCCGGCATGTCTCGCACCCCCAGAAATGGCAACTCGTGCACCCCCAGGGGGTGCGTGTACCCCAGCTTAAGAACCACTGGTTTAGAGCAGGGGTCCCCAACGCCCGGGCCACGGACCGGTACCGGTATCGGTCCATGGTACCGGTACCGGTCTGTGGCCTGTTAGGAACCGGGCCGCACAGCACGAGGTGAGCGGTGAGTCCGTGCGTGGCCTGCTCATTATTTTATTTACCACCTCCGTCCGCGCCTCTTTCCCGCACTGCGCACTCAGTCTCAGTCACAGTGTTGGTAAGCCCACAAGCTCACCCCTAGTAGCCACAATGAGTAAAAAAAACAAACGTGGCTGGAGAGCTTCTTTGAAAAGGGGGAAAGACCCAATGATGAACCCCCCCCCCCGTCCGGTCCGTGAAAAAATTGTCTTCCACTAAACCGGTTCCTGGTGCCAAAAAGGTTGGGTACCGCTGGTTCAGAGAATTTGACTGCTCTAAATGTCCACACTATCATAAGCCACTTCGTTGGGCTTAACATTAGTGATGGCCAGGTCAACCTCTGAAAAAGAGCTATAAAGCTCAGTGAGGCCTTACCTGGGGGAAAAAAAAAAAAGTTTATTCAGCCACTTGGTGGCCTCTGTGGAGGGCAAATGCGGGCGACGCTTCCTCTGCCGCGTGGGCGGCACGGGTAGCGGGCGCCGTGGGGCTCGCGTTGCCGGCGCCGCGTGACCGGCTCCGTGTCTCTGCGCGGCAGCATCTCTCCTACGCCACGGGAGGCCTCAACGTGGATGCGTCGTTTCAACAAACGCTCTGGAACGTCGCTCCGACGTCGTCCGGCAGCGAGATCGCGCAGGGTGAGTCCCGGAGACGGCTCGGTAGCCGAGGGGTGGGGGGGTGGGTGGCGGGTAAAAAAATAAATAATGAAATATTTTGAAATTTATACAGCAATAATGATGATAACAATAATATATTTTGATTTAAAGCTTTCGTGACTGCAGTGATTCATATTCTTGGTTCTTTCGGTAAAGTCACGTTGAAGGGAAACAATAAAATAATGAAATATATATAAAAAATAAAATTCTCACGACGTTTCGACTGTAACACAAACAGTCATCATCAGGTGTGAAAACCAACTGCAAATGTTTCTTGCCGTTGGTTTTCACACCTGATGATGACTGTTTGTGTTACAGTCGAAACGTCGTGAGAATTTTATTGTTTTATATATATTTTATTATTTTATTGTTTCCCTTCAACGTGACTATACCGAAAGAACCAAGAATAACAATAATATAGATGATTATAAAACAACATCATCGTGCGCTGTGGAAGGTGACTTGGCATTAAGCAATTGCGGCCGAGATCCTGGGTTTGATTCCATCATTGTCATTGTTGTCAGCCATGATCAATCCACTGCTGGATGGAAGGGCTTCCCCATTACTTTTTTTACTCAAATATAAGTCGCCAACATTTTTTGTGAAAATGCGTTGGGCATGTTCATGGTGGGTTGCGTGTAATAATAAGGATACGATGGAGAGACGAGGGATAGTTTAATTACGTAAAATGCATTACATTTTTTTGTATGATAATATTTTTAGTCCATTGGCCTTTGGGATTGTGGAACCGATGTTTCCCGGCAGCATTGGTGCAAGTACGAACATTTTTGCACCATATTCTTGGTTCTTTCGGTAAAGTCACGTATATAGAAAATAAAAATAAAAAAAAACAAAATAAAATTAAAAATAAATTAAAAATAATAATAGCAAATAAATAAAAATAGTAAAATAAATTTTAAAATAAAAATAAATTGAAAATAATACAAGCAAAAAAACCCACGACGTTTCGATCACAACACAAGCGGTCTTCATCAGGTGTGACTTCACCGAAAGAACCAAGAATATAAATTCCTGCAGTCACGAAAGTTTTAAGTCAAAATTTCTGCACCACTTTTGACTTTCTGAGTCTCATAAGCACAGCCAGCGGCCCTGTTAATCAACTGCTACTCAGTCGCCAGATGTTCCCGTAAATATATACTATGTTGAACTACTTTCGCACAGTACGTAGTACGATACGAATCTGTATGAGCTTATTGACAGTCCCGATTGGTCGGATGACTGGATGCTTGTTAAGACGATGCCCCGCGATTGGCTGACCGCCGCTGCTCTGCTGCAGGCTTCTTGATTGGCGGGGACGTCTTGCGCCTCTTCCACGGTCACATGGACGAGTGCCTCACCGTCCCCTCCGCCGACCTCCCCGAGGAGCAGCGAAGGTTTGGGACCGCACGTTGGCCCCGGAAATACGCTTCCCGAGCGAGCGAATGCGGAACCTCGGTTCCAACAAGTACTCTCCCCGAGCGAGTAAATGCGGAACCGCGGTTCCAACAAATACGCTGCCTGAGCGAGTGAATGCGGAACCGCTATTCCAACGTGTCACGCGGCGGCCACCCGGGTCTTCGCTCACTCTTGAAGGAAGAGAGAGAGAGTACTACTCTCGAGGAGCGCGAGGAAGCACGGACGGGCAGGCTGTGGGCCGTTGCTGTAAACTCTCCCAAGCTCTGCGGTCCTCTATGTGTTCAGATGCTTTCGGCCAATTACTGAATGTTTATGCACGTGGGAGTCGACGGGAGGACTACGGAGAAAACCCACGCGTGTGACGGGGCAACGCTCGATCCCATGCAGCTGGAACAGATGGAGATTATTCCACATTTCGCCTTAGCGCGTTTTCCTGATGAGATGGGGCACATAGCTCCTCGACGTCCACAGCAAGGGGAGTTTCACAAAATCTGTGCCGGTGATCCAAAAACCCTCGCCGCCGCCTCCGCACTGCTGGTCTGCAGGCTCAGAGGTCGCAAGTACCAAGCAGTCAGTAACAAACAGCACTGTAAAGGTTGGAACAGATGATGAATTGAGCGAACTTATTAGAACTTGGGAAAGGAGGTGATGGGGAGAGGGAGTTCCAAAGTCGAGCGGTGTTTGGGAAGAACCGGCGGGAAGGGAAAGTGTTGTGGCCTACAGTGTGAGTCAGGAGTGAGCGAGTAAGCAGTGAGTGCTGGAGCGAGTCAGTAAGAAGTCGGTCGGTGAGGAGTGAGCCAGTAGGTTGATGGAGTGAGTCGGTAAGGAGTGAGTCAGTGAGTCGACGCGGAGTGAGTTGGTGGGCGGTGGAGTGAGTCAGTGAGTTGGCGAGGAGTGAGTTGATGGGCGGTGGAGTGAGTCAGTAAGGAGTGAGTCAGTGAGTCGGCACAGAGTGAGTTGGTGGGCGGTGGAGTGAGTCGGTAAGGAGTGAGTCAGTGAGTCGGCGAGGAGTGAGTTGGTGGGCGGTGGAGTGAGTCAGTGAGTCGGCGAGGAGTGAGTTGATGGGCAGTGGAGTGAGTCAGTAAGGAGTGAGTCAGTGAGTCGGCACAGAGTGAGTTGGTGGGCGGTGGAGTGAGTCAGTAAGGAGTGAGTCAGTGAGTTGGCGCGGAGTGAGTTGGTGGGCAGTGGAGTGAGTCAGTAAGGAGTGAGTCACTGAGTCGGCGAGGAGTGAGTTGATGGGCGGTGGAGTGAGTCACTGAGTCGGCGAGGAGTGAGTTGATGGGCGGTGGAGTGAGTCAGTAAGGAGTGAGTCAGTGAGTCGGCACAGAGTGAGTTGGTGGGCGGTGGAGTGAGTCACTGAGTCGGCGAGGAGTGAGTTGATGGGCGGTGGAGTGAGTCAGTAAGGAGTGAGTCAGTGAGTCGGCACAGAGTGAGTTGGTGGGCGGTGGAGTGAGTCAGTAAGGAGTGAGTCAGTGAGTTGGCGCGGAGTGAGTTGGTGGGCGGTGGAGTGAGTCAGCAAGGAGTGAGTCAGTGAGTCGGCGAGGAGTGAGTTGGTGAGCGGTGGAGTGAGTTAGCAAGGAGTGAGTCAGCAAGGAGTGAGTCAGTGAGTCGGCGAGGAGTGAGTTGATGGGCGGTGGAGTGAGTCAGTAAGGAGTGAGTCAGTGAGTTGGCGCGGAGTGAGTTGATGGGCGGTGGAGTGAGTCAGCAAGGAGTGAGTCAGTGAGTCGGCGAGGAGTGAGTTGGTGGGCGGTGGAGTGTCGGCGTGCGGCGTGCCGTTGACCCTGTTGCGTTGCCTTGTGCCGGCCGGCGTGTGCGTGCAGGTCGGTGCACTACGAAGCCGGCGCCGTCTGCTCCCACGCCCGCTCCCTGTGGCGCTTGGAGACTCTGCGAGTCAGGTGACCGTGCGTCAGCACGCACGTCGGCACGCGACCGTTAAGTCATGCCTTCTGGATGACCGCTGTCGCACACTCTCCAGTCGTGTGCGACCGTGATCATCCAGAACAGGCCGTGATGACGTGTAACGATGCAACGCCCCCGATCTACAACTACGCGGGAGGCGTCACGGCGAAACACTCCGCTTGCTCCCGCTGACGCGGTTATCTTGCCGTGAACCACCTGCACGTGAAATTCCAGTTGTCGTCTCTGCGTCTACACCAGCCAGCCGTAGGAGAAAAATTGATTCGGTGGCGGAGAGGAGAAACGCACCTGCATTAGAGAACGTGTGTGGAAGCGGGAAGTCCCCATGTTGACTTTGAATGACAAGTGACCCGGCCCTGCGCGGGAGGTGTTGCTAGAAGGGATTGATGGCTGGCGGTCGAGACTAATGGCGGAGTGGCAGCCAAAGGTGGGAGAAGATGCCCGAGAGGGCGGCCCAGTGCCGAGATGAAGCGAGGGAATTTTGCGGTTGTGCGCGGGAGCTAAATTGACTGTTGCGCTGCGAGACCTTGATAGATGGTGACAGCTTAGAGAGAGACCTTCCTCCAGCAGTGGATAGATCATGGCTGGTGATGATGATGACAATCTTAATTTGTCTATTTGTCAGTCCGCACACTCCCTTGGGTGATTGTCATCATGCAGCGTTAAACAGGGGCTCATTCTGACGGGAGGGAACCAGCTGATCTCACGGGATTTAGAAATCACTCAACCCGCTTTCCGGTCCTCCGCCCACCCTCTTGCCTTAACAACGAATCATAATTGACCACACGTGGTATTAATGCCATTCTTGTAACGCAAGGTTGGCACCGAGGTGCCGTTTCACAAGCACAGTCCGCAGTCGTCCCACGGTTGGGCACGACGCTGCGAACGTGTGGTCCCCGTTGAGCAGTCGGCCGCGCGACGTTCGATGTTCACCAGGGTGGCCTCAAAGATTCGAATCCGCTTAACGTTCCCGCTGCAACCCCTTGGGGCTGCGTCACCGCCACCCCCCCCCCCCCCCCCCCCCCCACCGTAGCTGGAGCGGAAACCACGTGCGCTGGGGGCAGCCGTTCCGGCTGAAGCACATCACGACGGGGAAGTACCTGGGCCTCACGGAGGACAAGACGCTGTGCCTGCAGGACCGCGAGAAGTCCGACGTCAAGTCCACCGCGTTCTGCTTCCGCATTTCCAAGGTGCCCCCCCCCCCCACCTCTCCCAACCCTCCCCCCCCCCCCCATCCCGGACATTCATCGTCAGTCGTCGTCATCGTCATTGTCACACACCGCAAGTGTACAAACAAAAGTGCCCGAGCGTCAAAGGAATGAACCTCGGTTTGAATAGAGCGCCGCACACGAAGGTGGCACGGGAATGGCGACAAAGTTTTCTTCTTTTTATCCGAGACGACCAGTTAAGCGGTGTACACCGCGGCGTCAAAAGGGCAAAGGCGCAGCCCTGCAATTGCTCGCTAACGCTCCTGCTGGCGGAAGGGACTCCGCCAGGGGAAGCTTTCGAGAGTGTTTGGCCCCAAGATCACTGCAGCGTGGAATTGAACTTCCGCTGTCGATGCGCACAGCAACCACTGGAAATGCACGGCGTAATTCAGGTGAAGAATTCCGCCGTGGTTTATTAGTTTGCTTTGAGGGGAGCGACTCCGTGGCTTGAGAGGCGTGCGTGGGGAGCAGGCCAAGGTTGAGAAACGTCTCGTGATGACGCCCGTGACGATGCCCGTGACGACGCCCGTGGCGACGCTCCTCACAACGGCCGTGACGACGCCCGTGACGATGTCCGTGACGACGCCCGTGACGACAACTGTGGCCCTTGTTGAGCTGTGAACAGGTGGCCTCTGACGATGGGTCGTGCGCTGTGGCGATGCAGGAAAAGCTCGACTCTGGGCCCAAGCGAGAGATCGATGGGATGGGGCCTCCGGAGATCAAGTACGGGGACTCGGTGTGCTTCGTGCAGCACGTGGACAGCGGCCTGTGGCTCACGTACCAGGCTCCGGACTCCAAGACCGCCCGCCTGGGCATCCTCATCCGCAAGGTGCGCGCCCGCCTCTCAGATCTGTCGCGCCCGTCTCCGTGACTGCGAGCGCTTCCCGTGAACACGGGGCGGGCAGGCGAGCGGGCACCGCTCACACCTCACAGTAGGTGGGGATCTCCTTGGGTGAGGGGCACGCGCACCGCCCGTACCTGATAGTAGGTGGGGATCTCCTTGCCGTTGGCGTAGAACGTGAGGAGTCCGTTTGCCGATGTCGATGCTGATGTGGTTGCGCCCGTGGCCTGGCTGCCCCCCAAACTCACCGCACCACGCCATGAAGCTGTTGCTGCCCTTGACGCTGACCTACGTCCGTTGAACTTCTTTCGCCCCGCACGTAGGGAACCGTGCTAGTCGGAGGTGCGGATGTGACGGTGTTTTCGTGCAGTTATTGGGGACTGGGCCGACACCATGAACTCACTGCAATTCATAGCCCAGTTTAATCGCAGGTGTCTGCCTAGAATCTGAACCGGCATCTCAGTGGTGCCAGCTCAATGTTATTGTTGTTACGCTCGCTTACCCAAGAAACCCTCGCTGAGTCTCAGGACTCTTGTAATGAGGGTCTTGCCAAGTGTTAGCCGCAGCAGGAGAAGGCAATGATCACTAAGCGTGATTGCATTTGAGTGATTTGTGGGTAATTTTTCAAGTTTGATTACACACAGTGGCCTACTCTTTTTTTTAATGACGCCGCAGGATATTTAACGTCCACTGTGCAGCAGTTTGGACCTAACATTTTACGATTAATACCTCCGTAGTATTATCCAGGGCAGCCGGGCAGATTCGAACCTCCGTAACATCGGTGAGCGCACGACCGCCTGGCCGTGTCCCCAGGACAAATGGATTGTGGAATCGGCGATTCACATTTTATTTATTCGCAAAATTCCACAGTTGCTTTACATATCCATCAATCTCGTGCGCATTCTGGACAAATATTATACAGAAACATTTGTTAAAGCGACGGATATGTTGCTTGGATTTATACGTAGTGGCACAGAACGGATTTCTGATTGTTGATGCATCCCCGCCCGCCCGATGAACGAAATACTGAAATTAACAACGAAACGTCGCAGTGACCGTCACCGGATGTTTCCCGTCTTGAAGGGGATCCTGAATTATCCCCAATCGCTGTGGGCCAGGCCTGGTTGCGTTGAGCACTCTGCTGGTGCTTCGGTCGCTTTTGTACGGCCAGCGGCCAGCAACCGTTTTGACATTAGGTTGCCGGCGACTTTTGCCGCCAACTCGCTCTCTCGCTCCGGGCTGACGACACCGCCGCTCGTCGCACGTTCGCGGCTCCCGGCTAACGACACCGCCACTCGTGTGCGGTGAAGCTCGTACGCGCCTCCCCCCGCTCCCCTCCTCACCGCGCACCGGCTCCCCCGCCGTATATAGTCACACGGACGCACTAACGGCTGCACTTTGAAGTGGCCTTGCGAGGGTGCGCGGTTGACACTTTTATTTTCGTTTGCAACGCCGTGGGGAGACGCCTATTTTTAGCGGGATGTGTAACGGATGCTGCGGCTGGCTCGCCCGACCGGCGCAAGTCGCCGCCGATCGCCAAGGAGGAAACCACGGCGCTCCTTCCGCGGAAGAGAAAGCCGTCGCTTTGGCCGGTTCTGCTTTCTCAGTTCGGTGCCTGGGCAATATACAGGGTGGCCCAAGTGTCAGGACACACGGGGTTTTTATATGCATATATTTTAGCAAATCGCACAGGGTCATTACATTTCTGTCAACAATTTTTCGAACTGACTCATGGTAACTTTAATGCGTGCAGTGGATTATGTTTCAAAAATAAATGTGGGACTTTTTTGTTGTTATTAAAGATTGCAGGTGTAATTACAGTGCAGCGACTCCTCTACTTACGAACATTAGATTTACGAAATTTCAGAGATACGAATAAACCTGCCCGTACGTTCGTTTGCCTGTTTCGACCGAGAGTCGTAATTTCAACCGCCGTGCAATAGATGGCGACAGTGGCATCTACATCTGCAGAACATGAAGACACCAGCGGCATCTACGTCTACAGGAGATTATACAACTTTCGGTAAAGTCACGTAGAAGGGAAATAATATTTTTGTAAATAAATAAATAAACATGATAAAATTCTCACGACGTTTCGCCACAATGCAAGCAGCCGTCCTCAGGTGATGCTGTGTTTCCGACAGCTATGTTATTCACCTGAGGATGGCTGCTTGCGTTGTGGCCGAAACGTCGTGAGAATTTTATAATGTTTTTATTTTTTATTTTATTATTTCCCTTCTACGTGGTGACTTTACCGAAAGAACCAAGAATATGAATCCCTGCAGTCACGAAAGCTTTGAATCGGAAATTATACAACTTTTAAAGCCATTCCCCGTGTTTAGTGTACATGCCGTGTAACGTGTTTGTAATCGACAGGAGTAAAGTTGAACTGCGGAAACAAATCGCACGTAGAAGAAGACACTGTGCTTATGTTTTGATGTCTCAATTCAGTGCAACAATGGATCGTTCTGCACTGACCTCTGATGACAACGTAGCCCCATAGCAGCAGCAGCAGCCTATACTACCTGTTGGTGCATGGCGGTTGCCCGTCCAATAGCTATCCAGGCCAAAACCCGCTTAGCTTCTGAGATCTTAAGAGACCGGGCACATTCCGGGCGATGAGTCATCGGCCACGAGTTACTCTTCGAACGCGTAGACGTAATTTACTATTTTGTAGGCCACTGGCTTACTTCAACTCCTGACACAGGTTCAGTTCCCTCGCCTTGCCTCCGAGTGCCAAGCACAGTCCCTTGAGTTATATTCGAAGGTGAATGCGAGCGCCACTCGCAAATGTGAACCTGGTTTGTACCCCTCTTGGGTCGAGCCGACATAAAGCGAGTACACGACGCGCCAGCTAAGGAGAGACAAAAGCATCGCCAATCCCTGAATGTCGCATTGTGCGGTGTTAATGGGCGCTCGATAACGGTACCGGTTCGCTCGTAACACAGCCCAAACGGGGAAGCCTCTATGTTTTTTTTTGCATGCATTGTATATACACCGTTGTTTAAATGACACATTTACTCCTTCGTCCAACGGTCAATCAATCAAAAGTCGGTGACAGGGGTGTATTTGGCCATACTTCACCATGCTGGTCAGTGCACATTGGCGAGGAGGAGGGGGAGAGGAGGACAGGCCCCGGAACCGGTTCGAATGTCATTCACCACCGACGGTAGCCTTGGCCAGGAATCAAACTCAGGTCTCGAGTTTTTGCCGCCTTTCCAGTCCAGATCAAATCCGCATTATTTTCTCAGTCGCCTCCAAGCCCCGTCAGAACCGTGCGGTACCCCGCAAACGAAGATCAGCCGCGAGGTTCCGGCACAAGGACCCCCCCCCCCCCGAATCGATTCCTGGCGCGAGAACAGAGACGGAAATTCCCGGACCGTCCTCGTCGGGACTTGGCGGGCCCTGCGCGGGTCGCCGGGTTCGTAGCAAAGTTCGCTAACCACTGCGCCACCCCTCCACGCTGACCGCCGCAAACTGCTTGGGGCGTATCCCAGCGTGTCGTTTTAACCGTGCCACGAGCCGTGGCTACGAAATGCAGCTCTGTCACGTTTCATTGTGAACTAAAGGATAATCTTTTTTTCCCCCAACCAGTTAAGGTGCAAATGAGCGATGTAGCTCTTGTTCAGAAGCGGCCTGGCCCCCAAGTGATCGCTCAACGAAGCGGATTAGCATCTTGCGGAAATTTATAGCAGGCAAATACTCTAAACGCGTGACGTTGATTCCACACGACCACGGGGAGAGAGACACGCAAACTCCTAATATACAGAAGGCGTCAGGGTCAGAATCTAATCCCACGACCTCCTGCACACGGGGCGAGGTAGTGAACATCTCGCCACTGCGGTGCCCAACGTTGACCCCTCTGTGCTCCTCGCGTCCACACGGCAGGCGATAGTCCACCAGGAGGGACACATGGACGACGGGCTGACGCTGTCTCGCTCCCGGCCCGAAGACTCGCGCACGGCTCGAATCATCCGCAGCACCACGGCTCTCTTCAACAGCTTCAACAGGTAACGGCGGCCGAGCGGGCCCGGCGAGGGTCGTAGCGTCTGCCGGACATCTGCGAAAAATAATGGACGTCTGTGAAAAAGAGCTTCACAGCTCATTGGATCCCTTCAGTAAAAATACGCATTCAGATTCTGATTCCGTATCGCTGCGCGACACGCGTTCGGGTCGCGCCCCCCACCGTGTGCTGTTCGGCGCTGGCTGTGCGACATTTCGCCCACCACTGACCTTCACAAACACGTTTCAAGAACAAACAAAGCTTTGGCGAAAAGCACATTGTTGCCCTTCGGAACCACGATCGAAAACCGGCCCAAATTGCGTCAAAAAGGGGTTTCCCATTGATTTTTTTTGGGAATTTATGGGAAAACCCTGTGGCCAGGAGCGTTTGGTTATGCTACGGTGGGTCCCTCGGTTTGAGACTGGTCCGTGCAGTTGCATTTTGGGAAATTTCTGGTTTTCCATCGGTGTAGGGTAAGGTCGCATCTGCCATGCGGTGCAATGCGCACCGCTCTTTGCGGGGTAGATTGACACCGCCAGCTCTTCCTGTGGGGTTGGCGACTTAATTCACGTGCCAGCTAGCGACATTGGCATCGTCCCGGGTTGCTCGCCGCTGACCGTCAGGATGGAATGAGGGCGTTTTGGGAGGTTTGCACGCGATCTCAAAGTGCCTTGCGCGGGACTTTAATCGCAGCTTTGGCTGGCCATCGGACGAGGACGGTCACTGCGTTCAGACGCGCTTCTGTGGCCGTCTGGAACGCTCTGGAGCTGCACACTTTTAAATGATCATCAAGATTGAAAACTCATTTCTCTAGAACTGCTTTTTGTGTTTAGTTTGTTGCCCCGCACCTCCGATTAGCACGGTTGGACACGTATGGTGCGGAGGAGTCCAACGTACATAAATACAATCCTGACATGCATCTGTTTTTTTCTTTCCTTTCCTCCTTCCTAACCCTTCCGTCTCCACTGTCGACGCACGCTTGACACGCGGGCACCGTGACACCGTGGTACCACGACACCGTGACACCGTTACACCGCGACACCGCGACACCGCGACGCTGCAACACCACGACATCATGACACCGGGACACCGTGACGTCGTGATACTGTGACACCACGACGTCGTAACGCCGTTCCACCATAACACCGTTACACCATAACACCGTGACACCGTTACACCACGACACCGCGACACTGTAACACCATGACATCATGACACTGGGACACCGTGACGTCGTGATACTGTGACACCGTGACACCACGACGTCGTAACGCCGTGACATCATGACACCGTGACACCGTTACACGACGACACCGCGACGCCGTAACACCACGACATCATGACACCGGGACACCGTGACGTCGTGATACTGTGACACCGTGACACCACGACATCGGAATGCCGTTACACCATAACACCATTACACCATAACACCGTGACACCGTGACACCGTGACACCGTGACACCGTGATACCGTGACACCGCCATCGACACCGCCGACACCGTCGACGATGCAGCGGGCTGGACGCGCTGCGCGCCAAAAACCGCCCGGTGCGCGTGGAGCTGCCCTTTGTCGCCATCCGCCTGAGCCTCCAGGACCTCATCGACTACTTCCAGCCACCGTCGGACAGCCTGGAGCACGAGGAGAAGCAGATCCACCTGCGCTCGCTCAAGAATCGGCAGAACCTCTTCCAGGAGGAGGTGAGCGGAAGGGGGGGGGGGGGGCATCGAGTCACGCGGCGCGCTGCGTGGCGACGCGCCGTTTTGCCCGCCCCCCGCCCACCCTCCATCGTTCTGCGAGCCCCCCCCCATCCCCCTCCCCCGCTGCCTTCGTTCGGGGGTTTCGCCCACCGGGGCAGTCGATAGCGGCCGCTCGGCTTGGGGAATTCCCTCCCGTCGTGCCGGTTCTCGAACGCTCCTTCGTGACCTTTGCCCCAGTTCAAGAAGCATGTGAACTCTTAACATCTCGTTTTGAACTTTGAAATGTACGCACGTACGTATGTGTGTGTGTATGTATGTAGAGACGATGTGGACAACAGACAGGTGATGTAGCGAGGTGAGAGCAAAGGGTAGATGCAGGAGAGAGAGAGGGAGAGATGGAGTGAGATGAGAGAGGATGTGGTTAACAGACAGGAGATGTAGCGAGGTGAGAGCAAAGGGTAGATGCAGGAGAGAGAGAGGGAGAGATGGAGTGAGATGAGAGGGAATGTGGTTAACAGACAGGAGATGTTCCAATATGAGAGCAATGGGTAGATGCAGGAGAGAGAGAGGGAGAGATGGAGTGAGATGAGAGAGGATGTGGACAACAGACAGGAGATGTAGTGAGGGGAAGGACAGCAAACTAAAGACAAAAAGCAGTTGTAAAGAAATCAATCGAGATGATTTAAAAGTGGACAGCTCAAGTGGCTTCCTCATATCGGAAAGGAAGAGCGTGTCCAGACGGCCACAGGAGCGTGTCTGGAAAGCGCGCGATTGTGGTGACCCTTCTTCGTTCGATAAGGGCAGAGCCGTTTGTTGCCGGGCTGTACCTGTACTCACCTCTTTCTCCCGATATTGTATATATGTATGTGCGTGTAAATGTTGTTGCGTGGCGCGACCGCGTGTCACAGGGCATGATCACGCTGGTGCTCGAGTGCATCGACCGCCTGAACCTCTACAACAGCGCGGCGCACTTTGCCGAGACGGCGGGCGAGGAGGCGGGCGAATCGTGGAAGGAAATCCTCAACTCCCTGTACGAGCTGCTCGGTAAGCCGCGGACTCGTGTAAGAAAGTAACGGATGAAGTAAGCATAATTCATCCTGATTTGAAGCTTTCGTGACTGCAGGAATCCTTACTCTTTGGTTCTTTCGGTAAAGTCACGTGGGTATAAAAATAATAATGATAATAGATCACGACGTTTCTATCGCAACACAAGCAATCGTCATCAGGTGGGACAACCACAGCAAGAAAAAAAACACTTCAGCAGTTTTTTCTTGCTGTGGTCAGCATAATTAAGTAATTAAAGAGCCGCAGCCAAGTAATTAATTCATTAACTACATCTCGGACGTTTATAACAATAAATCATTAATGTATTAAGATAAATACGTTAATAACGTACCTGTCAACCCATAAGGTTCACCCGTATTGTTGTACAGGGAAATTGAGGAATTTGTTTTGTCTATTTGTCTGTGTTTCTCCCTTGTGATGGGACTTTGTGGGATGAACTTTAAGATTTATAAGGGGCACGGGGTGACCAATGAGGTCTGAATTCGCCTGTAATAAGGTAGGGCACTGATAAGGGGTTGACAGGTACGTAATAAATAATAGTTTGCGTTGTTAATTAGTTACTTGCTTACCAATTTCTCTATATAGTACTCCTATAGTTTTTTTGCATTGCTTGGCGTTGCAACTTGCTAACCTGCCGCATGTAGGGCGTCTGTGAAAAAGAGCTTCATAGCTCATCGGATTCCTCCTCCTGCAGTCTAAATAAAGGTTCTGATTCTGTCTCGGTGACTTTACGGACGTGCTGCAAAAAGACTTGATAACCCACGCTTACTGTGTTTATATGTATATATTATTTATTTTATTCGAGATGCACATTTTACGCGTTTTGACAGTCGATATGCCTGTGGTGCGAAATCCACATTCATTTGTACGTTTCAATGTTGTCGTTTCCCCCCCCCCCACCACCCCCACCCGTCCCCCGATTGTACTATGAACTATTTTGAAACAACATTTTTTAAAATTCCAATCGCTCTGCGACCTACATCGTGATGAATGCGTTCGTGACGCTCGTTGAGCAGTTCGTCGCCACACGTGTGTCGGAGAATGTCCTGCAGAACTGGATTTCGTAGACCTACTTCCGATATCCGATACGATGGTGGCAGGGGGGGGGGGGTGTCGTTGACAAACTTGATGACGCACGGTGGCTTCATTAGAACTCATTACAATCCACAATCCCCTGTCAGGTTGTATCATGCGCCCTGAGAACGATTGTTTAATGGTGCTTTATACATTTTTTATAATGATTATTATGCCCGCACGGATGGCAGCACAATGAACTTAAATAATTCACTTGTTTACATCCTCTTGAATCGTCGATTCCCAACAGAAGTCTCCTACGGCCTGCCCTTTCACTCTTCACGGGGTTGGCAAGTTGTTCCGTAACCAGCCCGACACGGCTCGGAATGGGCCAGGTTGCTTTTTCGACTGCCCAAGCCGAGCGAGCCGACGCCGCCGATGGCAACGCAGCCGCGAAACTTGACATCTGGCGTGACGCAGTGAACGAGACGGGAGACGCCGGGAGGTTACGCTCGAGCGAGGCGCTGTTTTTGAGTCCCGCTGGCACCCGCTCGGTCCCCGAGCCAGATTCAGATGTCGTGTGAGGCCGACGTATTGTTGTTTGTACGTACGTATGTGTGTGTACGTACGCAAGTTGAACTTCTTTCGCACACCGTACGTAGCAATCAGGAGGTGCGGGGTGGAAAGACAAACTGAATACAATAAAATAAGTTATAAAGAAGTGAGTTTTCAGTCGAGATTTGAAGATGCATATCTCCAGTGGCTTCCTAATATCAGAGGGAAGAGCGTTCCAGACGGCCGTCTTTGTACGATGGCGATCCAAAAGCCGCTGCTGGCGAGGATGGACCAGAGCTTGCGTGATGGCGAGGCGAGGTCTTAGCTCGGCATGGCGAATGATCAGCGGAAAATTGACCCCTGTGCTGAAAGGGTTCTGCGCTGGCTTTGCTCGGATTTGCCGGTGGAAAAAGGGGTTCTAGGGGCAGCTCAACATGAGGACGTGACTCTGGCCACTTCCTCTGCAACATCGCCCCATCCCCAATTCCTGGTTAGCTCTGCCCCCCCCTGAACACCCCACCCCCCCCCTCCCCACCCCAATTCATGATTCTACGAAGCGATCGTAGTTCCTACAAATCACTGAGCTGATAGATCGCACGACGGTCGAGTCCGTCTCTGTCACAAGCAACCGACTGTGCACCTGGCCGTGTGCGTGGACATCCACACACGTTTAACACGTGGCAGGCTTTTCGTTTTGATTTAAAGCTTTCGTGACTGCAGCGATTCATATCGTTGGTTCTTTCGGTAAAGTCACGTAGAAGGGAAACAATGAAATGATAAAAATATAAAACAATCAAAATTTTTTTTATTGTTGTGGTTTTCACACCTGATGACGATTGCTTGTGTTGCAGTCGAAACGTCGTGAGAATTTTATTGTTTCATATATTTTTTTATTGTTTCCCTTCTACGTGACTTTACCGAAAGAAACAAGAATATGTAAATGTTGTGTCGTAATCCCTCCACCGCCCGACACAGCCAGCAAGGTTTGCCACGTAAACAACGCGCCAACTGGTTACTACTTCAGCCCACACACACACACACCGGCCGCGCGCGTGAGGCGCGCAACCCGGGCTTGCATGCGAGCGACCTCTCGGGTATCGACCCTGGCTCGAGATACCTTTTTTTGATCGCCTCCATTTAGCGGTGGAAACGGGATCCACGCGTAGATGGCTTTAGTGGTGGCTCACTCAGCCTCGGCCGGGCGGTCGGGGGAGAAGGGCGCTCCATTAACCAGGCGCGCATCGCCCACCCATCCCCCACCACCAACACCACCACCACCACCACACCACCCACCTCCCTGGGGGGCCTCTAAATGTGGACGGGTCTCACGTTCTCCCGGCGACCCGAGCAGGTGCCCGTGGCATCGGGTTGCCTCGTGCGCGGCGCGGAGAGTCGGCTAAAACTAACGCCACCGCCGTGGTTCACGATCCGCGAGCGGGGTCCTAGGCGGCAGCGGTTGGCAGCGGCGATGACGGGGAACGCGGTGGGAATGTTTCGGCAGGACGAGGGCACCCGTCCCCCATGCCGTGGCGGGCCAGGAGGGTTCTAATCGGGTCTCTCGCCGCGCTTTAGTCGCGCCGGTTGGCGGCGATCGGTGAAGGTGGGAAGCGTGGGACGCGTGGCATAGTCACGGAGCCACACGGTGGATTTTCTTGCTGCCCCAACACCTCCGCTGGCCCACCTATCGTAGCCTTGGGGTTGTGGCATGCCTACAACACCTGTGTCATACACAGGTGGTCCCTTGGCCAAGCACTGTCCAGGCAAAAAGAGGTCGGACGAGCTCGGAGAGCATCGCGGGTGATATCGTCACCGCGTATCATCGTCGTCATCAGTCTAGAATTCGCCCACCGTTGCAGTAATAAAAGTAGTTTTATTCTATATAGCGTCACGGGTAGCAAATTGAAACTCAAAGCTCTGTACGTCACGAAGAACATCAACGATGTTGCGAGACACACCGTGGAGACACAACAGGAACGCTGTACAGGGTGTTTAAAAATGTATTTTTTTTTACACTTATGAGAATAGCGCAATAAATGTGCTGCTGCCTCCGTGTTGTGGGGACCACCGGGAGAAGATTCCTGGCAATGCGTTGGCAACGATGGCGAACACGTGGGAGACTCTGACTTTAAGAAGCGATTAACATTACATTTGTTATTATTACTAGATTATTTATCCGTTCTTTTTCCATTAAAAACGATGGTCCCAAATAAGTGTCAACATGTTTTGAAGCAACCTGTACAAAGACGGTGTACGGAGGCAAACGCGGCACCAACCAGGCAGAGTGACAGCCAAACATCGGCAAAACTCCAGGGAACGATTACAACAACAACAGCGATTACGATAGTTTGATTCCACAAAGGGTCATCCATGCAAACGGCAACCCTCACAATTAGGGAACAGCATCCTCATAGTCAGTGAACGGTGCAAGGTCATTCAGGCTCGCAGTCCCCTTACCTGATATGTCTTAAGGTGGGCTACAGAGGGGGGAAGAGAAAATTGGGAACACGGTGAGGGAGATTGGGCGGGGGGGGGGGTTATTATATTTCTCAACAGTCACGCATTTAAACTTTGGTGTGACCAGAAACTGGAGGCTAGCTGAGCGAAGGAGTCCCGAGATGGGCGTCTAAACCTGGGTAGGCACAGAGTCCACCGGGGGTCTCGGGATGGAGTGGACGACCGTGCGTGCAGATCGGTAGCCAACCAGACCCGCCAAGGTCGCGAGATGTTAACTATCTCGCCTGGTATGCAGGAGCTCGTGGGTTTGATCCGGACCCTGACGCCTGCTGTATATTTGTAGTTTGCATGGTGGCGAGATGTTAACTACCTCGCCTGGTATGCAAGAGGTCGTGGGTTTGATCCGGACCCTGACGCCCGCTGTATACTTGGAGTTTGCATGGTGACGAGATGTTAAATACCTCGCCTGGTATGCAGGAGGTCGTGGGTTTGATCCGGACCCTGACGCCTGCTGTATATTTGTAGTTTGCATGGTGGCGAGATGTTAACTACCTCGCCTGGTATGCAGGAGGTCGTGGGTTTGATCCGGACCCTGACGCCCGCTGTATATTTGTAGTTTGCATGGTGGCGAGATGTTAACTACCTCGCCTGGTATGCAGGAGGTCGTGGGTTTGATCCGGACCCTGACGCCCGCTGTATACTTGGAGTTTGCATGGTGACGAGATGTTAAATACCTCGCCTGGTATGCAGGAGGTCGTGGGTTTGATCCGGACCCTGACGCCCGCTGTATATTTGTAGTTTGCATGGTGGCGAGATGTTAACTACCTCGCCTGGTATGCAGGAGGTCGTGGGTTTGATCCGGACCCTGACCCCCGCTGTATATTTGGAGTTTGCATGGTGGCGAGATGTTAACTACCTCGCCTGGTATCCAGGAGCTCGTGGGTTTGATCCGGACCCTGACGCCTGCTGTATATTTGTAGTTTGCATGGTGGCGAGATGTTAACTACCTTGCCTGGTATGCAAGAGGTCGTGGGTTTGATCCGGACCCTGACGCCCGCTGTATACTTGGAGTTTGCATGGTGACGAGATGTTAAATACCTCGCCTGGTATGCAGGAGGTCGTGGGTTTGATCCGGACCCTGACGCCTGCTGTATATTTGTAGTTTGCATGGTGGCGAGATGTTAACTACCTCGCCTGGTATGCAGGAGGTCGTGGGTTTGATCCGGACCCTGACGCCCGCTGTATATTTGTAGTTTGCATGGTGGCGAGATGTTAACTACCTCGCCTGGTATGCAGGAGGTCGTGGGTTTGATCCGGACCCTGACGCCCGCTGTATACTTGGAGTTTGCATGGTGACGAGATGTTAAATACCTCGCCTGGTATGCAGGAGGTCGTGGGTTTGATCCGGACCCTGACGCCCGCTGTATACTTGGAGTTTGCATGGTGACGAGATGTTAAATACCTCGCCTGGTATGCAGGAGGTCGTGGGTTTGATCCGGACCCTGACGCCTGCTGTATATTTGTAGTTTGCATGGTGGCGAGATGTTAAATACCTCGCCTGGTATGCAGGAGGTCGTGGGTTTGATCCGGACCCTGACGCCTGCTGTATATTTGTAGTTTGCATGGTGGCGAGATGTTAACTATCTCGCCTGGTATGCAGGAGGTCGTGGGTTTGATCCGGACCCTGACGCCCGCTGTATATTTGTAGTTTGCATGGTGGCGAGATGTTAACTACCTCGCCTGGTATGCAGGAGGTCGTGGGTTTGATCCGGACCCTGACGCCTGCTGTATATTTGTAGTTTGCATGGTGGCGAGATGTTAACTATCTCGCCTGGTATGCAGGAGGTCGTGGGTTTGATCCGGACCCTGACGCCCGCTGTATATTTGGAGTTTGCATGGTGACGAGATGTTAAATACCTCGCCTGGTATGCAGGAGGTCGTGGGTTTGATCCGGACCCTGACGCCTGCTGTATATTTGTAGTTTGCATGGTGACGAGATGTTAAATATCTCGCCTGGTATGCAGGAGGTCGTGGGTTTGATCCGGACCCTAACGCCTGCTGTATATTTGTAGTTTGCATGGTGGCGAGATGTTAACTATCTCGCCTGGTATGCAAGAGGTCGTGGGTTTGATCCGGACCCTGACGCCTGCTGTATATTTGTAGTTTGCATGGTGGCGAGATGTTAACTACCTCGCCTGGTATGCAGGAGGTCGTGGGTTTGATCCGGATCCTGACGCCTGCTGTATATTTGTAGTTTGCATGGTGGCGAGATGTTAACTATCTCGCCTGGTATGCAGGAGGTCGTGGGTTTGATCCGGCCCCTGACGCCTGCTGTATATTTGTAGTTTGCATGGTGGCGAGATGTTAACTACCTCGCCTGGTATGCAGGAGGTCGTGGGTTTGATCCGGACCCTGACGCCCGCTGTATATTTGTAGTTTGCATGGTGGCGAGATGTTAACTACCTCGCTTGGTATGCAGGAGGTCGTGGGTTTGATCCGGACCCTGACGCCCGCTGTATATTTGTAGTTTGCATGGTGGCGAGATGTTAACTACCTCGCCTGGTATGCAGGAGGTCGTGGGTTTGATCCGGTCCCTGACGCCTGCTGTATATTTGGAGTTTGCATGTTTTCCTCCGTGGTCGTGTGGAATTTTCTCCGGTATTGAGAATCAACATCATGCGTTTAGAGTTATTTGGGCTGCTATAAATTTCGACTTCATTGAGCGATCATTTTTGGCCACGTCGCTTGTGAAAAAGAGCTATACAGCTCAGTATGGCCTTACCTGGTAAAATAAAAAGTTTAGACCCACGGATCAGCACGATTTTGACGCCAGTTTTAAGATACGTGCGCGAATTAGCGTTTGTAAAACTGAGTTTAGGAAGGGTGGGGTGGTGGTGGGGGGGGGGTTACGGTATGTTCCACCTCACCTGCCCGCTCACGTGAATAATGAGGCCCTACGCGAGACGTTTTCCATCTTCTCTGCCCGTTCAAATATTCATTTATCCGCTCCCCCCTCCCCCCCCCCTTCGTGTTCTCACAGCCGCCCTCATCCGGGGCAACCACGGCACCTGCGCGCAGTTCTCCAACTCCCTCGACTGGCTCATCAGCAAGCTGGACCGGCTGGAGGCATCTTCCGGTGAGGGGGGCCTCGCTCGCTGGCCCCGACGCTCGCGTTTCCGCCCGTCCGCTCTTGCCGCGCCGCGTCGGTGGCCCCAGCTCGCCGCTTTTACCGACCGCGGTAGCCGAGCGGCGCCGTTAAGATACCGAGCGGCCACCGATGAGGGGAGCGCCTCTGAAGGGCCGAGCTAAAAACAGAGCTTGTTGCGTTTGATGAGCACGTGCACGTGAATCGAGCGACGAATGTGAGAGACATTGAGCGAGCGAGCGAGGCCCTGCAACCTCGCTCCGCTCAACGGACGTGTTCGCTCCTCGCATCCGTGCCGTTTGTTGCTGGCCACTGGGCATTGTGGGATTTTGCTTGGAGCACGTTCTCACAATGATGGCCGTGGTGGCGTGTGACGTCATCGCATTGGTCGCCAAGGGTAATCAATCCTTTAAGCTCCGTTTAAAAAAAAAAAATCTCCAAGTATTGATCAATCCCTTCCATCTAAGTCGCTAATTTGCAACGCGACCTTGCACTCAAGTTGAACTCGTGCTGCGTCATCTCGACGAGAGTTATCGTGGCCCCCACGTTGCGGGCGGACGACGTCCTGCATTCGAACGCAGGATCTCGGCGCAATAACCTCCAAGCCACATGGCCGCTTCCTTCGCGAACTGTGGGTTTATAATCGCTGGGGCTGGTTGCCCTCTAGTGTGGTGGTTAGCGCCACGCTGCGCTACGAGCCCGGCGAGCCGAATTCGATTCCCGCTCACGGCCAACACCGGTGACGCTTATCTGAACCGGTCATGGGCCTCCCCTAGGTCGACTCAGCCGCAAATGCGTACCTGGTGCGGTGTGTAAACATCGCCACTCGGGCGACAAAAGCGGCCGGGCGTGGTGCTGGCCACCCAACCCCTGGTATGATGCTTCGGCCTGCGTAGGTGCTCGCTAACAGCACTTGTCCCCAACAGTCTGTTAAAGGCTACACGGGGGAATCTTTGTGCTGTTGTTAGCCTGCTGCACTGTGAACCCCGCCACCTGAGTTCGTTTCCCCACTCGCAAGCCACCATCAGCGACGAATATCTGAACCGGTCCTGCGGTCAACTCGGCCTTAGATGAGCAACTGACGCAGAGTGCGTGTGAACATCAGCACTGGGGAGACAATGCCGGCCAGTCCTGATGCTTGCCACACCAATTCCCTCGTGTGCCGTCCCGGCCTTCACGTGTGCTCGCTAATAGCACTTGCCCCAATAGCCCGTTAAGGCTGCCCGGGGGATCTTTGTCTTTGAGTGGGTAGGGCGACCTTGGATGGGGTGATTTAACATCTGTTGCTTCGGTGAGAGGGTAAGAATTCGGGGCGAACGGTAGGCCCTGACGCTTGCCACACCACTTCCTCGTGCACCGTGCCGGCGTGCGCAGGTGCTCGCTTAAAATCGCTTGGCCCAACCGTCCGTTGAAGGCTGTCCGGGCGGGGGCGGGATCGTCGTCGTTGTTGTCTTTGTTGTCTGTGTGCAGGTATCCTGGAGGTGCTGCACTGTGTCTTGCTGGAGAGCCCCGAGGCTCTGAACATCATCAAAGAGGGACACATCCGTTCCATCATCTCCCTGCTGGACAAGCACGGACGCAACCACAAGGTCTGCACGTCCGCACCGGCGGTTTCCCTCCGCACCAGCGGGGCCCTCAGTGGCAAATAGTTGGGGGGGGGGGGGTGGAGTGGGCAGGATGGAGCCGAGATATGCAAAGCTGAGACAGAGATGTAGTGAGATGAGAGAGGATGTGGCCACCAGACAGGAGATGTAGCGAGATGAGAGCAAAGGGAGATGCAGAAGAGAGAGGGAGAGATGTCGTGAGATGAGAGAGGATGCAGCGAGGGGAAGGACTGCAAACTAAATACAAAAACGCAGTTCTAAAGAAATCAGTTTTCGATCTTGATGATGATTTAAAAGTGCATAGCTTCCTGGTGGCTTCCTAATATCGGAAGGAAGAGCGTTCCAGACGGCCGCAGGAGCGCACCTGAAAGCGCTGAGCCAAAAGCCGCTGATGCTGCGAGCATCACGGGAGTTCGCGCGATGATGGTTCAGCAAAGGTTCATTCGCGATGAATGCGACCTTCCCGAAAACACGCAACGGGATGTCGAAGAGCGGCCGTGACGATAAGCAAAATATCGCCGGCTGGTTGACCGCGGCGTTTTGCGTGGAGCGCAGATTCTGGACGTGCTCTACTCGCTGTGCGTGTGCAACGGCGTCGCCGTGAGAGCAAATCAGAACCTCATCTGCGACAACCTGCTCCCCGGCAGAGACCTGCTGCTGCAGACGCGGCTCGTCAACGACGTCACCAGGTATCGCTTGCTCGCTCACGAGGTTGCTTCGTTCACTCGCTCAGTCATTCACTCACTCCACTCACTCACTCACTCCACTCACTCACTCACTCATTCACTCACTCACTCACCCACTCACCCACTCACTCATTCACTCCACTCACTCATTCACTACACTCACTCACTCATTCACTCACTCACTCACTCACCCACTCACCCACTCACTCATTCACTCCACTCACTCACTCATTCACTCACTCACTCATTCACTCACTCACTCACTCCACTCACTCACTCACTCCACTCCACTCACTCACTCACTCCACTCACTCACTCACTCACTCCACTCACTCACTCACTCCACTCACTCACTCACTCCACTCACTCCACTCACTCACTCCACTCACTCACTCACTCCACTCACTCACTCACTCCACTCACTCACTCACTCCATTCCACTCACTCACTCATTCACTCACTCACTCACTCCACTCACTCACTCCACTCACTCACTCACTCCACTCACTCCACTCACTCACTCACTCCACTCACTCCACTCACTCACTCACTCCACTCACTCACTCACTCATTCCACTCACTCACTCACTCCACTCACTCACTCCACTCACTCACTCACTCCACTCACTCACTCACTCACTCCACTCACTCACTCACTCCACTCATTCACTCACTCACTCACTCCACTCACCCACTCACTCCACTCACTCACTCCACTCCACTCATTCACTCACTCACTCACTCACTAACTCCACTCACTCACTCACCTCACTCACCTCACTCACTCACTCCACTCACTGACTCACTCACTCATTCACTCCACTCACTCACTCACCTCACTCACTCACTCCACTCACTCACTCACTCCACTCGCTCACTCACTCACTCACTCACTCCACTCACTCCACTCACTCACTCCACTCACTGACTCACTCACTCACTCACACCACTCACTCACTCACTCCACTCACTCACTCACTCCACTCACTCACTCACTCCACTCCACTCACTCACTCATTCACTCACTCACTCACCTCACTCACTCACTCACTCCACTCACTGACTCACTCACTCACTCCACTCACTCACTCACTCCACTCACTCACTCACTCACTCCACTCACTCACTCCACTCACTCCACTCACTCACTCACTCACGCACTCGCACATTAATTCGCTCATTCATGAATGCACTCACCCACTTATGCATTTATTCACTGGCTGACAATATGTACTTCCCTTGCTCCAGGGCCCATGCCAACCACGCCATGCCGCTGTAAAAAATATCTAGATTTTTTTTTACACATCCAATCGGCGATTTTTTTTCCTTATCAACGCAAGCAAACCCTGCACCGGTTCCGACCTTCAGTGCCTCATCAGCACAGTCAGGCTTGCTTGAACCTAATTATTTTGTATTTTCTACGTGGCGGGGCAAATATGGGAATGAGCGCGAATTGTCGGCACATTGACCTGCTACTCGTGTTGTCCGCAACGACGCTCAGGATTGATTAGATTTAACTTTTGATGACCAACTTGGATTGAAGAGCCGAACGACCACGAGCGCCGCTTAACTGTCCCACGCTCCCCCCCCATCCCCCACCGCGGCTCAGCATGCGCCCCAACATCTACCTGGGCATCTGCGAGGGCACGTCGCAGTACAAGAAGTGGTACTACGAGATGGTGGTGGACTACGTTGAGCCGTTCGTCACCAACGAGCCGACGCACCTGCGCGTCGGCTGGGCCACGACGGAGGGCTACGCGCCGTACCCCGGCGGCGGCGAGGGCTGGGGCGGCAACGGCGTCGGCGACGACCTCTACTCGTACGCCTTCGACGGCCTCCACCTGTGGTCCGGTGAGCCTTGCCCGACGGGGCATTAAAGCCGATTCCGCCGGGGGTTATCCGCGATTCCAACGGGAGTCTCCGCGATTCCACTGGGGTCTCCGCGATTCCAACGGGAGTCTCCGCGATTCCGCTGGGGTTATCCGCGATTCCAACGGGAGTCTCCGCGATTCCACTGGGTTCTCCGCGATTACCACGGCGGTCTCCGCAATTCCCCTGGGGTTATCCGCGATTCCAACGGGAGTCTCCGCGATTCCACTGGGTTCTCCGCGATTACCACGGCGGTCTCCGCAATTCCGCTGGGGTCTCCGCGATTCCAACGGGAGTTTCCGCGATCCGCTGGGGTCTCGGTGATTTCAATGGCAGTCTCTGCGATTCAGCTGGGGTCTCCGCGATTCTGCTGGCGTCTCTCTCCCCTTGGTCGCGAGGATTTTTCTCTGGGCCCCTCCGATTTTTCCCCTCCACATTTAGCATCGATGTGCGGTTAGCGTATTCGGCTGCTATACATTTCTGGACGATCACAACCCACTTCGTTGGGCTATCGTTTGTGATCGCCAGGCCACTTCTGAATCAGAGCTACGTAGCTCAGTGGGTCTTTGCCTCGTAAAAAAACTATAATTAATTTAGTATGGGTCTCGCTGAGTATGGGTCTCTGGTTTTATATGAGTCTTTGGATCTCTATGGGTCTCTGTGAGTCTCTATGAGTCTGTAGAAATGTGCATTTAGAATATCTGGCCTGCGAAAGATTTTCACACGATCACGAGCCACTTTGTTGGGCTATCATTTGTGATAGCCAGGCCGCTTCTGAAAAAAAAAAAGAGTCACACAAGCCCAGTGGGTGGGGCCCTTATCTGTTAAAATAAAAAAACAAAAATTGTTCAAAATAAAACCGTTTAGAGTCACGACGTCCTTCCGCGCTTACACAGGTCGCATCGCCAAGCCCGTGGGCTCGCCGGGCCAGCACCTGCTGAGCGCGGACGACGTGGTGAGCTGCTGCCTGGACCTCAGCATCCCCAGCATCTCGTTCCGCATCAACGGGCACCCCGTGCAGGGCATGTTCGAGAACTACAACACCGACGGGCTCTTCTTCCCCGTCGTCAGCTTCTCCGCCGGCATCAAGTGAGCGTTCCTGCGCGGCGGTTTTTGTTTGCTCATTTTTTTTCTTTCTTTTTTGGCGTGTTGGGGTTTTGCGGCAGTGAGGTTTTAGCTCATTTAGCTCATTAGGTGTTTTAGCTCATTAGGGGTTTTGGCTCATTAGGGGTTTTAGCTCATTAGGGGTTTTGGCTCATTGGAGTTTTTTGGCGTGTTGGGGTTTTGGGGCAGTGGGGTTTTAGCTCATTAGGGGTTTTGGCTCATTAGGGGTTTTGGCTCATTAGGGGTTTTGGCTCATTAGGGGTTTTAGCTCATTAGGGGTTTTAGCTCATTAGGGGTTTTGGCTCATTAGGGGTTTTGGCTCATTGGAGTTTTTTGGCGTGTTGGGGTTTTGGGGCGGTGGGGTTTTGGCTCATTAGGGGTTTTGGCTAATTAGGGGTTTTGGCACGTTGGGTTTTGGCACATTGGAGTTTTTTTTGCCCCATTGGAGTTTTTTTTTGCCGCCTTCTGTTCGATGACGTCGCGCCGTCGATTCGGCTGCCGAAATTTTTGGGTCGCGGCTGAGCGTTTTTTTTTTTAGCATTTGGCTATGTCGGGCGGTGGAGGGCCTTACAACACAAAATTCGGCCGAACCCCCCACAAATATTTTGCGTTGAACTGCATGTGCTCGCGGACAGCCATTTTTACAATCCACGATGACGACGACGACGGTGATGACGATGACGATATGATGACGGTGACTGTGATGATGACTTTGACGATGGCTGCGATGATAGTGACGACGGTGAAGATGCACGTCGTCCCTCCACGCGCGCGCACACACTCACGCGCTGTCCACCCCCTCCCAACTCCCCCCTTTGCAGGGTGAGGTTCCTCCTGGGCGGCCGTCACGGCGACTTCCGCTTCCTGCCGCCGCTGGGCTACGCTCCCTGCTTCGAGGCGCTGCTGCCGCGGGAGCGCATGCGCGTGGAGCCCATCAAGGAGTACAAGCACGACCACGATGGCGTGCGCGACCTGCTGGGGCCCACCTTCTCGCTCAAGCAGGACGCCTTCACGCCCGTGCCCGTCGACACCACGCAGGTTGGGAAGGCCCCCTTCTCCGGCGCTCCCGCTGCCGGGCGCTCCGGTTCTCCCGCTGTCTGGCGCTCTCCGATTTTCCAGTTCTCTGGCTCTCCCGCTCTATCATTCCTGCTCTCCACTCTCCTGCCCTCAGGCTCTCTGGCTCCCCTGCCCTCCTATTGTCTGGCTCTCTGACTCTCTGTCTCTCTGTCTCTCCCACTTTCCTGCTTTCCGCCTCTCCACCTCTCCGGCTATCCACTCTCCTGCTCTAAGGCTCTCTTACTGTCTGTCTCTCCCACTCTCTGTCTCTCCCACTCTCTGTCTCTCCCACTCTCTGTCTCTCCCACTCTCTGTCTCTCCCGCTCCCTGTCTCTCCCACTCTCTGTCTCTCTCACTCTCTGTCTCTCCCACTCTCTGTCTCTCCCACTTTCTGTCTCTCCCACTCTCTGTCTCTCCCGCTCTCTGTCTCTCCCACTCTCTGTCTCTCCCACTCTCTGTCTCTCCCACTCTCTGGCTGTCCAGCTCTCCGGTTCCCTCATTCTCTGGCTCTGCTCCGGCTCTCCTCTGGCCCTCCGGCCATCAGCGTGAGTGTAAATACGAGCGACGTGTGAATCGGAGAAGGGAGACTCGCGCTGCGTGCAGTGAGTCCCCGCGACTCAACCCTGGATGGTTCCTACCGGAAATGTGAATCTTCCGTTGGAAATCCTCAGTTTATTTCTCAAGCAGAATTGCCCAAGTGAAGGCTTCACTCGCAGGAGGTCACGGGACAGACCCAGGTACTATGGGTTGACTGACTGACACCACTGGCAGATGGACTAGCCGTGCTCCCCCACACTCATGCTGAGACATCCCCGTATAGCCTGTAACAGACTGTTGGGGCAAGTGCTGTTCGCGAGCACCTCTGAAGGCTGGCATGGCACACGAGGGGGTGGGTGGCCAGCACCAAGCCTGGCCGCCTTTGTCTCCCCAGTGGCGATGTTTACACACCGCACCGGGTACTCATTTGATGATTGAGTCGACCTAGGGGAGGCCCAGGACCGGTTCAAAGAATCGCCACAGGGTGTTGGCCGTGAGCGGGAATCGAACCCGGGTCGCCAGGTTCGTAGCGCAGCGCGTTAACCGTTACACTATCGCTCACACACACGCACACACGCACACGCGCACACGCACGCACAAACGTCGTTGTGGTTGTTGTCGTTGTTTGAAGATTGTGCTTCCCCCAAACCTGGAGCGCATCCGAGACAAGCTGGCGGAGAACATCCATGAGCTGTGGGCCACTACCAAGATCGAGATCGGGTGGACCTACGCAACTGTGAGCCGAGCAGCACGCCCGATCAATCACCTGCATCATCAGCATTCACTTTAAAATATGTAATTCTAGGACATTTGCGTTCCATAATTGTTATGCAAATTGCATGGCGCAAAGTGACTTGTAACAGTCTGCCTCAGCAGCAGGCCGTGCTTTCCCACCTGATGACGGACGCTTGTGTTGTGCCCGAAACGTCGTGATTTATAATTATTTTTCTACTTACTTGACTTTACCGAAAGAACAAAAGAGTTATGGATTCCTGCAGTCACGAAAGCTTCAAGTTTGAATATATATATTTGCCCATCTCTGCGTCCATACACGAGGGGATGGGTGGCCAGCACCACACCTGGTCGCCTTTTTTTTCTCTCTGTACCGCACCTCCGACTGGCACGGTTGGCTACGTACGGTGCGAAAGAATTTGAAACGTACATATACGTGCAGTGGCGATGTTTGCCCATTTGCACCAGGTACTCAGTTGAGGCTGAGTCGACCTAGGGGAGGGCCCGGACAGGTTCAGATAACAGTCACTGGTGTTGGCCGTGAGTGGGAATTGAACTCAGGTTGGCTGGGTTCGTAGCGCTCCCCTTCTATAAACGCACATATGCACATATACCAGAGGATAATTAGTGACTTCCTACTGAGCAACAGTTGACTGCGGTCTTCAAGGTGAATCCTTGGTTTCTGGAGTTGAGAGGGAGAGTGTGTGGAGAGTGGGTGGAGAGTGGGTGAAGAGTGGGTGGAAGGAGGTGAGAGGGGATAGATAGGAGAGTGGGTGGAGGGGAGCGGAGGGAGATGAGTGGGGATAGATAGGAGAGTGGGTGGAGGGGAGCGGAGGGAGATGAGTGGGGATAGATAGGAGAGTGGGTGGAGGGGAGCGGAGGGAGATGAGTGGGGATAGATAGGAGAGTGGGTGGAGGGGAGCGGAGGGATATGAGTGGGGATAGATAGGAGAGTGGGTGGAGGGGAGCGAAGGGAGATGAGTGGGGATAGATAGGAGAGTGGGTGGAGGGGAGCGGAGGGAGATGAGTGGGGATAGATAGGAGAGGGGGTGGAGGGGAGCGGAGGGAGATGAGTGGGGATAGATAGGAGAGTGGGTGGAGGGGAGCGGAGGGAGATGAGTGGGGATAGATAGGAGAGTGGGTGGAGGGGAGCGGAGGGATAGGTAGGAGAGTGGGTGGAGGGGGGTGGAGGGAGATGAGTGGGGATAGATAGGAGAGTGGGTGGAGGGGAGCGGAGGGAGATGAGTGGGGAGAGGTAGGAGAGTGGGTGGAGGGGGGCGGAGGGAGATGAGTGGGGATAGATAGGAGAGTGGGTGGAGGGGAGCGGAGGGAGATGAGTGGGGATAGATAGGAGAGTGGGTGAAGGGGAGCGGAGGGAGATGAGTGGGGAGAGGTAGGAGAGTGGGTGGAGGGGGGCGGAGGGAGATGAGTGGGGATAGATAGGAGAGTGGGTGGAGGGGAGCGGAGGGAGATGAGTGGGGAGAGGTAGGAGAGTGGGTGGAGGGGAGCGGAGGGAGATGAGTGGGGAGAGGTAGGAGAGTGGGTGGAGGGGAGCGGAGGGAGATGAGTGGGGAGAGGTAGGAGAGTGGGTGGAGGGGAGCGGAGGGAGATGAGTGGGGAGAGGTAGGAGAGTGGGTGGAGGGGAGCGGAGGGAGATGAGTGGGGAGAGGTAGGAGAGTGGGTGGAGGGGAGCGGAGGGAGATGAGTGGGGAGAGGTAGGAGAGTGGGTGGAGGGGAGCGGAGGGAGATGAGTGGGGAGAGGTAGGAGAGTGGGTGGAGGGGAGCGGAGGGAGATGAGTGGGGAGAGGTAGGAGAGTGGGTGGAGGGGAGCGGAGGGAGATGAGTGGGGAGAGGTAGGCAGGGGACGAGTTGACGGCGGACCACGACGCTGGTGCGTGGCGATCTTCCCAATCGATTGGATCGGGGGCTTGCGGTGAGCGATGCGGAATCTTGTGGGCGACGCGGTCCACGTCCACCTGTGTCGGGTGACGGTGAGAGTCCTCCCCCCTCCGTCGTGGTCGTTGGGATCGTCCGGAGTGCGGGCGGCGAGGATCTTGCGGGAAACGTCAGCCACCGCCGTCATCTCTCCTGCCTCGAGCCGCCCGCTTCTGTCTGCCGCGCAGGCCAGGGACGATAACCGGCGCCTGCACCCGTGCCTCGTCGATTTCCACAAGCTGCCCGAGCCGGAGCGCAACTACAACCTGCAGATGTCCACCGAGACCCTCAAGTGAGGCCCGACACTACGGGTCTGGGGTTGACGCACCTTCGTTTCTTCGCATAACTGATTTTTTTTGCGCGTGTTTTAGTTTGCTGTCCTTCGCCCGCGCGCGCGCGCCTTCGATTAGCACGGTCGGCTACGTACGGCGCGAAAGAAGCTCGGCCGGCACACACAGTGACGGAGCGGCAGCCAAGGAACGGAACGCGTCCGAGAGAGGGCGTCCACCCAGGAGATGGAACGTTGACATCAGGCGTCAGGCGGACCGTCGCATCGTAGCATCATGGGGCGTGGCAACGGCTTTGGGAGGCCATCAATTCGGCACGAGATCGATCGTGGTTTTCGAACCTCCGATGAGCACGGTCGGCTACGTACGGCGCGACGGAAGTTCAACGTGCGTACGTGCGTGTGAAGGCGTTGCATTGTACAGCTGAAATAGTTTGAGAGGGAGGTAAAGGCCCACTGAGCTGTATAGCTCTTTTCTCAGAAGGGACCTGGCCACAGATGATAGCTCAACAAAGTGGCTTATCACCACGTGGAAATGTATAGCAGGCAAATACTCTGATAGCGTGATGTTGATCCAAAAACGTGGAGGGAAAACATCTCCTAGCCACCGTGGTGATGATTAGAGAGAGAGAGAGAGACGCCACAGACTCCAAATATACAGCAGGCGACAGGGTCAGGATCGAACCCACGACCTCCCGCGTACCAGGCGAGGTAGTTAACATCTCGCCAGCGCGCCGTGACGCGTGTGGTCGCCGTGCCCGGTGCCCCCCCCCCCCCCCCGCAGGACTCTGCTGGCGCTGGGGTGCCACGTGGGCATGGGGGATGAGCAAGCCGAGTCGAAGCTCAAGCGCCTGCGGCTGCCCCGCAAGTAACCGCCGCACCGTCGGTCGCCCTCCTTGCTGCTCACAGTGTTTTTGTCTTTTCTTTTTTGTTACGCGCGGTGTACATTTGTGCGTGATGTATAAATAGGGCGATGTGTACGCGGCTGCGTCGCACAGCGACCTCCGATTGGCACGGTTGGCGACGGAACGGCGCGAAAGTTCAACGCACACGTGTGCACGTACACGTACACGCGTGTGCACGTAGACGCACACGCGTGTGCGTGCAGAATGGGGATGTTTTCCGCCAGCTCATGGGTGTCTGTGAGACGAGTGGGCGGAAACCGGAGCACCACGGAGAAAATTCGCACGTTATATACACATCTATACAATATCCGATCGCAGCTATTGGGATATACATTGGCCCAGCCATTGAGATATCGATTGGTCCAACTTTGAGACATCCATTGTTTTGTATGTTTGTTTAATCAATGTTCCAGCTGCTTGTTGATAAAGTCATTGTCCCAGAGAGTTGTGCGTCCATTGTGTAAGTCTCTGAGATATTCTTTGGGTCTTTCGGTAAAGTCACGTAGATAGAACAAATAATACTGGTAGGAACGAAGTTGTAAACTGAGTGTACCAGCCTGCAATAGATTAATGTGTCCGTCCGTCCATCCGTCCGTCCCCTTTCAATACTTTAACGAAGTGAAATCTCGTGCTGTTGGGTGTAAAATCAGCAATAGACAGCGCAGAGACTTGTCCTACCAGCCCACCCTGCAGGGACCTGTTAACAATAAAATAAATATTATTACAAATATATTCACTTTAATATTCACTTTAAAGTGAATATTCAAGTGAGCATAATAAAAATAAAGTGAATATTCACTTTAAAGTGACTATTCACTTTGTGTGTACTAAAATAACCAACGGTAACCCCTATTGAAGTATGGTGAATATTCACTTTACTTTATTGTTATTACTTTTTCTATCTATGTGACTTTACCGAAAGAACCATAGGATATTAATTTCTGCAGTCACGAAAGTTTTCAGTCAAAATTTAAACTGTATATTGTTCTAGATACCTAAAATTGCATTACTCTGTTTATTAAGATACCAATTGTCGCGGCATTGACGTCGATACCCACCGTGGTTCTGTTCGCTGAAACTTGTCGTCGCTCCCCCCACGTCCCGCGTAGCTACTCCATGGAGAGCGGCTACAAGCCGGCGCCCTTCGACCTCAACCACGTGAAGCTGACGGCCGGCCAGGAGGCCATGGTGGACAAGCTGGCGGAGAACGCTCACAATGTGTGGGCCCGCGACCGCATCCGCCAGGGCTGGACCTACGGCATCCAGCAGGTGAGAGCCCTCCCTCCCTCACTCCCTCCCTCACTCACTCCCTCTCTCCCTCCCTCCCTCCCTCCCTCCCTCCCTCCCTCCCTCCCTCCCTCCCTCCCTCCCTCCCTCCCTCCCTCCCTCCCTCCCTCCCTCCCTCCCTCCCTCCCTCCCTCCCTCCCTCCCTCCCTCCCTCCCTCCCTCCCTCCCTCCCTCCCCTCCCTCACTCCCTCCCTCTCTCCCTCCCTCTCCTCTCTCACTCCCTCCCTCCCTCCCTCCCTCCCCTCCCTCACTCCCCTCCCTCACTCCCTCCCCTCCCTCCCCTCCCTCTCCTCCCTCCCTCCCTCCCTCACTCCCTCCCCTCCCTCCCCTCCCTCACTCCCTCACTCCCTCCCCTCCCTCCCCTCCCTCACTCCCTCCCTCACTCCCTCCCCTCCCTCCCCTCCCTCTCCTCCGTCCCTCTCCTCCCTCTCCTCCCTCCCTCCCCTCCCTCCCCTCCCTCCCTCCCTCTCCTTCCTCCCTCTCCTCAACTCCTTCCCTCTACTCCCTCCCGCCTTCCTTTTTATTACGATCAGAAGAAACCAAAACAAATGCTTGGTCATTCGGCACTTTGTTTCGTTCATCATGCCGTGTTTTTCTGAACACGTTTTCCCGTGTGTCATGAATCCCATTGTGTACTTTGTTCACAGACACAAACAAAAACAAAACCCCCCCCTCCCGCTCCCCTGCATGATAAATAATTGGGAGTTTGGCCGTCGCTTCGGGGGCAGCAGTGAAACGGAGCGACGCCTCTCACGATGCACCACCCCAAGGGCGTTCGCGCGCTTCCATGCTTTCACGCAGGCGTCCGAGAGATGCGGGCGCTTGGGCTCAAAGAAAAACACGCGGATTTGTAGACGCGTCACTGGTAGGGCGGGAAGCGTCGCTGGCAGGGATGATGAAGGGACGATGATGAAGGGACGACGGCCGGTGGTCGAGACTAGCACCAGAGTGGCAACCAAAGGAGGGAACGCCCCACCCAGAGGCTGCGGTGTACGAGCCGACTTAGTGCTGCTTGGAAGCAAATCATCAAATAATACATCGTCTAAATCAGGGGTGGGCAAATTTTTTGACTCGCGGGCCACGATGGGTTCTAAAATTTCACAGAGGGGCCGGGCCAGGAACGGATGGATGGAGTGTTTGTGTGAACTTAATATAAATGACATGTAAAAATCATTACATGAAAGGATTTGGCCTTTAACAGGTAGCAAAGCATTTATTTGCAAGGCAATTTAACAAATTGCACGAACATGAACAATACAAAAAACATGTCGTAACGTGACTGATGAAACATCATGAAAACATCCAAGGCCTGCGCCCAAACCAACTACCTCACTTGAACTTCTTTATTATCTACATTGACGGGTTAGAGCAGCCATGCAGGCTGTGTGTCGGAGATTAGGCTCCAACCTCGCTGCAGCAACACATCATCACTTTCAGTTTCAGTTGTAACAGTGTTGTTGATCTCCCATTTTTGCCAGTGCATCCAAGTCTGGAGTTATTTTGGTTGTGGCAATTCTCAGGATGGATCTGAGGTGCTGATACGTTAACTTTGATCTGTGACGGCCCACAGTGCATTGCGAGATGATGTGCCCTTTCGAGCCCTATACACCACACTCCCGGTCAAAGTGCGCCATCTAATGGGGAAATTGGGGCATTACAGGAGAAAGGTGAAATTTAATTTAATAATAATATTTAGACAAGTTCAGCGGGCCGGATTAAAAAGCCCAACGGGCCGTATACGGCCCCGGGGGCCATACTTTGCCCATGGCTGGTCTAAATGCATGCCTCTGCAGGTCACCATACTTCAATAGGGATTACCGTTGGTTATTTTAGTACACACAATCGACAGGAGGTAAAAGAATAATGGGCTTGCATAATGTGAATGCATAATGCTCGTTGTTTACCATATACATAACCCAACCGGCAATGGATTACCCATTGTAATTTATATAAATCATTAATCCTCCCACCCCACATCGCTGAAGAAGCGCTCACAAGTGATCTCATCACAAATCTGGTTGTTGCCTCATGAAACGAGTTGTAATTACTGGCGAAACGTCGTGCTCAGTTTGTAAATGTTGTGGCTTTTCTCTCCAACACACCGGTGTGCTGTACTAGTGACGAATTGGCCACGTTCTGTTTACGTGACAAACCTCACTAGTTGGCTGTGTCGGGTGGTGGCAGGTTTAATTTTCACGCAATCTAACCCAAAGACCTGTATTATGTACATACGAGCTGAATGTTTGTATACTCGCCCATTCCGTGCTCGCAATGCGCGTGTCACTTGATTCCCCGTGGACACCTTTGCAAGATGAGACGTTCCAGCTTCAGCGAATATCCACGTAAAATATTTTAATCCCCAAAAACATTTAGCCCCTATCCGAGCGACTCGGTCTATACTAATCGTCCCGGCGCTTCTGCCCGACCCGCGGTGACCGCAACGCAGGACATCAAGAACAAGCGCAACCCGAGACTCATCCCGTACGCGCTGCTCGACGAGAGGACCAAGAAGTCGAACAAGGACAGCCTTCGCGAGGCCGTGCGCACGCTCATTGGCTGCGGCTACGTCATCGAGCCGCCCGACCAGGATCCTGGTCAGTGCCGTCTGCTCAAAACATTTAAGTTCTTTACAAAACCCAACGGCGTGGCGTTTCTCTCATCGAGCTGATGCCACACACTTGTGCAGACACCTTCACTATTCGAAGTTTCCGCAGTGCACTAATGCGATCATCTTCAGGAGTTGAGGCTTTGGCCACGCACTGCCGGCGGGCATCTTCAGGAGTTGAGGCTTTGGCCGCGCACTGCCGGCGGGCATCTTCAGGAGTTGAGGCTTTGGCCACGCACTGCTGGCGGGCATCTTCAGGAGTTGAGGTTTTGGCCACGCACTACCGGCGGGCATCTTCAGGAGTTGAGGCTTTGACCACGCACTGCCGGCGGGCATCTTCAGGAGTTGAGGCTTTGGCCGTGCACTACCGGCGGGCATCTTCAGGAGTTGAGGCTTTGGCCACGCACTACCGGCGGGCATCTTCAGGAGTTGAGGCTTTGGCCGCGCACTACCGGCGGGCATCTTCATGGAGTTGCGGCTTTGGCCACGCACTACCGGCGGGCATCTTCAGGAGTTGAGGCTTTGGCCGTGCACTACCGGCGGGCATCTTCAGGAGTTGAGGCTTTGGCCACGCACTACCGGCGGGCATCTTCAGGAGTTGAGGCTTTGGCCGCGCACTACCGGCGGGCATCTTCATGGAGTTGCGGCTTTGGCCACGCACTACCGGCGGGCATCTTCATGGAGTTGCTGTAGATCCCCGCAGTCGTGCCTGGTAACAGCGCGAGAGATAGAAATTCCCGACACGTTAATCGGATGGCATTTTTTTTCGTCCGCGGTTGCTGCAGCGCTGCTGGCCGAGACCGCCGGGAGCAGTCACCCGGACAAGATGCGGATCTTCCGGGCGGAGAAGTCCTACGCCGTGTTGTCGGGGAAGTGGTACTTTGAGTTCGAGGCGGTGACGGCCGGGGACATGCGCGTGGGCTGGGCCCGGCCCGACGTGCCCCCGGGCCACGAGCTGGGGGCCGACGAGGAGGCCTTCGTTTTCGACGGCTTCAGGGTAAATGCTTTGTTGTAACGGTAAAGTTTTGTGCTTTCTTTGCAACAAAACAGGTGTTAAGATGTTTAAACACCAAACAGAATCCGTTTTCAAGGAATCATGTCTGCATTCACGGTTTTATTGGCAGAAACGGTAAAGCCAATTCTTATATTTTGATACTGGTAAGGGAGGTCCCATGATGTAGCTGCTCACCCCGAAGTATAAATGTCCCGATTGTCTTTGTGCTGTTCGCCTTTTGGCGTTCTCTATGCTAACATTGTTTTGAGACTAGGCTCTAAAGAAAGCTGTATCTGGTGTGGAACAATCAGTTTCAAAGACAATGCCATATACTACCAGAGCATAGTAAATGCTTTGTTGTTGTGGAATGTGGTTTCGATTCCCAGTGGCTGTCCTGGTCAATGCTGTGTTTGTGTTATTAGCACTCGTTGCACATGGAAAGTGCTTGCCACAAATGAACCACGGTGCCTTGCCGGTCTCGTCAAGGAGCGTAAGGCACCACGCGTACTCCGGTTATCCCCGCAGCGGCGGCTTTTGGCTGACCGTCGAACAAAGACGGTCGCCGCATCGCGCGGCGCTTTCAGATGCGCTTCTGCGGCCGTCTAGAAGGCTCTTCCTTCTGGTATTAGGAAACCACTGGAGCTGTGCGCTTCTGAATCTAGATTGAAAACCCATTTCTTTAGAACGGCTCTTTGTGTTTAGTCTGTTGTGCTTCCTCCGCACGGTTGGCTACGTACGGTGCGAAAGAAGTTCAACGTACGTACGTACGTAAAACCCGTAAAAACACTATGCACCATCTGCTTCACCCGCGTTAAAAGACCCCGTGATGCAATTGTGTGTCGGCGTCAGGGTCCAAATCTGCAAAATATAAAAAAAATAGCTCGCAAATGACCCAATTTGGATATTATACACTCGCAAGGTTCCCGGTCGCTGTGGTTTCGAGACCTTCCCCTGTTCCTGCTTGCGCGCGGCACAGGCCCAGCGATGGCACCTGGGCAGCGAGCACTTTGGCCGAGACTGGCAGGGTGGAGATATCGTGGGCTGCCTCATCGACCTCAACGACCGGTGCATGATGTTCACCATCAACGGCGAGGTGCTCCTCAACGACTCGGGCTCCGAGCTTGCCTTCCGCGACTTCGAGATTTCCGAAGGCAAGGGATTGTCCCCCCCCCCACAATGCCCCGGGGGAAGGGGGGGTGGCAGCCAAGTCGATGTCACGTCATATTTCAAATAATGCCATAGGAAGCGTTGAAGCATTAGTTTTGTCCGTCTGTCTTTTCCAAAATCTTCATTTTTACCGGAGCAATCCGATGAGCTGTGAAGCTCTTTTTTTACAGCTGTCCAGTAGGGGCGGGTCAGAACGTTACAACAAACAGTACAAAAACCCAACTCCTGTAAAAAGTTATTATCCAATATGAACGCAATGTCTAGACATAGTTGTGCTGTTCCTGGGAATTTAGCCAATAATATCGAACAAGTTGATAGGAACATCTCCCCAAAAGCGAAGCCTATGCGATGACGTCATTTCGAGTGACGTCATCTGGAAAAGTCACGCGTCGCACGCCGTGCGACATCAGCTCGTTGCGCAGGCTCCGAGAGTGACGTCGCCGTCGCTGAATTAAATGCTTGCAATGTTGTGGAAAGAATACAACTCTCTGTGCGTACACCGCACTTGAGAGAGCCCGGTTTAAAACACGGGCAGCGGTTGAAACCCGGTTTCAAACCCAGGATTTGTCAGCGGCGCCGGCTCAGCACCCTGACCTCTGAGCGACCCAGCCAGCCCGTTCCGAGAGGCCTGCACGTCGCAGGGTGGGTGGGGTCGCGTTCACCGCCCAATCTCGGAACCTTGCGAGCGGCTCGGCGTTCATTTTATTTAGAGAGGCGTAGCGGCGCCGTTGTTTTTAAAGACATCGCCCTGCACTCACCGCAGAGAACCGTAGCGACACGACCGCCGCGCTCTACGATAGCCGGCATCAAAATGTGCCGCGCGCCCTCCCGCGTGGCCTTGCGGGAGCCTCGGTGGCAACAAAATTTACTCTTTTATGTACATCATCCCGAACGGAACTGTAAGGAAAGATGATGATGACGTACGTCGTCGTAACAGGAATGGGTAAATGCTCGCCGACCCTTCATGTGCTTGCATGTGTGTGTGTGTGTGCTTGCGTGTGTGTGTGTGCTTGCGTGTACGCGCGTGCGCGCGACAGGCTTCATACCCGTGTGCAGCGTGGGAATGAGCCAGGTGGGGAGGCTGAACTTTGGCCGCGACGCGGCGACGTTCAAGTTCTTCACCATCTGCGGCCTGCAGGAGGGCTTCGAGCCGTTCGCCGTCAACATGCACCGCGACGTGCCCATGTGGTACACCAAGCGGCTGCCGCAGTTCCTGCCGGTGCAAGGCGACCACGAGCATTATGAGGTGCGGCCGGCTGGCGACGGCGCCCTGGGGAGATGCCCCGTTTTTTCTTTGCTAAACCAAAGTAAACTGTTTTAATTTGTATGCTGATTCCAAGTTTGCACAGCATTACATTTCATGCTAATTCCTTTGTCAATGCCATCCGATTAACGGCGACCTGCGCTTGACTTTCTTCACTCCAACGCTGTCCTCTGGACAGTTTGGTTCCTTCACCTGATGAAGGCCACTTGTGTTGTGGCCGAAACGTCGTGATTTTTTGTTGTTTTGTTTTTTACCTACGTGACCGAATAGAACCAGAGAGTATGGATCCTTGCAGTCACGAAAGCTTCAAATCTAGAATTGTTTTAATTTTTCCAGGTTAAAGGGCCCACTGGGGCCCTATGCAGCTCTTTTTTCAAAAGCGGCGTGGCCACAAATGATAGCTCGAAGTGGCTTATCGCGTGGAAATTTACAAGCAGCCAAATTCTCTAAAAGCGTGATGTTGAGTCTAAATGTGGAAGGAAAAACAACCGTAGGACCCGGAGAAAAATTCACACGACCACGGGGAGAGAGACACACAAGTTTACAGCAGACATCAGGGTCGGGATCAATCCCACGAACTCCTGTATACCAGGCGAGGCAGTTAACATCTCACCACTGTGTTACTCCCGTGTTGCCGCAATGATCATCCTTCACAATGCGGTTTTGTACGATAAATAACGATAATAGTAATGACGACGACGCTGACGACGATGATCATGATAGTCACGCCGTTCACTTGGGAATGTGATAACGCACCCATCCGTGGATTTACGGTTGATTGGTATGCTTACAAATGACGTGCTCGAGAATCGATTAGTTTTTATTTCATTGTCGTTGTCGTCATCAGTCGTGGTCAATCCACTGCTGGATGAAGGCCTCTCCCAGCGTCCGGTGCCTCTCGCGGTCCAGCGATGCAATGATCCACCGATGCAATGATCCACCCAGCTCCTGCCTGCACGTCAACTCATTTCATCGCTCGGTCTCCTTGGTGGCTGTCCTCTCTGCCACCGTTTTTTCGTTTGTGTTTTAAAGTGCATGCAAATCATACGTGAACGATATTCTAGATCACATTGGACCAATGTACCTGTGGGCCCGACTGATCTGCCACACGACTGGGGTTTACACTCCACGCAACTTCAGAGCAGGACCCTTCTACTACTCCTCTGCCGGCGTCGGACCTTGTGCTCGACGCTGGGGGGTCAGGCCTTCTCGAGCGTTGCCCCAAGGATCTGGAGTGCCTTTGCCGGCGGGCATCTGGCACGCGACGAGCCTGAGTGTGTTTGGGAGAGGGAGTGCAATAGTCACAATTTTATCGTGACATTTACTTCAACATTATTTGATTGTCTTTTCATTTTATTTTTTCGTGCACGGTGATTTGATACCATCTTGAGTGGCGGTAATATTACATTTAAAATGAATACGGTTCACATAAGCGTACCGTATCGAAGAGAAAAAATACAAACGAGTGGCAAACTTTATTTATTTATTTCCATCCTCTTGTCCACTTGTCAGTGATCCACCGACGCTTGCCTCCACGGCGTGGTCCAGTTAAATTCCACCACCTCGTGTTTCATCAGTCCTCTCAGCTCCAGATCCTCCACGCGGCGAAACTCCTCGTGCCACGCGTGGCCTTGTCTCAGCAGTCCCACCTCCTGGTCTCCATTACCCCTCCCTCCCCTCATTCCACCGCCCCCTCCCCCCCCCGCATCCACCGTCGATGTGGTGAGCTGGTCCGTTTACGTCCTCGGGTGAGGCCCATTGAGCTCAGAATCTCTTTCTCGTCATGGTGACCCGGCCAAGGCAGCCGATGTGGTAGCAAGCATCCCGGTAAACATGCAACGTCGGGGGCCAACGTTGGCCACGTGGTTGGAACCGTCGGTTCAACGTCGACCCAACGTTTCGCGTTCACGGGCTTACTCGATGGGAAGGGAGGGTCCGCGGGGGTCGCCGTGGCCAGCCGGGATCCGGCGCGTCCGCGCAAGGCCCTCTGCGAAAGTGACCGAGACGCGCCGTTCCCCTCGCGTCTCCGCATCCGCCACCGCCCCCCAGGTGACGCGGATCGACGGGACGGTGGACAGCCCGCCGTGCCTCAAGGTCACCCACAGGACGTTCGGCACGCAGAACAGCAACAACGACCTGGTGTTCTTCCGCCTCAGCATGCCCGTGGAGTGCTACGAGGACTACAAGCCGCAGCTCGCCGGCCACCTCAACTCGCTCATGCAGGAGGAGGAGGTGGACATCGACATCGATTCCGAGTTCGAGGTGCTCAAGAAGACGGCCGCGCGCGGGAACCTGATCCAGTTGCCGTTCGGCTCGGCGTCGCCGCCGGGAGACAAGGACGCGGCGGCGGCGGCGGCGGCCGCCGCGGCAGCCGCCGCGTTGCCCGGCGGGGGGGCTTCTCCGCCGGCGGGGGCGGGAGGGGCCGGGGGAGCGTCGGTGACGGGGTCGTCGCTCGCGCCGCCCACGCCGACCCCGACGGCCGAGTCGAGCGGCGGCAGCAGCAACAACAAGGACGCGGCGCAGGAGAAGACGTCGCGCCTCAAGCCCAAGTGCGTCGCCGAATTAGCGCAATCCACATACTCACGGCAATCGATGTAACAACCGTACTGCTGCTGCGGCAAGCCCTCGCCGTGCGCGAGTTCTGGATTTGGCGAGTTTAGCATATTCGCGAACCGAGCCACGGCGTCGCGTTAGGTGGTCGACGGGAGGAGGCGAGGGGCGTGGGGTCGGCGGTGGCGAGGATTCCTCGATGATCGATCACGGCCAGCGGCGGGTCCGCTGACCTCCTCGGTTTTGCCCGCCCCCTCCCCCCCCCCAACTCCCCCCCCCCCCTCCATTCCCCCTTCGGCGTTTCAGGTTCCTCATGCGCCGGGGGAAAGTGTCTCAGGCGCAGGCGCCCGTGGCGCCGCCCATGCCCGTGCACACGCGGCTGCAGGAGGAGGTGCTGCCCGACGACCGCGATGACATGGAGACGCTCATGAGGACCACGCTGGTTCGTGACCCCTCGGCCCCCGGTCGCCGCCCCCTGCCTAGGGAATTGCCACGGCGTCGAGGTGTTACCCAGCTCACCTGCTACAGAGGAGGTCGTGGGTTTCATCCCGACCCTGAAACCTCGATATTTGCGTTCATAGAGTGTTTTGTCTGCTCTAAATTTCCACGTGATAAGCCGTTTTGTTGAGCTACCATTTGCGGCCAGGTCGCTTCTGAAAGAGAGCTACGTAGCTCAGCAGGGGCCTCACCTGGTAAGGTGAAAAAATATATCAGTTTAGCCCGCGACTCTTTATAACATGGGCTCTTCGCAGCCCGCTCGCAAGTCGAGTGCGGTCTTGCGGCTTGGGCCGCGTGTCGAGCAGTGGGAGCTCTGACAACGTCAAATCTCGAAGCTTTTCACCGCGCGCTGCCACGGGCGTGTTCAGTAGTGCATGGCGAAAGCTTGGGCGACGGATAACCTGGAAGGCCACACTCGGCCCGGGTGACTTGTGTTGTCCCAGCAACGGGACCTTTACCACGCTTATAAAAGAGCGATAACACCTGAGCGGTGGTGGCCATGTGTGTAACTGTTCTACAGTGGAACCTCGCCCATGTCCATTCTCGCGAACGGCACTCGCCCCAACAGTCTGTTAAAGGCCATACTTGGGGGGGGGGGGGGGTGGGGGGGGCCCTTTGTCTTTGTTTGGCTCGGCGAGCAGTATTACTACTCCGTGAAGATCTTCCCCGGCCAGGAGCCGACGGGCGTGTGGGTCGGCTGGGTGACGCCCGACTTCCACCAGTACGGGAAGACCTTCGACCTGGAGAAGGTGCGCAGCGTCATGGTGACGCTCGGTGATGACAAGGGCAAGGTGAACACCAGGTAGGACCACGCGCGCCGCGGGGCCACGGTGGGTTTCTCGCGAGGCCCAGGAGCGCGGAGAGCCGCGCGTTTAAACAAGAATTGCGCCTGCCAGAGCGGCGTGCCGCGGGGAACTACAGCTACAGGCCCCAGAGCGCGGCCTCGCCCTGTTAATGCTGCGGGCGTGTTCACCGTACAGCGGTGTTCTCCGCGGGTCGCTGGCGGCGGGCAGCCCCCTGGTGGCCTTTCGTGCGGCCGCTGACGTGCGGCCCACCGATGATACACAACATCTGAAAACACCCCCTATCATTATCATCATCATCATCATCGTGCTGCTGTCAAACCCCCAGTGGTTTGAAATGTGTGGTGGCCCTCACACACTGATGACGTCTTATCGGCGAAAGAGGCTACCCGCCCCCCCCCCCCCCCCCCCCCCCATGAAAATTCGTGAAGAACGCTGGCGCACGTTGAGGATTTACTGCTTCACAGCGGGCCTCAAAGTTTCACGCGACATCGTTCGAACAAATATAGGAGGTCGCGTGCGCAAAGGGTCGTGGTCACGAAATGCTTAAATTGGAAAAATGATGCCGCACGTTAATTAGGGAAACACACAGAGCCATTGTCATCCTTCTCTCCCGCCGCCCCACTGAGGAAACCCAACCGGGATCCACCCTCCTTAAAAGGTGTCTTGAGGCTCGGCGATGCTTTCACCGCGAGCACGTTTGTTATACTCTTACAGCGCGAGGCGATCACGGAGGCGCCGAGTTTCGCCACGTAGGCTGTTGCAGTTTTGTCAGGCGTTGGCGATGTTGCTTCTGTGTTCTCCCAATTGAGTATTTCCTGGGCAGACAACGAGTGTCGGACCGTGTCTGGCCATTGACGCCCTTCTCACAGTGCTCCATCGCTTTTGCCTGAAGCAAATGGAATAATAATAATATTTTTGTTATTTCCCCTCCGCGTACCCACCCACAACCTCCGACTTCATCAGCATCAAGCGCAGCAACTGCTTCATGGCGTGGTGCGGTGAGTTTGGAGGGCAGCAAGGCCAGGGGCGCAACAACATCAGCATCGACATCGGCTGCCTCATCGACATCGGCAGCGGACTTCTCACGTTCTACGCCAACGGCAAGGAGATCCCCACCTACTATCAGGTACGGGCGGTGCGCGTGCCCCTCACCCAAGGAGATCCCCACCTACTGTGAGGTATGAGCGGTGCCCGCTCGCCTGCCCGCCCCGTGTTCACGGGACGCGCTCGCAGTCACGGAGACGGGCGCGACAGATCTGAGAGGCGGGCGCGCACCTTGCGGATGAGGATGCCCAGGCGGGCGGTCTTGGAGTCCGGAGCCTGGTACGTGAGCCACAGGCCGCTGTCCACGTGCTGCACGAAGCACACCGAGTCCCCGTACTTGATCTCCGGAGGCCCCCATCCCATCGATCTCCCGCTTGGGCCGAGTTAAGTCCGGCTATATATTTTAGTCTCAATGGCGACATGAACGTGTGGAAAAGGACGGTGCAAAGCGTGTCGGACACAGTGGTGCCAGACAGTTGGCAGTGCTGGGTCTTTGCCCGTCCCTCTTATGCATGGTGGGTTTCCTACAGGCTCTCCGATTTCCTCTCGAAAGCCAAACACTCAATCATATCCTGATGCTGCAGGACGCCTCTTGAGACCCGGCGAGGCTTTTCCCGTGTCAGTAACGGGCGTCACTATCAGAATCGGAATATTTATGCGGGCAGGAGGAATCCGATGAGCTATAAGGCTCTTAGTAGGGGTGAGTAAGGACGTTACCCACAACAAACAGTACAAAAACATGACGGGAGTACAAGAACAGAAAACAAATCACCTAAACACATACAAATACATTTAACCCATCCCCATCCTACCAGGCAAAGCCCACTGAGGAATTAGCTTTTTTGTCAGAAGAGACCTGGCCACAAATGATAGCTCACCAAAGCGGAGGGAAAAACCAGAGGACCCCCGTGGAAAAAAACCACGCAACCACCGGGAGAACGTGCATACACTGTGACCTCGTCCTGCGGTCAATCGGTTCACCTTCTCTGACGTTTGTCGTTCCCTCCATCACCGTCGTCATCGTCATTGTTGTCGTCATTGTCGTCGTCATTGTCATCATCGTCATTGTCATCGTCGTCGTCATTCTTGTCGTCATTGTCATCGTTGTCATTCTCGACGTCATTGTCGTCGTCATTGTCATCGTCATTCTCGATGTCATTGTCGTCGTCATTGTCATCGTCATTGTCGTTGTTGTCGTCATTGTCATCGTCGTCGTCATTGTCGTCGTTGTCGTCATTGTCGACGTCATTGTCATCGTCGTCATTGTCATCGTCATTGTCGTCGTTGTCGTCATTGTCGACGTCATTGTCATCGTCGTCATTGTCATCGTCATTGTCATCGTTGTCGTCATTGTCGTCATTGTCGTCATTGTCATCGTCATTCTCGACTTCATTGTCATCGTTGTCGTCATTGTCGTCATTGTCATCGTCATTCTCGACGTCATTGTCATTGTCGTCGTCATTGTCATTGTCATTCTCAACGTCATTGTCATTGTCGTCATTGTCGTTGTCATTGTCATCGTCATGCTCGACGCCATTGTCATTGTCGTCGTCATTGTCATTTCCGTCGACATTGTCATCGTCATTGTCGTCATTGTCGTCGTCATTGTCATCGTCATTCTCGATGTCATTGTCATTGTCGTCGTCATTGTCATTTCCGTCGACATTGTCATCGTCATTGCCGTCATTGTCGTCGACATTGTCATCGCCATTGTCGTCATTGTCATCGTCGTTGTCATCGTCCTCATTGTTATCGTCGTCGTCATTGTCGTCATTGTCATTATTCTCGTCATCGTGCGCATGTCATTTGCAGATTGAGCCTGGCACCAAGGTCTTCCCGGCCGTGTTTGTGCAGCCCACGTGCACCAACATGTTCCAGTTTGAGTTGGGCCGCATCAAGGTAGGAGATGGGTTTTTTTGGGGAAATCGGTTAACTCGGAAGTGATAAAGCCCGCCGAGTCATTTACTAGGAATGCAACGTTGGTGACATTTTGAGCAATGGTCCTCCTTCCTAGCACATGTGTCAGAGATGCCAGAGAGATGGCGTGGCCTGTCGAGTTATGTGCTATTAAATATGACCAGTGGCCAAAACATCACCGATTTTATATATATACACATATATGGATTTATTTTAAGGCAATGTCACTGACAAATGTCTAAAATGTTTGTTATTTATGCTTGGGCATCACTGCCAATGCGGTATCACGAAATTTTTTTTTAATGAAATTACTTTTTGGAATAATCTCAATTCGCTGTCCAGTGCAGAGAAGCCTCCCCGGGCGACGTCTCTAACCTCTCCGTTTCTCTCCCCGGCTGTTCCTGCTGCTGCTCATGCTCGTCCTGCTCCTGCTGCTATTGCTGCTACTTCTGCTGCTACTGTTGCTCCACCTGCTGCTGTTTCTGCTGTTATTACTTCTCCTGCGACTACTGCTGATCCTGCTGCTGCTACTGCTGCTATTGCTGCTACTGCTGATCCTGCTGCTGTTGTTACTGCTCCTGCCACTACTGTTGCCCCTGCTGCTACTGCTGCTATTGCTGCTACTGCTGCTCCTGATCCTGCTGCTGTTGTTACTGCTCCTGCCACTACTGTTGCCCCTGCTGCTACTGCTGCTATTGCTGCTACTACTACTGCTACTTCTGCTCCTGCTGCTGTTGTTACTGCTCCTGCGACTACTGCTGCTCCTGCTGCTGCTATTCCTGCTATTATTACTGCTGAAACTTCCGCTCCTGCTGCCACTGCTGCTGCTCCTGCTGCTGCTGCTGTTGTTACTGCTCCTGCGATTACTGCTGCTGCTCCTGCTGCCACTGCTGCTGCTGCTGTTGTTACTGCTCCTGCTGCCACTGCTGCTGCTGCTGTTGTTACTGCTCCTGCGACTACTGCTGCTGCTCCTGCTGCCACTGCTGCTGCTGCTGTTGTTACTGCTCCTGCGACTACCGCCGCTCCTGGCTGCTTTCTCTGCTGCCGCTGCCGCCGCTCCATCTCCATCAACCGGCGCTTCCTCCCCGTTCCCGCCCCCCATGCTTTCCGCCCGTCAGAACGTGATGCCGCTGTCGGCCGGCATGTTCAAGAGCGAGCGACAGCATCCGACGCCGCAGTGCCCACCGCGGCTCGACGTGCAGATGCTCATGCCGGTGCTGTGGAGCCGCACGCCCAACCAGTTCCTGCACGTGGATGTGGCGCGCACGAGCGAGCGCGAGGGCTGGATGGTGGAGTGCACCGATCCGCTCGTCATGATGGCGCTGCACTTCCCCGAGGAGAACAGGTCGCGCGCCGCGGGGCTCCTCCTCCTCCTCCTCCCTCCTCCTCTTTCGCACGGATTGATAACAGCAGAGCAAAGATGCCATCGTGAGATGCGTTACCCGCTCGTCAATTGTCTGTTGGGAAGCAGAGCGGATCTCGTACCCATTCCTCCTTTGACGGAGAGAAGGCAGACGCTGGGCAGGTCGCTTACGATGCGGGTCGGTTGGTTTGGGATCACGTGGCCGCGCACACTCGCAATGCCGCCGGATCTTCCACGGTGCCATTTGTGCATCGGGTGGCCCCGTAGGCCACACGGCGCGGTGCCGATTCGGGTTGATGGTCGGCCATTGGCGGCGTGGACGGTTGACGGGAGGATTGAACCTCCCTTTTTATTTTTGTCAGCAGTGGGACGACAAGAAGGAGAGGTGTTTGTGACCGGGGCCGGATTATCCCAATAGGCTAATAAGGCCTCAGGCTTTCATATTTTTTGGAGGCCCTCCTTTAGGCCCTCCGTTCCACGTTGGATTCCCTATGGAGCGACGGTAGCGAGGACCCACTGTCCTTTAAATAACCGTGACGCAATTCGTGACTTTGCCACAGCTAAACGTAGGGAAAAAGATGTGTTGTTCGCTTGAAGAAATTAGTGCAGCGGATGATGTATGCTCGATGTATTTGCCTTGAGGGAAATAAATGTGTTACTTTTACATAGGTGAAAAAAATATATACGTTTGATGACGTCATCATTTTTCTTAGCAATGTGTAATACATACTTAGGCAACTTCCCTCCTATTAGCCTTAGGCCCCTTAATACAGCCCTGATAGCGACCTGCAGTGTGGCGGTTGCACGCAGTTGATGATTGAGACTAAACGGTCGGTTCGATCGGTTTGTCTCGTCGTTGGGAGATGTGTGTCGGATGGACAGTGGATTGCATTTTTGCAGGGCCCTTAAAATACCACGACATCACAAAAACACCTTGTCTAAAAAAACGCAAGGAAGAGGAATCACACGTGCTCAGTTCTGTGATCTTTAAGGGAAACCTATAAACAATTATACCCACGCACACAAAACATAATCTTAGCAAATTATGAACTTACCTACCTTTTCATAATGTTGTTGATGTCTGCACTTAACAGCTTTCTCATTCACGGGTTCCTTCTCTCCCTCGATACGATCGTGTTAATTATTGCACGGCGTTTCACGATTGCGGTCGTAAGACGGACGACGCCGTAGGGACACTATTAACACATCTCGGGTTTGCGCCCGCCCGCCCGCCCCCCCCACCCCGCTCCCCCCCCTCGACCCACCCAACCGCGCAGGTGCATCGACATCCTGGAACTCTCTGAGCGCATGGACCTGCTCAAGTTCCAGTTCTACACCCTGAAGCTCTACTCGGCGCTGTGCGCCCTGGGCAACAGCCGCGTGTCGCACGCCCTCTGTAGCCACGTCGCCGAGAACCAGCTGCTCTACGCCATCGAGTCCAAGTACATTCCGGGCCTCCTGCGCAGCGGCTACTACGACCTGCTCATCGACATCCACCTGCAGACGTACTCGACGGTCCGCCTGATGATGAGCAACGAGTACATCGTGCCCATGACGGACGACACGTGCAGCATCACCCTGTTCCCCGACGAGAGCAAGCGGCACGGGCTGCCGGGCGTTGGGCTCACCACGTCGCTCCGCCCGCTCATGTACTCGTCCGAGATCAGCTTTGTCAAGTCGCTGGGCAGCGTGTACCAGCACAGCCCCGAGTTCCCGCTCGGCATCCTCAAGGTGAGGCTCTCATCCCCGACCGCCCCCTCCCGCAGGAAGGGCGTGCCGGCGGTCGTGGTGGCGGCGGTGGTGGTCGTGGTGGTAGTGGTGTTAGTGATAGGGGCGGTGGTGGCGGTAGTGGCGGTAGTGGCGGTGGCCGTGGTGGTCGTGGCGGTGGTGGTGTTGATTGGTAGTAGCGGTGGTGGTAGCAGTGGTGTGTTTAGTTTCCTCTCCTTACCCCGCACCTCCGATTAGTTCGGTTGACTACGTACGGTGCTAAAGAAGTTCAACAAACACAACACACACACAACACACACAACACACACAACACACACGCACACGCACGTGTACACACATGCATGAGTTGTAGGGCCCCCGCGTCCGGGCCTGGTTGTTCTCGGCCATTTAATGTGTGGGACCAACTCGCCGCCGCCGCTGCTGTTGCCAACCGCCGCCAACAACAGGTGAAGACGCTAGACATGCTGACGGAGGCCGTGCGCGACGGCGGCTGGCACATCCGCGACCCCGTGGGCAGCAGCACGGAGTTCCTGTTCGTGCCGCTGCTCAAACTCGTGTGCACGTTGCTCGTCATGGGCGTGTTCGGGGACGACGACGTGCGGCACATCCTCCTCCTCATCGACCCCGGCGTCTTCAAGGAGCACAGAGACGAGGAGGAGGAGGAGGAGGAGGTGGTGGGTGTCGACGGGGTCGGGGGGGGGAGCCCGGCGAAGGAGTTGCTGGCGCTGGAAGGCGCCGGGGATGAGGAGGGAGGGGAGAAGGACGATTTTTACGATGACGACGACGAGGAGGACGAGGAGGGGGAGGAATACGACGAAGAGGAGGGGGATGAGAATGTGGAGATGGTCGAGGGAGAGGCGGAGCACGCCGCGTCCAAAGCGAAGGGGAGGAGGGCAGCGAGTAAGAGACGCGGACGCGGCGGTGTGGATGACGAGGTGGAGAAGGAGAGCGGGCGGGAGAAGGAGGCGGACGATGCGGAGAGGAAGGAGAAGGCCGCGGGCGCCGGCGACGGGGAAGGAGAGGAGGAGGTGATTGCCGGCGAGGGCCTGCTCTATATGAAGCTCGTGGAGCCGGTGAAGTTGCAGGTGAGAGGGCGTGGAGGGGAAGGGTGGGCCCAGCCGCTTCGGAATTCGCGAGACTTTTTTATTTAAACCGGCTGAATGGGCTCGAGGTCGGCCGGTTCACTCCGAGGTCGGTCGGCTGGCTTTGTGGTCAGCCGGTTCACTCCAAGGTCGGCCAGCTGGCTCCGAGGACGGCCGGCTGGCTCCGCAGGTCAGCCGGTTCACTCCGAGGTCGGCCAGCTGACTCCGAGGTCGGCCGGCTGGCTCCGAGGTCAGAGCGCTGAGATGCCGGTGTTCAATGCCGGCGGTTGCCCGTTTATGACACTGGGTTCTTAAGTGCAGCGAGTTGATGGTCACCAGTAACCGCTGCAACAACAAAAAAATTACCTTCAACTTGGTTCTGCACTTTGCGAGCATAGAAGAAATGTTTTTTTTTATTTATCATGGCCTCGCCCTGGGCCTGTTGTGGTTCTGTTGCCATCGCAAGGACTCTATTATTCTTGGCAGTAAGAGTCTTTCTGTCAGTGTGCAGCATCTTGGCATTCGGGCACCATTCCGGCGCTTTACAATAAAGGCGCAGGCCTCCAATCCCCTGCTCAAGAACACTGTTGGCGGAGACGGCTCCACTACAGGAAGCTCCAGAGAGCCCCACTAGGGAGGTTATTGTTGGCCTACTCGTGCACACTGGCCAGACATCCCGCAAGGGGTTGGAGTACCCGCAATTCATCCCAACACACACGACCTGCCGATCTACGAACTGGTTGAGCCCATTTCTACTGCTCGGCAGAGGCGGCGATAAGGGGAGTGGGGGAGGGGGGGAATTTAATAAGCTTGTACCGTCGTTGTTTCTACTGCTGCTCCGTGATTTAGAATCGAGCTGCTGACCTCTGAATCGTGAGCCCAGTGTGCTGACCATTAGACACGCGGGAGCGTCCCATGGACGCGATATAACTCAAATTTGGAGCTTGTCGAATCGACGATGCCGGTCGGATCAACGATGCCGGTCGCACCGACCACGCCGGCCGCACCGACCACGCCAGTGGCATCGGCGATGCGGGTCGAACTGACGATGTGGGCCGAGTCACGGCGACATGGGCTGTCGTGTGCCCCCCTGCCTAGATGTGCCACCTTCTGGAGTACCTGTGCGAGTGCCAGCTGCGCCACCGCATCGAGGCGATCGTGGCGTTCTCGGACGCCTTCGTCGCCAAGGTCCAGGCGAACCAGAAGTTTCGCTACGACGAGGTCATGCAGGCGCTCAACATGTCGGCCGCGCACACCGCGCGCAAGACCAAGGAGTTCCGCTCGCCGCCGCAGGAGCAGGTGACTCCGTGGGTCGCGGGGACCCACGGCACGCACACTCGCTCGCTCGCTCGCCCATTGGGCTCGCTCACCTACTCACACACACACAGCCACCACCGCGATAGCCTTACTCTCGCCCTCACGTTCACTCACCCGCTCGCTCACCCGCTCGCTCACCCACTCGCTCACCCGCTCGCTCACACACAGCCACCACCGCGATAGCCTTACTCTCACTCTCATGTCCACTCATCCGTTCGCTCACTCACTCACCTACTCACTCACCCACAGCCACCACCGCTATGGCCTTACACTCACCCTCACATTCACTCACCTGCTCGCTCACCCGCTCGCTCACCTACTCACTCACACACAGCCACCACCGCGATGGCTTTACACTCACCCTTACGTCCACTCACTCACTCATCATACTCTACTCATTCTCATTGCTGCTCGTATTGGGAAAGAGGATGGATCTCCATGCGTGTGTTTGTTATCCAGGTGGGCAGCGTTAGGGTAGAATCACTGCGCTACGAACCCGGCGACCCGAGTACGATTCCTGCTCATGGCCAACGTTGGTGACAAATATCTGAACCGGTCCTGGGCCTCCGCTAGGTCGACTCAAATTGGTTACCTGGTGCGATGTATAACAGTCAGCAATCGAGAGACCAAAGGCGGCCGGGCGTGTTGCTGGCCACTCACTGAACCCTTTGTATGTCTTAAATTTCGATTTAAAGCTTTCGTGACTGCAAGGATTCATCTTCTTTGGTTCTTTCGGTAAAGTCACGTAGAATGTTGCTGGCCACTCACTAAGCCCCAATGAAGCCCTGTCGTCCCGACAGTTTTGTTCCTTCACCTGAAGAAGGCTACTTGTGTTGTGGCCGAAACGTCGTGAGAATTTTATTGTGCTATTTTATTTTATTATTTTATTCTCATTCTACGTGACTTTACCGAAAGAACCTTTGTGTGTTGTGCTGGCATTAATAGGTTGGTCGCTAACAGCACTTGCCCCAAGTCTGTTAAAGACTTTATGGGGGATCTTTGTCATTGTTGTGCAGGTCAACATGCTGGTCAGCTTCAAGAACATTTCGGAGGATGAGGAGAGCCCATGTCCTGATGAGGTTCAGGAGAAACTGGAGAATTTCCATCATGATCTGCTGCTGCATTGCGGTGAGTGCATCCTCTATTGTGTACGAAATATACGTACCATCAGTGGGTAGTGAAGATGCCAGGACATGGAATGTACGATCTGTGGTAAGTGAATCTGCTAGAATATGGAATATATACCCTTTGTGGGTAGTAAATATGCCAGGATATCATGATGATCATAATGATGATGATCACAATCATCATTATCATCATCGATGCTTTATATTAATGCCATGTCCGTGGCAGGGGATTACCGGTGGCAGCTGTCCCTGTGAGGCAGAATATGAATGCAGAACCGGCCTGTAAGTGGCCATTGCGCTGTGACTTTGCCCCATGAAGCACTTTGCGAGTCGTTGGAAACAAATAACCAAAAATTGGACCATGATGTCGTGGTCCAAATCAAGCGACCTCCGCTTTCAACACAGCGTGGGGGAAGTCTTCGTCCAGCAGCGGATCGGAAATTATATTATACGGCTGCCAATGGTGGCGAGATGTTAATTACCTTGCCAGGTATATAGGAGGTCGTGGGTTCGATCCCGACCCTGACAGCTGGTGTATATTGGGAATTTGCGTGTCTCCCTCCCCGTGGTCGTGTGAATTTTTCTCCGGGTCCTCCGGTTTTGCCCTCCGCATTTAGAATCCATGTGCCATTCTGGTATTTGGCTGCTATATATATAAAAAAATCCACGTGATAAGCCACTTCCTTGAGCTATCATTTGTGGCCAGGTCACTTCTGAAAAAGAGCTGTATAGCTCAGTGGGCCTTACCTGGTAAAATAAAAATATCGTTAAGTTTCATTGATGGTAGTGATGGTGCAAAGGTGAATGTAGCGGTGGCAATAGCGGTGGCAGTCGTGGTGGAGATGCCGATGATGACGATGACGACGACGATGACACCGGCGCTGCTTGGCCAGGATTTGAGCTTGAGGTGGAGGAGGAGGAGGAAGGGGAAGCTGACCCGTCGTGGCGCGGGAAGCTGATGTCCCTGGTGGAGCGCGTGAAGAACCTGCGCAAGGCCAAGGAGGAGGATAAGCCTCAAGACGAGGAGGAGAAGAAGCCGTGTGAGTCTCGGGGCGGATGGCAACGCCCACAGGCCCAAGCCTCGCGTACAGACGCACGTCATCTCCTGCGAATTCACCGTAAACGTTCTCCACGTAATATTGACGGCCCCCACCCCCATACAAATCTCCTCCTCTCCCAACCAATTCCTATCCCTTCCACCCCTCTCCTTCTCCACCTTGCTCTCCGGTCTCCTCCCCTTGTACACACTCCCCTCCACTGCCCTGCCCTCTACCCCTTCCTCTTCACTACCCCTCTACTCTGATCCCTACCCCCACTCACCACCTCTCCCCCCACTCACCTCATTTCCCCACCCCACCCCACCTCTCTCCTCCCCCTCCTCCTCCTCCACCTCCTCCACCTCGTCCCCCAGCCACGCTGCACGAGCTCATCTCGACGGTGATGATCCACTGGGCGCAGGAGTCGCGCGTGGCCGACCCCGAGCTGGTGCGCGCCATGTTCGGCCTGCTCCACCGGCAGTACGACGGCATCGGCGAGCTGATGCGCGCGCTGCCCAAGACGTACACCATCAGCGGCAACTCCACCGAGGACACGCTCGACCTCCTAGCCTCGCTCGGGCAGATCCGCTCGCTGCTCCGCGTGCGCATGGGCAAGGAGGAGGAGCAGCTCATGATCCGCGGCATTGGGTGATGCAGCACGGGGATTTGATGGGGTTCCGTATAAAAACAATCTATATGATTGCCTAACCGCCGTTATTAACGTTGATAGCCATGGTCACGTGTTAAATCTGTTTAGGCTACTTACTATACAGGAACTCCTGCACTTGTGAACTTTCAGAGATACGGACAAACGTGTCCGTGTGTCCAGCTGCCTGTTCGGACCGAGAGTCGTAAGTTCAACCGCCACGCAATAGATGGCACCTACGTCTGCAGAACGTGAAGAACCAGTGGCATCTGCATTCCCCGTCTTTAGTGTACATGCCGAACAACACGTTTGGAATCGACAGGGGTAAAGTTGGACTTGCGAACAGACCTCTCGAACCGAACTCGTTCATAAGTAGAGGAGTCCCTGTACTGTCTTCTGCTGCTGCCTGTCTCAGCCCTGGAGGTTTTGTAGTTATTCTCACGCGATGCATCCCCTGGAATCCACCTGCTAAGTCCCGGATCAGGTGTGGGCGCCACCACGCGAGGTGTGGAATTACGAAGTGAGGGAGCGGTAGTGGAGCGGTTGGCGGTGCTGCGCCATGAAGCCGGCCACCCGAGTTCGATTCCCGGTCTCGACCACCAACACCAGTGACTGTTATCTGAACCAGTCCTGGGCCTCCCCTAGGTCGACTCAGCCTCAAATGAGTACCCGTTGCGGTGTGTAAACATCGCCAGTGGGAAGACAATTGCCGCCAGGCGTGATGCTGTCCACCCACAACCTCGTGTGCCGTGCCGGCCTTCACAGGTGCTAGCCAACGGCACTTGCCCCAACAGTCTGTTTTCATTCACAATTAATTAGTCTCCCTCCTGGCGCGTGCAGCAACATCATGAACAACAAGCTGTTCTACCAGCACCCTAACCTGATGCGAGCCCTGGGGATGCACGAGACGGTCATGGAGGTGATGGTGAACGTGCTGAGTGGAGGCGAGGGTCAGGTGAGCGTTTGTTTCCCACCCAAGTTTGTGTTAAGTTTTACGCCTTCAAAAGCAAAGGTCACAATGCCGTGCCACGGTGTGGCTCCTTTAAAGGCCAACCATCGGCGGCAATCGTTGGCGGAAATGATGCCAGCGCCGTTTTGTATCGAACACGTATGCCCGCATGCATGTCGAACTTCTTTCGCGCCGTACGTAGCCAACCGTGCTGAACGGAGGCGCGGGAAAATATATAGCTAACCAAATCTGCACTGATCTAATCAGTCGCTCCGCCTAGTGGACAACTGGGATGTCAGCCTCCAATCAGGTCGTGCAGAGAGGTCACGTGACTGCCCAAGGTTATGTGTTCTGTACACCAATCGGAGGCTCAGGTCTCCTTTTCAGGATAGGCTTGCCAAGTTTTCTCAGTCGGGGGCGATTTTACACTATGATCACGGTTCAAAAAAATAAAAGAACCACAGTGAGAATAATCCAAAAGTTAGACACGTTTAAACGTGAAACTCAGCCCTACTACTTTCCCTGTGTTCAAATCGTTTTTGAGTTCTTTAGGTCTCAATGCAAAACGACAGCACTTGGCCTTTCCGGCCTAATGAGGTGGTGACACTGCCCGGCGGTAGCGCGCTCGTCGCTTGTTGCAGAGGTTCGTGGTTCGAATGCGGCGGCCACCCTGGTTAATGCTGCGCTGTGTGTTAGCCGCTATAATACTGCTGCACGAAGTTTGCTTCACTCACAGTGGACGGTAAAGCGGTAAAGATCCCCTGACATAATTCGCAAGAGTAGGCCGCCGTGTGCTGGCATCGTGGTCCAAATTTTGCCTAATTAGAAAATTAATAAATTCGGGTTTTACACACAGCAGCAATCGCCGCCCCCAGCTGGCAGACTCATGCCCCGGGTCACTCTCGCAAATGAGACTCTTAAACCATCACCCAAAAACTCCGCTCATCCTCACAGCAGCTCTTGGCTAGCCGTCGAACAAAGACGGTCACCGTGTCGCGCGCTTTCAGACGTTCCTCTGTGGCTGTCTGGAATGCTCTTCCGATATCTAGGACGTCACTGGAGCTATGCACTTTTACATCTAGATTGAAAACTAATTTCTTTAGAACTGCTTTTTGTGTCCGGCTTTTTGTCCTTCCCCCGCAGCTCCGATTAGCACGGTTGGCTATGTACGGTGCAAAAAGAAGTTCACCATGCATACACGCAGATTCTTTTTACAGAATGAGAATATTATACTGGAGGAATCCGATGAGCTATAAAGCTATTTTTCACAGATGTCCAGTAGGGTTGGGCAAGAACGTTACAACATCAAACAAGACATACTGGCCCCTAGAGTTCCTCACTCGGTTACACACAAGAACACTTGTAACTCCTTTCACTTGGAGGACTTCGTCACAATTCTGACTAATCGCCTGATGAAGCTGGTTGTTGTAAGCACCCCGCGAAACGTCGTACTCGAATTGTAAACATCGTGGGTTTACTCTCCAACACACAACCGGTGTGCTGAAGTAGTCCCCAATCGGTCACGTTTTGTTTTTCTGTTTGTTTACGTGACAAAACCTTTACCAATTGGCCGCGTCGGGCGGTGGCGAGTTATAATGACACGTTTATATGTACGTGATCTAACCCCCCCCCAAAAAACAAAAACATTCTTTTATCAAGATAACTTGGTTATTGATGTGCCCCCTCCTCCTCCTCCTCCGCCGCCCCCCCCCCCCCACCCACAGGAGATCACCTTCCCTAAGATGGTGGCGAACTGCTGTCGATTCCTCTGCTACTTCTGCCGCATCAGCCGGCAGAACCAGAAGTCCATGTTTGAGCACCTGAGCTACCTGCTGGAGAACAGCAGCTTCGGGCTGGGCAACGGTGAGCCGCTCCCGTTGGCGTGCCCGTCAACCGATCTCCGGGCCCCCGTCCAGCGCATCACGACGACAATGAAATGTTAAACTAAGAACCGCACTACGAAGCAATTTTTATTTTATTTCATCAGGTCAGGCCCACTGAGACGACGTAAGCTTCGTTTTCCGAAGCGACCTGGCCACAAATGATTGCTCAACGGAAGTGACTGATTACGTGGACATTTATAGCAGCCAAATACTCTAAATGCATGTTTCTAAATTTGGAGGGAAAAACCTGAAAATAAATCCATGTGACCATGGGCAGAGAGACATGCAAACTCCAAATATACAGCAGGCGTCAGGGTCAGGGTCGAACCCACGCGCTGCATACCAGGCGACGTAGTTAACATCTCGCAACAATGGCGCCCATATAATAAAAGTGCCCATCCACTGCCGGACGAAGACGAAGACGTCTCCTCGCTGTGTCCAAAGCGGGGGTCGCTTGCCCGTACTTTGCCACGCTGGTCCAGTGCAGTTTGGCGAATGGGGGTGAGGGAGGGGGGCCTAGAGCCGGGTTTTTTAGTATCGCTCGCCACTGTTGTGCGTTTTGAAGCGAGAGAACCGCTAATCGTCGCACCACCCCACCCAACCCCCCTCCCCCCAAGACGCCAGTTGCTCGGGGGTTGCGACTCCGAGTTGATTTATCGACGTAGACGATTTCTCGCGGCTCGCCGTGCAAGAATGAATATCCTTCGATTCCTCCAAATTGTATGCAAAAGAGCCGCGGAGTAAGGCGCTATAGAAATGTGGTTACGGTGAGGAACGATATTCTCACGTTGCACGGAGGCTCATGGCGTCGGCAGTACCGCTCAAGCGAGATGGGAAACGGCGGTGGTGTTGGCGGTCGCAGCACGCCTGTGATTATCGCTTTATGAGCGCCACGGTGGCAAGATCTTTACTACCTCGCCTGGTGTACAGGAGGTCGCGGGTACGATCCCGACCCGTGACGCCTGCTGTATATTTGGAGCTTGCGTGTCTCTCTCTCTCCCCGTGGTCACGTGGATTTTTCCTCCGGGTCCCTCCGGTTTTTATCTCCACGTTAATAATCAACATCACGCGTTTAGAGTGTTTGTCCGCTATACATTTCCACATGATGATGAGCCACTTCGTTCAGCTACCATTTGTGACAGTCAGGTCGCTTCTGAAAAAGAGCTATATTTATCTCAGCGGGGCCTCACCTTGTTAAAATAAAAATGGTTTAGTCTTTAAGTTTAGCTTTGTCGTGCCTCCTAGCTAACCACCACTCCCCCCCCCCTGGCATTACTTTACAGCGTCGTTTGGAATCAAGGGATCGACGCCCTTGGATGTGGCGGCGGCGTCCGTGATGGACAACAACGAACTCGCTCTCGCCTTGACGGAACCCGACCTGGAGAAGGTAAGTGTGGTGCCCAACGGCGCATTGCCACGTGCCACCCAACGGCACATTGCCACGTGCCGACCAACGGCGCATTGCCACGTGCCGACCAACGGCGCATTGCCACGTGCCGACCAACGGCGCATTGCCACGTGCCGACCAACGGCGCATTGCCACGTGCCGACCAACGGCGCATTGCCACGTGCCGGAAGGCTGTAGACTCTCGCGGAGCTTGCACGGTGGACGGCCTGAAGGCAACGGCGGCGGAATCCATCGCTGTACTGCACTACTACGCTCCCACGTCTACGCTCCCGTGACTTTCACCTGTCCCGCGCTGACCAGCTTGGCAATGTGTTGTCGTTGCAACTCGCACGATGCGGGGATGCCCTCAATCAGCAGCGGATTGAGCAAGGGATGTAAATTTGTATTATTATTATTGTTATTATTATACCACATGGCAAAGTGCAGTCCTTAACTCCGAGCCCATGAATTTGGCTGTCTTCTCTTTCTGTCCTCTGCAGAAGCCCACTAGTCACAGAAGTTAACATGTGACTCTACTCGTGTCTGCTAGGTGGGGGCCCACTGTTAAGTTGAGCGGCCTTGTCACCTCAGTCCGGTTTGTGTCCACGATTGTGGAGCACCCAGCGTGTAAATGATGAGAGACATAAATCCACCGAGGCAGAAGCGCAGTGCAGGCCGGACTAACGGAACAGCACGCGGTCACGTGCTCGTAAAAGAACACTCCGCCTGAGCGGTCCCCGAAGCGATGCATCGAGGCTGTTGAGGATGCTGGGTGGTAATCACAAATACCCGTGACTAAACAGACACGAGCGAAAGTTTTCTCGGAATTCTAGTTGAAAAACTAATTTTTTTTCTTTTAGGACTGCTTTTTTGTGTTTCAGTTTTGTTGTGCCTCCACCCCCTCCACCTCCCCCGCACTTCCGATGATGCACGGTTGGCCGCACGCGGCGCTGAAGAAGTTCAGCATTCGTACAACGCAGAGCTGACTGGGCGGCCGTGCGCGGCCGCCCAGTCGCGGCATCGCGCCTTAACCCGCGCACGCCGCGCGCCTGCGCGTGTCCGTCCTGCGCATGCAAGGTGGTGAAGTACCTGGCGGCTTGCGGCCTGCAGAGCAGCCCCATGCTGCTGGCACGCGGGTGGCCCGACATCGGCTGGAACCCCATCGAGGGCGAGCGCTTCCTCGACTTCCTCCGTTTCGCCGTCTTCGTCAACGGTGAGCAGCGCCGGCCGGCGTTGGCCGCGGCCTGGGCAGGGTTATCGCCGGCTTTGTACGTGAAAGAAAAAAGAAAAAAAAAAGGGGTTAACACTATGAGCGGTATTTTTATTTGAGCAGGCAAGGCTGTGCACGGCTCGTTTTCAGAGGCGACGTGGCCATCGCAAACGACAGCTCAACGAAGCGGCTTATCGTCGCGTGGAAATGTATGGCGGCCAAAATACTCCGAACGGCACGTTGATGCTAAATGTGGAGGGAAAAAGCGGAGGAACCGGAGAAAAATCCACGCGGCCACGGGGAGAGAGACGCACAGACTCCAAATATACAGCAGCAGCAGCAGGCGTCAGGGTCGGGATCGAACCCACGCCCTCCTGCACAACAGGCGAGGTAGTTAGCATCTCGCCGTGGTAATAACCAGGGCGGCCGCACGGTCTGAACCGACGCCACCGACGCGAAACTGGCGGTCGGGACGCGAGCTCGGCTTGACGCTAGTGCCCCCCTCCCCCACGCCCCCCGCGTCGCTGTCCCGCGCGCGTGCAGGCGAGAGCGTGGAGGAGAACGCCAACGTGGTGGTGCGGCTGCTCATCCGGCGGCCCGAGTGCTTCGGGCCGGCGCTGCGCGGCGAGGGCGGCCAGGGCCTCCTCCTGGCCATCGAGGACGCCATCAAAGTGGCGGAGGAGCCCGACCGCAGCGCCCCGCCGGTGGCAGGCCACAAGCGCGGAGCGCCGTGAGTCGGCCGCGCTGTTACGCTGGCGCGCGTGTTACATGCCGGGCGTTACACTCGCACGCGTGCTACACGCCACGTGTTACTCTTACACGCGTGCTACACGCCGCGTGTTACTCTCAATCGCGACGATCCGTTCGTTTTGGCCGTGTCGGGGTGGTGGAAGGCTTTGACCGCACAAACTTGGTGGGATCATTAGGTGGCGGGACCCTAAAATCACCAATGGGTCGTGCACGCATGTCAACGTGTACACGTACAGACACCGTGTCAACACACGCGTACTCGAATGCCTCTCACGTGCTGGGCAGTGGTTCGATTGCTGGCCACGGGCTAACATCGGTGGCGAGTGAAATCTGAATTAGTTCTAGGCCCCCCACTCCCGCCCGCCCCCCGCGTATGGTTAAACAACGCCAACATGGTGCGGAAAGACCTTCATCCAGCAGGGGAATTGACAAAGGGGCTGTAAATTATTATTATTATTATTTGCAAATACAAACAACGGAAATGTTAGACTGAATTTTGCTCAAAGTGTCTCCATGCTCGAATGAGCGACGGTGCAATGCCCATGGTCCTTGGCAGCCTTTGAGGAGGCAGTGGAAGTCCCACGTGGGTGGGGACTGTCCCCATTGGACGGCCACTGTCGACTTCTCAACATTGTGGAGGACTCGTGGGCACGGTCGACCCTGGTCAGAGTTGACCTCTTGCCGACCTCCGTCCGAGTGCGGTTTTCCGGGGTTGGGGCTGCGTGTTGAGCATCGTCACCTCCCCAAACATTTCGCCACCGCGAGCGCCCGCCCGCCTGCCCGCCCGCCCGCCTGCGGGCATCTTCAAACTCAATTCCCGAAGCTGCCCGCGGTCGTGCGTGGGCGCAACGCTCGAGAGAGAAGAGAATGCAGTCGTCCCTCGAGGCAACAGCGACATCATTGTGGCACCTCCCTTGCGAGTGTCAAAATATAAGAATCGGTTTTACCCTTTCCGGCAATAAAGCAGTTGTGTTCAGATGTTAACACAACAAACTGACACCTTTTGCAAGGAATTATGTCTGCATTAACCACACGTACCTGGGGTGAACATGGAAACAAAAAATATGCTCTTGTGGTATGTGCATTGCCATGATGTAGCTGCTCACCCAGAGCTCTCAATGCCCTGATAGTGGCATTGCCTTTGTGCTGTCCGTCTTTTGGCGTTGTCCTCTGGTCTAACACTGTTTGAGACTAGGCTCTAAAGAAAGCTGTCTCTGGTGTGGACCAATCAGTTTAGAAGACAATGCACATACTACCAGAGCATGTGTTTTGTTTATATGTTCACCACAAGTATATGTGGTTAATGCAGACATGATTCCTTGCAAAATCTATCAGTTTGGTGTTTTAACATCTTAACACAACTGTTTTATTGCCAGAAAGGGTGAAACCTATTCTTATAACGGTGACATTGGTTAACAATTTTTCGGTGAACGTTTCGCCTCCAATAGGACCCCCATTGGGTTTTGACTAACGTTAACATTTTGATTAACGGCATGTTTACGTTACACACGTGGGGGGGGGGGGCAATTTTGGCCAATCCAAGCGCCCGTAAGTTGGGTCGAGCCGTGCCCGCAGCCAATCAGCGACGGCCATTCATGAGCGTTTGTACCTCGACCGGCTTTGTTAACATTGCGTTATCCATACTCTTTGGTGCTTTCGGTAAAGTCACGTAGGTATAAAATAAAATAAATACAATAAATTGTGATTTACAATAAATTGTGATTTGTTTTATTTTCTACCTACGTGACTTTACCGAAAGAACCAAAGAGTATGGATCTCTGCAGTCACGAAAACTTCAAATCTAGATTACGTTATCTGCTTTGGCAGTGGTAACAGCTCTCTTGCAGACTCAGTGATTGTCTTTACCGTATTTTTCAACTCATAAGTGAATTCGATGAACAGTTATTCCGGTCAACAGTAGTTTTCGTGGAACGGAGCAAAGGCGTCAACCGAGGGACTCCTGCCATGCTCAGCACGCGACCCGACCCAGAAAGCACACGCACACTTTTGATCACTGGCAAAAGAACCCCCACTTGGCGGAGCTCGAGAGAGAGCCCCCCCCTCCATCGAGAGGGTATTTGTAAAACTCGCACAAATGTACATTAACATTGCATCCCCACTTTGTGTAACATTTCTATTCGCTGTCCAGAATTCCGTAAGTGCCGCCACCTCTGCCCTTATTACATTTCTGCGTTGCCGTCTTTTTTTGTTTGTCCTCCTTTTGCCCCCTTTCTGACACCTTCTGTCGCCGGCCTCCAGTAAATCCAGGAGCCGCATCGAAGACTTTGCTCAAAAGAGCAGTGCCATGGGGTAATCATTCCGGTCGCACGGTTTTGCATCGCGCCGAGAGTCCTTTCTAACCCTCACCCCCCTCGGGAGACTGCATCGTGGGACTGCAAACCCCCCACAGATACCTCCCCCCACCCCCACCCCCCAACTCCACATATATCTCGCGCCACATAAGCAGCTCCTTAGAATTTGACGGCTCCTCGACCGACAGCTTCTCCCCCCCTCCCCCCCCGCCCATGGAGTACGGGAAATACTTCTCGCTGCTGCTTATGTGGCCTGCGATATTTAACGTGGGCTAGAGCGTTCCACGCGGGTGCTGCAGTTTGTCGTCTCTGTAACCTCCACGGTTAATAATCCCCGCGCGTGTGTCTGTGCAAACCTAGTGTACGTGTGATTGCCACTTTGTCTCCCTTACGTTCTTAATACCCCCGGAGGCCCATGTTCAACAGTGAATATCGGCGCGTAATGCTTTGTTGCCCAAGGAGCATAAACCATCACGCGCACTGCGGTCATCCCCGTGGTTGTAGGGTGGTGACGTCGCCTTCGTTTGCGCGGACGCGAAGGGTCAATTATTTTCGCGTAACTGGATCATTCAAAAAATCGGAAAAATACCCCCGAAATTGGCCCAAACAATGCGCGCGTGTTCATATGACGCTCATCCCCAGTAGAGGCCGATCACGGCAACTGCGTTTGAGAACTGAACATGGACGGAGAAAAAACGGCATCGGCCGTTTCCAAAGCCGCATTCGCTTGCATGCGGTGTCAATTTCCAAATTCGAATAAATCACACACCGCATGTTTTCTCAATTGAGATCACACACACAGCAGCAATTATGACTCCTCCTCCTCCCCCCATCCCACCCTTACCGGTAGACTGATACCCGTTAGCAAGCCAGGTGCCGAGTCGCCCTGTGCCACACACCGGGACAGCTGCCACTGGGGGTGCCCTCTCAAATGCGTTGAGACGCACGTGTCGTACAGCACTCCGAGGCTCCCCGGTGTATAACAGACACTATATCAAAAACAGATGCTCACACACACACATCCATAAACATCAGATGTTTATGGATGTGTTTTTTTTTCACTTCACGTAACCTTATTTTGTACGGAAGGGCAATCACATTTCGAGAGGTGCGGAAGGGTATGTGCGGCAGTAAAGTGTTGATGGTCTCGTAAAGAACCATGGTTGCGGTTTTGGCACCGGGTGATTCAAGAACTCAGCTGATTTTGACCCTGGTGCACATTGCCCGTGATTATAGCGCTAAACACGTCAGCGGATCGTGTTCTTGGCTCCCGTTTCACGAGGGGCTCCTGCGTTGCACAGTTTGGGCAATTTTTTTTAGCATTTAGTGTTTGGCTTAAACTGAGCTAAACTTTTTTTGTGACCAGGTAAAAGAGCCCTGTGAGCTCTTTGTCAGAGGCGGACCTGGCCACTCATGGTATCTCATCGCAGTGGCTCGTCATCATCATCATCACCACCACCACGTGGGGATGTTTTAGTAGCAAATGATAGCTCAACAAAGTGGCCCACCATTTGGACATTTAAAGCAGCAAAACAATCTAAATAATCCAATGCATGATTCCAAACGCGGAGGGCAAAAAACCTCCGGAGGATCCCGGAGAAACATCCACGCGAGAGAGAGAAAACGCTCGGACCCCAAATATACAACAGGCGTAGCCAGGTTCCGGGATCGAACCCGCGAACTCCTGCGTGCCACGCGAGGTCGATAACGTCTCCTCGCCACCGAGGCACGCAGGCTCAGAGTTTGCCGGAGAAGACCCACGCATGCGAGGAGAGAACGCACAAATCTCTGGCACAGATAGGGCAGCAGCCTATTTGATGAGCTTTCTCGTCGAGGCACTAACATTGATTTCCTCCACCCCGACGCCACGGGGCTGCTGTGGTGAGAAGTTCCCATGGTAGTCACAGGAATTGACGTAGAGCTTCACGTGTGCGATGTTTAAAGTTTGAGAACGCGGCTGCGTATGCCATTGAATTGTGGGGGCTCTTTGAAAAGGCGGTATCCGGCCAATCACGCGAGAGCCTTTGAGGTCATGACCTTCGTTGCGAGAGACAACACTATTATACGGAGACCTTAAGAGCATTTCATTGGCTTCTAAGTGCCCTTGTAAACGCTTCACCTGTTTCCAAATTTCTTCCAATTCTTCTCTCGGCGGAATCTAACAGAGATTGCGGTGTTCATTCGGAACGCTTGCAAAGCACGAACCGCCCGTCCTAGAGAACGGCCCGCAGAAAGAGATGTCACAGAACTACTTGGGAGGTCCCCTTCCAGTGGCTTCTTACCCGTTCTGTCAGCCACTGCACTTTCAAACACACCCTGCCGCAACGACAAGTTTGTTCCATTTTTAAAAATAATTTTAACCAATATATAAGTAATATTATTCAAAATTAACTCGTGAACCATGAGTATTTAGATTTATTTTTGTACAACACGCCAGTGGTGACTGGGTCTAAACCATCAACTTGTCACACCTAAGAACCCGGTTTTATCACTATTCAATCTATGCGAGTCTGAGTCTCTATGCGAGTCTATTGGTCTCTATGTGAGTCTATGGGTGTTTATCTGAGTCTGTGGGTCTCTATGTGAGTGTAGATCTCTATGCAAGTTCTTTGAGTCTGTACGTGAGTCTATGGGTCTCTATGCGAGTGTGTGGGTCTCTATGCGAGTCTATGGGTCTCTATGCGAGTCTATGGGTCTCTATGTGAGCCTTGGGTCTCTATGCGAGTCTATGGGTCTCTATGCGAATCTGTGGGTCTCTATGCGAGTCTATGGGTCTCTATGCGAGTCTATGGGTCTCTATGTGAGCCTTGGGTCTCTATGCGAGTCTGTGGGTCTCTATGCGAGTCTATGGGTCTCTATGCGAGTCTATGGGTCTCTATGCGAGTCTGTGGGTCTCTATACGAGTGTGTGGGTCTCTATGCGAGTCTATGGGTCTCTATGCGAGTCTATGGGTCTCTATGCGAGTCTGTGGGTCTCTATGCGAGTCTGTGGGTCTCTATGCGAGTCTGTGGGTCTCTATGCGAGTCTATGGGTCTCTATGCGATTCTGTGGGTCTCTATGTAAGTCTGTGGGTCTCTATGCGAGTGTGTGGGTCTCTATGCGAGTCTATGGGTCTCTATGCGAGTCTGTGGGTCTCTATGCGAGTCTGTGGGTCTCTATGCGAGTCTATGGGTCTCTATGCGATTCTGTGGGTCTCTATGTAAGTCTGTGGGTCTCTATGTGAGTCTGTGGGTCTCTATGCGAGTCTATGGGTCTCTATGTGAGTCTATGGGTCTCTATGCGAGTCTATGGGTCTCTATGCGAGTCTGTGGGTCTCTATGCGAGTCTATGGGTCTCTATGTGAGCCTTGGGTCTCTATGCGAGTCTATGGGTCTCTATGCGAGTCTATGGGTCTCTATGCGAGTCTATGGGTCTCTATGCGAGTCTGTGGGTCTCTATCTATGCGAGTCATTCGTGACCGAGCCGAGACCATCGACTCGCTCCACTTGAGAACCCGGTTTAATCACAGGCAGCGGCTGGAACCTGGTCTGGAACTCAGGTTTCTCGGCCATGGTGGTGGCTCAGCGTCTCCTGAATCCTGAACCGCCCGGTCACCCCGTCCCCCATGTGAACTTGCATGCTCGATTGTGAGTCTGCTCACACGCCGTTACATCTTTTCGCATCTAAATTAACAACACAAGCTCGAGGAAACTAACGACGAATTGCACTTTGAACTGTTTAACGACCCTATTTAGTTGCGTGTGTGTGGCGTTGTCCCATATTCTCATCGCATCCCTTAACAGGTTTTCAGTTACAACCCTTACCCACACGTTCCTTCGCGTAGGGGATTGAATTAATGATTTTTTTTAAGTCGGTTTGTTTAATGCTTGTGTTTTTTTAAATTGTCTTTCTCCCTAAAGTTGCCATTCACTTTCCAGATGTGAAGCAGAGTAGTGTTTGTTGTTATTATGCAGTGTGTGTGTGTAGTGCGTGTGTTGGTGTGTAGGTAATCTGTGTATGTGTATGCAAATAACAGCTTTGCAATGGAGGCACACGTGTGTGTGCATACGAGTGTGTGTGTGCTTGTGCTTTTTGTGTAGGTGTCATGTGTTTGCGTGTATGTGTATGCAATTGTGTGTGTGTAGTGCGTGTGTAGGTAGTCTGTGTGTGTATCACAGTGTATGCAGTGTGTGTGTAGTGCGTGTGTAGGTAGCCTGTGTATGCAATTGTGTGTAGTGTGTGTGTAGTGCGTGTGTAGGTAGTCTGTGTGTGTGTATGCAATTGTGTGTAGTGTGTGTGTAGTGCGTGTGTAGGTAGTCTGTGTATGTGTATGCAATTGTGTGTAGTGTGCGTGTGTAGTGCGTGTGTAGGTAGTCTGTGTATGTGTATGCAATTGTGTGTGTGTGTAGTGCGTGTGTAGGTAGTCTGTGTGTGTATGCAGTGTGTGTGTGTACGTAATCTGTGTGTTTGTACATAGTGTGTGTGTACGTAGTGTGTGTGTGTGTACGTAATGTGTATGTAGTGTGTGTACGTAATGTGTGTGTGTGTACGTAGTGTGTGTGTACTTAATGTGTACGTAGTGTGTGTGTGCGTAGTGTGTGTACACGTGTGTAGTGTGTGTAGGTAATCTGTGTGTGTATGCAGTGTGTGTGTGTACGTAATCTGTGCGTTTTTACATAGTGTGTGTGTGTACGTAGTGTGTGTGTGTGTACGTAATGTGTATGTAGTGTGTGTACGTAATGTGTATGTTTGTACATAATGTGTGTGTGTGTACGTAGTGTGTGTGGCACAAGCGTCGTGGTGACATCACCGCCACTTAGTGGCGAATGGCGGTTGTTGTTGTGTCAGGTGTACTTAATGTGTACGTAGTGTGTGTGTGCGTAGTGTGTGTACACGTGTGTAGTGTGTGTAGGTAGTCTGTGTGTGTATGTCATTTGTGTGTACGTAATAATGTGTGTGTGTACGTAGTGTGTGTGTATATGTAGTGTGTGTTTGTACGGAATGTGTGTGTGTGTACGTGGTGTGTGTGTGTAGTGCGTGTGTAGGTAGTCTGTGTGTGTACGTAGTGTGTATGGTGTCTGTAGGTAGTGTGTGTGTGTACATAGTGTTTGTGTGTACGTAGTGTGTGTGTGTGTACGCAGCGTGTGTGTATGTGCGTAGTGTGTGTGTGTAGTGCGTATGAATGTAACGTCGGTGATGACGATGCAGGCGTTGAGATGCAATGTTGCCCAGGGTCAGCACGGAGGACGAGGAGGTGGGGAAGAGGTCGTTCCACATCGGCCACGCCATCCTCTCCTTCTACTCGGCCCTCATCGATCTGCTCGGGCGCTGCGCCCCAGAGATGCACGTGCGTGAGCCGCGGTCATTTAACAACGCAAGATGTTCGGGGTGGGGGGGGGGCCCAGACCATTTAGGGCTTCAGAGCACCGAGCCGGCACCGCCCGTGATCCTCGGTTCGATCGCGGGCAGAGACGGCCAGAGTTAAGCCAAGTTTTTCAAGTGCAGCGAATTGACGGGACCTCCAATCATTTCATTAACCCTTTCCCATTCCGATGACGTACGCACGTGCGCCTCATCGGTTTTTTTTTTCAAACTCGACAAAATTTGGACCATGGTGCGAGCACGCAGTGGCACCTACTCGCGCGAAAAACGCCACGGGATCTTCAACGTCCGCCGTAAGGCTGAAGAAGCACAGTCATCTGACCCTTGACCCCCATCTGGCCACCTCCATAATTACGTGTCAACCCTTTTACCGTTCCGACACGCCTTGCAAGTTGCAGGGTCAGGGCGGCGTCCCGTTCACCTCTGAATCTGGGAACGCGCAAGCGGCTCAGCTACAACGGTGACAAGTTTACAGCGGAGAGCCACGCGGCAATAGCCGCGAAAACCTCAGCGCTAGCTCACAGCGGGAAGGCCCTCACCCCCCCACCCGCTCCCCTTTCTTTGCCTGACGTGTTGCCTACAGCTGATCCAAGCTGGGAAAGGAGAGGCGCTGAGAATCCGAGCGATCCTACGATCCCTGGTGCCCCTGGAAGACTTGGAGGGGGTTATCAGCATCACATTCAACATGCCCGCCATCGGGAAAGGTGCCGCCACCCCCGCCCGCTCCCCCCCGCCTCTCTGGGTGTCTGAGTTGCCAGGCTTTTTGTACGTACGCACGTCGAAACTTCGTTCGCGCCACATGGAGCCAACCGTGCTAATCGGAGGTGCGGCACAAAAGGACTCCCAACTGCGGCCGAATTTTTTGCTTTGTTTGGTAGTTCAATCTTCGTCATGGTCATTATTATATATATATTTTTAAACGGTTGTTGAGCGCAGTTCCCGAGGGCGATAGCGTTTAAGCGGCCGGCAACAAACGGCGACGCCATAGCTGTGACAGACGGCAGTTCGGATGTCGAGAGAAGTTTTCCGAGAGTTTTTGTGAAAACGGACGCGGGGGAGTTGGGCTATGGCACGGGGAACGAAAGCTGAGAGCTTCTCGCAGGATGAGTGATTTAGCCGCCGTTCCGTGACGGGTCACTTGAGATGTCCGTGGTTTTAATGTGTCGATCGTTTGAGCAAAGGGCACAAAGGTGTGGAAACGCAAATCTCTCTCCATCTCTCCGTCTCTCTAAATTAAGATTCTGATTCTGAGAGTGAATGTGAGTGGGTGAGAGTGAGTAAGTGGGAGAGAGTGTGAGAGTTAGTGTGAGAGTTAGTGAGTGTGAGAGTTAGTGAGTGTGAGAGTTAGTGTGAGAGTAAGTGAGTGTGTGAGAGAGAGTGAGTGGGAGAGTGAGCATGTGTGTGTGGGAGAGCGTTAGAGTGAGTGTGTGAGAGTTCGCAAGTGTGACAGTTTGTGAGTGTGAGAGTTTGTGAGCGGAAGAGAGAGTGAGAGAGTGGGATCGTGAGATAGTGAGTGGGAGAGTGTGAGAGTGTGAGATTTAGTGAGTGTGAGAGACAGTGATTGAGTGTGAGATTTAGTGAGTGTGGTAGTGGGAGAGTGAGGTGTGTGAGAGTTCGTGAGCCTGACAGAGAGTGAGAGAGCAGGAGAGTGAGATCGTGAGTGTGAGATTTCGTGGGTGTGAGAGACAGTGAGTGTGAGTTCTAGTGCGTGTGATAGTGGGAGAGTGCGTGTGTGTGAGAGTGCGTGTGTGTGAGAGTTCGTGAGCCTGACGGAGAGTGAGAGAGTGAGTTCGTGAGTTCGTGAGTGAGCGAGTGCGAGTGTGCGAGTGTGTGAAAGTGAGTGTGCGTGCGTGCGCGCGTGTTGTGTGTGTGTGTGTCTGGGCGCGTTCGGCGGCAGACGGTGGCGTGGTGCAACCGCGCATGTCTGCCGGCTTCTGCCCGGACCACAAGGCGCCGATCGTACTCTTCCTGGACCGTGTGTACGGCATCGAGAGCCGCGAGTTCCTGCTGCACCTCCTGGACATCGGATTCCTGCCCGACCTTCGCGCAGCCGCCTCCCTCGACAACGTGAGCCAACCCCCACCCCTACCCCACCACTCATCCCGCCACTCACCCTATCATATACTGTCACTCAGGCACCGCGCAGCTCCACGAGCCATCTCACAGATGCTTTTATTGGGGGGGGGGGCTCTCACGGTGCGGACGGTTTTCCACCGCCTATGAGCCGAGCCGAGCCAGAAGTTAAACCCGTGACGTCGTCTAAATCTGGCTCCGGGCCAAGCAGGGCCGGGGCCAAAGGGCGGGGTGTGACGTTGATCGGCACGGCACGGCACGGCTCGTCTCCCGCAGTGGAAAAACCAACCCGGCGGCCCCCCTTGAGCCCCGTCGCCGGAACCCCCTGGCTCCGGTTGCCCCGGGCGGCAAAATAATCCGCCGAGCCTGAACTCCACCACCCCTAACAACTCGCCACCCCCCCGGCGTCCCGTCCCCCCCCCCCCGCCCCTCTTGTTCATCCCCCCCCTTGCTGCCACGCTCCAGCCGCTGCTGAGCTCCACGGACATGGCGCTGGCGATGTACCGCTACCTGAGCACGGCGGTGCTGCCGCTCATCACCAAGTGTGCGCCGCTGTTTGCCGAGACGGAGCACCACGCCACGCTGGTGGACTCGATGCTGCACACCGTGTACAAGCTCTCCAAGGGCCGCTCGCTCACCAAGGCGCAGAGGGACGCCATCGAGGACTGCCTCATCTCCGTGTGCGGGTCGGTTTTGCCGCGGGGGGACACGGAGCGGGGGGAGGGGGGGGCGTTGTTGTTGTTGTTGTTGTGACGCTCGTTCACCCGGGAAGGGCTCTGACGAGTCTCGTCCTTCGATCACGATGATATCATTCGGGCGCTTGGTCACGGCTGAAGCTTGGAGAGAGAGGAAGAAAAAAACATGTGTTTGAAGAAATGAGCGCATCCGAGTGATCTGATGTTTGGCGACTTCACCTTGAGTCGAATAAATGTATTCACTTTACATCGGTAAATGAATCAATATGTTCGATGACTTCGATGTTCTTTCTTTGCAAAACTGTAATAATACATCCTTAGGCCTTTCCCTCCCAATTAGCCGTAGGCCCCTCATAGCCGGAATCTGGCCGGGGCGCCACGGTGGCGAAATGTTAACTCCCTCGCCTGGTGTGCAGGAGGTCGTGCTTACAATCCTGACCCTGACGCCTGCTGTACATTTGGAGTTTGCGTGTTCTCCCCGTGGTCGCGTGGAGTTTTCTCCGGGTCTTCCAGTTTTTAACCTCCACGTTAGGAATCATCACGCGTTTTAGAGTATCTGGCTGCTGCTATAAATGTCCACGTGATAAGCCACTTCGTTGGGCCATCAATTGTGGCCAGGTCGCTTCCGACAAAGAGCCACATCGCTCGGTGGGCCTTTGCCTGGTAAAATACAAAAAAAAAAATAGCTCGTAGCTTAGTTTTCAGGTAACGAGCGCGCGGTGATGTCGGGGAAGCCCCCGTGGAGGCCCGCGATCTCCCCCTTTCTCCCTCTTGTGCGCCTGCTCTCTGCTGCCATCGCCGAGTGCAGGCAGCTGCGCCCCTCGATGATGCAGCACCTTCTGCGCCGGCTCTCGTTCGACGTCCCCCTCCTCAACGAGCACTCCAAGATGCCGCTCAAGGTGGGGCCCCGAGTTCACGACCGGCGGCGATCAAAGCGCGTCAGCCAGCGGCCTCGTTCTCTGTGGGACCGTTTTTTTTTCCTTTAGCCCAGTATAACTCTCCCGTAGATGGACCACTACGAAGCAAACTGTCGTCTTAACGGTTTTGTTGCTTTTGGAGAATTGGGTGGGATCTGAATGACCTCGCACCGTCGTTGCAACTGGCGCGCCGGGATATCGAATCGAATTGAACCCGGCGACCTCTGGATCGTCGATACAGTTGCGCTGATATTATTTAAAATAAAAAAAAAGATTTCAGTAGGGAGCCCGGTACAGAACACACAAACCGCGATGCGGGGAGGGCGGTACAGAAACTCCGCGAGCCTCGGTCCCGAACGCCGTGCACCCGGGTTTAGAGACGGGGAGGAGAGTGGGCTCGATGCTGCACCGAGCGGGGACCGCGAGTGGGGGTACGTCTCAGTTTTTACATGGTGGAGGGGGAAGGCGAGAGAAAATTATTCTAAAAAGAAAGTGGACAGAGCCGGGGGGAAATGAGGGCGACGGCTCCCTTGTTTTATGTTTTACGTGGTGTCGTAACCGTCGTCGTTTCGTTTCGTTGCGGTTGCAGCTGCTCACCAACCACTACGAGCGGTGCTGGCGCTACTACTGCCTGCCCGGAGGGTGGCTGGGTTTGGGCATCGCTTCGGAGGAGGAGCTGCACCTCACCAGGAAGCTCTTCTGGGGCATCTTCGAGTCGCTGGCACAGCAGGTGCCTGGCTTTGTGTTTTGTTTTTCTTTCTTCCAACGCGTTTCCGTTTGCATGCGTTCATCCATTTGCATTTGGAAAGCTTGCCACCCTCTTTTCTCTCCGCCTGATGAAGACCGCTTTGCGTCGCGATCGAAACGTCGTGGTTTTTCGCTTTAATTTTTAATTCATTTAAATTTAATTTTGTTTTTATTTTCTATCTACGTGACTTTACCGAAAGAACCACGAATTTGAATTCCTGCAGCCACGAAAGTTTTAAGTCAGAAGTTCAGCCAAGTCGGCTGCGCTATCGGCATTCGCCGAAAGTAATCGTCACGCGCTCTATCGGTTTAATGTGTCGGTGGCTTTTGATTGTGTCTGTGCTTTTATTCGGTCTATAAATCAACTGCCCCCCGGCCGACTCGCGCGGCACGAGATTTTAGTATTTGACGTTGATTTATGTCCGTGCAATGCTTTTTGATTCCTCAAGCGACATCGTTGGTGTTTTTTTGCTCTTCCGAACATAAATGGACTCGTCCATCTGAACAAACTGCCAAATCGCTCTCCGTGGTGCTAACGTAAAAAAAAAACGCCACTTTTTTCAAATTTTCTTGCTGTGGTTTTCACACCTGATGATGATTGCTTGTGTTGCAGTCGAAACGTCGTGATAATTTTATTGTTTTATATTTCTATTATTTTATTGCTTCCCTTCTACTTGACTTTACCGAAAGAACCAAGAATATTGAGAGACTTGCTTTCCTTTTTTCTCTATTTTGCATTCGGATCGTTTTTTTTGGTATTATTTTCTGCTGTAACTTGCTGACCCGCCAACCCGTCCCTACTGGGACATCTGTGAAAAAGAACTTCATGGGCCATCAGATTCCTCCAGTCTAAAAGATTCGTAGCGTCGCCAAAATCGCGGCAAGCCCGCAGCTCCCTGCTGCCCCCCCGTTGTGCCCCCTCGTGCTCCCCCGCGTGTCCCTCCCCGCGTGTCTCCCCTCGTGCCCCCCACACCGCACAGCGCTACGAGCCCGAGCTCTTCAAGATGGCGCTGCCGTGCCTGAGCGGCATCGCCGGCGCGCTGCCCCCCGACTACATGGAGTCGCAGTACATGGCGGCGCTGGAGAAGCAGGTGTCCGTCGACGCCGACGGAAACTTCGAGCCGAGGCCCAAGGACACAGTCAGGTCAGTGTCCACGCCGGCGGTCGCCCCGTGCCGCCGCCCGGTCGCGTCCAAGCGGAAACGCCTTTCCCTCGCACGCGGTTGTTAGTATAATAATAATAATATTTTTCTGTTCGTGTTTGTTTCTTTTCACGGATTCCGAGCCGTGTTACGAAATTCTGCGGCTCGCATTTGTGTTTCATATTTGTCCCCATCGTGAGTTCGGCGTCATGTCTTGAGACAAAGTATCCGATCGGAGGTCTCGCAGGCCATTTTATTTCATCATCAACTCTGGTTAATCCACTGCTCGATGAGGGCCCCCAATGGTCTCTGCCACCAGTGACGATCCTACGATGTAATAATAATCCATCCAGCACCTGCACGTGAACTGAATCCATCGCTCCATTTCCTCGGTGTCTGATGACTTCCATTCCTTGGCTGCCACTCCATTGTGAGTGGTAAAAATGGGGCTATTTATTTATTTATTTATTTTAAACCACAGTTTTATTTCGATTGTGCTTATTGGTGTTACTTCTCGAGACAATGAATCAATTGAATCTCACACATGGCAGCACAATCCGTTTAACTTTTCTGTAAATACATTTCAGATGTATAATGTTGTCCGTGACTGTTTCCATTTATGTCTCTCTGGCTGCAATACTAGTTAATGAAACGATTTGTACCCTACGTAGCATGAAGAAGGGCCATTGCCTGAAACGTCATCTATTACAGGGCAGCGTCATTGCCGAGCGTATTGAGTTTTATGGATTTATTTGTTTACAAGAGGTTGTGCGGCACGCTCGCTGGGCTGGCATTGCCCCGGCTCGCTGTGCCCACGCTCATTGCCACCGTGCCCACACTCTCACTGTGCCCACGCTCTCACTGTGCTCACACTCATTGCCACCGTGCCCACACTCTCACTGTGCCCACACTCTCGCTGTGCCCACACTCTCGCTGTGCCCACACTCTCACTGTGCCCACACTCACTGTGCCCACGCTCTCACTGTGCCCACACTCTCACTATGCCCACTCTCGCTGTGCCCACACTCTCACCGTGCCCACACTCTTGCCGTGCCCACACTCTCACTGTGCCCACGCTCTCACTGTGCCCACGCTCACTGTGCTCACACTCTCGCTGTGCCCACACTCTCACTGTGCCCACACTCTCACTGTGCCCACTCTCGCTGTGCCCACACTCTCACCGTGCCCACACTCTCGCCGTGCCCACACTCTCACTGTGCCCACGCTCTCATTGTGCCCACGCTCACTGTGCTCACACTCTCGCTGTGCCCACACTCTCACCGTGCCCACACTCTCGCTGTGCCCACACTCTCGCCGTGCCCACACTCTCACCGTGCCCACACTCTCACTGTGCCCACACTCTCACCGTGCCCACACTCTCACCGTGCCCACGCTCTCACTGCCCACACTCTCACTGTGCCCACACTCTCACTGTGCCCACACTCACTGTGCCCACACTCTCACTGTGCCCACTCTCACTGTGCCCACACTCTCACTGTGCCCGCACTCTCACTGTGACCACACTCCAACCGTGCCCACACTCTCACCGTGCCCACGCTCACTGTGCCCACGCTCTCACCGTGCCCACACTCTCACTGTGCCCACACTCTCACTGTGCCCACACTCGCACTGTGCCCACACTCACTCTGCCCACACTCTCACTGTGCCCACTCTCACTGTGCCCACACTCTCACTGTGCCCACACTCTCACTGTGCCCACACGCTCGCCGTGCCCACGCTCATTGCCACTGTGCCCACACTCTCACTGGGCCCACACTCTCACCGTGCCCACACTCTCACTGTGCCCACACTCTCACCGTGCCCACACTCACTGTGCCCACGCTCTCGCCGTGCCCACGCTCTCGCCGTGCCCACACTCTCACCGTGCCCACACTCTGGCTGTGTTCACCGTGCCCACGCTCTCACTGTGCCCACTCTCACTGTGCCCACACTCTCACTGTGCCCACACTCTCACTGTGCCCACGCTCTCGCCGTGCCCACGCTCTCGCCGTGCCCACGCTCACGCCGTGCCCACGCTCTCGCCGTGCCCACACTCTCACTGTGCCCACACTCTCACTGTGTCCGTGCGCAGCATCATCATCCCGGAGAAGCTCGACTATCTCATCAACAAATACGCGGAAAACACTCACGACCGCTGGGCACTGGACAAGGTGAGGGCACTGTGTGTTGTTGCCTCGGTGTCGTCTGGGACTGTTGTTGTTGTTGTTTTGATGCCGAGCCCATTTAGTGTTGAAAAACCTGCATAAATCAATGTACTTATGCAATTTGTCCTCCTATGCTTTCTTTTTAGTGATTAGCTTACCTCTCCTATACTTTGCACTCCAATCGGGTTTCGTATTGTTTGTTGTTGTAACTTTCTGACCCCCGTACCCCGACCGGACATCTGTAAAAAAAAGAGCTTCACGGCTCACCGGATTTCTCCTCCGGCCTTTGTAAAGATTCTGATTCTGAATTTGAGTTCGTCCGTTACACGGAGGGTTGGTCCCGTTGAGCCGGCTGGCCCGGCTGTTTTGCACGGGCGATTCGTTGTGGTGCATGAGCAGCAGCGACAGCAACAGCGACGACGACAACAAGAGCAAAAGACAATCAAAACGTCGATATCGCAGAGAATGATGACAGGGGTCCTGAAGGAATATTGCACAACTGACAGACGAGGCGTTTGACGGTCATGCGCATGAAACGCACGCGAATTGAAAAAAGAAGACCCCACCGTGATGCGTCTCAATTATTTCGTAAAAGGAAAGTGGTGATTGCATCATCCCCCCAGTGGATGCAGTGGGCGGTCACGGAGACTAACATTGTAATTCACTTGCACCGATCGAAAATAATCGATGCTCGTGCACATGTTTCAAGTTTATTTTGTGTAACCGGGCGGCGGGGACGAGTCTCATTTTGTGAGAGTGATCCGGGTCAACAGTGGCCGAAACAAAAGCATCGGACGGCGTTGAGGCAAAGAGAAATTGTGAATATAAAAAAAATACAATCGAGAGGAATATATGAGGAATATTTTTTTTTCACAAGCATAAGTCGTGTATCAGAAGCACCTGAATTGATTTTAATCAATGACTTAATGACTATACATGTAACTGGTGATTAGATATTAGTATTTTAATTTTCATCTCAACATCAAAACTTAGAAGTAAATACAAATTACGGGAAATATATCATCGCGAGCTTGTTTGAATTTGAAGAAAACAAATCAGATAACTTTGCTTTAATTGCCAATTACAAAATGTACACAAGCCAGTGTGAGCAAAGATGGTGGCTGATTTAAACCGCATTGCATTATGGGGGGGAGGGTAGGGAAACACCCACCGCCAATAGATTATCAGGTGATTCCCATCACACTTATTTGTAAGGACTTTTTATTTATTTTTTGTAAATACTTCGTTTTGGCGGTTGAATTTGAGCCCGCTTTTTTTCTCTCTCTGCACAGTGCCTTGTGACCTCTGGGTGAAAGAACGCTTGAGGAGTGTAAAGTACTATTATTATTCCGTGACGACAATTTTCCTTCGCTTGTGCGTTGCCATTTTTTGCCGGTCGTCGTTGCAGATCACCCAAGAGTGGACGTACGGAGAGGCGGAGGATCCAGAGGCTAAAACGCATCCCATGCTGAAGCCTTTTAAACTCTTCTCCGAGAAGGTGACGTTGGAGGCTGTCCCCGTTTTTTTTTTCATTTTTATTGCAACTCAACGCGAGGCTGGTATGACACGCCGATAGCAAAATGGGAGTGATTGGAGGTGGACAGAAACTGCGCGAACAGCAACCCGATTTCGGTGCGACAGGCTGACCTTATGAAGGGGGAAAAAATAGTGGTACGATTTTTATTAATTTATTTTTGTTTTACTCAATTGGGATTATGCACACGCATAATCAGGCGGTGCGCCACCTCTCGCCGCACCAGGGACGGCTGTCATGGGGGTGGTGCCCCTTTTGCCTGCGCGCTGAGATGAGACGTTGGCGCGCGGCGCTTCGATGCGGCACGGCATTGTAGGAGGGCGCTCTCTCAGAGAACCAATCAGCCGGTAGTATCAGTTGTGCCGAGTCGGTGCGGGGGAGGGGGGATACGTGGAGAACGGACTGATGAACCGGTCACTGATGAGCTCTCCGTTGACAGGCTTCACAAACCGATGTTTGATAGAGTTTTTAGACACTGGACTAAGAGAGTAGTCTTTGTGCGGTCCTTCAATAAGCATTTCAAACGTATATTGATATTAGGCTGAATCATTACAGACCTTCATCTTGGAATTGAATGGCATTAACTGGAATCTGCCTTCAGTAACTTGATTACATTCACACGTTACTTGGTGAGCAGCTCAAAGTCAGATCGGATCGTCGGACAAGAGATGGGATGGGACCACTCTACGATGGGGTATTTAGACAATAACACCAGCAAACCAGTCGCCGAGTCATTAGACAAAATACAATTTCTGATGGTGTCATGAGTCGATAGGCTATCAGACCCTGGTCTCTTGAAGGAGTCTCGAGACATTACATCGTCAGAATGGAATCTGACATCGTCTTGAGAGCACAGACCCGACAGACCAGTTGTCTTTATCATATTTAAACAACGAGGGCAGCCCATCCCTACGTGGTCCCCACCTTGGGTGGGTCATTGAGTCTAATTTTGGAGGCGGGGACAGAAAATCTGTGAGAATTCAAATTCGGCGCAACGGGATGGGACCGTGCATAGGGGGGGGAGGGGGATAGTGGGCCCTCTGCCCCAACCACGTGGGGAGCCTGTGTAAGGGGAGGGGGGGGGGGTGTGAAGTCTTACATGGGGGGGGGGGAGGGAGGGGCGGAAAGGGGGGTGAAAAGATAACTGACTTACTAAGGGGAGACCGAGGATAGAGGGAAGGGGGGGGGGGGTGGGAATTTGAGTAATTTTCTAAGATGGCACAATGGGCACCTCATGAGAATGACGTCACGGGGATCTTCGAGGACCGCCGTGAAGCAGACGGGGTCCGCATTGTTACGGATATTGTCAGCACGCAGCATTTACCGGGACGGGTGGCCGCCGGATTCGAACCGCAGACCTCTGCAACGAGCGGCAAGACAAGCCACCGCCGGCCCACATCAACCATTGTGGCCGAGCGCTCGTTTGTCCATTGGAGATCCGTTGGCCAGCGACGCATCTGTAGCGTCGCCGGGGCTTCGAGCTCGGACTCGATCTTAGGCGCTGGTTTTCAGCGCTTCGCACCACCGATGAGCACGGTTTGCGATGTACGGTGCGAAAGAAGTTCAACGTACATAAATAGAACGCTGCCCATAGACTCAACACTGCCCGTAGACTCAACACTCCCCACAGACTCAACACTGCCCATAGACTCAACACTGCCCATAGACTCAACACTGCACCATAGACTCAACACTGCTCATAGACTCAACACTGCCCATAGACCCAACACTGCCCATAGACTCAACACTGCCCATAGACTCAACACTGCCCACAGACTCAATATTGCCCATAGACTCAACACTGCCCATAGACTCAACACTGCTCATAGACTCAATGCTGCCCATAGATTTCGATTTAAAGCTTTCGTGACTGCAAGGATTAATCTTCTTTGGTTCTTTCGGTAAAGTCACGTAGAATGAGAATAAAATAATAAAATAAAATAAGACAATAAAATTATCTTATTGTCTTATTTTATTTTATTCTTTTATTCTCATTCTACGTGACTTTACCGAAAGAACCAAAGAAGACTGCCCATAGACTCAACACTGCCCATAGACTCAACACTGCACCATAGACTCAACACTGCCCATAGACTCAACAATGCACCATAGACTCAACACTGCACCATAGACTCAACACTGCACCGTAGACTCAACACTGCACCATAGACTCAACACTGCCCATAGACTCAACACTGCCCATAGACTCAGCACTGCACCATAGACTCAACACTGCACCATAGACTCAACACTGCACCACAGACTCAACACTGCACCATAGACTCAACACTGCACCATAGACTCAACACTGCACCATAGACTCAACACTGCCCATAGACTCAACACTGCACCATAGACTCAACACTGCCCACAGACTCAACACTGCCCACAGACTCAACACTGCACCATAGACTCAACACTGCACCATAGACAACACTGCCCCATAGACTCAACACTGCACCACAGACTCAACACTGCACCACAGACTCAACACTGCACCATAGACTCAACACTGCACCACAGACTCAACACTGCACCATAGACTCAACACTGCACCATAGACTCAACACTGCACCATAGACTCAACACTGCCCATAGACTCAACACTGCACCATAGACTCAACACTGCCCACAGACTCAACACTGCCCACAGACTCAACACTGCACCATAGACTCAACACTGCACCATAGACAACACTGCCCCATAGACTCAACACTGCACCACAGACTCAACACTGCACCACAGACTCAACACTGCACCATAGACTCAACACTTCGCATCTCCGATGAGAGCACGGTTGACTACGTACGGCGAGAAAGAAGCTCAACGTGTTTTTTTTTTCTCGCTGTGCAGGAGAAGGAGACGTACCGCTGGCCAATTAAGGAGTCGATCAAGACGATGATCGCGTGGGGGTGGTCCATCGAGCGCTCGCGCGACGCCGACCAGATGGCGGCCCAGGGGAAAGGATCTTCCCAGGTGGACGTCACGATCTGTGCACCGCTAGATGGGGACGGAGGCTTCCCGCAAGCCGGCGCCGTGACTGGCGTTTTCGTGCGAGGTCGGAGGCGCGGCCGCCAGCCATCGCCACGTGTCGTGACGCGGCATCTGCCCGAACCCGCTTACTTTTCTTAACGGTTAACCCCCCTTTCTCATTCGGAAGACGTACGTCAACGTCATCAGTTTTTTTTTTCTCTCCCGATTTTGTTTTCCGATGGTGAACAAAAATGAACGAAGAAACATTATTTTTACTTAAGTGGCTATCCCATAACGAACAGATTTTTGTTCACCTTTCCCATACTTTGCACTCCCGGCGTGTTTTTGCGTCGTTTGTTGTTGTAACTTTCTGACCCGCCCCAACCGGACATCTGTGAAAAAGAGATTGATTAATATTTACGGTACCTACAACAGCCTGAGGTTAACAGGGGAATTGTTGGTAAGCCAACACATTGGGCTCTACAGAGGCCTGTCGTTAAGCGATGTTCTACTCTGCACTACATTATACACTACACTACACATTGGGCTCTACGGAGGCCTGTCGTTAAGCGATTAGTCGTTAACAGGGGTGGTCCTTAAGAGGGGTTCTACTCTACACTGCATTATACACTACACTATTATACACTACACTATACACTACACAATCGTTAAGCGGTGTTCTACTCTGCACTACATTATACACTACACTACACATTGGGCTCTATGGAGGCCTGTCGTTAAGCGATTAGTCGTTAACAGGGGTGGTCATTAAGAGGTGTTGTACTGTACAGGAGCCTGACCGTGTGGTTCTCTGTGTGTTTGTCCGTCGCATGCTGTTACCCACAGCCACCCATCGACCTGCAACAGGGCTACAGCCCGCGGCCTGCGGACATGAGCAACGTCACGTTGTCCAGGGACTTGCAGGTGAAATGTCACGGCTTAGTCGATCGATCGATCGATCGATCTCGCTCGGTATCCCAGTGGGCATCAGGGCCCTTAGCGTAAAGCCAAACTTGAATATTAAAGAGGCGACTCCAACGTTAGTTTGAGTCAACAGCGACGTGTAAGTATGTGTGCATTTCGAACTTCCTTCGCGCCATACGTAGCCGACCGCGCTAATCGAAGGTTGCGGAGGGAGGGGCAGCAAACTCAACGCCCAAAGCAGTTCTGGAGAAATCATTTTTAAATCCAGATGGTGATCACTTAAAAGTGCAAGCTCCCGGTGGCTTCCTCGTATCGGAAGGAGGAGCGTTCCAGACGGCCGCAGAAGCGCGTCTGAAAGCGCGCACGCGATGCCGTTGACCGCCGCCTTCGTTCGACGGCTCGCCAGAAGCCGCTGCGAGGATGACCGTTGCTCCGTGGCACTTTTCAGGAGCGCATCTACCGCGTTGAACGAGGATCGTTACTCTGTGTGCTTTGCAGTCCATGGCTGAGCAGTTGGCTGAAAACTACCACAACACCTGGGCCAAGAACAAGAAGGTGGAGCTTGATGCTAAGGGTATGTGTGTGTGTGTGTTTATTCGTTGTTTATAAAGCTTGTTTGCTCAGGAGCCCCTGCAAAGTTTTCTGCATTCGGTGGCATGATGTGAAACTACCTCGCCTGGTATGCAGGAGGTCGTGGGTTCTATCCCGACCCCGACGCCTGCTGCTGTATATTTGGAGTTTGCGTGTCTCTCGCTCTCCCCGTGGTCGCGTGGATTTTTCCTCCGTGTCCTCTGGTTTTTCCCTCCACATTTAGAGACACGCGATGATAAGCCACTTCGTTGAGCTATCATTTGTGATAGCCAGGTCGCTTCTGAAAAAGAGCTATACAATAGTTCAGTGGGCCTTACCCGGTAAAATAAAATAAAAATACTTTAGTCATTTAGTATATCCCAAATGTATATTTCGGCGTGCTGGCTACTGCACTGCACTGCTTTCCCGGCGACCTCGGTTCGACTTCCGCTCACAGCTAACATGAGTGGCGAGTGATATCTGAGCTGGTCTTGAGCCTTTCCTGGGTTGACTCAGCCTCAAATTGAGTAGCTGATGCCGTGTGTGTGTGTCTCTGTGTGTAAACATCGCCACGTGGGGAGACAAATTCGGCCGGGCATGGTGACGCTGGCCACACCTACCCTTCCTCGTGTGCTGCCCCGGCCTTCACAGGCGCTGCTTCTCGCTGAGCAGCACTTGCCCCGGCAGTCTGTCACAGGCTATACTTGGGGGGGGGGATCTTTTTGCCCTTTCGTAGGAGGAGGAAACCACCCCCTGCTGGTGCCGTACGACACGCTGACGGCCAAGGAGAAGGCGCGGGACCGGGAGAAGGCGCAGGACCTCCTCAAGTTTCTGCAGATCAACGGCTACGCCGTGTCTCGGTGCGGCGTGCGACAGTTTTTTTGCGCAATTCCCCCCCCCCCCCCCACCTCTCCCCCGAGCCGCCTCCGTACGCGACGCGAGAAAAATTGTTGAGACAGGCAAGCGTAGGCCGAATACCGTTGCTCGTTGTTTTCAAGAGGAGGGGTGTCCGCCCCGCTATGCTGGCACGTGGACCAGCCAATTATGTGTGTATGTATGTCGTCGTTTCGCCAGGCAGTTCGAAAGTAAGTTGTTGGCATTGTAGGGTTGATGCTCGGAAGATGTTTGTGACAAGACAGGAGAAGCGACGTGGACGTTTGGAAGAGAACATCTGTGGAAAAGAGAATTTATAGCTCATCGGATTCCTCCAGTATATACAAATATTCAGATTCTGAATTTTTTTTTATCGGATTCATTTAACCCTATTGGCCACCTGCCAGCGAGTCTTTGACACCTCACGTGGCTTGAAGGTGCCACCTAGCTCGGCACTAGGCACGTGGTGGTGTCACCGCCCCTTCGTGGAGAATGGCGATTGGTATTGGTGTTGTTCTGTGCGGGGGCAGTCTTTGGTGACCCGGTTAGGGCCCTCAAATCGCTACATCAACTCACTACGCTTGAGATCCCGTTTTAATAATTTCAGACCCAGCGTCTCGGCGGTGCCGGCTCAGCGCTCTGACCTCGGATTTATCTGGCCACCTCAAATAATCGATGTGTTGTGTGTGTGTGTGCGTGTTCGCGAGGACGTCTGTGTGCACCTTGCTGTGTGTGGCAGTGCAGCGGATAGCGGTCTGCGCTACGCACCCGGCGGCCCAAGTTCGATTTCCCGCTCACGGCCAACACCAGTGACGACTATCTGACCGGTCCCGGGTCTCCCCTAGGTCGCCTCAGCCTCAAATAAGTACCTGGTGCGGTGATAAAAAAAAAACACCGCCACTGGGGAGACGAAGGCGGCTGGGCGTGGTGCTGGTCACCCGCCCCCCACGTGTGCCATGCCGGCCTGCATCGTTGAGGGGGGGGGGGGGGGTCATTGTTTGTCTCTGTCTTTGTTTTGTGCTGTCACGTGTTCCAGGGGAATGAAGGACATGGAGATGGATTCATCGTCCATAGAGAAGCGCTACGCCTTCGGCCTCGTGCAGAAGCTCATCGATTACGTGGACGCTGCCCACGAATACATTCGGCAGCTGGGTACGCGCGCCGGGTCGTTAGAACCGTCGTTTCTCCTTCCATGACTGGCCAAACGGTCAGCGGTTTTTGCCGCACGCCTAGAAATGTCTCGAGAAATAAACGCGAGATTTGTTTAGCCTTTTTTTGTTTTAATGAACGGTTTTATTACAACTCAACGCGAGCCCAGCATAGAACGCACCGACCGCGACGTCAGGGTGGTGGCGGGGACAAGACCCCAGGCTCGGGTGCTCCGGGGGTTTCAAGAAGGGGGAGATTTTTTAGTTTTAACTTTTTTTTTAAATCGAGAAAGTGAAGGGAGCTGCCATGGTGGCCGTGTAACGTTGAAGCCCACTGGACTTGCAATCCACAGGTTGCCGATTCCGTTCTATCCCCCGGCGTAGCAGTTGGAATAATGGGGGGTGGGGGGAGTTAGCAGTTCGTGAGATTGGTGCATTCGGTACGACATTTCCGCTGGAAACGGTCACCGTGATGCCGACTTTTTGGAACCGGTAACCGACTGTGAAACGCGGTTTACCGGTATTGCCGGCTGTCGTTTAACAACCCTGGCGAGCGAGCGCACACACCTCTGCGGTTACTCACGTGCGTGTGCGTCATACGGGAGCGCTGCGTGATTGCCACGTCATCACATGTCATCGCATGTCGCACCTCCGATTAGCACGGTTGGCTACGTACGGTGTGAAAGAATTTCAACATGCATACATACATCGCATGTCTTCAATATTTTTTAACTGCCAGGTTAATGCCCCATTTTTTTGTTGTTGTAAAGCTTTTAAAGTTGATGATTTGGAATTGCAGTTTCTTAAAAGCTGTCATTATCTGCCATGTGGCGTCACATCGCATAAATGGGGCTTGTAGATTGAGCACTTCACATAATCGAACATCACATATCCGCCCTCGCCATCATCCCTTTGGGGCAGATAAAATAGGTACCACTTCGCAAGCGGTCAACAGCAATTGTCCTGTGGCGTTACTGATTTCATAATTGGCTTAGGGCTACCATAATAATAGTAAGAATGATAATGCCTCATAATTAGCCAGGGACTCCTGAATGAGTCTCAAGACTCTCTGTCATGACGGTTCTGCTTTTGGATGTTTCACCAATTCTGGAGTATCAGGAGAAAGTTCACGTATTTGAGGGGATGATTATTTGAGGGGATAATTTTGAGGCGATATTTGATCATTTGTGGGGATAATTTGAGGGGATTTGACGACTTGATTTGATGATTTCATTTGAGGGTTTTTGGCATAATTTGAGGGGATTTGATAATTAATTAGAGGGGATATTTTAGGGGATAATAATCGCCAAGGCTCTGCATGGGTAGATGACAAGAGTTGTACTTCCGTCTGCTTGCCACCTTGCAGCCCAAGCTTACAATTTCTGGTGATGTTCTCAGGCAGTCTCTCATCCAAATAATAACCAGGTTCTAAACCTGCGTAGCTTCAAATAACTGACAAGATGATAGTTAATCGATCGTTTCCAAGCTCGTTTTGTTACGTTCGCGTTGTTCGGGGAAAAAAAAAACCTGTACTCTTTGAATTATACAAGAGGCAGTTTTCGCCTGGATTTCAAAGCAGTAGTTGGGGATGCCTGTTATAATCTGGTAGGAGTGTGTGTGTCACCAGATGAGTGTATCTTTATTAGTGGGGAGCGGTAGTGTAGCGGTTAGCGCACTGCGCTACGAACCCGGCGACCCGAGTTCGATTCTCGTTCACGGCCAACACCAGTGACAATTATCTCTGAACCGGTCCTGGGCCTCCTCTCGGTCGACCCAGCCTCAAATGAGTACCTGGTGCGGTGTATAAACATCGCCACTGGGGAGACAAAGGCGGCCGGGCGTGGTGTTGGCCACCCACCCCCTCGTGTGCCATGCCGGGCTTTATTGGTGCTCGCTAACAGCACTTGCCCCTACAGTCTGTTAAGGCTATATGGGGGATCTTTCTTTGTCTTTGAACCTTTTATTAACACGGGCATATGAGATTTCGGGATATGTCTTACTTTCTGGAGCGTTTCATAATCTCCAAAAAATATAGTGTAATTATTGACTTTTTAAACTGTGGAATTAGGAATGAAGTTAATGATTTAAAGAATACATTTTACCGGTTATATTGTTTTGTTTACCCCAATCAGATTCTGGCGTGACGATCGTGCGGGATTCAAGGTCATCGAATGAACAAGAAATCAAATTTTTCGCTAAGGTCAGAGGCCGCTGTTGGTACAGCCTTTCGCACATCCCCCATGAAATTAAAAGCATTCATCATCCCGTCACACTGCAGTCACATCTTTCTCCGCCAATTTAATGCTTTAGAATTAAACAAAATAAGTAAGCAGAGACAATACGCCCACTTTACATATCATTCCTTCGACGAAACAAATTAATAATATTTATTTTTTCTATAGCGAATCTCATGAGCCGCACAGAATTCTGTGAGTGCATTATTTCAGCAGCATTGGTCCCAACGCAAGTAGACTCTGGATCGGTCTTAAGAATTCTGTATCTCACCAGCTGTGTCAGGCTTGCTAGAGGCAATGCCTGTGAACTGCCAGATGTTTGTTACCAATGACCCTCTCGTTATTATTCGTTTGTATATATTTTTAAAGTATAATTTGGCTCGGCGAGACGCTATGTTCAAATGCTTCATTTCACAAGGAGTTAATTAGATTTCGTGTTCCGCGTATCATACCCTGGCAATGCTTGAATCACGGTGTGCGCGTGACTAACATGTTCACGCATCGTCACCTTCAGCACACCAGTCTGTTACGTGGCAAATTTAGTAACGGGAAAGAGCACTCCCTCGAAATGAAGTTGGCCCTGTGAACGCTTAAAAAAAGCAATATGCCATTAACGTATCGCAATTAACGCTCGTTTTTACGATTTGGCGGCTTGCCGGGTCGCGCGTTGAACGTGCTCGGCCACGCCTTTTAGCGCGCGCACGCTCGTTCATCGGCTGCTCCTCACTCGTCGAGGGTCAACGACTAGGTGCCCACGTGACCGCAAGTAAAACGGTTCCTGCAAGAGACGGTTCAAAACGGACGACGTCCTGCGTCCCGCACCGCCGTTCACCGTAGCCGAACGACGTGCTGTACACGCGACGTCGCCTTATTTACGTGTTTTGATTTATCCGCATTTTCAGTCTTATCCGGGACAGCCATCCCACCCTTCACCCCCCGATAGTCGAAAGCCCAGTGCATGCGTAGTTCTCAAAGAAGGGGGATTTCCAGCGAGGAGATGGAGCGACGTCATCGGTCCACTAACTCGCTGACCCCATGTCACTACTGGACATCTGTGAGAAAGAGCTTCATCATGGGACCTTTGTGACACTATCAAAGTATGAAAGGGCAGGTGTTAAGATGTTCAAACACCAAATTGATACTTTTTGCAAGGATTCAGGTCTGCATTAATCAGTACTTGCGGTGCACATGCAAACAAACACGCCCTGGCTGTCTGGTGTAGCCCAATCAGTTTTAAAGACAATGCATATGTGATCTATTTTGTGTTTTGAACACCTCAACACCTGTTTTATTGCCAGAAAGTGTAAAACCTAATCTTATTTTTCATACTTTGATTCTGGCAGAAAGTTCCCATGATGTAGCTACTCCCCCCGAGCTATAAGTGCTCTGATAGTGGCATTGTCTTTGTGCTGTTCGCCTTGTGGCGTTCTCTGGTCTGACACTGGTGAGAAGAGGCCCTAAAGAAGGCTGTCTCTGGTGTAGGCCGATCAGTTTCAAGGACAATGACATATTTTATTAGAGCATGTTTGTTTGCGTGTTCACCACAAGTACTGTGTGTGCTTAATGCGTGACTCGATTCCTTGCAAAAGTTTTCTGTTTGGTGTTTGAACATCTTAACACCTCCTGTTTGATTGCCAGCAAGGGTAAAACCTAATATTATTTTTCATTAAAAGAGGTTAGTAGCTCATCGGATTCGTCCTCCAGTCTAAACAGGGCCTCTGATTCTGATGCGCGGGTTCCTATAGGCGGATTATGACAACGTGCACATAGCCTGGCACAAGCGTCGTGGTGACATCACCGCCACTTAGTGGCGAATGGCGGTTGTTGTTGTTGTTATGACACCCACGGATCGTAAGATCCATGGCTGATGATGACGGTGATAACGACGACGACGACGATGATGGCGATGATACCGCCGCTCAGTTTCTCCGCGAGCGTCGTGCGCAGCGCGTCTGCCCCTCCGCTCACCGCAGGTGGTGCTGCCGCTCATCAACCACTACTTCAACAACCACCGGCAGTATTTCCTGGCCACGCTAACCCGGCCTCTGCCAGGTGGCAGCCACGCGTCTCCCAAGGAGAAGGAAATGGTCACAAGGTGTGGCGCGCGCGCGCACACACATACACACACACAGGGAGACAAACATTTACCCCGTAGAGCCGTTTTAACACAGCGTTGGGGCGCGCGCTGTTAGCGAGCACAAATTCAGGCCGGCAACGTCACACGAGGAGGTAGGCGGTCAGTTTCCATTGCCCGACTGCCTCTGTCTGACCCAATGCCGACGTTTAGACGCCGGCACAGAGGTACTCGATTAACGGCTGAGTCGACCCAGGGGAGAATCGGGACCGGTTCAGATATTCGTCACCGGTGTTGGCTGTGGGCGGGAAGCGAACTCGGGTAATTGAGTTCGTAGGGCAGTGCTCGAGCCATGACGATATCGCTCCACACACGTGGGCAGATGCACACACATGGGCAGATGCACACACGTGGGCAGATGCACACACGTGGGCAGATGCACACACGTGGGCAGATGCACACACGTGGGCAGATGCACACACATGGGCAGATGCACACACGTGGGCAGATGCACACACATGGGCAGATGCACACACGTGGGCAGATGCACACACGTGGGCAGATGCACACACGTGGGCAGATGCACACACGTGGGCAGATGCACACACGTGGGCAGATGCACACACGTGGGCAGATGCACACACGTGGGCAGATGCACACACGTGGGCAGATGCACACACGTGGGCAGATGCACACACGTGGGCAGATGCACACACGTGGGCAGATGCACACACGTGGGCAGATGCACACACGTGGGCAGATGCACACACGTGGGCAGATGCACACACATGGGCAGATGCACACACGTGGGCAGATGCACACACATGGGCAGATGCACACACATGGGCAGATGCACACACGTGGGCAGATGCACACACATGGGCAGATGCACACACGTGGGCAGATGCACACACATGGGCAGATGCACACACGTGGGCAGATGCACACACGTGGGCAGATGCACACACGTGGGCAGATGCACACACATGGGCAGATGCACACACGCACACAAATATCCATACTATAGCCTCCACATTGGGCTTATCACCTGTGCGCTTTTGACCCAGACGGCCCATGAATTGGCATCTGTGTTGAGGTGGCAGCAATTGATTTGCACTGACATTTGGTGGCATTGTGTTAAACTTAATCGGTTTCCTGCATAATTTTGATAGACCTATAGGTCTATAGGCCACGGGGGTCGGCAACCTGCGGCTCCTTAGCCGCATGCGGCTCAGTGAGGACTGCTTCCTGACGTTAGCTCGTGAGGAGCACCGTGTGGTATTCACACGCATTGCGGCGACGGAAACATTGAGGGGTTGTGTTATTTTTACAGAATTCATAAAAAAATATATATTCTTGTTATTTTGGTTTTGCCGACCCCTGACCTAGGCCAATGGGGAAATATTCCCAAGTCAAGATCTTAGGCTTTACTTTGCGTGGCTGAGATGATCAGGAGGTTCACAAAGGACGGAGGTAGCATTGTGGAGGCCTTTGTCCAACAGCGGGATGGTAATGGTAAGGAAATTGTAAAGAATGTGTAGATCGGTGTTCAGAAACCGGCGTGCCGCTTTCTTAAAGTCCCCGGTGTGCCGTGCGCGGTATTGTACGAGCTATAAGAAAGGAAAGAACCTCGCACCCTCCGCAATCTGGGGCAGTCGAAACTCTCCTCCTAAGCATTCAAGAGTGACACCGGGTGGATATACGCTCGTTTGACACGTCCGATTAGCACGGTTGGCTTCGTAACTGTGCAAAAGAAGTTCAACATGCAATGCACACATTCGTGTTCAAATCCCTTGTCGGTTTCTTTTCTTCCACTTGACATTGTTTTTACCCCCCCCCTCCGCCTGCATCAGCCTGTTCTGCAAACTCGGCGTGCTTATTAGGCACCGGATATCCATATTTGGTAAGGTGTGGTGGCATGCCTTGCGAGATACCCGCATGCAAGAAGCAGCTGAGATTGCTGACTTTGTGCTGTGTTTTTTTTTTGCCTCGCTCGGTCGTTAGTCAACACGAAGGGGGGGTGGGGGGGGGCGCGTGGGGTGACAAGGCCGACGGTCGCGAGCGCGATCGCCTTTTGACGCCGAGGTTCCCCGGTTTGGGTCCGAATCCATGCGGGAGGCAGCGCTGCGTGGCGCAGCAACCCGCGGACGTGGGTTTTAAAGATTCCCCGTGACGTCGTCTGACAAGAGGAGGGCCCACTGCGCGCTGACGTCACGGTCCGAGTTTGGCAGGGTTCGGTAGAAATACGAAAAACAACGCCGCCGCCGCAAATTTTTCTCCGAGTTGGGATTTTTTTCCCCTATTGGCAGTCACCGTCAAAGCACAAAAGAGTCGCGAGTCTCACTGAGGGTTTCCTGGCCACGCAAGCTGAATAGGAATTGAAAACCGCTTGTTTAGTACAGCACGGGGAGTGAAAAAGTAGCGGTCCGTGCACTGCGCTACCAACCCGTCGAGCCGGATTCGATTCCCGCTCGTGGCCAGCACCAGTGACGATTTATCTGAACCGGTCCCAGGCCTCCCATAGGTGGGCCTTAAATGAGCACCTGGTGCGGTGTGTAAACATCGCCGCTGGGGAGACAAAGGCGGCCGGGCGTTGTGCTGGCCACTCACCCTCAAGTGTGCCCTGCCGGCCTTCATAGGTGCTCGCTAACAGCACTTGCCCCAATAAGTCTGTCAAGGCTACACGGGGGACGTTTGTAATTGTTATAGCGTAGGCGAGGTATTGGGTGTGGGGTGCATGTGCTTTAATTGGTCTTTGTGAAGGGAAGTGCTTTCTTTGTGTGAACAATGCTCCTGTTGAGTGTTATCACAGATAATATACGGACGGCTCCGCTGTGTGCATCTTGCTGTGATGAGTTGTTGTGCAGTTGTTCTTTCCCGATGGCACTCAAATATTCACCCACTCCGCTGACTCGGCTGTCCGTTTATTCATGCAGTCTCTCACACGTGCAGTCTGGTAGAAGGCAGTCCGCTTTGCCCACGAACCATAATCAACTCGCCTTTACCTGCGAGTAGCGCGGTTGGCTATGTACGGTGCGAAAGAAGTTCAAGCTCCCCACAGACTCACTCGATCATCCACCTGGACAAGTTATTCTCGTGCCCATTCTCCACTTCATCCACGTTCGCAACTAGCCACCTACCGAGCCGCAAAATAACCTACGATTTCACGAAATCATTCACCCACCCAGCCACCCATTCAGCCGCCCAGTTACCCACCCAGCTATAAACCAACCTACTCGTTCCCTAACTAGGCCGCCCACTAAACTACCCATCCAGCCACCCACACAGACGCATGTTAGCCTGCCCTACCCATTCATTAACTCACCCATTCACACAAAGCCACCAACTCCACTTAATTTACTTACCTATCAAGCCGACTGCAATATTCATTGGTAATTTAACTCGGCAATGATTCCGTTCGTGCAAAGGTTCAAATTTCCACGGCTTTGAATTTACCTCGAGCATGTGAGCTTGTCCACTGCAACCCCCATGACTTCAGTTCCGTGGGCATTTAATAAACATTCTACCTAAAATGTGACTGCACGTGCAAGGGCGCGTGTCAGTGTGCAACAAATGGTGAAGGCGCAGTCCCTGCAGCTGCTTGCTCATGCCACTGCTGGCGGAAGGGCCTCCACCAGAGAGGCCCTTCCAAAGGGTCTTTGGCCTCCTCCTGGCCCACTCTTCGACGCCTGTCAGTGTGGAGTTCTTTTCAAATGCTTGTGCATGCGTGTGCGTGTGTATGTGTGCACATGCGGCCTTAAAGTGCACTTGGCCTGACACAAGCGCCGTCGCGACGTCCCTGCCACTTTGGTGCAAGTGGCGTTTGTTGTTGTTGATGTTGTGTGAGTATGGGGAGCGGGAGTGTAGCGGTTAGCGCTCTGCACCTACAAACCCGGCGACCTGAGTTCGATTACCGCTCACGGCCAAAAACAGTGGTGAATATCTTAACCGGTCCTGGGCTTCTCCTAGGTCGACTCAACCTTAAATGGGCACCTGGTGCAGTGTGTAAACGTCGCCACTGGGGAGACAAAGGCGGGCGGGCGGGCGTGATGCTGGCCACCCACCCCTTCGTGTGCCGTGCCGGCCCTCATTGGTGCTCGCTTACGGCACTTGCCTCAACAGTCCGTTAAGGCTATATGGGGGGGATCTTTGTCTTTGTGTGTGTGCGTGTACGACACTCGGTTTACGTTAATACTCAGGCCCTTCACGTGCATTGATCTGCGTGGTGTTTATTGCATCTGTAGGGGACTGCATCTGTAGATTTATCGCGTTCATTCTGCCGCAGGTGCCGACGCCATCTCCATTGTCAACTGCATGCACATCCTTGCCCGGTCAATCGATGCCAGGTAAGACGGCTTTCGCCGGTCATCATACCCCGTGAAACCCTCGGAAGCCGAGGCCATGAATCGTCGTCGCCTCTCGCCCGACGCGTATCAACGCGTTCGCAGACCTTCCATCAGACGTGCGCAGATTGTCCCGGCTACGCTTTGTTGGGAATACGATCACATTTGCAGTGTGGGTTTGGTGCCAGGGTGGCACCGGTGGTAACTGCCGTGCCTCACAGCAAGACGCGATGGGGTTGCGATTCCTGACCCGGGCACCTCTCTGCGTGGAGCTTTGTAATCAACAGGTCCTCCAGTTAATCCAACACATACATACACACAATTGAACTGGTATTGGCTAAAACATTCCAATGCTGGAACAATATACCTGCAAGGTATATATCCTGGAGAAATCTAATGAGCTGTGAAGCTCTTTTTCACAGGCGTCCGGTAGGGGAGGGTGGATCAGAAAGTTATACAAGGTACTCATTTGAGGCTGAGTCGACCTTAGGTGGGGGGGGGGCAGGCCGAGGACCGGTTCATTTAATCGTCACTGGTGGCGGCCGTCAGCGGGAATCAATCTCTGGTCGCTGGGTTCGTAGCGCGAACCGCTGCACTACCGCTCCCCACACACACACACACGCGCACACGTGTACTCGCGCACGCAAACACGCAAACAACACGTGCAGGACCGTGATGAAGACGGGCCCGGAGAGCATCAAGGCGGCGCTGCGTTCGTTCTTCGACTACGCGTCGGAGGACCTGGAGAAGACGATGGAGAACGTGAAGCAGGGCCGCTTCGCGCACACTCGCACGCAGCTCAAGGGCGTCGCGCAGAACATCAACTACACCACAGTGGCCCTGCTGCCCGTGCTCACCTCGCTCTTCGAGCACGTCGCCCAGAACCAGTTCGGCACCGACATCATGCGTGAGTTGCGACGACCAGCCCGGGAAGCGACACGCGTCGTCGTCCGTTCGTCATCCTCCGTTTGGAGTTGGAGGAAAAGTGCCGATGATAGGACCGCAGAGCTTGGGAAATTGTTGCCGTCGCCGGTTCTGACTGCCATTCCCGCTCGCCTGTCGTTTTCCGCGCCTCTGAAAGCGTTCTTTGCCTCTCTCCCTCTCTCTCTCTCTGGGAGTGAACGGAAGCTGTGCACGTTATGAATTCAAAATTGTTAATGATCATTTATTACCTGCACCAAGAACTTTTCCCTGGAGAACGCACTAGAGGGAGAATTTGCGTATTCATCGAGAGTCGGGTTCAGTTTTGAATGATCGTGGTCGTATCGTGATGATTGATGATGATGACGACGATTTTCTGTTGCGACCGCAGTTGATGACGTTCAGGCTTCCTGCTACAAGATCCTCTCGTGCCTCTACTCCATGGGCACGGGCAAGAACGTCTACGTGGAGAGGTGACGTCGTTGCGCTTGCGGTCCCCTTGCGTTCATTCCCACCGTGGTCAGCTGCGCTTCTTGTGAGAAGCAGTTTAGCAATAACGCCGCTGATAGAGGCCTGTAATTGTAGAGGTGCTGCGGTAGGCAGATGTTAACTACCTCACCTGTTTATAATAAATCATTTATTACCTGCATCACCTGGTATGCAGGAGGTCGTGAGTTTGATCCCGACCCTGACGCCTGCTGAATATTTGGAGTTTGCACGGTGGCGAGAAGTTATCTACCTCACCTGGTATGCAGGAGGTCGTGGGTTTGATCCCGACCCTGACGCCTGCTGCTGTATATTTGGAGTTCGCATGGTGGTGAGATGTTAACTACCTCGCCTGGTATTCAGGAGGTCGTGGATTTGATCCCGACCCTGACGCCTGCTGCATATTTGGAGTTTGCGTGTTCTCCCTGGGGTCGTGCGGATTTTTCTCCGGGTCCTCCGGTTTATTCCCTCCACATTTAGAATCAACATACTTTTTTTTGGGGGGGGGGGCATAGCCAGTACTTAATTTCATCTGGAGACAGTTCGCTGTGGAGTCGGGGGGTTGGTGGATCAGCGCACAGTTTTTGCGAAACTCCTGTGCACGTCTAGGAGGTGCCATAGCCTGGCTCTGCCAGGAGTAGGCGGTGGACTCCACCCGTTGCGTCTGTACGGGATCGAGTGTTTCCCCCTCGCGCGCGCGCGGGTTTACTCCGGGCGCTTTCCACCGCACGTGTAAAACACGCATCAGTTGGCTCAGATGGCGTTATCAGCCCCGCACCTCCGATGAGCACGGTTGGCTATGTACGGTACACAATAGGTTCACCTCGCACACTTCATCATATATAGGGTGCTTCTCAGAATTTGCAACAATAGCACAAGAAATGTGCCTCTGGGCTCTGGGGACCACCTGGAGAAGATTCCAGGCCACGTGTTGACAACGACGGCGAACAAGTGGAGACTCTTTGACTTTTTGAAGCTATTGACATACATTTTTTTTGTTATCACGTTACAGTGTATTATCCGTTTTTTTTTCTCCCATTCAAACCGATAGTCCCATGTACGTGTTAACATGTTTTTGGAGCACCCTGTATATAATATGGCTGCCTTCCCGCTCGTCTGTGCCTCCTCGCGCCTCTTGAGTCGTCCGCTCCCTCTCTCTGCGTCTGCGCGAACGCCGCGCGCGTCGCAAAGTCGAAATCATCGTTTTCCCCGCGGACGCATCGAACGCGGCCGAACGGCACGCTCACTCGCGCCCGCCATCCTTCCCCGCACTCCCCTCCCCCCCGCAGGCAGCGCCCGGCGCTGGGCGAGTGCCTCGCCGGCCTTGCCGGCGCCTTCCCCGTCGCTTTCCTGGAGCCGGAGCTCAACCAGAACAATTCCTGCTCCGTCTACGTCACCAAGACCCCCCGCGAACGCGCCAGTGAGCCGCCACACCTCACCGCACCTCGCCGCACCGCCACCGCCCGCTGCCGAGCAGGCTGCTGTCTGTGCCGATTAGCACGGTTGGCTACGCACGGAGCGGAAGAAGTTCGGCATACGTGCATGTGCGCGCTTGGATGGGAAGCCGGTGTTTCTCTCTGTCACGTGGATATTAACTCTATATGAATCGTCATCCAACGTGTGAGGTCCGCCTGCTGGCTTCAGAGTACGTTGAGTGGGAATATCACTAGTGCATATGGAGAACGCTCACATGCACACCCATAGACTCGCACAGAGACCCATCGACTCACACAGAAACCCATCGACTCACACAGAGACCTATAGACTCGCACAGAGACCCATAGACTCGCACAGAGACCCATAAACTCACACAAACCCATATACTCACACGTCGACCGATAGACTCACACCGAAACTCATAGACTCACACAAAGACCCATAGACTCACACAGAGACCTATAGAATCGCACATAGACCCATAGACTCGCACAGAGACCCATAGACTCGCACAGAGACCCATAGACTCGCACAGAGACCCATCGACTCGCACAGAGACCCATCGACTCACACAGCGACCTATAGACTCGCACAGAGACCCTTAGACTCACACAGAGACCTATAGACTCGCACTGAGACCCATAGACTCGCACAGAGACCCATAGACTCGCACAGAGACCCATAAACTCACACAAACCCATATACTCACACAGAGACCCATAGACTCACACAGAGACCTATAGGCTCGCACAGAGACCCATAGACTCGCACAGAGACCCATAGACTCGCACAGAGACCCATCGACGCGCACAGAGACCCATCGACTCACACAGAGACCTATAGACTCACACAGAGACCCATAGACTCGCACAGAGACTCAACGACTCGCACAGAGACCCATCGACTCGCACAGAGACCCACAGACTCACACAGAGACCCATAGATTTGCACAGAGACCCATAGACTCGCACAAAACCCATAGACTCACACAGAGACCTATAGACTCGCACAGAGACCCATAGACTCACACAGAGACCCATAGACTCGCACAGTGACCCATAGACTCGCACAGAGACCCATAGACTCGCACAGAGACCCATAGACTCACACAGAGACCTATAGACCCGCACAGAGACCCATAGACGCACGCAGAGACCTGTAGACTCGCACAGAGACCCGTGGACTCATACACAGAGACCCATAGACTCACACAGAGACACAGACTCACACAGAGACACAGACTCACACAGAGACCCATAGACTCACCACACAGAGACCCATAGACTCACACAGAGACCCATAGACTCACACAGAGACACAGACTCACACAGAGACACAGACTCACACAGAGACCTATAGACTCGCACAGAGACCCATAGACTCACACAGAGACCTATAGACTCGCACAGAGACCCATAGACTCGCACAGAGACCCATCGACTCGCACAGAGACCCATAGACTCGCACAGAGACCCATAGACTCGCACAGAGACCTATAGACTCACACAGAGACCCATAGACTCACACAGAGACCCATAGACTCGCACAGAGACCCATGGACTCGCACAGAGACCCATAGACTCACACAGAGACCTATAGACTCGCACAGAGACCTATAGACTCGCATAGAGCCCCATAGACTCGCACAGAGATCCATAGACTCACACAGAGACCCATCGACTCGCACAGAGACCCATAGACTCACACAGAGACCCATATACTCGCACAGAGCCCCATAGACTCGCACAGAGACCCATAGACTCGCACAGAGACCCATAGACTCACACAGAGACCCATAGACTCACACAGAGACCTATAGGCTTGCACAGAGACCCATCGACTCGCACAGAGACCCATAGACTCGCACAGAGACCCATCGACTCGCACAGAGACCTATAGACTCGCACAGAGACCCATAGACTCACACAGAGACCCATAGACTCGCACAGAGACCCATCGACTCGCACAGAGTCCCATCGACTCGCACAGAGACCCATCGACTCGCACAGAGACCTATAGACTCACAGAGACCTGTAGACTCGCACAGAGACCTATAGACTCGCACAGAGACCCATAGACTCGCACAGAGACCCATAGACTCACACAGAGACCTGTAGACTCACAGAGACCTGTAGACTCACACAGAGACCTGTAGACTCGCACAGAGACCCATAGACTCGCACAGAGACCCATCGACTCGCACAGAGACCCATCGACTCGCACAGAGACCCATAGACTCACACAGAGACCTGTAGACTCGCACAGAGACCCATAGACTCGCACAGAGACCCATAGACTCGCACAGAGACCTTCGACTCGCACAGAGACCCATAGACTCACACAGAGACCTGTAGACTCGCACAGAGACCCATAGACTCGCACAGAGACCCACAGACTCACACAGAGACCCATAGACTCACACAGAGACCCACAGACTCGCACAGAAACCCACAGACTCACACAGAGACCCACAGACTCACACAGAGACCCACAGACTCGCTATGTGTTACACTGTTGCGGTTCACGCCGCAGGCACGTTTGTGCTCTTCTTGTATTTGCCACTTCATTGACAAGGCGATTGCACCTGCCGTGGCCAGTTTGGGGACGAGGTGAGCTTCCTGATGGCTGGGTGGTGCTGGGCTCCTCGATGGGGTGTTCATTCGGCACGAAACTAAGCCGGTGACGGCGATTTGGTGATGTTCCGGAGAAGGACCTGGTGTGGCTGTACCCCCCCTCCCTCCCTCCCCACTCAACCCTCATCTTCTCGCCCCCCCCGCCTGCACCCCCCCCCCCCCTCCTCCCCACCAGTGCTGCTGCTGCCACCCAAGGTGGAGGAAGCTTGCCGGGACATCCCGTCGCTCGACAAGCTCATGCAGGACATCAACCAGCTGGCGGAGTCAGGCGCCCGCTACACCGAGATGCCCCACGTGATCGAGGTCATCCTGCCCATGCTGTGCAACTACCTGCTGCACTGGTGGGAGAGCGGGCCCGACGTGCAGCACGACCCCGAGAAGCCTGGCTGCACCACCGTGACGGCGAGCCACATGAACCAGCTGCTCGGCAACATCCTCAAGATCATCGTCAACAACCTGGGCATCGACGAGGCGTCCTGGATGAAGCGCATCGCCGGTAACGAATGCGCGTCGTGACCACCACCCCCCTCCACCCCCTCCCCCCCCAGAAGAAGGGGGAGGGGGGGGGTGTGGGGAAAAGGGAAAATGTTGTGCTCTCAGTTCGGACGTTCACTCTCACCCGGCTCTGCAATGCGATCCCGCACCTCCGATTAGCACGGTTGGCTACGTACGGTGCGAAAGAAGTTCAACATGCGTGTACATATAAGTGCGTGATGACACATCTCGCTCAGCTCCGGTTAAGCGTATTGTCCTTCCCCCGCACCTCCGATGAGCACGGTTGGCTACGTACGGTGCGAAAGAGGTTCAGCATCGACACATTCACAAAGTGTGGAGGTGACGTGGCCACGGGGTGGCGCTGCGTTTGTCGATTTGTTGCAAATGAGCTCGCTGTTCGAGTACGGTGGCCGTCCTGGTTAATACCCCGTCGTTTTTTAATTGGTGTTTTTGTTGTTGTAACTTATTGACCCACCCCTACTGGACATCTGTGAAAAAGAGCTTTCATAGGTCATCATATTTGTCCAGGATAATTAAATTTTCTGATTCTGATATTGAGTAAATTGCTGGTTCATTGTTCAGCATTGGAATGTTTTGGCCGGATTGTAATTCTGATCTGAAAGCGCGCGATGCGGTGACCTGTCTGCCAGTCGGTGGCAATGATTGCTGCTGTGTACGTTGAACTTCTTTCGCACCGTACGTAGCCGAACGTGCTAATTGGAGGTGCGGGAAAGGAGGTGCTGCTGCCTGTGGTGTCACCCCGAGTGTGGGTAATTTGTGGGTACCTTTTCGAATTGACAATTGCCCATCCTTTGCCCGTCCTTCTTGCTGCGCTGCACCTTTGCAGTGTTTGCCCAGCCCATCATCGGCAAGGCCCGGCCAGAGCTGCTCAAATCGCACTTCATCCCCACCATGGAGAAGCTGAAGAAGAAGGCGAGGAAGGCAAGTGCAGTTTGTTATTATTATTGTATAATTGTATGATTATAATATTGCTCGAATAGTTTTGCCCACGAAAGCCTCGCCGAGTCTCAAGTCGTATCGTTCCGGAGGGTCCTGCCCGGCATTCACGGCGGCGGTGGTCAACGACGCGAAGTGCGATAACCAATTGAGATCGTAATTAAAAAAAACAAACTTCGTTTTAAACTTTGGCCGATTTTTGTACCGCGATTCCGGACACGCGCGACGGCCTACTCTTGTGAATGGCGTCCTTCCGGGATCTTTCACGTCCTCTGTAAAGGAGCGGACGGTGCCTATTTCATGGTCAATACGCCCGCAGTACAAGACCAGGGTGGCATCGGAATGTTTGGCTGGTAGCAGTTACATTGCAGGTTTATTTTAGCTACGGATAGGTAACCGGAGGACTCGGAGGAAGCCACCGCACACCGGGAGGGGTGGGGGGGGGTGCAGAGAACGTGCAAACTCCCCCCGCAGAAAGACGCCCGGGTCGGGAATCGAACCCAGGCCTCCTTTATTGCTGTGAGGCACGGTTTCCACCTGATGATGGTCGCTTGTGTTGCGATCGAAACGTCGTAGTTTTTAAAAAAAAAATTTGAACCTATCTACGTGACTTTACCGAAAGACCCAGAGAATGTAAACCAACGGTCGCGAAGCAGCCACTTTAAAGAGCCACCACGCGACGACTTCGGAGCCGCAGGTTCGCCAAGGTCACTCACTATTAACGCCACGGAACACTGAGAAGTTTATTGGATCTGGCAGCTTACTGCCCTTCAGTGCAGCGGTAGTGCGGCTCCCACTGGATTCTGCTGTTCACACGGGCGGCCTGGTTTGAGTGAAATGCCTACAACAGCGCCTCGTTTTCACGTGGGTGCTCTGGCATTGAGGTCTTGAGACGTAGATTCCCTCTCATGAAATCAACACTTAAACATGCCCGATCTTGGCAGCTCTCAGAAGCCAAGCAGCGTTGAGCCTGGTTCGTACGTGGGATGGGTGACCAACAGACACGTGGCTGTGAGGTGCAGCTGGTGTTGAATGTCAGCCCTGAACGTGAACAGGATTTTTTTGGGATTTCTCTGGTGTCCTCCCAGATGCAAAGCATCCAATTATTTAAGTGGCCAAACATAGCACGAGCCTCCTGAAAAACGGTCTTTGAGACCCGATGGGTCTTTCCTCGCGAAATAATTGGTATTTTGATGAGATACATTTTTTTGTAAAGGTGTTGTTTGTACCTATTGATAAGCCGCCTCTGCCTGACTCATCCCATTATTCCTACGGCGTGATTTAACAGAGTACCACCGTGTTGCACAGAGGTACATTTTTTTTATCACCTCATCGGTAGGGGACCGGCTTTCACCATGGTAACGTGGAAATTTCCACCAGTGGCTTGGGGCTGCCCAATGGAGTAACGCTCGTTCAGGAAGGTCGTGGGTTCGATCCCAACCCTGACGCCTGTATATGTGGAGTTTGCGTGTCTTTCTCCTCGTGGTCGCTTGGATTTTTTGATCCTGGTGCTCCAGTTTTTCCCTCCACATTTATAAACGTGCATTGAGATTACTTTGATTATTTGAGTGCTATGAATGTCCAAATTATGGGCCACTTTCTTGACCTATCGTTTGTGGCCAGGTCTCTTCTGAGCAATAAGTTAACACATCAGTGGGCTTTGCATGGCAGGATGGGGATGGTTTAGTGCTGTATTTGTTTGTGTTTAGGTGATTTGTTTACCTGTCTTTTGTACTTTGCACAACTATCACTTGTTTGTACTGTTTGTTGTTGTAACGTTCTTACCCGCCGCTATTGGGAATCTGTGAAAAAGAGCTTTGTAGCTCATCGGATTCCTCCAGGATAAATAAATATTCTGATTCTGATATTCTGACAACCCCATCATCGTTATTCTGTTCACGTTTTCTGTACCGATATCTGCAAGTATATTCTTTTGGCAGCGTGTTGCCACGCGGGTAAACGGCGATCATGGGTTTTTTGTGTTTCATCGGCCGGTGTGCTGGAACCAAAGTGAACGATGCATCGCGCTCATGCCGAGCGGCGTGACATTCAGACAGAGTGTCGCCTCGCCGGAGAACATTGGACCGGTAAAAGGGCCATGTAACATCGAGTTAAAAGTGCACCAAACACCAATTGAACATGGTGTCACCAAACGGCGTCGTTTTTTTTTCTTCTTTCTCTCATCCTGTCCCCGAGTTTTAACGCAGATATATTTCAGCGAGGCTCGCATTCGCAGCGCGGCCGTATTTTGGCCATCCCCGCTCTCTTTTTTTCCGCCGTCTGGTTCGGCGCAAATTGACGAATGCCCTCGGGCACCGGGTGACTTTAGCGATACATCTTGAGCGAGTTGACGTGCTGGCTGTGGGTCACGCCCGTCGCGAACGCCCTGTCCGCTCTCTGCTTCACCACCATCGCTTTTCTCCCCTCCGTGTCACAGCTCCACCGCCAGCTCACTGCTTAACTCACTGCTCCAGGAACACAAATGTCCAACTGTGCTGCATTTGCGGACGCGTGCTACAGGTCGCACGGCAACCTTTGTTCACTGTGTATGTATGCATGTTGAGCTTGTTTCGCGCCGGACGTAGCCAAATGCGCGAATCGGAGGTGCCAGGTTGCGGCGTCTCCTCTGCTGGTGCCGTAGTATTTTGTGTCTTTTCACCGCAGATACCTCTAGTAGAGCCTTTGTTGTTACAGTGTACGTATTTCACTCGGGTCTTCCCTTCAAATGAGAATCCTGATGGTAACGTTCCCCTTGCTTGGTCTTGAATGAAGGGAAAAAACTCAACCCCCTTTTTTGTTGTTGCCAATAATGCCGTGGCCCTAAAGAGGAAAACGTTAACAGGAGGTGACTTTTCGTGCAACGGCCCTTCTTCATAACAGCGATTTAACCTCCGGCCTTTGACCCCAGTGCTGGCACTAGGCATTTTCAAACCAAGCAAAAGCATAGGTAGGGCCCTAAGCAGCTGAAGGGACCGCCCCGCGTTCATGAAAACATACGGATGCATCAAATTTCATCTCAAATTCAGATCCTAATTAGCATAGCGCACGATCAACATAAACATGCCAAATTTTGATTTAAAGCTTTCGTGACTGCAGGGATTCATATTCTTGTTTCTTTCGTTAAAGACTTTTACCGAAAGAGCCAAGAATATAAACATGCCAGTTTAATACCTCGTGAACTCCACCCTGAACCGCGTCCACACAAACCATGGCAGTAGATGCGGATAGGCCGATGCACAAATGGAAAATGGAAAACTCTCCAGTACGCGACTGGGGTCATCCACAACAGACCGTACGGCGTATTACGACGGATGCAATGCCCGGTCCACAAAAAACAAAGGAGACATCGCGGCGATATACTCCGCCACTCCTGATGCGGTTGTCTGGGCTTGACCACCTGAATGTGAAATTGTAGTCCTCGCTCTGCGTCTCCACGAGCCGCCGTACGTTAAGAAGAAGGACCCCACGTTTTCTCTCGCCTCACCACACCACTATTTTTGTCTACATTTCGCTCACGTCGCCACACCTCCGTCCCTTCTTTGTCGATTTCCGTCTGGCCGTTTCTCCAGGAGCTTACAAAAATCGAAAGGGGGATGGAGGGGCCCTCAAAAAAATTACTTGCTGCCTCGAGTGCCCAATGGTTCCTGGCACCGCCACCGCTGCTTGACCTTACATCTCTGCGCCCTTGACCTTTGACCCTTGCCCCCTGCAGGTGGTGGCAGAGGAAGACCGTCTCAGGGCCCAGAGCTCGGGAGACATGTCCGAGTCGGAGCTGATGCTGCTGGACGAGTTTGCGATTCTCTCGCGGGATCTCTACGCCTTCTACCCGCTGCTCGTCAGATACGTGGACATCAACAGGTACCAGTGGCGTAACCAACTACATTATCAGCTCAGGGGGTGCGGCAATCGATTAGGTGGGGCCCCAATATTCGATTTGTCTCGCACGGTCGCACCCAGGCTATTGGGATCCTAGGATGGAAATGCGCATTATAAATTAGAATAGTTCTTATATTATTATTTATCGCAGCTCCTCTTGCCTAATAACTTCACCGTTATGCTCACGGTCTCGAACATTTAATGCCGTAGGGGCGCTCCGTCGTCACAAAATGCAGCCACTACAGCTCCGTAGGAATACCTCTTTTGCAACAGTACGTGACAGGTCTAATTCAATTAAAATTAAACGTGGAACGCAAGTGAAAACATTTTCATGAAAATAATTGCACACCGGGGGAGGGGGGGGGGGCAAGTCACCCCCTGCCACCACGCTCGTTATGCCACTGCCGCCTCTTACAGTAACTACCGCGGTGCAAATTACGGCTGCAATTGCATAACTTGTAAAGTAAGGGTAGAAAGGCCTTCGCTAGAGGGAGCTCTAGAGAGTCTTTCTAGGGGCACGCGTTCAATGTAATTCACCACTTTTTTTAGTACGATACGGTCTTGGTAGAGACTGCTCATTTCTGATTTTTCATTGAACTGCGTTTTATTTGTCCGTTGTTGTGGACAGATCCAAGTGGATTAAGTTTCCCAATCCGGATGCGGAGGAGCTTTTCCGAATGGTGGCTGAGATCTTCATCTACTGGGCCAAGTCACACGTGAGCACTCGTACTTTTAAGATGTCTTTGTTGCCAAAGTGTCTAATTTGGAATCCTGCTGCTCACCCATCTGGGACGGAGAAACCCCGTTTCCAGGATTCAGGGCAACATCAGTCAGGGTGATTGATTCTCTAAATGCCATGACGTTGAGTCTAAATGTGGAGGGAATAACCGGAGGACCCAGAGAAGCATCCACGCGACCACGGGGAGAGACATGCAAACTCCAAATATACAGCAGGCATCAGTGTCGGGATTTAACCCATGACCTCCTGTATACCAGGCAAGGTAGTTAACATCTCTCCACCATGACTGAATGTTCAGCGTCGTTCATATATTCATGCTGAATAACACGCTGCACAACCTGAAAACACATCAGAGGTTTTTCGTCGAATTTTTACTCCCGATGGTACGTCATTGCTTGAGACACAGAACCGATTTGAAACTGTCCCGGAGCATGATTTAGAGAATGGACCATGGAAGGATATATTGCAGAACTTCTTCTGAGATCCCTTCAAGGTGACATCTTAGCCACACGAGAAGGAACTGTACTTTTTCCCCACAAGCTCTGCCTCCTCCACAATTTGTCGCGCGACAGTCGAATCTTTTAATTTTCAGAGCTGGAATTTGGCCAATTCTTTTAAAGTGAAAACCCAATTTCATGTGACGGATATTTTGGGAAGTCCATCGGTGATGGGGCTGACGCCACCAGCCCCACTGGACTGGAGTACTCAGTTCAACTTAATTTAATGCGGTCAACACCCAAATCTGAACCCATGATCTCAGTGGCGCTGGCTCTCATCATCGAGTGACTCCTCTGAGTTAAACTGACCGCTCTGGAAGCGTGTGATTAAATCGTTGCTTTGTGTCCATGTGTTTGCAGAATTTCAAACGCGAAGAGCAGAACTTTGTGGTTCAAAACGAAATCAACAACATGTCCTTCCTCATCTCTAGCGACACAAAGAGTAAGATGTCAAAGGTCAGTGTTCACCGGCAGTGGCCACGAGGGGATGTTTTTTTGTTGTTGTCCTTCCCCCACACCTCCGGTTAGCGCGGTTGGCTACATAAGGTGCGACAGCGTCTTGAGATGCGGTGGCATTCAGACCCTGGGGAAATCTAAAACACTTGTTACAATAATAATTTGGTACATGCGGTATTCGCGCCATTCTTATAAGCGCAGGACTGCCACGAAGCTGCGGGTGTTTCACAGACGGATATAGTCTGCCAGTAGGGGGGGGCGATGTTGCTGTGTAGGTTTTTTTTTAAATTATCCCCGGCTTAGGTATATTTCCGAGTTACGCAGCTACCCGTTCAGATGTGGACAAAGCGGTTGCGGGCAGGCGGGCGGGACCGATGTTTAATCTGCGCGATTTCGAGGGCGACTTGTGTGCCGGCTACTGATCGCTCGAGCGTGGACCCCGGCTGCGAGCTCGCGCCGACGACGATATCCTCACCGGGAACGCCGCGTGCCGTGTGGCTGCGTCGAAGAGCGAATGCCGCTGGTGGTACTTATGTAGAACTTCTTACGCGCCGCACGTAGCCAGCCGCGCTCATCGGACGTGCGGGGGGAAGGACAACAACACTAAACGCAAAAAAAAAAGCAGTTCTGAAGAAATCCGTTTTCAGTCGAATTAGTTTTCAATTGAAAAGTGCATAGCTCCAGTGGCTTCTTAATGTCGGAAGGAAGAGAGCGTTCCAGACGGTGATGGCCATGTCGATGGGGCCGCCCTGTTAATTTCTCACGCTCCCCGCACACCCCCCCCCCCCCCCCCCCCCCGCCCCCGCAGGGTCGTGGAGATGACGAGCGTAAGAAGACGCGTCGTCCCGGAGACCGCTACTCCGTGCAGACGTCTCTCATCGTGGCGGCGCTGAAACGGCTGCTGCCCATCGGCCTCAACATGTGCGGTCCCGGCGACCAGGAGCTCATCACCATGGCCAAGAGCCGCTACAACTTGGTACGCTCTACCGCCCGTGGGGGCCACGGCCGCCGAGCCACCGCAACAACAACAACAGCAGCAACAACGTTGTATCGAAAACTAAAAAAAACACAACTTTAGACGATGCAGCAGGACCCCCTCTTAACGACGGTAATTGCTTCCACCGAGCTGGTTGGCGAACCTGCGGCTCCGAAGTCGTCGCTTGGTGGCTCTTTAAAGTGGCTGCTTCGTGACCGTTGGTTTACATTCTTTGGGTCTTCCGGTAAAGTCACGTAGATAGGTTCAAAAAAAGAATGGAAAATGAGATAAAAAGCTACGACGTTTCGATCGCGACGCAAGCGACCGTCATCGGGTGGAAAAAAGGGGGGAAAGCCGCTAAAGGCAAGCTAGCTTGTGACTTTACAGAAAGACCCAAATAATATGAATTCCTGCAGTCACGAAAGCTTCAAGTCAAGACTGTTGGTTATATCGGTACCACCGTCTCGTATTCACCACTTGCACTGTTGGGGCTCTTGGAATGTTGATTGATTTGTTTAAAAAAAATTATGTTTTCACGAATTTTAAAAAGCCCCATCTCCCTTGTTGTTGCATTGCGCCACTCGCGACGTCCGAAGGCCATCATGAAAGCAGCACCTCGACTCGCCACGCACGATTCGCGATACTTTACGGATGTGTTAAAGGGTCTAGGAGAATTGAGAAAATTCCCGATACCTTCCGAATGCATTTAAGGGTCTAGGAGAATCAGGAAAACTCACGATAGCTTACGGATGTGTTAAAGGGGCCTTGGAAAATCAGGAAAACTGACGATAGCTTATAGATGTGTTTAAGGGTCTAGAGGAATCAGGAAAAAACATTTATTAAACGTTAACGCGGCTGCATGTCTGACATTCTCGAGAAGGGACTATAGGTGATTTGGACTTGTGTTGAAATGAGACAAAGAAGGTGGAATTAGAAGGTCTATGGAGAGAAGAGACCCATAGCCTCATACGGAGATCTATACTCACAGAGAGAGCCATAGACTCTTACAGAGACCCATAGGACCACACAGACTCATAGACTCGCACAGAGAGCCATAGACTCGCACAGAAAGCCGCAGACTCGCACAGAGACCCATAGGACCCCACAGACTCATAGACTCGCAAAGAGAGCTCCATAGACTCGTACAGAGACCCATAGACTTGCACAGAGACCCATAGATGAGAAGGGCTTTGGAGATGCCACTGGTTGCAGGCAGAAGCAGAAGAGGGGGACCAGGGTGAGATGGGAGGATGTGGTGGCGCAAGATACGGGGGTAGTGGATGTGGTAAGAGAAGAGCCACTGGACAGAGGCACGTGGAGTCAGAAGATTTGAGCAGTTGACCCCATGCAACGATGGGAGATCTGGCTGAGTGCAAGAAGGATTCGACTGCATACAGGGTGGCTATCGTTATATATCTGTATTAAAAGTGATTATTCTACTCAGAGGTAAAATAGTATAGAGGACTCCCCTACCCACCACATATAAGTCAGATTATCTCCGCTCAAGCGAGCGTAGAGAGCCATGGCCTATAATAAAAGTCACCATAAGGACCTCATATTTTCACGTCAATATATAATGACCCTGCTTTGCCTTAAGATATTCGAGCTACAGTGAGGGAAAAAAGTATTTGATCCCCTGCTGATTTTGTACGTTTGTCCACTGACAAAGAAATGATCAGTCTATAATTTTAATGGTAGGTTTATTTGAACAGTGAGAGACAGAATAACAACAAAAAACTTTCAGAAAAACGCATGTCAAAAATGTTATAAATTGATTTGCATTTTAATGAGGGAAATAAGTATTTGACTCCTCTGCAAACATGACTTAGTACTTGGTGGCAAAACCCTTGTTGGCAATCACAGAGTTCAGACGTTTCTTGTAGTTGGCCACCAGGTTTTCACACATCTCAGGAGGGATTTTGTCCCACTCCTCTTTGCAGATCTTCTCCAAGTCATTAAGGTTTCGAGGCTGACGTTTGGCAACTCAGCTCCCACCACAGATTTTCTATGGGATTAAGGTCTGGAGACTGGATAGGCCACTCCAGGACCTTAATGTGCTTCTTCTTGAGTCACTCCTTTGTTGCCTTGGCCGTGTGTTTTGGGTCATTGTCATGCTGGAATACCCATCCACGACCCATTTTCAATGCCCTGGCTGAGGGAAGGAGGTTCTCACCCAAGATTTGAGGGTACATGGCCTCGTCCATCGTCCCTTTGATGCGGTGAAGTTGTCCTGTCCCCTTAGCAGAAAAACACCCCCAAAGCATAATGTTTCCACCTCCATGTTTGACGGTGGGGATGGTGTTCTTGGGGTCATAGGCAGCATTCCTCCTCCTCCAAAAACGGAGAGTTGAGTTGATGCCAAAGAGCTCCCTTTTGGTCTCATCTGACCACATCACCCAGTTGTCCTCTGAATCATTCAGATGTTCATTGGCAAACTTCAGACGGGCATGTATATGTGCTTTCTTTAGCAGGGGGACCTTGCGGGCACTGCAGGATTTCAGTCCTTCACGGCGTAGTGTGTTACCAATTGTTTTCTTGGCGACTATGGTCCCAGCTGCCTTGAGATCATTGACAAGATCCTCCCGTGTAGTTCTGGGCTGATTCCTCACCGTTCTCATGATCATTGCAACTCCACGAGGTGAGATCTTGCATGGAGCCCCAGGCCGAGGGAGATTGACAGTTCTTTTGTGTTTCTTCCATTTGCGAATAATTGCACCAACTGTTGTCACCTTCTCACCAAGCTGCTTGGCAATGGTCTTGTAGCCCATTCCAACCTTGTGTAGGTCTACAATCTTGTCCCTGACATCCTTGGAGAGCTCTTTGGTCTTGGCCATGGTGGAGAGTTTGGAATCTGATTGATTGCTTGGATAGGTGTCTTTTATACAGGTAACAAGCTGAGATTAGGAGTACTCCCTTTAAGAGTGTGCTCCTAATCTCAGCTCGTTACCTGTATAAAAGACACCTGGGAGCCAGAAATCTTTCTGATTGAGAGGGGGTCAAATACTTATTTCCCTCATTAAAATGCAAATCAATTTATAACATTTTTGACATGCGTTTTTCTGGATTTTGTTGTTGTTATTCTGTCTCTCACTGTTCAAGGAAACCTACCATTAAAATTATAGACTGATCATTTCTTTGTCAGTGGGCAAACGTACAAAATCAGCAGGGGATCAAATACTTTTTCCCCTCACTGTATGTGTGAGCGTGCCCGCTCGATTTGCACATGGAAAAGTGAAGTCTCAGTCGTCTTGGGTCACTCCCTCGTCTCACCTGGTTACTCTTGGTGGAAAAGTCAACAGCTGAGAATCTCGATCTACTCTCTCAATAGTCACGAGGGGCTCACGGACGCCTCCTGTTCCTCTTCCTTGTTTCTATGCCGCTATACCATGTGTACTGATTGGCACCCTACTACTCACCCACTCACTTACCTACTCACAGCTCACCTACTTACCTATTCACCTACCCACTAATTCACTTACTCACACTCACCTAATCACCTACCCACTCGCCTACTCACCTACTCACTCACTGACTACCTACCCACACAGTCACCTACATGCTCACCTACCTACTCACCTACCCACTCATTCACCTACTCACCTACCTATTCACCTACCCACTCATTCACCTACTCACCTACCTATTCACCTACCCACTAATTCACTTACTCACACTCACCTAATCACCTACCCACTCGCCTACTCACTTACCTACTCACTCACTGACTCACCTACCCACACAGTCACCTACATACTCACCTACCTACTCACCTACCTACTCACCTACCCACTTATTCACCTGCTCACCTACCTACTCATCTACCCACTCATTCACTTACTCACCTACCTACTCACCTACCCACTCATTCACCTACTCACCTACCTACTCACCTACCCACTCATTCACCTACTCACCTACCTACTCACCTACCCACTCATTTACTTACTCACCTACCTACTCACCTACCCACTCATTCACTTACTCACTTACCTACTCGCCTACCCACTCATTCACTTACTCACCTACCTACTCACCTACCCACTCATTCACCTACTCACCTACCTACTCACCTACCCACTCATTCACCTACGCACCTACCTACTCACCTACCCACTCATTCACCTACTCACCTACCTACTCACCTACCCACTCATTAACTTACTCACCTACCTACTCACCTACCCACTCATTCACCTACTCACCTACCTACTCACCTACCCACTCATTCACTTACTCACCTACCTACTCACCTACCCACTCATTCACCTACTCACCTACCTACTCACCTACCCACTCATTCACCTACTCACCTACCTACTCACCTACCCACTCATTCACCTACTCACCTACCTACTCACCTACCCACTCATTCACCTACTCACCTACCTACTCACCTACCCACTCATTCACTTACTCACCTACCTACTCACCTACCCACTCATTCACCTACTCACCTACCTACTCGTCTACCCACTCATTCACTTACTCACCTACCTACTCACCTACCCACTCATTCACCTACTCACCTACCTACTCACCTACCCACTCATTCACCTACTCACCTACCTACTCACCTACCCACTCATTCACCTACTCACCTACCTACTCACCTACCCACTCATTCACTTACTCACCTACCTACTAACCTACCCACTCATTCACCTACTCACCTACCTACTCACCTACCCACTCATTCACTTACTCACCTACCTACTCACCTAACCACTCATTCACCTACTCACCTACTTACTCACCTACCCACTCATTCACCTACTCACCTACCTACTCACCTACCCACTCATTCACCTACTCACCTACCCACTCATTCACCTACTCACCTACCTACTCACCTACCCACTCATTCACCTACTCACCTACCCACTCATTCACCTACTCACCTACTCAGGATTTCCTGCTCGTCTTTCACTCTGCGTCTATATAGCGATGCCTCTATGTACGAAAACATAAGAACAGATTTTACCCTTTCTGGAAAGAAAACAGGAGGTGTTAAGACGTTCAAACACGAAATAGAAACCTTTTGCAAGGAAGTGTGTCTGCATTAACCACGCATACAAAACATGCTCTGATAATATATGCATGGTCACGAGGGGCTCACGGACGCCTCCTGTTCCTCTTCCATGTTTCTATGCCGCTATACCATGTGTACTGATTGGCACCCTACTACTCACCCACTCACTTACCTACTCACAGCTCACCTACTTACCTATTCACCTACCCACTAATTCGCTTACTCACACTCACCTAATCACCTACCCACTCACCTACTCACTTACCTACTCACTCACTGACTCACCTACCCACACAGTCACCTACATACTCACCTACCTACTCACCTACCCACTCACCTACCCACTCATTCACTTACTCACACTCACCTAATCACCTACCCACTCACCTACTCACTTACCTACTCACTCACTGATTCACCTACCCACACAGTCACCTACGTACTCACCTACCTACTCACCTACCCACTCACCTACCCACTCATTCACCTACTCACCTACCCACTCATTCACCTACTCACCTACCCACTCATTCACCTACTCACCTACCCACTCATTCACCTACTCACCTACCTACTCACCTACCAACTCATTCACCTACTCACCTACCTATTCACCTACCCACTAATTCACTTACTCACACCCACCTAATCACCTATCCACTCACCTACTCACTTACCTACTCACTCACTGACTCATCTACCCACACAGTCACCTACATACTCACCTACCTACTCACCTACCCACTCACCTACCCACTCATTCACCTACTCACCTACCTACTCACCTATCCACTCATTCACCTACTCACCTACCTACTCACCTACCCACTCATTCACCTACTCACCTACCCACTCATTCACTTACTCACCTACCTACTCACCTACCCACTCATTCACTTACTCACTTACCTACTCACCTACCCACTCATTCACTTACTCACCTACCTACTCACCTACCCACTCATTCACTTACTCACCTACCTACTCACCTAGCCACTAATTCACCTACTCACCTACACACTCATTCACTTACTCACCTACTCAGGATTTCCTGCTCGTCTTTCACTCTGCGTCTATATAGCTATGCCTCTATGTACGAAAACATAAGAACAGATTTTACCCTTTCTGGAAAGAAAACAGGAGGTGTTAAGACGTTCAAATACGAAATAGAAACCTTTTGCAAGGAAGCGTGTCTGCATTAACCACGCGTACAAAACACGCTCTGATAATGTATGCGTTGTCTTTGAAACTGATTGGTCGACAATTTCAAGGACAATGCATCTACTACCATAGCATTTTTTTTTCGATTTAAAGCTTTCGTGAGTGCAGGGATTCATCTAATAAATATAAAACATAATAAAATAAAATTATCACGACGTTTCGGCCACAACACAAGTAGCCTTCTTCAGGTGAAGGAACAGAACCGTCGGGACGGCAGCGCTTCAATGAACTCTGCTAAGCTTCAGCACCTAGCTGAAAAGACGCTGCTGAAGCTTAGCAGCCTTCATTGAAGCGCTGTCGTCCCGACGGTTCTGTTCCTTCAACCTGAAGAAGGCTGCTTGCGTTGTGGCCGAAACGTCGTGAGAATTTTATTGTATTACGTTTTATTTTTATTATTTTGTTTCCATTCTACGTGACTCTACCAGAGCATGTGTTTTAAATTTGCATGTTCGCCACAAATACGTGTGGTTAATGCAGGCATGATTCCTTGCCTGCATTAACGTCTTAACACCTCCTGTCTTATTGCCAGAAAGGGTAAAACCGATTATTATTTTTTCAAACTTTGATACTGGCGGAAAAGGTCCCATTTTGCCTCTGTACGTTGGCTGTGATGCATTTTCATATCTGTTAAGCAAACTACCTATTGTGGGATTGCCTTCAAACTCACAGTGGCGTCAATTTAACAGGCAAGTGAATAACACCAGAAAGGCGTGAGACTACATACAAACTTTAATTTTGAGTGGCAGAATATATATTTAATTAATGATTTCGAGTAAAATGAATTATTAGATAAGGAGAGTAGAGGCAATGGGATGAATCTTCCAAAAGAATGTGACAATGTAAGCAACTTGGGTTAAGCAGGGCCGGATTAAGGTTCTTGTAGGCCTGAGGCACTTCTGTTTCATAGGCCTTCACTGATAACTCTCTACAAGTTGCTACTAATGCCGCGCCATGTCACTACAGCTGCTGTCGCTCTCTTGATTGTGTGAAAAACACCACTTGAACTTCATTTCCGGTCTTATTTTCTATTTTCACCTCGTGAACAAAAAAAAGATTGACATTGACGTGACTCTGTCTCTTTGTATATACACCGTGCCTATCCGTGCTATATATATAAATATTTATCTTTTATTCAAAAAGATATCTTGGTTACAATCTTTATCATGCAAACAAAAAAAACGAGCTCAATTTTTATTTTCTTAGGTCCTTTAGTTTTCGCAGGCCCTCGGCACAGTTCCCACTGTGCCTTTCGGATAATACGGTGCTGAGGTTAGGGCAACGCTGGAAGACATTAAAGCAAATGCGCTCTAATTCAAAAACATTCGCGAATGTTAAGCCAGCGTAGCTGACGGTTCGCAAACTCTCTGCTGCCAGGTGGACGTTAAACACCACGCAGCTCCTTCCGCAAAAGTGAGATGTGTCCGACGGCATAGCAGTCCATTTCACTGAAACAAAAAAAATATATCCCTAATTTAATGCAGATGTCCAAATCATTCTTGCAAATGGGATAATAAATCTTGCCGGGCTGTCATTTGGCTAAATTAAGGATAGCGGTCATTACAAAATGTGTGCTAATAATGATACGAAAAAAGCAGCATGTTGGAAACACGGCGTATAATGCATTGTCTTTAGCCCAATTTAGCGTTGGTAATTTTGCTCGGGGAGGAATAATGAGGTGTGCGCGCTGATGAAAATACAAGGGCAGTTCAAGGCTAAGCCACGCTCTTTAAAGTGAAGCGAATGAGCTTACCTTATCATTATTCGTACTCAGAGATGCAGAACCCCAGTAAACAATGCAAATGTCGGGCCAACGCCGATTGACGTTGGACCCAACGTCGGCCCCACATAATTTTGAAATCCCTGTGTTTTCAGTTACCCCACGATGATTCTGTAAGTAAAATGGGACCTTTTTTGCCAGTAGCGAAGTATGAAAAAAAAATGACAATCGGTTTTTACCCTTTCTGGCAATCAAACAGGAGGTGTTAAGATGTTCATGCCCTGATAATATATGTCATTGTTTTTGGGACCGATCGGCCTACACCAGAGACAGCCTCCTTTCGGGCCTCGTCTCACTACCAGTGTCAGTCCAGAGATTTTGTAAATGTTGAATCATGTTGAAACATTTTTCTTCAAAAGAAATGCGATTACACAAAGCCGACGACACGCTGTTTGCCACCATCTTGGAAATAAGAAACCCGCTCTGTGGATTTCATCGCCGCCTATCTGTTGTTTACTCAACCCAGGAATTGACTACGGTACGTTCGCGCGGCAGGAATCTTATTTGCGCCGATTAACCGGCACCAACAATGTGTTGACGATCGACCAAGGGCCGATTGTGAAATACGGACAGGTTTGGGACTACCGTGGAAAAGGTGGCAGCCCGATTCGTACGGCCGTGATTTTTGCCCCCACCCCTTTTCGTGCAGAAGCTGTCAGGTGGTTCCCACCATGAACACTGAACGGTTTCGGCGATTTGCGATTGTTATTCGATCGTCCTGAACGAAGTCGCCCGGCGTGATGTTGAGCCGTGCTCGCTCGTGTGTTTGCGTGAACAGCTGATGGACGATGAAGTCCGCGACTACATCCGCAACAACCTGCACTCCCAAAGCAAGGTGAGGAATCTGGGTCGTGTTCATCAAGATGGGCCAGGTGGCTCAGTGAGTTCATTATGGCTGTGTCAGTGTAGTGAAGGCAGCACTGCCGAGATTGAGTTCGCGATATTGACTAACTCCTATAGTGGGTGACTAATCCAAATATCGGTCAGTAGCGCAGTATATTTTCTTATGCATCGATGAACTGCAATAAAAATTCACAATCGTAAAGTCATCAATAGGTTTGATCGTAATTTGGATACATTCCGGCTGTGAGAATAGAAATATAACTTTGACTGTCATGCGACGAACCTCGCTCTCATGTGGCAGAGCAGGTGCGAAAGCGCTGCCAACTACTGTGTGTGTCGTACCAGAGATAAACTCAAGCAATCTCAGAGGTAGCCGTGTCAAAGGTTTTCTCGTGACACAATTGCACCGAATGATGGCCACTGCTGCTTTTGTTTGCGCGCCGTGGCAGATGGACGATCCCGCGATCCGCTGGCAAATCTCGCTCTACAAGGACCTGCCGGGGAAGGCCGAGGATTGCTCTGACCCGGACAAGACGGTCGACCGTGTGGCCGAGATTGCTGCTGTGCTGTACCATCTGGAGATGGTGAGGCTCCTGGACTTGCCATATTGTCCCCCTCCTCCTCTTTCTACTGCGGTGTCCTTCATTGCAAGGCCCCACAGGCCACTGGCGGCCCCTGGTGGTGGCCTTTAGTGCGGCCCCCCTCCCCCGCTGACGTGTGGCCCCTGACAATACACAAATGTGTGAACCCCCCCCCCCCCCCATCATCGTGCTGTCAAACCCTGCAGCGGTTTCAGATGTGTGGCGGACCTCACACCGATGTAGCATCGGCAAAAGTGTCCCTCCTCTGAAAATTAGTGAAGAACACTGGTTTACACGTTGGTGCTGTGATCATCGTGAATCCGTTGAATGCGTCTGTCACTTAATTAATTATGAATGAGCAAGCTGATGTTGCAGGAGATGTATTTTCTTGAACATTGATTTATTTTCTTGCGTAATCGTTTTATTTATCCTGTAACGTGGTTGTTATTACTCAGATTTATAATTGGTGGTTTTGCTCTGTCCTCTATATACTTTACATTATTAGGTTTATTGCATTTTTCCATCTTCGTGACCAAGGTGATTCTCGCAGATGAGACTATCCTGTGGTCTTGAGTTCCATATTGTAAAAACAAAAATATTATCTAAAACGTGAAACCTAATGGAGGATAAAGATCCGTTTGTAACTTCGTGGGCTTGCCCGAATCGCTCAATTGGGGTTGCACAAATGGCAAGGATACCCTCTACTCATCATGTGTCGTTAACCTCGCAACCACCACCCGACGCAGCCAATTGGTAAGGTTTGTTACGTAAACAAAACGTGCCAATTAGTCACTAGTTCAGCACACCGGTTGTGTGTTGGAGAGTAAAACCACAACATTTACAATTCGAGTAGAAAAACACTTGAGAGAAGCCTTTCTGATCAAAACGAGCGTGATGATAATAGTTTAATTTTAAACAGCGGCATTCATTCCAACAGCATCATACAATGCTGTTCATTAATTATATATAATGACCAAATCCCATATATGCGGTTGGCTACGTCCGGCGAGAAAGAAGCCCAACACACGCACACATACATACCAACAAATCAAAACCCCTACTACCAAGAAAGATCTAAAATTAATAAACAAATTGCACCAAAACAAAAAGCACAAACAACGAAAAAAGTTAATGCACCGAAGAAATTTTAAGAGAGAAATTAGTCCATTAGGTCACATCCTAATACATACGTATATACAGGGTGCTTAATTTTTTTTACACTTTTGAGAATTTGCAACAACACCACTAGAAATGTGCTGCCTCCGAGCTCTGGGGACCACCTGTTGAAGATTCCAGGCAATGCGTTGACAACGATGGCGAACAAGTGCACTTCTTGAAGCTATTAACATTACATTTGTTATCACGATACAGTGTACCATCCGCTATTTTTCCCATGAAAAACGATAGTCCCATGTAAGCGTTAACGTTTTTTTGAAGCACGCCGCAGTTCACACCGGCGTCGCTTTCGCGTTAACGCCGACGCACCGTCGCAGGTGGAGCATCCGCACCGCTCCAAGAAGGCGGTGTGGCACAAGCTGCTCTCAAAGCAGCGCAAGAGGGCTGTGGTCGCCTGCTTCCGCATGGCGCCTCTCTACAACTTGCCGAGGTTGGTCCAACTCCAGCTCCGCAGTGCCCCCCCCCCCACGCCCTCACCCCCCCCCCCCCCTTAACGTGCGTGCGCGGTCCCATACTGGGCATCTGTGAGAAAGAGCTTTGTAGCTCATCGGATTCCTCCAGTCGAAAATGAAGGTTCTAAATTCTGATTCTGATCAGACTCCGCGCAGCGCTTCTTCCCGCTGTATAGGCATTGACAGCTTTTGCGTTTCGTTCTTTATATCTCGACTTTCCATCCAAATGTCCTGAAATGGGTTTGGATTTATTGGTCCTGTCAATGTCGTGGCGAGGTAAAGTTTTATGACGGAAAAAGTAAAATATTTGTGCAGAGAGTATGACACCGTTCTAAATCTATTCTGTGATGTTCTGTAGATTTGTGATACAAAGTGACTTGCCAGAGTTTGACTGAAATTTCTGATTAGAATTTTTTTTTTACGGATACTTTAAGAACGTGATTTGTTGTAAGTTGATACGCTGCAGTGATGTGCTCCCAAATTCCTGTTTAAAAAGTGGTGTCACGTGACATCGAGCGACGCGTCCTTTGTGAGCCTGAAAACACCCAAACGCTGCATAACACCGCGTGATTAGAATATCCGAAATATTTTTTTTTAAAATGTCAAACTTGTTTAAATCCGAAACACATCCCTGGTATGTATCATCATGGACCCTGATGGTCCTCAACTAAAATTAAAAAAACGTCTGTACATGCCACGCGTAAAGAACATTTATCTGCATGCAATATTCATGCATACAAACAAACGCGTCACACAAATCACACAACTCCCTCCTTTGCACTGAATTGGCTCATTTGAAGGCCTAGTCAACCAATTCGAGGCCTAGGACAGGCCCACAACCAGCCGTGGATTGACGCAGAGCTGTACATTATTACATGCACTTTACTATTTAAACTATTTATTGTATTTTTTACCAGGTAAGGCCCACTGAGCTATGTAGCTTTCTTTTTCAGAAGCGACCTGGCCACATATAGCTTAACGAAGAGGCCTATCACGTGAGAATTTATAGCAGCTATACACTCTGAACGTATGTTGATTCTAAATGTAGGGTGAAAAACCGGAGGACCCGTAGAAAAATCCACGCGACCGCGGGGAAGGCATGCAAACCTTAAATATACAGGCGCCAGGGTCGGGATCGAACCCACGACTTCCTTTGCGCACTGTAGTGCCTAAATTAAAACATTGAATTCTCGCAAGTCATTTATATGAATACTGTGGGAAGTGAAATTGCTTTTGTTGTTGCTGTTGAATGCCATGTTATTTATTTTTAAACATAAATACCCGTGCACTGTGTTTGAGTTTAATGCAATTGTCTCCTTCCTCCCCCCCCCTTCCCCCCTCCCTAGCCACAAAGTTACCAATTTTTACTTGAAAGCCTATCATCATGTGTGGCTTACAAAGGCGTTTGATGCGACAGACTTTGAGGTTCTTGTGAAGAGGCTGATGGTAATAACTTCGCTTGGGTCCGTGGCACCAATGCCATGGATGCAGAAAACAAATCAATTTTGTCTTCTTCAAATCATTCTTGGGGGCTTGTTCAATTCATCCGCGCTCATTTTCTGTCCGATTGGGTAGCATGCCCATGGTCCATGGAGGTGGGGGAGAGTGAAAGGCAGCAGGCAGGCAGGCAGGCGCTGCGGTGGTGAGATGTTAATTACCTCGCCTGGTGTACAGGAGGTACGCGTGTCCGATCCAGACCCTTGACGCCTGCTGTATATTTGGAGTTTTACCTGTTCTCCCCGTGGTCGCGTGGATTTTTCTCAAGGTTCTTTGGGGGTTTTCCACGTGATAAGCCACTTAGTTGAGCAATCATTTGTGGCCAGGCCGCTTCTGAAAAAGAGCTATATAGCTCACTGGGCCTTACCTGGTAAAACAAAAAAAAATTGTTGATAGTTAACGTTTTTAGTTTATATTCTTGGTTCTTTCGGTAAAGTCACGTAGAAGGGACACAATACAATAATAAAAATATAAAACAATAAAATTATCACTTCGTTTCGACTGCAACACAAGCAATCATCATCAGGTAAAGTCACGTAGAAGGGAAATAATAAAATAATAAAAATATAAAACAATAAAATTATCACTTCGTTTCGACTGCAACACATGCAATCATCATCAGGTGTGTGGTTTTCACACCTGATGATGATTGCTGGTGTTGCAGTCGAAAGTTCGTGAGAATTTTATTGTTTTATATTTTTATCATTTTATTGTTTCCCTTCTACGTGACTTTACCGAAAGAACCAACAATATGAATCCCTGGAGTCACGAAAGCTTTAAATCAAAAGTTTTCAGTTTAGTTTAGGCAGTTACTGCTACGTATATTCGTGACATTTCCTCGGCGTAAGAACAGCCGTGTGCTGGGTTATCAACGTAGAGATTAAACCAGCAATTAATTGTTAGGGATGTCACGGGTCATTCGGTAGGACATTTGTTGTTGCGTTATTTCATATGCGTGTACAGACTCAACGCAAGGGGCATAGACGGTGTCTCTCTGATCAAGCGAGTATGGTGCAAAGCTCATGTCCATTGTAAAAAAAAAAAATGCCACCCAAAATAAATTCCAAACTCAACGTTAGTAATCTTAATGGCGATCATGGCAATCATTGTCACGTAATTCTGGAACTGTGGTCTTTGGATTTACGGAATGCCACTGCTGACAACTTGATTACCATACTCATTGTGCGTTTGACGTTAAATCGAACAAAGTATATTTAGGGGCCTGAGGATTTGCATTTAAAGGGCACTTGCTTAAACGCCTCGGCAACTTAAAGCGCCTTACGTCAAAGTGTAATCTGAGCCGTTCCATTGCCTACTGCAATCTTGCTGCGGGGGACCCCCCAGTGGAAGCTGTCCCTGTGTGGCACAAGGTGTACAATGAGCAAAATCTAGTGTGCCCCTCGCATACCGTTCACTCCAAAGAAAATGTGAGTTCGAAATTTAGTAAACATCATTAGGGCTGCCCCTTGCGATGGATAGTGTGTTTGAATACATTTGGGCCGAACTGATCATTTCAGTTGGTGGAGGCTATGCTCATTGCTGGACCTCTGTGATTGAGGGAGACGTTTAGAGGACCCTACGGTGCCACCGTGGACACGCATTTGTTACGTTTATATGCCCGGCCGTTTGAGTGTAATCTTAGCGCTGTGAAGCACGCCGCTAACGCTTCCCGGAGCCGTCGCCCCCCCCCCCCCGAAAAGCGCTAAGCTTACACGAACGCGGCTTGCAGTGGAATTATACGGTCGCAGGCTCCGTATCATTTTGCGAGCGCACGTGCGTGTCACGGACAGGGCATATGAACCTAGTGAATGAAAAGACTCGCCGCGGCAAATTGCCTGCCACCCCCCGCGAGGATTCCCCCGGCACAGAAATTATTAACACGATGGCGGTGCTCGGACCGGGTTTTAATCATCGCATCGAACTGACCAATCGGACAAAATGAGCCTCTCAGTTGTTTACTCTTCTTCTTTGACTGCTGCCGATCAACTGTCGAGGAGAAACCAAACCTGGAGTGATTTTCTCTGGACGGATGGGACGGGAAAAAAAAGGGAGCGCGGCTGGACAATTAGCGCGCACCCTCTGCTTTTTGCCTTCCTCTCTTCCCGCGGCACATTTTGAAATCACGCGTTGACTTAATGTTGAATTGCAGGGGCAAAAGTACACTGGGTGGCCAAGCAATTAGGAACCTCTTGCCTTCCTATAGTTGTGTTCTGTTCAAATGAGCATTGAGGTGCTGCTCATTGCCTATACACAGCCCTGAGCCCGTGGATAAAATTCCACTCTCCATTGGACAACCACTGTTGAATTCTCCACAAAGTGGTACCTATTTTAATGACCCCTGGAGGGATGATGGGTTGAGTTCAATGCCCAACGAGGATTTAAACTCGCAACCTTCCGATTGCGAGCTGCTCCCTCTACCGCCTAGCAACCGCAGTAACCAATTGCGTTTCTAAACAACAAGAGCAACACTTGACGTCACGAGCCTCAGCTGCATCTAGAATTGGGAAGGCAGCATCTGTGATTGAGAGGGTCATTTTTTTTAATTAGAGGGCTGATTACGGAGGGTCTCTATGGTTTGAAGATAACGGCACTGACGCGGCGCAGATCTCAATCCGACCGCGTCTGTGGAGAGCGCAGCCGTGCGCCGAAGAGACCGATGCAGGACAGGGATAAGACGTTCGTCACCGACGGCTGCGCTCATGGACGGACGTCCTTCTGAAACGATTTTCTTTTCTTTCTGATTACAAATTTCACGCCGTCTAGCTGGGACGTTTCTGACGTGAACAATGTCACCGGCACCTCAATTCGCGGTGATTGTCACAATGATGATTAGTTGCAGACCGTCAATCCACCGCTGGATGAAGGCCTCTCGCTATGTCAGTCATCGGGGTCGTTGGAAAATAACTTCACCGCGCTGGTCGGTGCGGGTTGGTGGAGCGATGGCCGTAGGGCCAGGCCCCGCTCGGCCAATGACGTCGGCCGGGAATCGAACTCAGGTCGCCGGGCTTCACAGCGCAGCACGCTGACCAATGAGCCACCGCTCCTGTCGTTAGGCGGTGGTCAATAATCATTCAAACAAATTTGGCCACCCAGTGTAATGCTTTCGGTGTGATCCGCATCGCTGTGGCCGTGTAAAATTTGAGCTGCGGAGCGGCGCGGAGGGCTCAAATCGGCCTCAGTCAATGTGGAGATGGGGCATCTCCGTTGTACCTGCCGTGACGATTCAACATCGACGTGCCAGGGTTTCGCGGAACCCTCCATGTTCGCTCTCTCTTTCATCTGACCTTTCCTCACCTCTCTCTTTCTCTGACCTCTCCTCGTCTCTCTCTCTTCTCGTCTCTCTCTCTCTCACCGTTTCCTCTTCACCATCCTGCCTTTTTTGTTCTTTCGCTGTACGCCCCCCCCTCCTCTCTCTCTCCCAGGCACCGCGCCATTAATCTCTTCCTCGATGCGTATAAGAAACACTGGATAGAGACAGAGGAGAATGCCTATGAGGATAAGCTAATTGATGACATAGCCGTAAGTACCAGATAGGGGCGCCATTGCACTGCACATGCCAGTCAAACGTCAGGGCCGGTCGGTGGGTCGACCTCCGCTCCACGGGAGGTTGCTCCTTCTCCTCTGCTGTTCCCGCTGTCTGGAATGCATTGCCCCCGGTAATGCGCACTACTACTAACTGACCCTCACTTTGTTAAAGTCCAGGATTGAAGCTTTCCCCCTTTGTTGCCCATGGACTGACTGTTGACTTGCAATCCCACGTAACGTTACCGGGTCGGTTGCTTTCTCTAACCCCACGCACACTCTCCTTCCCTCGAAATATTTATATTGTTGTTAAAACAAAAACTCCAAAAGAAAAGAAGTCTTCCAAATTCCCTCGCTTGGATCGGTATTATTGCACGGTGTGCCAGACGTGGCTCCATTTAGGTAGTAACACAACAGCGATATCCCGAATGTGGTGCATTGCATATTCACACCGTTAATATAGCGCAATGCTATCATTGAGGAGCTGTTTCAACGATGGACATTGTTTGACGGCTCAGTAGCAACATATTGCAACGCGTTTTTTTCTCGTTTTACCAAACGTGAGGTGATCGAAACTCGGACCCTTTGACGGGCAGCTCACGTGGCCGAGACTTTTTTCGGACGCCGCGGGATCTTTAACGTGCATGGGGACGGGCCGCTGGGGCTCGAACTGCACAATTATGCGACAACGCGACAAAATAATGCCCTGCCGCCCGGCAATGTCACCGCTTTCTAAGCTAGGGGCCGTCGCTGCGTAATTGTCGATCGCTTTCGGTGAGCAGAGTTTACCGATTCATGGCGCTGCCGCTTGCCAAGGAAGCTTGTGGCGGGAAGGATGACTGTCTGGACTCCTGGGGCTAATTCCTTCGTCAAAGTGCTGAGCCATCGTAACGGAGATCCCAGTTCAGGCCCCAGTCACTCACCCGAGATTAATCCAGGTCCTCAAGTGTACCGAGTTGATGGTCCGTCTCAGCTTGGTCACTAATGACTTTGCACGCACGCACACACACACACACACAAAACCCCACCAACATTTTTGAGCAGCAATTGTTGAGGCAAGCAAACTCTGAATAGCGGTTTCGACTTTCTGCGTCTCATCAGCGGTCAGGCTTGCTAAATAAATACTACCGGTTTACCAGATGGTTATTGGCTAGAGCACCATGCAAATAAACAATATGGTATTCATCATTATAACACCAATGTTAGAAACACAACCACATCCACAGCATAAAGCCAAATCTCAGAGGTTGCACCAGAGATCCCTGATGAGGGTTATGAAATCTTAACGTTTTCGGGAAAAAAAAAACATTTTCTCTCTTCGTCTCTCCCGCTGAGATAATTTTATCACATTTATTGTCATTTAAAGTCTTGCCATTTTGCTTCCGCCTTCTCCACTCGCGCGACAAAGCGCCGGCAAAATCATCGCCTTCTCCCCGTGTGCGGGTTTGCAAGCGTTCCTATAAAAACCAATAGCATGGCCAAGAGCTTCCTGGCTCACACACTCCACTACTGCTGCTGCGTTCAGTCGCTCTGCATGCATTAACATTTCTCATTAACTTATCCGCGCCTCCCCAACTGCTGTATTTCCATCGCGTAAATGCCTTCAGAAATTTGCGTTTGAATGAGAATTATTTTCCCAGCATCATCTTTCCCCGCCCGCCCCCCCCCCCCACCCACCCACCCAAAAATCCGTCGCTCTTTGTTTTCACTTCTCTGTTCACCCGCTGATTTCCAGTGGCATTAAAATTAAATGCCACACATGCACACTTGCTCTATTCACTCAAAATGTTCCTTTTAAACATTTTATTTTTACATCACGGCTATTGTACGCTCTCATTCGGCCACTGACGCAATTGTGTTTATCTTGAGAGTATTGTGGCGAGGTTATATAATTCCTTGCGATCATTTTCAGAAATCTTGAATGCAATTTAAAGTGTTACGCTCCACCCTAGCTAAGTGTACTTGGCGTGCAATAACCGCAAAAAGGCTATTATCTTTCATGTGTCCAATTTAACGCCGTTTAATTTCTCCCCCCTAATTAAGATCGAAAAACGTCCCAACGTTGATGTTCACATTAATTGCCCAAATAAGTTAACTTAATAAAACAAAAAAGCGTGCAAACCTCGTGCGCACAAAGTGGACCCCCCAATCATCATGCGGGACGAAAGACCGGAGACATTGAGCGGCAATGCTTGCCCCTGCATGTGGCAAGAATCAGCGCGTCTCTTGCTTCCTCTTGCCGCCCGCGTGTATTGCGCTCCGTCGATAATGCACACGCGTCATAACCGCCCTTCCTTTTCATGTGACGCACGGCACCGCTGCCTGTCCCTGCGCTGCTGACGCACCCAGCCTTTACGCACGGCCGTGGCCGCAGATCATTCCAAAGACCCTAAATCTGCGCCTTTGTGTCGCATGCATAAATGGAGGAAAATAGAATGTTTGGCCACATCTTTACAACCTGAATTTTGGCGACGCGCTGAAGCAGCTCACTTTGGTGAAGTACATATTTGTTCCATTAAGCCATTTTTTTTACCGTTATGGGCACAATTTCATTCGGCGCAAACACTTTGGCTTCCGAGCGGCGGCGCATGGTCAGTTGTATCCATTAAAAAAAATATCAAAACGTCGCGAGAAAATACAGAAGTAATGTTTGTTGCCACTGGTGCCTGTGTGGACATCCAAATGTTACAACTCTCTATAGAGTCGCCAGTGTAAACAACAATACGGCCAAACATTCGGGCCTTGAGTTGGTGGTCTGGACAAGGCTGAGGGCGTGCCGCATGCAACGTGGTGATCACATGACGCGTGTGCGAGGCATGACGGGAGTTAGGCCTGCACGTGCTCTTTTTGAGCAGCACTCTGCTCTGTGGTCCGTGCTGGTGCATCGCCATGATTTTTCAAGCCACCCCCTGACTCGCGTTTTGCCGAATCGTCGTTTGCAGAAATCCATCGACGACGATGAAGAGGAGAAGGAGTCGGAGGACACAGAGGTGGAGACTCATCCCGATCCTCTCCACCAACTCATCCTCTACTTTAGTCGAACGGCACTGACGGAGAAATCGTGAGTGTCGTCCATTTGCTTCGCTTGTGGCTCACGCTGCGGGGGGGGGGGGGGGGGGGAGGGTAGGGGTTGCAGCGAAACGTTGGGCATCGTGCCGAACAAAACGCGCTACAACCCTTAAAACACATGGAGGGGGGGGGGAGCTGTACAGGGTGGTTCAGATCCCCATCTCGTGATCCACATTTAATCCCCTAAAACTGAATATGTATTTGTAAGTAAGGTTTATTTAAAACAGAAATGAATATGCAAAGGGGTAAAAGAATGTCAGGGGTCAATTAATTGGGGATCACAAGACATCTGGACCACAATGTATAGCACAGCTGCCAAAACCGACGAGGTAGTAATTGTTGAACCGTACAAGCGTCCTGTTTAAGTTGATCAACATTAAACTTATTTTTTGTAAAAAAAAAACCAGGCCTGAAGCCTAGTGTAATGAACCATGTTTGTAGCCACCGGTCTTGATAATGTAGCCGCAGCAGTTACATACAGTCCAACGTCATATGTGTCTGACTGGCTGAGGGCTGAGGTGTAGGCGGATATGTGAAAAGGCCGGATATGTGAAGGTGTATCGGAAATTACGGTTACGCTCGGCGCAAAAAAAAAGAATATAAAATTACACGTTCTAACACAAAAAACCCCTGTTATGGATGATATTGGTCGCGAAAGCCTACGTGTGCGTGAACATGTTTTTGGCACGGTTGGCTACGTACGGTGCGAAAGAAGTTCAACATACATACGTACGTAGGTCTTCTTGTATTAAAATGGGCCGGTATACGACGGTGCAGAGTACCGGCTGTTTGTCCGAACGGTTCCTATTCCTCCCGAGCGATGTTTCCGCAGAGAGGGGAACGGTCGTGAACGTGGCCCTGCTGCAGCCTGAATCGGTCTCATAGCGGGGGACAACTGGTGTTGTCTGCATCTCCCTTTTGAAGCCACAGGCCGACGTGGTCCCATATAAAACACACCGGGCGTCTTATTCAAAGTCGGCCGCTGTAACCCGCCGCGGCCTCACCTGGTGATAAATAATGCATTCCTTAATTCAGGATCCAGCGTTAGCGCCGCTGGAAATCAATGGGCGTACGTCTCGTTTTGGCCACATTGGCGGACACGAATTAATTGCCATCGACTCGATTTCAATTTTCAGCGTCCCAGCCCAAATTTTTTTTTTTGTGTCACGGTCACCCGAGTGTTTATAAATCGTTCTTTACGGCTGTGCGGTTAATTATTAAAGCCAACGGTGCAGCCCAGCGATTCCTTGCTCATGCCACCGCTGGCGAAAGGACCTCCACTAGAGAGAGCTGAAAAGAATACTCTTTGCTTCTATTCGGTAAAGTCACGTAGGTAAAAAAAAATCACGACGTTTTTCACCTACGTGACTTTACCGAATAGAACCAAAGAGTATGGATCCTTGCAGTTACGAAAGCTTAAAATCTAGAAGAGCTGAAAAGAGTTTCTCTCGAATGGAACTGAATGTATGTATGCATGCATTATGTTGAACTGCTCTCGCACCCTACGTAGCCAAATGTTCTTATTGAAGGGGCGCGGAATACTTTTCCGCTCTGGTCAGGTGTCTTCAAAGAGGTGGTCGTAACTCATGTTTCCACCCCCCACCTTCGCACACACACATGACTTAGTGATGGACTGACTGTGGCATCATAATTTTATGCTGCGAGGTGGACGTGGATTTGAGAAACTCGTCCGTCGTTTCAACGGTCATATAGCCCCAATCAATATATTTAATTGGTAAAAAGGAATTCGTGAAATGAGCCTAATTACCATCAATTGTTAATATTTATCTCGTCCTTGATGTCATCTAGCCCAGGGAGTGCTGCAACTCGTATTTTGAAGCAATGAAGTGGCATTGATCTCCGTTGGCAGCCGTGAGCTCACTGTGACTATTCCACTTTTCGGACTCTGCATGAGACTACCACTTTGAACGTCACACAAAGTGCTGCTTTGTTTGCTAATGAAGTTGATGCATTGGTAGTCTGTGCCCATTGAAGGCCCGAAGCAGAATCTTCCTTTGGGGTGGGGGGGGGAGGGGGGTGGGGGGAGGTTTTGGCGGTTGCCCCCCTTTTTTGATATATAAACCCCTGTTGAGTCGTATGTATGTATGTTGAACTTCTTTCGCACCATACGTAGCCAATTGCGCGAATCGGGAAGGACAACAAACTAAACACAAAAAGCAGTTCGAAAGAAATTAGTTTTCAATCTGCATTTAAAAGTGCACAGCTTCCAGTGGCTTCCTAATATCAGAAGGGAAGAGCGTTCCAGACGGCCGCAGAAGCGCGTCTGAAAGCGCCGCGCGATGCGGTGACCACCGCCTTCGCTCGACGGCCAGGAGCCAAAAATCGCGTTATGGTGTGATGCCCATTGACGAGATCAGCAAAGATATTGTGGGTTAAATTGTGTGCAAGCACTTTTGCGTGTCATGAGTGTGACCTTATAGCGAGGAGTTGATGAGGATGTTGCCACTTGGTGCATCAGTGACCACTGTCCGGATTTGCAATCCGGCGGTCACCAGTTCGATTCGATTTCGCAGTTGAAAAGACGGCCACGTTCTACGTATATATATATCGGTGTACCACCACATTTATTTGGTTAGCAGGTTACGCGTGGCGAGGTAAATTGTGGATAATTTTACCCTCTTTCAAGACATCTGGTCAGCGTAGACAAATTGGAAGAAAAAAATCCCCATCTCAGTGGAGGTTCTTCCACCGGTCGCGGCGTGAGCAAGCAATTGCAGTGCTGCGCCTTTAGCTCCACTCTTCCATTTCTGCATTATTTTATTAGTCAACTCCGTCGTAATCTTTGGAGCGAGTGAACTGAGGCCCATAACCCCGCATCGCGCTTTCATATTGCATGGTTAATCCTGGATAATTTCTTCCCCCGTTGTCTTTATTCGTAATGGCCAGGGGATTACGGCTGAAAACGCGATTAGAATACATTTCATAATTAAAATATTGGCCGGATTTGCGGAATCGCTCCTCCATTGTGTCCGTGACATTTTTATGCAGGTAATATCCACCATTCATAGCCAGCAATAGTGTGTTGGGAGTCTTTTATCTTGCGTATCATTCCGATTAATCCGCTTCGTAAGCCGAAACCGTACATGTTGCTGTCTATTTGTTTTCACATCATTGAATTGCTTGGTTTAAGCATGGCCATCGCCTCTCCTGCCAGTAGCATCTGGTAACCCAGTAGCTTTTGTTCATCAAGCCTGCCTCCGCTGATGAGACCTATGAGGTTTAAATTTTGACGTAAAACTTTCGCGGCTGCAGGAATTCATATTCTTTGGTTCTCTCGGTAAAGTCACGTAGATAGAAAAAAAGTTAATAAAATAAAAATAAAAACTACGATGTTTCGATCACAACATAAGCGATCATCTTCAGGGGAAAAAAATGATCCTCCCCCTTTTTCCTCCTGAAGACAATCGCTTGTGTTGTGATCGAAATGCTGTAGTTTTTATTTTATTTACTTTTATTATTATTATTTCTATCTACGTGACTTTACCGAAAGAACCAAAGAATACCTATGAGGTTTGCTTGCTTATACACATTCTGGTGGCTATTATTGGTCTGGGCAGCCAATAGGCCGGATGATAAAAATACATTTTATTATAAATGTGGAGATGCAGGATGGAGTACTGCTGAAGCGTGCTTGAACCAATAACGTTCCACAACGACGCACGATACACCACCTCTGCGAAGCACAGAGGGCCGGAGTTTGATGGGAAAGCTCACAGACGCGCGTACTAAATTAGGCTGGCACTGGCGTACACGCACGAACGCCGATTGAGCGGCGCGTATAAAGTTATTCTCATTAGCCCTACCAATAGCTCCGCATAATTTATATAGAAAAAATGTATTTTGTTCATCACGTGTAAATGTCTTGTCAATTTTACGATATACCACACGCTGCGTGTCCAAGGAGCCACGGCGATGTAGCGGCCGCCAGTTTGGTTCGATCTCCCGGCTCGGCGGCCGCAATGACGGCGCAAGTTTCTGCCTCGCGCAGCGGCGTGAATGGTTTCAACACGGGCAGTCGACTGGCACGTCGAGTCAGGTGGGGGTAAGGTGTGGGTGATCCCACCTTCGTCCAAGACATCTGCCCGGTGTGGAGGGGTAGGTCAGCGGTCCTCAAGAGCAGTACGGCGCAAAGGGTGTGCCCCGGCAAAGTCCCGTGTGGCTCTTTTTCAGAGGCGACACCTGTATGAGAAATGATAGCTCGACGAAGCGGCTTTATCATCACGTGGAAATGTACGGCAGCGGCCAAATGCTCTAAACGCGTGACGTTGATTCTAAACGTGGAGGGGAAAAACCGGAGGACCCGGAGAAAAGTCCACGCGACCACGGGGAGAACGTGCAGATTCCAAATGTACAGCAGGTGTCAGGGTCGGAATAGAACCCACGACCTCCTGTAAACCAGGCACTTACACGCCTGCGCAAGAGAAATGCTTTGCCCAAAATACACTACGGTCCCAGAGTTGTGGGTTCAATTCCCAGCCATGACACGAGCACTATCCGAAGCCCCTCTCCAAGGGTGACTTGGCCTATCGTATGTGTCCTTGATGCAGCGACTTGATGAGCATCTGCACTGGGGAGGACAGGCGGTTGAGATGACGCAGGTGGTGATGTAAAAATTATATCACCCTCCACTGCAGACGTTAATTGTCTCCGAAACGTAACACTTTGGTGTTACGTTTCGGAGACAATTAAAAAATGTGCTAATTACCCGACTGGCCACGTGAATCAGACTTTGTTATTTCAGCTGGCAAAGCCCATTGAGCTTTGCCAGCCCCGGACCGCCAGCAGCGGTGGCAGTTAAAGGACATTTCAGTTGCATAGGGTTACACAGAGATCCATCGAATTTCACAGAGACCCATAGAGTTGCATAGAGACCCACGGTCAACAGCCCAAGACCGCCAGCAGTGGTGGCAGTAACAGGACATTGCAAGGTGGAGGGACCGTGCAAACTAACAAGAGCATGAAAAACAAATTGCACAAAACCCACGCCACATCTTCCTGCAAACAGGACGAACAAAAAAGAAACAGAGCATACAATTAGGGAAAAAAGTATTTGATTCCCTGTTGATTTTGTACGTTTGCCCACTGACAAAGAAATGATCAGTCTATAATTGTAATGCTAGGTTTATTTGAATAGTGAGAGACAGAATAACAACAAAAAAATCCAGAAAAACGCATGTCAAAAATGTTATAAATTGATTTGCATTTTAATGAGGGAAATAAGTATTTGACCCCCTCTCAATCAGAAAGATTTCTGGCTCCCAGGTGTCTTTTATACAGGTTACGAGCTGAGATTATGAGCACACTCTTAAAGGGAGTGCTCCTGTCCACAGAAGCAATCAATCAATCAGATTCCAAACTCTCCACCATGGCCAAGACCAAAGAGCTCTCTAAGGATGCCAGGGACAAGATTGTAGACCTACACAAGGCTGGAATGGGCTACAAGACCATTGCCAAGCAGCTTGGTGAGAAGATGACAACTGTTGGTGTGATTATTCGCAAATGGATGAAACACAAAAGAACTGTCAATCTCCCTCGGCCTTGGGCTCCATGCAAGATCTCACCTCGTGGAGTTGCAATGATCATGAGAACGGTGAGGAATCAGCCCAGAACTACACGGGAGGATCTTATCAATGATCTCAAGGCAGCTGGGACCATAGTCACTAAGAAATCAATTGGTAACACACTACGTCGTGAAGGACTGAAATATTGCAGCGCCCGCAAGGTCCCCCTGCTCAAGAAGCACATATACATGCCCGTCTGAAGTTTGCCAATGAACATCTGAATGATTCAGAGGACAGCTGGGTGAAAGTGTTGTGGTCAGATGAGACGAAAATGGAGCTCTTTGGCATCAACTCAACTCGCCGTGTTTGGAGGAGGAGGAATGCTCCCTATGACCCCAAGAACACCATCCCCACCGTCAAACATGGAGGTCGAAATATTATGCTTTGGGGGTGTTTTTCTGCTGAGGGGACAGGACAACTTTACCGCATCAAAGGGACGATGGACGGGGCCATGTACCGTCAAATCTTGGGTGAGAACCTCCTTCCCTCAGCCAGGGCATTGAAAATGGGTCATGGATGGGTATTCCAGCATGACAATGACCCAAAACACACGGCCAAGGCAACAAAGGAGTGGCTCAAGAAGAAGCACATTAAGGTCCTGGAGTGGCCTAGCCAGTCTCCAGACCTTAATCCCATAGAAAATCTGTGGAGGGAGCTGAAGGTTCGTGTTGCCAAACGTCAGCCTCGAAACCTTAATGACTTGGAGAAGATCTGCAAAGAGGAGTGGGACAAAATCCCTCCTGAGATGTGTGCAAACCTGGTGGGCAACTACAAGAAACGTCTGACCTCTGTGATTGCCAACAAGGGTTTTGCCACCAAGTACTATGTCATGTTTTGCAGAGGGGTCAAATACTTATTTCCCTCATTAAAATGCAAATCAATTTATAACATTTTTGACATACGTTTTTCTGGATTTTGTCGTTGTTATTCTGTCTCTAACTGTTCCAATAAACATACCATTAAAATTATAGACTGATCATTTCTTTGTCAGTGGGCAAACGTACAAAATCAGCAGGGCATCAAATACTTTTTTCCCTCACTGTATGTGCAAATCAAAAAGCAAGTAAAAAAAGTATGTCACAGACTTATACAAATAAACCCATAGTAGAGGTTTTTGGGTTAGATCGTGTAAATATACGTCAATATCTAGTTACAGCCGCCACCACCCGACGCAGCCAATTAGTAAGGTTTTGTCACGTAAACAAAACATGCCAATCCGTTACTGGTATATACGCCCTCAGGATCATGTATCTCCTGTGTGATGAATCAATGTTAGTAGGTGCTCATAAGGTGCACCTACCGTCACAATCTTAATGGCTTGAGGGGGCTCTTGGGGCCGTATTCGTGACGCGGCTCAGGCTTGGCTCTGGCTCAAGTTAAGCGCACGGCTCGGAGCCGTGCGCTTAACTTGAGCCGGGCTGCGAGCACGGCACCAGCCATGCTGAGGAGTCCCGTGTGGTCAAGACTGAGCCAGGCCGTGGGTCTAAGTCGCTCGCTCGCTCGCGTCCGCATCTTTGGTAGCGACCGAGTGGCTTCAAGACTGATGCCGTGCGGCGACTGAGAACACGGCCACAAGAATGGGACGTGGGGCCCGAGGAGCCACCAACAATGTGGCCCCCGTCGGCTTTTTTTGTGTCGCGTGTGAGACTCGCCGACGCTGCGCGCCGAGAGTTGATTCCATTGAGATTTGTGTCGAGATGTTTCCCTCTTGTTTTTGTTGTTGTTGCACTAGGAAACTGGAGGAGGATTTCTTGTACATGGCCTACGCCGACATAATGGCCAAGGTAAACACGCGTTCCGCTCCATTTATATTTTGATTGTTTTACCAATACGTTCGTTGAATTAATTACGTTCCACGTTATTCTACGTTTCATAGCTTCATAGCTCTCGATTTAAAATGACGTGTTCAGTGCTTTCTCGGAGGATCGCATTTGAAGTGATCGGGCTGATGAGGAGGGGGGGGGAGGGGGTGGGATAGCCTCTGCGCTGGGCGGCTCCTCGCGAGTGGAGTCTGTGACTCGCCCTGCCCTGTGGTTGCCTTGCAGAGCTGCCACGCCGGCATTGACGAGGAGGAGGAAGACTCGGCCACCTTTGAGGTCGGTGTGGGACCTTGGGAGCCCCCCTTTCCCCCCCCCCACCGGGTGCCCCCCCCCCCGGGAACGCTCCCCTCCCCCCCCACTGGGTGCTCCCCCCCCGGGAACGCTCCCCCCCCCCACCGGGTGCCCCCCCCTCTGGGTGCCCCCCCGAAACCCCCCCTCCCAGGAGCCCGCCCCCCCCCCCCCATCTGGGAGCCCCTCCCTGAGAGTGCTCTAACCCTCCCGGAGCCCCCCCTCCTGCCCTCCCCCCCTTCCACCGTGGTCACTGCACATGAGGCCTCCAGGCCACGGCACCCTCGGCCAAATTATCCCCCAGAGAGCATTAGCGCTCAGAAATAGCAAGCTCGCTTGACGCGGTTATTTTACAACCGAAATTGACTGTTTGAAGAAACCGTTTAAAAGTATATAAAAAAAAACATAAACACGTGGAAGTCATTTCCTTCAAGTTCCCCCCTCTGCCCCCGCTGATTCACTTCGATTTTGAGAGAATCGAATCAAATGCCCTATTGGCCTCAGAGTTCAAGCTGCCTGATCTGGCAGAAGGAAGGAAGCGATGCTGGTCGTGGTATCGGTACGTTTGCCACAGTGGGTTGCTGTGGAGGAATACGTGGAAAAGTAAACATAAGCAGACCTCTCTTTCGTGTCTCTACATATAAATAATACGATGTATCTTCAGCCAATGGCCTTTAGGTTTTCCAGACCTATTTGCATCTTTCTTGAAACAACCAAACTCCGAATTGGTTTTTGACCTTGAGGGTCTCATCAGCAGCAGAGTAAATTTACTTTTAAACAAATGCTGCTGGTTTGAAAGCACGAATCCTTTATTCTTTGCTTCTTTCGATAGAGTCACGTAAAAAAAAGAGAATCAAATAACGACGACATGAATCCTTTGTTCACCCTGTCCTTCAGCTGTGCCCGATATCTTTCCGCCATGTAGTTACTTTTTCTAAAGCGTAAAATAACCGTGACGAGAGTGTGCGCTACTGAAGGGCAGCTTTGCTTGCTAAGTGCGAGTCGATTTAAAATGCGGTGCTGTGAAATTAAATAAGTAAAATCAATGTTTTATTGTTGTTCAATTGTAACACCGTATACTTGACCTTGAGCTGCACACATACGTTCACGTTAATAATAATCAATTCATCATATTTTGCTAAGATCTTCCACTCGTTCAATCATGCATTCGTTTAAAAGCAGTCGCTTTTGTTCAACCTTGCATAGTTAAATTGCGGTTTATTCATCAGCCATGGCAATCCACTGCTGGATGAAGGGCTCCTCAATGTGCTGTCCATCGCTCACGATTCCCGATTTGATCGCTCGGCATCCTTGTTGCCTGCGTACGCTCAGCCGCGTTCCCAGATGCACGCCATTCCTTGGCTGTCACTCTGTTGTTATTATCCTTGCCCACGTGTCATACTTTCCTTTTTTTGCATTGTAAACCACCGTCAACAAACCGCGTTCACTACTTTATCTCTGACAACGTCAACAGTGCTGTTTGTTGCTGCCCACTTGACGTTGCGGGCCTGTGCTCAACGACTGTGCTGAAACTAAATCCCTTTGCCGACGGATCGTTTATTTTTCACTTGTTCACTTGCGTCTGTAGCTCATCGACGTCCCACCCCCGGCTCATTCACGCGAGTGCCAGTGTGAAATCTTGACGCGTTCCGTCGTGCGTTTGCTAAGGTCCTTTCCTGGACCCGGTGTGTTCGCTCGTTGTGCCACATACTTTCACTTTACTCGTGAATGCCAGTGCAAGGATCTATAATTCATTTCTCCATCTCGGTTTCAAATGGGCCTCGACCGATGAGGTTAATTTACGTAAATCAGTGGCCTTTATTTGACCGGGTGAGGCCCCTTCGAGGATTCATGATCTCTATTATGAGAAAATCCTGTCAGGTGACTCAACGATTAAGAGAGCGAGCGGGCGGCTCTTAATCGGAAGGTCGCGAGGTTCAAATCCTGGCTGGGGGCTGACTCGGCGCATCATTGCCGCCAGGGTCAATGAAACGAGTTTTTTTTTTTTCCCAATGGATACAGCAAATTACTTTTGTGTTGCTCGTTTATCTCGAGCCCAACGCCGCGGCCTTCGTCACCGAATTTCTCCCGCGATTTCCCCCAAATTGTTTCCAATTGAAAGCGCGCCAACGCGCGAGGGCCACGTGCACCCCGAGGTGCAATTATCGAAGGCGTGACTGGGGGTCACGAATTACGAAACAAAGATCCCGGCGACAGAAGGCTGCGTGCGGTGGGTGAGACCGTGGGATGATGCTGAAAACTTGGTGAAGCCTTCGTCCGGCATCGGCTGATGTTGAGCCTCGGCCTTTGGTGAACTTTTTTTAAAAATATATTTAAAAAAAAACAACGGGCCGTTTTGGTAGGGGCCCATCCCACACAGCGTCCCCGTCGCTCGTGGAGCTCGGGGACTCTTGAGCTGATGCCGAGAGACCAAAGCCGGGCAGCTTGCTGGGCTCGAGACCTGGTCTGCTTTGCCGGCGGTTTGTGGAAATGAAGCACAGAGTGGAAAGTTGTTGTAATCCACCGCGAAAACAATCAATGCGAATGAACAAATAACAGACTTCCTGCTCGCAGTAAATCCAGCGCAGAGGCAGTAATCCCCCATCTAATGTGACGCCAGATGGCATTTTTGCGAATTTATAGCGAGCAATAAAGCCTTTGATCTGACAAACTTTTTCGTCAAAGTGCTATCCCTGTGGGAAATGGAAACCACTTTATCTTAATGTCTTATCCTGTAGTATTTTAGAAATATATGTCTCACTTAATGTATTCAAAATGTCTCTTTCGTTTTTTGCGAGGTAAAAAAAAAACTCATAACGTTTCGAATTACATTTCCTTAGCTGTTCCCAGTCAAAAAAATAAAGTGTATCCAAATGGTTTATCACCTGATTAGAAAGAAAGACTTAGTATCCTGTTATTTGATTAAATATATGTCACACACTTGTTATCTTTATATTCTGCCCAAGGAAAACATTATGCAGGAGAGCTAATTGAATGTCATTGAATGAGGCAAGCTGGCTTGGTACTCTGGTTCCTACGATACCGGCACGAGATTGTTTTTTGCGTAGTGTGTGAATGTTGCGAGCCTTCATGGGTGCTCGGTCAGAGCGCTTGCCTCAGCAGTCTGTGCAAAGCAGTGCCGCAGATCTCTCTCTCTCTTTATTTTCTCTCTCGCTCTGGAGCGGTGGCACAGTAGTTGGTCGCGGTTAGTGGCCTGCGCCAAGAGCCCAACAACTTGGGATCCACTCCTTGCGAGGGCTAGCACAAGTGGTCAATTGTTAAAACCAGCCCTGCAAACCGTATTGATTTTAAATGTAATATCACCTCTACTCAAGGGGGTGTCACAACATTGAACGCAACATTGTACAGCTTTCCCACCTGACGATGGACGTTTGTGTTGCGCCCCGAAACGTCGTGATTTATTTTATTTTATGCCCACGTGACTTTACGGAAAATAACCAACGAGTCACGAAAGCCTCAAATCAAGATTGTACACTCACGTAAAACGCAAAGACAAGAAAATACCGCTGAAGCAAACGCCACGAGAAAGTAGTGAGTGTTGCACTCCCTCTCATAAGCACGCCGAGGCTCGCCGCGTGCCAGATGCCCGCCGGCAAAGGCACTCCAGATCCTTGGGGCAGCGCTCGAGAAGGCCCGACCCCCCCCAGCGTCGAGCACAAGGTCCGACGCCGGGAGAGGAGTAGTAGAAGGGTCCTGCTCTGAAGTTGCTTGGAGTGTAAACGCCAGTCGTGCGGCAGATCAGTCGGGCCCACAGGTACATACATTGGACCACGTTGGAGCTTTATAGACCAGAATGGCTAACTTATACTGGATGCGACAGCTTAGGGGCCATCTATTTAGTACGTACGTATGGAGCGGGGTGACCCAAATGGGTTCGCTTGTGTATGGGGGGTCTACTGACAATGTGCGTACGCATAGGAAACGGGGGGGGGAGGGTGAAGCCTCGATAATAATTTGTCTACATTGGCCTTCAAATGAGATAGATAGTCCAGTGGTGAACTATCTGTTTGCTTAAACACGTTAATATTATTAATCCTTGATCGTTTCTGCGTGGATTGAATATCGGCCGTTCTATAGGATTTGGGGGGGGGGGTGCGTACACGGAGGGGGGGAGGGGTCAAGTTTTGACAGATTTTTGTGTACGTACTGAATGGGATGACCCCTTAGTGGAAGCCTCGTCCAGGTAAACGGCCCTATGAGCTCCACATTTGCGTCTCTCATTTTGTCGCGGTGCAGGAAAAGGAGATGGAGAAGCAGAAGCTGCAGTACCAGCAGTCTCGGCTGCACGAGAGGGGGGCGGCTGAGATGGTGCTGCAGATGCTGGGAGCCAGCAAAGGTTTGCCTCCTGCCTCTACACCCACCAATCTCTCGTTCCTTATCCTCCATCGACCGAAGCAACAACAGCCAGCCCTTCCCGATGACACGCAGAATGAATCGTCGTGGGGAGGGGGGGGGGGCGGGGGGAAATGGAATCATATTTTTCTCAAATCAAGAGAAGGTTTGCTCCGACTTGTTATTCATTTTGAAAATGTATTTTTTAACAACACCGTGCGCAGGGAAGAGCAGAGGCAAACGGTGCACAACGCCAACGCGACCGGGGTAGACTCGTGACCACTCTAGGCGCCACCTCGCTGTGGTCTCTGAGAGAAGGGAAAACAGAAGGGCAATAGAGCAGGGGAAGGGAGCGATTAGGAAGAATATGAAGATAGGGAGAAGAGCAAGAGTCAGGAGCAGAAGAGAAAAATGGCACGCTGTGAGCACACAGAGGATGGGTCATCAGGAGGAGGCCTGATCTCCCCCCCCCTTACCGTCAGCAAACTCTGCGGCAGAGCCACCATTATTTCATTATTCAACTTTATTTCTGCGGCTTCCCAAGAGCTCGTGTGGCCTATTGCTCCAGCGTGGAATTGCTACACAATGCAACTGAGTGCTCCATCAATCTGCAGTGTGGCCCATTAAGAACCTTGCCTGCAGACTTCCACAGTCTGTGATCCAAGGGCTGGCAGGGGGTGGGAGAGGGGGGGGGGGGGGTTGGAGTGAGTGGAAATTGGGGGGGGGGGGGGGGGGCGGCGTCTTTGCGGGGACGTGCTTATGCATTTCCGACAAGGCTTTAACCACGTAGCCCCGGTGACGCTTGCGGCTAAATCGAAGATGCGGTTTGGTGCGAATTTGCAGCGGCTTTTGGCTGCTGCCATCGAAGAAAGGCGGTCACGGCATCGCACGCCTTCAGATGCGCTTCCGCGGCCGTCTGGAATGCTCTACCTTCCGATATTAGGGAGTCACTGGAGTTAGGCACTTTTAAGTCATCTAGATTGACAAACTAATTTCGTGTTTAGTTTGTTGTCCTTCCCCAGCACCTCCGATTAGCGCGGTTGGCTAAGTACGGCGCTAAAGAAGTTCAACATACACCACTTACGTACAGGCCACCGGTGTGAGAACGAATATCTGTGGCCCAGACAGTCACCCGCCGTAGTTCAGACTCGAAATGTATCTACAATCGACTCTGGGTGACTCGGTTATAAATCAACGCGCTCCCGTTAAAAGTTCAGAGTTCTTTAAGTAAATGCTAAGTCGTCGCGCTGACAGCGCTCGCTCTTGCCGTGAGGCGGAGCTCTAAAAGAGAGCCCCGACAAAGGGGATTTGACCTTCTCTCTTCGACGCTGAGCAGACCACGCCTGGCCTGCCGGTCGACCAACGGCATTGAACCTATCTATGCCGCCGGGTGGACGCAGGCAGAGAGGGGAGGGGGAGGGGCGGATTCAAGAAACTCGCACCGTCGTTTCAACCGCAGCCGCGCCGGGAGGTCGAGTCGAACCGGCGACCTCCGGAGCTGACCGTTACACCGCAACAGCTCCACGATGTGCCGCTTGCGTGTGATGTGTTTCCTGACCGCTGAGCCGGCACTCAGCGGTGGGGTCCCGCGATCGAATGTGGGTTTCAGCCGCCCGTGAGTAAACCCGTGACCTCTCGGCGAGTCCATGGGCAAGGACAAACATTGGTTCCACGTGAGAAGGCAAGCAGCAGTTGTAGCCGTGCCCATGTATTTACATGGCCAATGAGAGTGAGTTTACTTGGATAACCCCCGCTCGTTTGAAATTGTGCTCGCACAGTTCACCGCTGTTGGAAAAAATAAGGACATTGGTCTGGGCTCAGTGGCCTACGGGTCCATGTGAGTTGATAAGTCTCTGGTGTGGTGGTCGTGCATGACCGCACGAAAAATGCCCCCCCACCCCCCCCCCCGTCACATGAAATACATTTTTGACTTAAATTTATTAATTTTAGCAAAATTCCAGCTCGAAGAGTATCACACATAAAGACACCCCCCCCATAGCATTAACAGGCTGCTGTTGACTATCACGCCCAACCGCCTATGTCTCCCTAGTGGTGATGTTTACAAACCATACCAGGTGCTCGTTTGAGGCTTAGTCGATTTCGGGGGAGATCCAGGACCGGAACGGATGATTATCACCGAAATTGGCCGAGAGTGAGAATCGAACTAGGGTCGACGGGTCCATAGTGGAGTGCGCTAACCGCTGCACTACCCGCTCCCCACGCACACACATCCCATGCAAATATGGTCCAATAAAACAACAGCACCTCCCCGGCTGCCACTGGCGACGTCTTGATGAGCGAAGTTTTACCGATAGGTGTCTCCCGTGGCCGCGAATGACGCAAATCGGTCAAACGCACAGAACGCGTTGGCGTTGCCGAACGTGACGGCTCTGGTCATGTCAGGTGCTTGCCAGAGAGTGCGTGGGTGAGCGAGCGAGTTCGTGAGCGTGCTTGGTGAAACGATTGCTTGGGCGAGTGAGCGAGCGAGTAGGCGAGCGTGCTTGGTGAAGCGATTGCTTGGACGAGTGAGCGAGCGAGTAGGCGAGATGGTTTGAGGTGTTTCCTTCGCAGAAGAGGCTCAGTCCATGTGTTGATGGGAAAATATTTTGCGATGCTGCTTGCTTGCATTGGCGGTGGTTGCATGAAACACAAATAGCAAACGCTCATCAATAACAATAAGAAGGCTGCATTGAGACAAGGACATAATTGGGTGACGTTTTTGAGCAGCATGCAGAGAGAGACAGAGGCCGGTACCCCTACCTTACCTCGCTATTTTTGCTACCTCTCTTGGCCTCACTATTTCTCAATGAAAGGCAATTTTTTTTGGACAAAATTTGGTCAAGGGGAGAGGGGGGCACGGGGGTGTGGTGATGGAGAGGAGGTAAATTCGAAGCTAAATCTTAACTCTCTTCTGCCGAGTTGGTTTGCGTTTCGAGCGACATCCCGCGGACGCTGCGCATCTGCCAACACGCATTAGTTTTCCCCAGTTGTAAAAAAAGAAATAAAACGTTTTGATCTCATCTGTGTTTCAATAAAATATTCCCGTGTGCCGCAGGCGTGAAAAGCCCCATGGTTCGGTCGACGCTGAAGCTTGGGATTGCCGTACTGAATGGTGGCAACTGCACCGTACAGAACGTGAGTGAATTTCGCGCTCCATTCAATGTCATCAGCTTGCTCCGCTTCTGTCACGATTCACGGTGGGGTTTGCTTTGGGCCGCATCATCGATTACTACGTTTTGGCATTGTACGTTGCGAAAGAAGTCCACCATATGCATACATACGTGTTGCTGCGATGTCATTTGGTTTTTCCTGTCAACCTCCGATTGCTCGGCTATCTACGCGAGAGGTTAGCTTTTTTTGCCGGGCGTAATCTTGCGTGAAACGTCGGGTAAGATTGTCAAAATTCCACTTGATTTTCAGCACCCCTCGAGTATTTTTGCTTACAATCCCAATTGAGTCGGCATATTTTGCCCACGATGTGACAACTTGCTTTGATTGGCTCTGTCGAGTGGCGGAGGGCAACAGTTCAACACATTTGACGTTATATCACCGCACTCTAACCCGCCACCCCTAAAAGAATCATGCTTCGTTGATCCGGTGGGTGGGAAAGTCCCCTCCCCGCGCTGCGTGTGGAGCAGAGGTCACTTGAAGGGACCTCTAGAGGGTAGCTCTTCCGCGCCCGCTTCCGCGGACTGATCCGAATTGATGCTTCGTTTTTGTGACGTGACGCGGGGGACGGCCACAGTCGCGGTGAAACCGCGGATTTTATTTCATCTGGGAAAACAAAACGAGGGGGGAGTAAAAATGAAAAGCAGTGCCGTTCCCGAATTGCTGTGCTTCCCTCTCGCGAACGCTCCCACGGGGCCAATTCGAATCGGCCAAGCTTTGCGTGACGTTATCTGCCCCGAAAAGTTGCCGCTTTTTTTTTTGGGGAGTTGCCTTTCGAAATCGTGTCGTCCCGTCGTTGGCTAACTTTATTTTGTCAAAGGATTTATTCTACGTCGGTTTTCGCCCTTTTGTACTATTGACACAGCGATGATCTTGTTGTCGTAGAAAATGCTGGACTATCTCAAGGACAAGAAGGACAGCACATTTTTCCAAAGCGTTGCGGGACTCATGCAGATATGCAGGTGAAGACCATCCCACGGCCATGTCAACAGTTTATATGGAGGCTATAAAACGTAACATTATGCAAGCCATGAAAGACAATTTTCAAATGTCACCCCTGTATTCTCACAAATCAAGTGTCGAGCCTAATGGCACATTGCAGAGATTCCGCGTGTGACAAGGGGGATCTGCGGCGCAGTGCTGAGCACACTGGGCAATGAACCCGATGACCCGAGTTTTGATTCTTAGCCATGGCTAACATCATGATGGTTATTAGCTGGCATTGACCAGCGTGGTGATGTATGGTTAAGCAACACCCAGTGAATTGCACGGTGTGGAGTAGGCACTCATGCAGCAATTAATTGACAGCATTTACATTTTTTTTATATATCTGAAAGCATACATTTTCATTTTTTCTGGCAAGTGTGGCAAGTTAAAATCCCAGTCGGTCGTCTACTCATTCCATCAGCCCATTGGTATAATTAAAATAGAATAGAGAGGTGAGCCTCGGTCATTTCCTGGCGATGCTTGCCACTGCTATGGTAACATGCAATATACACCACTGGATGTAGCCACCCCCCACCCCCCTAAACGTTGACCCGACGCAAGGAGCCCCAGCCCAGTGCTCGTTTGAGGTGGAATCGACGCACCCCAAAAAGAGCCAGTCGGTGGCAACCTCGACGAACGCTCTTATGCATATGGAGATGAAACACATCCCAGCCGGGCCGACTGGCCGCCTCTGCTGGACCCCGAGTCACACGGCGTCGAACGCGGAGCGCGCGAGGCTGGCAGGCGTTGCCCGAATGCAACGCCGGGGAAATTGCTGCCCCCTGATTGATGTGGCCGTGTAAGTGCCTCCCTCCCCCGCGATAAAACAAAATGTCCCCGTCGAAATGAAACGTTAATTTGGAATGCGAACAGAAACGTTGATTGTTCACTCTCAGCAGCTTCTGGTCTAAAAAGGGGGATGTGGTCGGCTGTCCCGTTTTGGACCACAAGATTAAATGTCTTCGCAATGATTTTTTTTTGCGTCCTTTTAGTTGACGTCACACAAATGACCCACAGTAATAAGTTTCGCGACGCGTGCATGCTGTTATTACTATTCGACGCGGAGATCCGCAGTTCATTGCTACCGATGTATGGGCCCGGCTGCCATACCAGTGAATGTAAACGTATTATACAAAAAACTACCAACAATTTAATATTATTGTGCGAAGACTTGCAATGCAATAATTCATCTGCCGGCGCAAGCAATCATGTAAATACATATATTTTTTACATTGTGTCATTCGAGAAAATATATGTTTATTTTAATATTATTTTCTTATGGATATACAGTCATGCAAATAAATTGCAAAACATATCAAATGTGCACATATTATTATATAAAGACCTGCAATGTAATTTTTCGACCTCTTGGACCAAGCAGTCATATGTAAATGACTTAGCTTAATGTGATATTATTACGTTGATGGTGATTTTATCCGTAATATATTATGGGTGGTGCTGAGGTTAGCGTGTTGGACTTCATGTCGGCAAGGTTGCAAGTTGAAATCGCAGTCGGGCATCAACTCAGCCCATCAGCCATTCGGGGTCGATACAATTAGTACCAGTTTGTGAGAAGTCAGCCTTGGCTACCGTGCGTTTGATGCAGTGGTCCTTGTCATCGGAATGTAGAGTTCCCACCGCAGGCTCAGCGTCGCAAACAGAGACGAGGGTTTAACTCCCGTCGACAGTAAATACATTCAGCCTCAGGTAATATAATTATTTTATAATCACAGTTGCTGAGCAGAGGCCCAAAGTGGTAATGCGGCCAGCAACTAACAGCGCGAGCAGAGTGGTGCAGCAGCAGCAGCAGCAGATGAGAGTTTGAAAGAAAAAAAAACGTGTTGCAAGGAAGCAGTAAATACCCAAGTGAAACACGCAACAAAGAACTTGCACAAAGTGAAATGACGACGGATATTGACGCCGTCGCCTGACGAAGCTGGTTGTGATTACTGGCGGAAACGTCGTACTCTGATTGTAAATGTTGTGGCTTTGTTCTCCAACACACCGTTGTGGCTGTACCAGTGACGAATTGGCACGTTCTGTTTACGTGTCACACCTTACTAATTGGCTGTGTTAAACTGATGTGGTGTTTGGTTATCGGTCGTAATAATACGCTTTTAATAGTTTAACACGTAATAGGTTTTCGCGAACAATATCATTCATAATACAGGTTTTTTTTGGGTTAGATAGCGTATATATATAAATATGTCGTTAAACCCGCCACCACCCGACACAAACCTTAGCAATTGGCTGTCAGGTGGTAGCGGGTTTCACGACACATTTATAAATTTACGTGATCTCTCTTTGGTTCTTTCGGTAAAGTCACGTAGAAAGAACAAATACATTAAATAATAGCACACGACGTTTCGCTTGCAACACAAGCAATCATCATCAGGTGCAAATGGAAGATAAAACAAACCTAGTAAACTTAGAAATATAATGCAATACAACACAGAGAGTCGGCTAACATAACAGTCAACATCCCACCTGGTTGATTACGTTCTTCTTACGTGATCTCACGCAATAAAACCCCCTGTATTATGGATGCTTTTAAGAATGTAATAACAACATTCAGTAATATCGTGTTCCACTCTTTTCCCCTTCTGCGAAACCCATGTGCCCCTCTCCCAACGATGCAGCGTTCTGGATCTGAATGCTTTTGAGCGGCAGAACAAAGCGGAGGGGCTAGGTATGGTAACGGAGGAAGGATCAGGTGGGTAGCGCTCTCCACTCCGCACTCCTAAACGTTCAAACGTCTCTCTCCTCGCCTGTTCTCTTTCACCCCCCTCCCGTGTCATTTTAATAATTGCCTACTTTTATTCTCTTCTTCCCCACCCTCGCCCTTCCCCCTTTGAAGTATGATTTTTAAATTAACGTCGCCCGTGTCTGCTAATGTGCAAGTTAATTGCGCGCGCGTGCAGGTAGACGTTTTATGTTTCCTCCACTCCGCCTTCCACCCCGGTTCTCGTAGCGTTGTGCCGGTTGTTTGTGGTGTTGAAGGAAGCCAGACAGTTCGATTCGTAGGCCCACCGTCTGTGATTTGGCCGAAAGACCGGAGTACGTTTAACATTCAGAGATTTCAAATTAATGAAAATTATACATTTTATATATATTTGTATTTATTTTTGTACTTATATAAAATGGATTATTTTTCTTAATTTGTACCTATGTAAAAATGTATTTTTATTAATTTGTAACTATCTACGTCACTTTACCGAAAGACCCAAAGAATATGAATTCCTGCAGTCACGAAAGCTTAAAGTCAAGATTCAGAGAATTATCTCGGTTTCCACGACAACAACAAAAAAAACAACAAAAGCCACCGCTGGTTATGTTCGGCATCTGCGTAAGCAGTGGGGGTTGTTTTCTTGGTTCAACTTACGGCAGGAGGTCAATGTGTTCTGGTCGCGCAAACAAAAAAACACAAACGTGAAAAATGCATCTGCAGCTGAACTGCAAAGTGTTTGCTTTTGGAATCGTCAGTGTTTAGCAAATGGTAACCCGTTCCGTCCTTACGGAAGACATGATTCTCAATAGGCTCTTTTGCCTGATTAAATAACTCTTAATTTAAGTTAATATTATTTAATATGTGTAGGTAGGGGGGTGGGGGGGGCACGGGAGGGCCATAGTGGAGCAATGTTAGGTGCTGTGAACCCAGCGATGTGGGTTCGAGTCCTGGCCACGGCTAGCATCAGTGGCGAGTGTGATATTTGAACTGCTCCTATAGACCCATTCCCCTCTTGATCCTACCGGCGCTGACCAGCATTGTGACGTAAGATCAAACAACTCCCCGCGACCGGCATTGGCATGGGGAGGCCTTCATCCAGCAGACAAGAGGCTCTAAACTATTATTGTGTGGAGCCAATAGCAAAAGTGGAACCACAGTCCTATAAACTATTTATATTTTTATTTTAGCCGACAAGGCTCGCTGAGCTATATAGCTCTTTTTCAGAAGCGACCTGGCCACAAGTGATAGCTCAAGAAAGTGGCTTATCATGTGGAAATTTAGAGCGGTCAAATACTCTTTAACGCAAGTGCCTTTATGGAGTCCCAGCCACGATTTGGCTTCAATCCTCGCGCATCATCTGCCATTACCTCTGTCCACCCGCTCGCACCACGGTCACGCTGTAGTGGACGTCGTCACTTGGCAGTCCATTGTGGTGGAGTAGAGTGTGAGTACCCCTGCCTCTTAAGAGTCCATTTGGCTAAATCTCCCAGGGAATGAGCACAAGAAAGGGATGCTTTATATTTGTAGCGGCATGAGAGTTTGTGCTCACGGTCGAAATGTATTGTATTGTTATGATTCCCGTGCTGGGATGTTGTTGATTTTTTTTGGGAATCGTGACCGCTAAATTTCCCAGAGGTGAGCATCGCATCATGCGCAGGACCTCCCTCACCCTCAGTGTCCCAAGTGAATAAAGCTTCTCCTCTTTCCGATTAAACCCTCCCACTAACCAGTGTCTAACTCTCCCACCAACCTATTTATACACTTTCCTGAACACCTATTTACCAAAAACTAAGAAACGCGTTTGTTCTAAACAGCCAAACAAACCATTGTTATCGGAACCCTATGCAGAGTGGATGTCATACGTATGAAAAATAAGAATAAAATAAAATAGGTGTTAAGATGTTCAAACAACAAATAGATACCTTTTGCAAGGAATCAAGTCTGCATTAACCATCACATACAGTAATTATGGCGAATATGCAAACAAACACGCTCTTATAATATATGGCCTACCCCACAGACAGCCTACATTATAGCCTAGTCTCACCAGTGTTAGGCCAGTACAAAGACAAAACTATTAATAGTTTTATATATATTATCGCTATATATCTCTATAAATGCTCTAATACGTGCATTTTCTTTGTACTCTTCGCTTTTCGGCGAACAGTACAAAGTAGTACACATTGTACATTTGTGTTGGGGCGGGGGGTTCAGTGGTTAGCGCACTGCACTATGAACCTGGCAACTGGAGTTTGATTCACAGCCATGGCGAACATCTGGGGCGAGTGATATCTCAACTGGGCCAGAGCCCCCTTCACAAACTCACACTGACCAGCCTGGTGAAGTATGGTCAAACAACCACCTTGACAACCACAGCATGGTGATGCCTTCATCCATCATTGGATTGACCAAGGGCTGTGCATAATTTAACTCTTCTACATATGTTTGTGTGTGTGTATGGAAACTGATTGCATATGTTTGAACTCTATGGAGATACACGGTTTAATAAATAAATACAAACATCCCTTATACATACAAAACGGCAGCTCAAAAAAGGACCACCTCTTGTAAATACAAAACGGCAGCTCAAAAAGGGCACATTTTAGACATAATTACAACGGTAACTTCCCCGTAAAAGTGTGATAATAAAGTATTAAAGCTTTCGTGACTGCATAAGTCCGCTGGGGCAAGCGCTGTTAGTGAGCATCTGTTAGCACGGCATGGCACGCAAAAGGGTGGTGTGGCTAGCACCATGCTCACCCGGCTGCCTTTGTCGCCGCTGGTACCAGTCATCACACATCAAACGAGGTAGTCATTTGAGGCTGAGTCAACCCGGGGGCTGCCCAGGCGCGAATGGAGGGAATTTCAAAGATGGGCGGTGAGGGGTGGGAAGCAGAGAGACGAGCGATCTGACCGGCGGTGTGTGTTTGTGTGTGGTGGTGGTTCCGCACAAAATGGATGAGATGGCACCATTAGGCTGATAGGACAGAGTTCATCAACGTGGGTGGGAGGAGCAGATGAGTCGAGTTTATGGGAACAGTAACCATGACGGCAGCAGTAGTCGCGATAGAAGAGCGATAAGGAGGTGACGGACCGCAGTTGAGCAGGTGACCGGAGTGAATTGGTGGGCACCAGATCACCTCTGCTCTGTCGTGTTGGAGTCTCCACGACCACCTCCCATCTCATTGGTGGTGACAGAAGAGTGATACGGAGGCGACGGACAGCAGTTGAGCAGGTGACCGGAGTGAATCGGTTGGAGTCTTCACGACTTCCCCCATCTCGTTGGAAGTGGCCCCCTGAAGCGCTGAGATTTCAGATGGCGCTGTGGAAACGCCACCGGGGAGAAGACCGTTTGTGAGGTTGTAGTTCAGTAGCGGTTTTGTTTGGGGCGGTCGGGGGGTGGGGTGGTGGCGGAGTGGTTGGCAGAGGCATTTCCTCTTGAGACTGCCTTGAAGCAAGCATCTGGCTGGGTGAGCAGTGGGGGGCACGTGGGGTTGGATTATTCATCAGTTGTCTTGCCTTCACGCACCCACTGATGAGAGCACGCCAGAGAATATAAATGCGGGCATCACGTTTGCAGGATACAAAAGACACAGATTTCCCGTATAGCCTGAACAGACTGTTGGGGCGAGTGCTGTTAGTGAGCACCTTTGAAGGTCGGCACGGGTCACGAGGGGGTGGGTGCCCAACACCACGCCCGATCGCCTTTGTCTCCCCAGTGGCGATGTTTACACATCGCACCGGGTACTCATGTGAGGTTGAGTCGACCTAGGGGAAGCCCAGGACCGGTTCAGATAATCGTCACCGGTGTTGGCCATGAGCAGAAATCGAACTCGGGTGACCGGGTTTGTAGTGCAGCGTGCTAACCGCTGCGACACCGCTCCCCGCACACACACACACACGTTCACAACAACAACAACTGCCATTCGCCACTAAGTGGCGGTGACGTCACCACGACGCTTGTGCCAGGCCATGTGCACCTTGAGGCCACGTGAAGTGTCGAACGCCCGCGGGCAGGAGGTCACGGGGCAGACCCAGGTGCCACGGGTCGACTGACTGAGATGACTGGCTGGTGCACCACCTGTGCCCCCTACTGTGCCAACCTGCTGTGCTTTAGCCACCCGGCGCTCCGCTCGTTGTTGTGAGCGTCGCTCCTCCACCTACCGTTGTTGTTGGAGGGCGACTGCCTCCAACTGCCCAATAGCGTCCTTCACGAGCCTCCTCCACAGAGGCCGATCTTGACACCGCTGGTACCAGTCATCGGTAAGTCCACTCAGCTCCACGTCTTCCTGTACCACATCACTCCATCTCTTCTCTAGCCCGTGCTGCGCCCGTTTAGCCCCCTCGATCTGGCCGAACAAAAGCTGTTTCGGCATGCGGTGGCTGGGCATGCGGGCTACATGACCCAGCCAATGCAACCTTGCCTGCCGGAGGAGCTCACCAATGGGACCTTGCCCAGATCTTTCAAGGATTTTTGAGCTCCTCACACAATCTAGCCTGGTTAATCCTAGGATGGATCGTAGGGAGGCCAGCCTAAATGTTTCCAACCGGCGAAGATGCTCCATTAAGGAGGTCCACGTTTCGCAAGCATAGAGAAGGGAGGGAATGACCGTGGCCGAGAAGACCTGAAGCTTAGTGCGGAGCGACAGACCAGGTAGCTTCCACACAGCGTTACACAACCGATGAAAAGATATTGCCGCTCGACTGATTCGGAGTGAGACCTCTGTTGTTAAACTGGAACCGGTCATAAGCACACTGCCCAGGTATGGGAAACTCTCCACTCTCTCCACAACTGCCCCATCACTGATTGGGAGTTGTGGGGGTGGAGTGTCCGATGGTATAAAATGCCCAGGCAGGTGCTTAGTTTTGGTGGGGCTTATGGTAAGGCCCCATCTCTTAGTGGCACGCTCCAGTCTCAGCAGCAGCGTCTCCAACTCCTCCTCTGAATGAGCAGCTATTACCAAATCATCAGCATACATAACATGGTTGAGCAATCGGGAGCCATCCCTTGACCGCACCCGGGCATCGATCAGCCTCCCATTATATCTGTACCAACAGCTACCGATGTTAAATAATGTGGGAGTCAGAGGACATCCCTGTCGCACCCCAAGGTGTACAGGGAATGGCTCGGACTCCCGGCCATGTAGTTTTACCCGGGCCCGCTCACCATCATGAAGGTCCTTAATGATCGTGAACAGAGGGTCAGGGACTCCAAAAGCACGAAGAACAACCCAGATCCCAGGCCTACTGATGGTATCATAGGCCTTGACCAGGTCAATAAAGCAGAGATGTAGGTCTTGTTAGAATTCCCTACACCTCTGCTGTAGCAGACGGACAGAAAATATGGCATCTGTGCAGGACCGCCCTTTCCTGAAACTGCATTGGGGCTCTGCAAGCCCCTCCTCAGCGTGCCTGGCGAGGCGATGTTGAATAATCCTTGCCAGGAGCTTTCCCGGCACACTGAGGAGTGAGATGCCCCTGTAGTTGTTACAGTCTGTGCGGTCCCCCTTCTTAAAGAGGGGGACCACCAGGGCATCCTTCCAATCCTGCGGAACCCGTCCAGTGGTCCAGCCTGTTGTTATGATGTCATATAGGGCAGTCTGTGCACAAATGCCACCCTCCCTCATGCATTTCGCTTGGGAGATCATCTCTGCCCGTTAGACTCTTACGTACCAAATCCGCCGTGGCATTGCCACCACCGCCGCCGCCACCAAACAACGACGCCACCACCACCGCCACCGATGTGCGTCGATATGCCCTGCTGCCGTGTATTTGGCGAATTGGATCGTCGCTAGGTGTTGCCACGCCGTCGCGCCACCGGGTCAAATAGAAGTGCACACCGCAAAAACGCATGCGTTACACATTCGTACACATACGCACGCGTTACACACTCCTACACATACGCACACATTACACACTCATACACATACGCGCTCATTACACACTCCTACACATACGCATACATTACACATACGCACTCATTACACACTCCTACACATACGCACACATTACACACTCCTACACATACGCACACATTACACATACGCACTCATTACACACTCCTACACATACGCACACATTACACACTCCTACACATACGCACACATTACACATACACACTCATTACACACTCGTACAGATGCATACAAAACAAAGGCGAAGGTCACCCATGTAGCCTACTTACACAGGTGGAGGGTGGTCAGCACCACGACCGGCCGCCTTTGTCTCCCCAGTGCCGATGTTTACACACCAGGCCAGGTAATTATTTGAGGCTGAGTCGACCTAGGGGAGGCCTAGGCCCAGTTCATATAATCGTCACCGGTGTTGGCCGTGAGCGGGAATCAAACCCGGGTCGGCTGCGTTGTTAGCGAGCACCTATTAACTTGAGCATAGTGTGGCTCGTGACCACGCCCGGTCTTCACGTTGCTCATGTTTACACGCCACCACATCAGGTACTCGTTTAAGGTTTGAGTAAACCTAGGTGATGCCCAGAACAGATTCAGATAACAATCACTGATGTCAACCGTGATTGGGAATCAAACTCAGGTGACCGAGGTTCGGGCGACCAATATCGCTGATCCTATTATCCACCGAAAATTGTAATCCTCCTATCCATGGGGTAAAAATAATAATTGCGGATAACCCCGCGGATAATGCGATGATTTTCCCGCGTAATTCCTCTTATCCGCAAAAAAAATACGAGTATTAGAAAATTGCTTTGCTGTGCATTATGGGTAAAATCACGGATAATTGCACACAATGGGAAGATATAGGGCCGCGTATAATAGGAGTTTTGCGCGGAGACGACAGCTGCGATTGATAATTATAGGAGCTGCGGGTAATAGGACCACGGACACCAGAAGTTCTGTATATATGATATCAACACGGACACACCTACACTTACGGCGACACGTGCATAGATACGCGAACAGCAATGCATTCCGCAACTGCTAATTGCACAAATTGCAATTACGCTTACGCCGGGATACACACCAGCGCCCCGGGTGATTCCTTCAGTTCGCCACGTCAAGTGGTCTCTGCAAACGAGCGATCTCCACGTGGACTTGCCTAAATTAGCCCGACATTTCTCCGCGGGGCTTTCCGAAAGCGATCTGCCAGATGTTTGCCGGCCATTCACTCGTTACGCACAAAGTGCTTGCCGCAAATGATCCGCGATGCCTCGCGGATCTCGTCAATGAGCATCACACCATCACGCGAACTGCAGTCATCCTCGCAGCAGCAGCAGCAGCGGCTTTTGGCTGCTGCCATCGAACGAAGGCGGCGGTCACCGCATCGCGCGGCGCTTTCAGATGCGCTTCCGCGGCCGTCTGGAACGCTCTTCTCTTCCGATATGAGGAAACCACTGGGAGCTTTGCACTTTTAAATCATCGTCTAGATTGAAAACTCATTTCTCTAGAACTGCTTTTTGTGTTTAGTTTGTTGTCCTTCCCCCGCACCTCCGATTAGCAAGGCTGGCTGCGTACGGTGCGAAAGAATTTCAACACGCGTAAATCCATTCGGTCATCAGCTAATGAAGTAAACTGCCGCTGGACTTCTCAAATCCTTCCGCCGCGTTAATTATTACTGGGAGACGCTATCAGGTCCGGTGCTGAAAATCTGAAGGCGAATATTGTTCGAGTACGATTGAGCAGGGAGATGCTCTGCCTCCGTGTGATGGTCAGCATGCTGGGCTTGCGAAAGATATACGGAGATCATCGGTCCGATCCCGCGGCACGGCAGTTAGAACTATCGGCAAGCTGTGAGAATAGCTTTTCACCTTTTTTTCTGGCAACAAAACAGCTGTGTTAAGATGTTAAAACACCAAACTGAAACCTTTTGCGAGGAATCATGTGTGCATTAACCACAATAGTTGTGGTCAGAATGCAAACAAAAAACACGCTCTGATAGTATCTGTGGCATTGTCTTTGAAACTGATTGGTCCACACCAGAGACAGCTTTCTTTCGAGCCTCGTCTCAAAACGGTGTTAGACCAGAGGGGAAAACCTATTCTCATATTCACAGTTAGTCGATCGGCACATCGCGCATGGTGGGGTCGAGTGTGGGCACCTCCAAAACGTCTGGACAAGCGCCCCAAGCAGAAACCCCCGCCACCTTTACCCCCCGCCTAATCAAATGTCGAGAATCCGTGAGGTCATCCTGCGTCTGATAGGGAAAGGCAACAAGTGTTTGCATGGTTTCATTTGCTCACATAGCTGTACATACAAATGCATATGTGTATGGACGTGCAATGGTGTCCGTAAGCCCCACGCCGCCTTTGTCAGTGACGGAGGAAGCCTCCAACCGAGCCGTGTCCGTCATCCCCGCGATTGCAGGCTGCGTCTCCCATACACATCGTCATTTGTGTGCGCTTACAGTTTTAATACTTGTTTTTCTGTCTAACTGTTTTTTTTTCTTTTCATTTTGCTTTCCCCTTTGTGTCTTCCTTCACCATCCTCCATGCCCTTTGTGTTGTCGACACGTGTTCCGTTAGTCATTTCTCACGAACAGGGTAATTACAGCTGCTTTTTCTCGCGTCCCGATTTGTGGCAGGTTGTTATTGTACTGCGGTATTTCGTTCGTGACTTTGCATGGTGTCTCGCAGGGCATTAACACTCGCCTGGCCGTCCCGCTCAGAGTTACAGAATTTTGGAAGTTATGTTTGTTTGTTTGTCTCACTTTGGAATTCGGTTACCGGTTTCACACGGAGTTTCGGTGGCGCACTTCCACGTGTCTGCACCCGTCAAACACCACTCGGTTTTTCTCAAGTGCAATAATCGATTTGGGATTTTTTTCGTCACTCATTTTTATTTCAAATGCGACACGGACTCTTTAATGGCTCCAAATGGTTTGCGACCAATTCTGCACCTGACTGACATTATGGAATGACATCTACTGTCTCCAATTGATCTGTCTTGTCCAGAAACCAGACAGGGCTCCCTGATGTTGCGTAGGCGGTCAAGTGAAAACTTTAATTTATGTGTTTTCTATTTATATGTATACCATACTCAGTGAAAAGCCCAGAGGCCATCTACTCATTACACTTGAGAAACTTGTTTGATCATGGCCAGTGAGACCATCAGTGTGTTTCACTTTAACATTGGGTCAGTAGGTTTAGGCCTGGACTCATGCCGGAAAATCCATGCCATCTGCGCATTGTTATGACACAGAAGGCATGGATTTTTTTTTTCTAACCAGTTACCACTCGTTTATTCGTGGGTTTGAGCCAGTAGTATCAATGCCACAGTCATATGGCGGTGGTCAGTCACTTTCCAAGAAAATCACTGTTGATATCCCACAATATGGTGATATATTTTTTCAACCCCTGGAATGATGAGCGGCTGGGTTTGATCTCTAGTTGAGGATGTGCTCGCAATGGTCCAACTCTTAAGTTGAGTCCACTAACCACAGTACCACCCAGATGGTGTTCTCAGTTTAATTGAATTTATTTTGTTAGATCTCAGAAATAAGCACGAGACAAAGATTCCCCGTATAGCCTTAACAGGCTGTAGGGACAAGTGCTGTTAGCGAGCACCTACGATCTGGCACGGCACGCGAAGGGGGTGGGTGTCCAGCACCACTCCCGGCTGCCTACGTTTCCTGAGTGGCGATGTTTACTGCACATCGCACCACGTACTCATTTGAGGCTGAGTCGCACCAGGCACTCAAAACCGGTTCAGATATTCGTCACTGGTGTTGGCCGTTAGCGAGAATCGAACTCGGGTCGCCGGGTTCGTGGTGCAGCACTCTTAACCGCCAAACCACCGCTCTCATACATAAACATCACGCGCGGACAGACAGACGCCAACAATTGAGCAGAGAGATTTGGCACTGTACTCGGCTCGAACCAGTTTAGATCAGGCCTCGCTATTTGTAAATGCATCAGCATGGCCACTGCCACAAAGAAGGGCCCAAAAAAGATAACTGGCGCAAACGGGCAAGTCAGGCGAGTGTCAATGTTCCACGATTAAAGCGCACAGCATAGCGTCGTGTTGAAGCTGCACAGTGGAATTTAACAATGACTTGCCATGTCATTCTCTTATTTTTATTGATTGTCATCACGAGTATGTGTTAATGGGCACCGTGTCGTGTGTTTTAATTTGCAGATTTTTTTTCATTAACGTTTTTTGCACTGCGTGTTCCAACTAAATCTTTGTCAGTCTGCCTTGATGATATGGCATGGACACATTTCATTCTTGAACTTGGGAGATTTCCGACCTGCGGGTGTTGAGGGCATTTTTGAGGTTAGCGATTGTCAATGAATAAATAAATAATATTCCGCATCTCGCACACACGTCTATAGTACATTTCCGCCATAATCTACCGATTCCCAAGAATAATACATTATGTTCTTGTGTGACAGTCCAAATATCGTTGGCAAAATCAGTAGTCCCAATTCACAATTCTGATTCCAAAGCATAAGTCGAAATGCATGTAGATGATGCGGTGACGCCATGTAAAACTACACATACTCACTGAGCTATAAAGCTCTTTTTCGGCAGCTACCTGGCCACAAATGATAGCTCAACTAAGTGGCTTATCGCGTGGAAATTTCTAGCAGCCAAACACTTTAAACGCGTGTTTCTAAACGTGGAGGGGAAAAACTAGAGGACCTGGAGAAAATTCCCTGGAACCACGAGGAGAGAGTTATGCAAACTCTAAATATATAGGCGGCAGGATTGGGTTCGAACCCACGACCTCCTGCATACCAGGAGAGGCAGTTAACACCTCGCCATCACGGCACAGCTGCGTCCTGACGGACGTCACACGTAACGAACAAGTCATTGGCCCTGCCCCTGGCCCTGCTTGGCCTCGTGCCGACTCCACTCGGATGTGCCGGTGGAAAAGGGTTGCTAAAGACATGCCGAACTGTTCTATAATGTCCAGTGGCTTTGAAGTTACGGTTGTTGGCTCGTGCAAAGGTGACAGCCACGCATCATCAGTTCTAGCAAGAGACTCCCATCACACAGAATGTTGGGGTGGGGGAGGGGGGACGCCTAGCCTTCTGAGTGACGAGGTGGTACGGCAAAGGAGAAGTAGTTCCCATCGCGTGAATGTCGCACACTTTTTGTCAGGCCATCCAAAGTGTCAATCCGCATGCAAAAAATGCAAGAAATTCGCCAAACAAAATTTTGTAATTAAAATGACTAATTATCAAACAGTTGTGAAATCTCAGTAGCCCCTCGTGAGGTATCATAGAGGACCTTACTTAAGTCATTGTGATTGCATTTAAAATGGAGAATCTTGAGCCATCTTAAGTTTTCAGTCCTTATTAGAAAATGAGCTATAATGTACAGTATTACTCGAGAGAAAATGAAATAAGTAATCGTGACTTTTAAATATAATTTTTAAAAATAATCCACTGTCTAACAGTTTTGACTGCCCTCCAGTTTCAATGCACGTAGGACCCCACAACTATAACAATTGCATTGGCTAAAACAGCTGTTCGATCTATGGAAAAATCACACGCGCACACAGAGTTACGAATAAACGATTGTGACCAAAAAATTCACGCCTGTGACAAAATCACCCGGAACGCGCCCGGCCTCGTGAGGCTTGGGAAGCTAAGCAGCTTTGTGCCTGGATAGCGCTGGGATCGGCGAAAACCACACGCCGTAGCACGTGGCCGTCCGGTGCTGTCCTTTCGTCTTTTCCAAACCCGCACTGACCAGCGTGGTGAAGTATGGCAACAAAAAATACGGCTCACAAAGGTGCGCGGGGAGGAGGCCCTCATCCAGCAGTGGATTGACAAAAGAGCGAAGCACGCACACTGCACACCAAGGTGACAGTTTAAATAATTTAAAAAGATGAATCCCAATCACTGGAAAAGTAAGAATCGGATTAAAACTAATATCACGTTGGATGCAATAGTTTTGTAGGCATATTCCATGACGTTTGTAAGCATGAATAATATCCCCAAAATTGGCATAAGTATTGCTTGCCAATTCATCAGTGCCCTACCACAGCTGCAGGCCTGAAGTCTTTATATTTATTTTTTTAAAAAAATGCAACTTGTTGTACGAATGTTGTCTGCGAGAATGCGATGAAAATTTTAAAATCACGTCTTATCGGGGGTATTTCTTTTAGGTAAATAAACGCACCAACTTAGGCTTCTTCCCTCGCAGCATCGTGTTGCTCAACAACGTCGTTTTTCTTGAAATGCCTTCTTATTTTCCGGGTACCACATATACATCACGGTGATAGTTGATGATACAGACCGGCTGTCCGTGCAGAACTCTCGTCACAGATGCGCAATCACTCAGAAGAAGAAACACAACATTTGTTTTCTGATGATTGCAAACGTATTTATGGCTAAAACAATCGAAGGGAGGTTTTCAGGCATGGGTGATGTTATTCATAATGCTTTAATCATGAGTCTGCGACTGCTGCGCGTAATTGCGTGTGACGAACAAGCCCGACAGAGCAGTCCATTAAGTGAGCCTCGTGGGTGTAACATCTGATTCCAAACTTGTGTATCACGGAACTTTTTACAAATGTGCCCCGAAATCAGTGAATCTGTACAATGCCTATGCATTGTACAGATTGTACAATGCCTATGCATTGTACGAGCACCATGATTAAGTTTGTCAAATAATTTTTTTTTTACTTACGAAACATTTTACTTGAAATTTACAGGTTATTATCCAAGTACTGGACCTGAATGTGCAGGAGTTGCTTGCTAAGAGTAATTGTAGTCTGAATTTATAAACAATAAATCTTTAATTAGTCTTAAACTTAAACGGCTAAGCCTGTGTTTAACAAGATACACGCAAATGCAATATCTGGTTAGCGTTGTTGAGTAACGCATTGCTTCCATTACAGGTGACGCTAATCAGATTTCCAAAGGCAGGTACCAAGTGAGCCCGAATTATAACCATTAATTAGAATGCGCTTAACACCAAATAATCACTCAGCGTTGTTGTGGTGAATTTGTATAATAAAATAAATAACACCTTCCCACATTTGTTCCTCCATAAACAAAAAAAAGATATATACATAGTAAAAAAAAACAATGTGCACACATCCCATTAGCCACGTGGCCTTCGGGGAGTGCATCTAATCGGCAGCATTGGTTCAGTACAGCAAACTCTAGACCGGATTGTGGCATTCATTGTTTCATCATCCATTCCACCTTGCCGGGCCAATGCTGGTGAACTGCCAGGCAGCTGAATGTAGACACCGGCCCATAGTATCCTAGTATTTGAACCAATGCTCTAAATTAGAATGTACTGTTTGAATACCGTTCACAATTAATTACCCATTCATCATCTTTTTTTTTCTAATTACAAATACAATTAAAATTATGGGAAATGCTCGTACTGGCAGCTTGGGTAAATGCTGGGACAGCAGCGGCCAATGTGTAACGCAGATCACAAAACATCAGCATGCAGTCGTAACATAGCTCTGATGAGTCCGAGGTTAAAACTGCCTTTTAACGTGCGCTAATTTTAAGAACGTAATAAAAAAAAAGCGATCGAGCAAACCGTGTGTATTTTTGTTTAAGCAGCAACGCACAATTGCGCTACTACAGAGAAACAATGTGTCAATAAATTAGCAATCGAACACCGATTCAGTTTCTTATTAACGTGCCCCCTCAATCACGGGAGAGCAGAAAAATGGGTGATTGATAGAAGGTGATAATCGACCCGCAAGACACCGCTATTGGGTTCGATACCCGGTCCAAAGCAGGGCCGATACCTTTGGCAAATTAACTTCCTTCATGTCTGCAGTTGCTTTATAGTTACGACGCAGGAAGTCAATTGGCAGGAGCATGCAGTGGGGTAAAGTTATGGGCACTCATTTATATCTTAAAATAATCCAGGGCTATTTGAAGGCGATCGTATATTTACGTGTAGGGGTCTGTGTTAGTGACTATTCAAATAAAATCCAGATTGCATTGTGTTAAGATAAATATGCAATATTTATCAGTACTGTACTTGACAGCTGACATTCCGTATATGTATTGCAAGTTTGTAGTGGGTGTGATGCAAATATATCACTTGAAAAATATCTACAGGTTTCATATGAAGTTATACATTTAACATTCTGTGATCCATACTTATTTATAATTATGGTCTAATAAAAAAAAACAAATACTATCTGTATGCATTCTTTTTGAAAGGTACTGTACTCTTATTTTAATATTACTATGATACAATTTTTATTTACCGAGCTAAACAATACACGTGTGGGTCTGGAGGATATGATGTGGTTTTTGATCAATACAGCTAATGTAAACTCATGCATTCAAATGCTTCTCATGTGGCTAGCGCATTGCCTCGTGAGATATTGTAGGAGGTCAGCCCTTCTTCACTCATTGCGTGGTCAGAATATATTCTCAACGAAGCTCCTACCACTGTGTACGCTTCTGCGTAAAAACTAACGTGAAATGTTACGTTTGCAGGAGCTCACGAACCTGGGATGATGTTAAAAAAAAACCCCACCAAAGAGCTCGTCAATCCATCTGTAGCTTTGCCCCGTCTCCATCCAGTCCAGGCAACCCCAGAGCTTTCGCATGATCATCAACGGATGCAAGCAACGCGATGCATGATGTGGCCGTGCTTGGGAGAGTGTCACTCCTTCTATCCATCCTCGTAATCCCTTTTGCACACATCCGCTACCGCACTTGGATGGATTTCACTAACTGGCGACACGCACGGATCGTGGCTTGAAACCCTCCCACCGCCGCGGCAACAACAGACGACATACGGTGAAATGTCATCCATTCCCAAGAAATCTGTTTCCTACGTGAATCTTGAATTTAATATATATTTTTTTGTTATCCGCCGTCCTTTAGTGCACGTTATTTTCGTAGAAACATAGTAGGAAAATGTCAGAATGGGAAAATGTGAAAATTGGTGAGTCGTGTGTAACCCTGTGAGCGGTTTGGGGGGTACGCTCGACAATTTATCGCGTAAAGTGACATCAGCCGTGTGTTCCCACGTGCCGCTTTTGGAGCACATGAGCCCAGCCGAACGAGACATCTCATTTGTCGGTACCACCTGAGGGTAGCATAGCTCTTGCGGTTCCAATTTCTTTGTGAGGCCATCAACAGTAAACAGTGAAGTGGCGTTATCAAATAGCTTGTGCATCATGCCCTTGTAAATAAAGACATCGGTGCGACCAATAAAGTTCTGCTACCTTACGTGGTACCAAATTATTATCTGGCCCATGGACGACGATGAGAACGCTAAGTAAACAAACCCGCATCTTCTCCAAGACACGACAAAGTGAACAGATTTCTCATCCGGTTTCGCGACGATGCGCCCTCGCCAACGACGCTGGATGGGATGACATTTCGCTCGCATGTTTGAAACATTTTCTAGAAATATTTCGGGAGAGAAGCATTCGTTCGTGATCGGGTGGCCCCTTTCCACCTCCGTGTGCGTGCGGCCCCAACCTCCGCCGATGGCCACAACGGCCGATGTTGAAGGTCGCGACGGTGGCACGGGGCCGGGACCTGGTGCCCGCAATCTGGCGTTAGTCCTCGGGGGCATGAAGCGCCCGCCATCTCCCACCGTTGCATTTGCGTTGCAACGTAAGTTGTGCACCTTCTTGAAAGTAAAAATAAAGAGAGGGATTTGCCCACTCTTGTTCCGTATTTCTTGGACAGTAAATGTCTAAATGAGGTGCTTTTGCGAGACAATAAGAGGCAGAGTGAGAAAGTAAACACCTCGGAAAGGTGAAACGGTCACAGACAATCGCTAGCATCATGCTTCTCCATAACTCTCCACATTTGAGTGAGCCCCAATGTGTTGAATGTTGACAATGAGCGTAATAATTCTGCACACTATTTTTCTCCACTGCTGTCTTCCCTCCTTTACCGTGATGCCGGTGTTAACAGGTGACAAGGTCATGCAGGATGACAGCTTCACCTGTGACCTCTTCCGGTTTCTACAACTTCTGTGCGAGGGCCACAACTCTGGTAATGCTTCACTGTGACAGTGCTGCCCCTTACGAAGTGCTGCCCCTTACCAAGTGCTGCCCTGTACCAAGTGCTGCCCTGTACCAAGTGCCGCCCCGTACCAAGTGCTGCCCCTTACCAAGTGCTGCCCTGTACCAAGTGCTGCCCCGTACCAAGTGCTGCCCCGTACCAAGTGCTGCTCCGTACCAAGTGCTGCCCCGTACCAAGTGCTGCCCCTTACCAAGTGCTGCCCCTTACGAAGTGCCATCCCTTACGAAGTGCCGCCCCTTACGAAGTGGTTTGGTTTCACGACAAATAAACTTCGTTCACGCGAGCCGCGTGTCTCGCCGATCTAGTGAGCGGTCCGCAATCGGAAAGGTCGTGAGTTCAAATACCGGTTGGGGGGTTCCCTCGGCCCATCATCAATCTGGGGTTGATAAAATAAATGCCGCTTTACCGGGGAAGTAAACAGTGATTGTTGTATGGATAGACTCACCCCAGCCTTTGTAATGTGGAATTTCTACCATTCGCTCAGGGCTGCAAATGGGATGATGAGCACCACCTCCATGCTCATTTGAGCAAGAAATAACTTTAACTTTTATTGATTTCCACGAGGGATGGCACGATTCAACCCCCTGACAATTTAGCGAAGACTGATTCAGACATCTCTCACATGTACGTTGTATTTCCTTCGCACCGTACGTAGCCAACCGTGCTAATCAAGGTTACCAATGTCAAACGCCTTCGGGAGCGTTGAATATTCCGACCTGTCGACGCACCACGCAGACTTCCAGGACTACCTGCGGACCCAAGTCGGCAACAACACAACGGTCAACATTGTCATCGCCACTGTGGACTACCTGCTGAGGTTGCAGGTAAGCCCGTTGCGATTGGTTGGTTGCACCGTCTTCGCCCCGATACGTACAACCGCAAACTCTCCGCGTTGCGAGGATGATCCGGAAAGTAGGATTTGCACCCCCCGAATCTTGGGGTAATTTTGAAAAAACAGTCCCGTTTTATAATCGGGGAGAATACAATTGCTTTCAGAGAGTTATCGTCCAGGAGATGATTATGAACGTGCCGATTTAAACCGGGGAGCAGTGCCTTCGAGGGGAGGACGATTTCCGTACAGCTGGTGGAGTCTCCTGTCCTCGTGGTGGTGATGTATTGCTCGTAGAGAACCGTCTTCCCGAAGATAATTTCGAGCAACTAGACTCAAACACGTCGTGCAAGGAGAACAAATTTAGTCTCCACGTTATAATACGACGCACCCCCAAACTTACGCTCTGAAATACAGGAAGCGATGGGGGGGGGGGGATTGTGCGTTGTATAACCAGGAGAATATGGTCGTTCTACGCTCGGTGGCACTGTGGATCAGGACGATGAAGCCACTTCGTTGAGCTATCATTTGTGATAGCCAGGTCACTTACTGAAGAAGAAGAAGAAGAATAAGCGAATAAGCTCAGTGGTCTTTACCTGGTAACAGAAACCAAAATCCATGAATCTGGCTCAGGGCCAAGTAGGCCCAGGGCGGGCGTGGCTCTGCGATGTCAGCGGCACGGTTCGGCTTACGCAATGGAAAAAAAAAACAAACACGGCTCCTCAGGACCCACCTCGCCCCCCTGGCTGGCATTGGTATACAGTATGAAACACGTATTAGTGACGAAGGTTGTACATTCCGCAGCGGCAACACATTTACGCTGGTGCTAAACTGCTGCACGGCAGTGTGTGCGGGTGTTGGCGGCTGTGTAGGTCGTGATGGCGGCGCGCGCTGTGTTGCTTCGCTTCATGGCCGTCCGTAAAGGTGTACGCGGAGTGCGCGAGCTCACGTTGGGGTGCGCCAGAGTGTCAGCTCAAAAAGGGCATCTGTATAATAACCGTGGCAAATGACATTACAGGGTCGCCGCATGACACCAGTAGACGTTGACATTACCGATCTGACATTGAGTGGGCTTAATTGGTTTTCGCCCGCACTTTGTTATCCTTCGTAACGTAGCCAGCGTTACGCACAAATGCCATCCCGGCCGCCAGATGTTTTCAGTTTGTACGGTCAGGTGAGTGTGGCAGCCGGTGCAGTAATCCCCCCAGACGAAGGCGCATTTTGTGGACGAACAGTCCCGCGCACTCTGAAGATGTGCGTGCAATCGTCGGTATAATCACAGCGTGACTTTGTTTTTGCTGACTTGTAATCCACGTTTGGTTGTAATCATTTGCCCACCTTGACGATGGAGACATTGGTAAATATTTTTAAAAAATCACGGTGTCAAGACACGCTGAGAATAGCAAACTGGGTGTTCTCCATTGACGCCGGTGACGCTGATGGTGCATTAAAGCTCGTGCATTTGTCTCAGGATAATTGCCTTCAAAATGCCGTCCCATATTTACGATTGGGATGACCATTTGAAACGGTCGCTCTGAGGTTGCTCAATTTGTGGAACTTTCCCTTGTCCTGACTTAAAGCTTTCGCGACTGCAGGAATTCACATTCTTTGGGTCTTTCGGTAAAGTCACGTAGATAGAAAAACAAAAAATAACAATGAAATAATACAAATAAAAATGAAAATAAAGCGAATAAAAAATGATAAAAATATCGCGACGTTTCGATCGCAGCACAAGCAATCGTCTCCTGATGTATATGCGTGACTTATCATGTGGATATGTATAGCGGTCAAATACTCGTAAGCGAACGTTGATTCTAAAAGCGGAGGCAAAAACCGGAGGACCTGGAGAAAAATGCACGTCACCACGAGGAGAGGGCGACACGCAAACTCCAAATATAGAGCAGCAGGCATCAGGGTTGCGGATTGAACCATACGACCTCCTGTATACCAGTCGAGGTAGTTAACATCTCCTAGCCACCGTGGCGAGATGTTAATATGCTGCCAGCTGCACAAAACAAATGCGTGCAGGAGCAGCAGGTAGCGCGTGTAGCTTGATTGCCACAGATGCAGCCATGGGCCAAATAGTAAAAGAATAATAATAATAATCATCACACGTGAATGAATGTAGACGGTGAAGGTTCAGAAAGTGAAAAAAAAACACGATCGTTTGAAGAAAAGTTAGAAACGATTATGTCTACTTCTTGGAACATTGGATTTTGAAAGAAAACAAAAAAAAACCCTTGCAATATTGTTAGCGAATTTCCTCCTTGGTGACGTTAACATTGTTGTTGAGAACAGCGGGAAATGGGAGCAACAGCAGCAAAACAACCCAGGACGACCACTGGTCACTGCTCAGCGCGTGGTGTATTTTTCGCGTTTTTGTCGGCCTGCGTTGACCCGGACACGGACTTGAACCCTGCCAGTTTATGTCCACGGACTGCCAATTGTACCCGCAGAGCGACCACAAAAAACAGCTTTTAAAACGTATAACAGTGGCCGGATGTCGTGTGGGTTAGAGCACTAAAATCACAATCGCAAAGGTCACGGGTTCACTTCTCGGCCAGGGGGTCGATGCAATCCAGCGTCTGTGCGGGCTATCGGTTTGTGCGAAGTCATCCAGCGGTTGTCCTGTGGAGAGCCTGGCTATTGCCATGGGATTTTTAAATGTCCACCACTGGCTCAGGGCTGCCTTGTTTTGCATTTCTGTGGCTGCATGGCCCTGTGGTTGCAGCACTAAATACAACAACAGGAGGCTTGAATGTTATCATCCTGGTCCGTATTAACTCAGAATATCGCCCTTCCAGTGTCAATAAAATGAGTACCCTTTTTAGCGGAGAGTCAAGTAGATGTCCTCGTCTTCGGAGAGACTTGCCACTGCCATGGAAATGTGGAATATCTTACCCTCTGGCTCAGCACTGGAGTTGGCTACGTACGGTGCGAAAGGAGTTCAACATACATGCATACAATGGAGATGCCTACCAAAAGAATGTTGGGTATATCCTCACCGACATAATTAAAGTTTAATTCGAAATCTAAAGATTCTTCATCGCATCGATCGAAATGATTCTTCCACTGCTTGCATAGTGAGTGGAAGAATCTATTCTTCCCCCCCCTCCCCCCATGTTAAATATGACACACACGTCATATCTAAATATGACCTACGCGTTATATGTAACATCTCCTCCGCTGAGTCCTCTCCCCCTCCCTCCCCCCCCCATGTCATTGTCTCCGCAGGAATCCATCAGCGACTTCTATTGGTACTACTCGGGCAAAGAGATCATCGACGACCACGGACGCAGAAACTTCTCCAAGGCGATGGCGGTGGCCAAGCAAGTGTTCAACTCCATCACTGAGTACATCCAGGTGAGCTGCCCTCTCGGCGGGGCAACACTGTCCGAGCGACAATGTTTGTGCAGAACACGGCGACGCACTCGTTTTTACGGTGGATTCGGGAGTAGGGAAGGCCCAGGACCGGTTCAGATATATCTCACTGACTAAACTAAGCAAAAACATTTTCCTGTTACCAGGTAAGACCCGCTGAGCTGTATAGAGCCCTTTTTTCAGAAGCGACCTGGCCACAAATGATAGCTCAACGAAGTGGCTTAATGCATGGAAACTTATAGCAGCCAAATATTCTAAGCGTGTGTTGATTCTAAATGTGGGATTGGAAACAAACGGAGGACCCGGAGAAAAATCCACACGACCGCGGGGGACAGCTTCAAATCTACATCTATAGAAGGGAAATGTTTGATTATGTGTGTCTGTTCAAAATGTTTAGCGTACTTCTCGACATGCAACAAACTTGAAATTTGCCATGTGGGTACTTTCCAGACTGTACACCATGCAGAAAATTATAAAAAATAGACTTTTGTGGTTTTTTGGGGGGAGGGGGCGCAATAATCCTTATATTTTGCACGTCAAGTGAGCTGTGACGTCACATCTGTCATGTGACTCTTGTGCGGAAGCGTGAACGGAGTGTGCCTGCTGATCGCGGGTCAAGTGACGTACAAATGTGTTGCAGGTCCAAGGCGTTCTTCACGCAGCATTGCTTTATTATTTCAGTCGTTTACCGCCGTACGCATCCTGAAAGTTGTGTGTGTCTGCAGCAAGCGCGTCTATGTGTACCTATGGACGCTCGCGCATTTGTGTGTGGGGAGCGGCAGTGTAGTGGTTAGCGCGCTGCGCTACGAACCCGGCGACCCGAGTTCGATTCCCGCTCACGGCCACCACCGGTGATGATTATTTGAACCGGTCCTGGGCCTCCCCTTGGTCGACTCAGCTTCAAACGAGTAACTGGTGTGGTGTGTGAACATCGCCACTGGGGAGACAAAGGCGGCTGGGCGTCGTGAATCCAAGTCCCGGGCGAAGCCGGGTAGTAAAGCTAGTCTAAAATATTGGCAATGTGGAATTTCAGTAGTGCTCGTTGGCAGAGCGGAGGTGGCACTGTGACTTTGAGCCATTATCCAATGGGCTCCATGCCGCCACGATCCTGCTACACTTTGAGAAGCTGCTTTAATCTCGATTGGGGGCACTGGGGTTTGAAACCAAGTGCTCTCGTCGATGCTGGCTCAGTTATTCCTGACACGGGCCAATCAGTCCCCCAAGCCACGTTCCCATTTCAGATTTGAACACGTCAGCACATTTTTTTTTCCGCTTGAATATCTCTCCCCCCTTCCCCAGCGAAGGGGTTCGAGTAAATTAACTGGTTTTCCCATTTACAGACACTCACACCTCTCCTTACGCGCTTGAACCAGCCCTGAACATTCGCGACTGCAGCTCGGATTAATCAATCACACACACATAGGCTCTTAAAAGAGTCATGTATGGAGTTTATGATCCATGTAATGAAGATGGTTGCTGCTGTTGCTAAACTTGAATGCATTGGGCTCTAGCTTATTACAGTGAGGGAAAAAAGCATTTGATCCCCTGCTGATTTTGTACGTTTGCCCACTGACAAAGAAATAATCAGTCTATACTTTTAATAGTAGGTTTATTTGAACAGTGAGAGAGAATAACAACAAAAAAATCCAGAAAAACGCATGTCAAAAATGTTATAAATTGATTTGCATTTTAATGAGGGAAATAAGTATTTGACCCTCTCTCAATCAGAAAGATGTCTGGCTCCCAGGTGTCTTTTATACAGGTAACGAGCTGAGATTAGGAGCACACTCTTAAAGGGAGTGCTCCTAATCTCAGCTTGTTACCTGTATAAAAGACACCTGTCCAAGCAATCAATCAATCAGATTCCAAACGCTCCACCATGGCCAAGACCAAAGAGCTGTCCAAGGATGTCAGGGACAAGATTGTAGACCTACACAATGCTGGAATGGGCTACAAGACCATTGCCAAGCAGCTTGGTGAGAAGGTGACAACAGTTGGTGCGATTATTCGCAAATGTTAGAAACACAAAAGAACTGTCAATCTCCCTCGGCCTGGGGCTCCATGCAAGATCTCACCTCGTGGAGTTGCAATGATCATGAGAACGGTGAGGAATCAGCCCAGAACTACACGGGAGGATCTTGTCAATGATCTCAAGGCAGCTGGGACCGTAGTCACCAAGAAAACAATTGGTAACACACTACGCCGTGAAGGACTGAAATCCTGCAGCGCCCGCAAGGTCCCCCTGCTCAAGAAAGCACATATACATGCCCATCTGAAGTTTGCCAATGAACATCTGAATGATTCAGAGGACAACTGGGTGAAAGTGTTGTGGTCAGATGAGACCAAAAAGGAGCTCTTTGGCATCAACTCAACTCACCGTGTTTGGAGGAGGAGGAATGCTGCCTATGACCCAAGAACACCATCCCCACCGTCAAACATGGAGGTGGAAACATTATGCTTTGGGGGTGTTTTTCTGCTAAGGGGACAGGCCAACTTCACCACATCAAAGGGACGATGGACGGGGCCATGTACCGTCAAATCTTGGGTGAGAGCCTCCTTCCCTCAGCCAGGGCATTGAAAATGTGTCATGGATGGGTATTCCAGCAATGCAATGACCCAAAACACATGGCCAAGGCAAAAAAGGAGTGGCTCAAGAAGAAGCACATTAAGGTCCTGGAGTGGCCTAGCCAGTCTCCAGACCTTAATCCCATAGAAAATCTGTGGAGGGAGCTTAAGGTTCGAGTTGCCAAACGTCAGCCTCGAAACCTGAATGACTTGGAGAAGATCTGCAAAGAGGAGTGGGACAAAATCCCTCCTGAGATGTGTGAAAACCTGGTGGCCAACTACAAGAAACGTCTGACCTCTGTGATTGCCAACAAGGGTTTTGCCACTAAGTCATGTTTTGCAGAGGGGTCAAATACTTATTTCCCTCATTAAAATGAAAATCAATTTATAACTTTTTTGACATGCGTTTTTCTGGATTTTTGTTGTTGTTATTCTGTCTCTCACTGTTCAAATAAACCTACCATTAAAATTATAGACTGATCATTTCTTTGTCAGTGGGCAAACGTACAAAGTCAGCAGGGGATCAAATACTTTTTTCCCTCACTGTATGTGCTCATTTATTTATATATATTTTAGAACCATTAAACATATGCCGTTTAAAAAAGAAATGTGATTTGAAATCTATTCACCATAGTAATGGATCTGTTTTGCACAGACAGGGCTGGTTTTGTTGGTATACTTTAAGGATATATATTTTAAACAAATTGTCTCAGACTATACATTTGTGTATTTACCAACAATAATGATGATGATTATGATACACAGCCTTTTTCGATCCACTGCTTTTATTAATCTGCCCTCGCTTGTTTGAAGGACATTCGATTGAGAGCGAATTTCAGGTGGTGCTTACCCAGTTGATTCAAAAGCCATTGAATTATGGACGGCAATTCAATTTCAGTTTTCAAACCATTTACATTACGCAAGATTTTCTAAATATTCGACAGGAAAAAAATAATTCCCGCCCGGCGTGACGTTGTCTGCTTGTCCGTTTTGTTAACTCTTCGACGGTTATTTAATGCAGCTGTGAAAACTTCATATCCACGCCCACATCGTCCACACGCTTAGTTATCCACATCTTTTTTCTTGTGATACATCCACAGAAGTCCCTTTTCATCGATATTTATTTATCGATGAGCACCCCTTATCTGCGACCATTCCACGGATGAGAGGAGTCGCTCAAGAAGTGGCGGGTGCCAAAAAAGGCTCCTATTTTCCGTAGTTATCCATGGTTTCCCATGCATTTATTAGGAGCATATATTAGAAACAAACACAAGATCCAGGTCCGATTCAGTACAGTACACAAAATCCGTGATCTAATCCCATCTGTGAAGGATGGCAATCTTGACATGCAATATCCTGGAGTCTACAAACTAAGTTGCACTTGTAGTGGGTGTTAAATCGCGAACACAAGGCAGATCTGAAACACGGCAGAACCAATACCTCTGCCGTGGCTGACCATTGCTATAATGCTGTGGGCTCTCATGATATTGTTTTTTTCCGAGACTAAAGTACTCTGCAAACCTTCGGGCTACGATCAAAGGTTTGTTCATGAAGCCATCCAGATATATAAACACAGACATAACTTCAACCGTGAAGATGGATACAAATTGAGCAATCATTGGAAGGATGTTATTAACCAGGTAAAACCGTAACTGCTTTATGGTGTTGCCTTCATTTCCGCATCTCCAGTTTCTTCAGCCTCCCACTCCCAGCCCCGCCCACTTCTCCCCCCCCACCCCCCCCCCCCCGTCAATTTGTCTGCTCATCCTCTAAACGTTCTCGCAGCACCCCCCTCCCCCTACCCCACACAACCCCCCCCACCCTCCCTCCGCTATATCTCCCCCACCCTCTCGTACTTATATGGCCTCTTGTCACAGCAGCCCTTTTGCCCACTTCAGCAATTGTTTCTCGCTGTGGTTGTCCCACCTGATGACGGGCAGCTTGCGTTGCGCCCGAAACGTCACGTGATTTAATTTATTTTATACCTACCACGTGACTTTACCGCCAAAGAGTAAAGAGTATATTAGGAGTGTTTATTCTGGTTAATAGGATCCGTGAACAGCACCCCCAGATGAACACGGATGAGAGAAGCTCCCCCCCCCCCCCCATTTGCAATACTGTTTTGCTGCAGTGTATAATTTTATCTTTTCTCTGATGTGCATTTCTATCATGTAATGTTCAATGATTAATAATAATTATTATGAAATGTATACGATCCATTTATAGACGCCTCCCTGACATAATGAGGAGAAAGTATAGAGAAATCAACATTTTAATTGAAAGGCCTCTACTCATCTCCGAGCCATTCTGCATCCATACAACGATACGGGGAACCGTCACTTTCTCAACGATCAATCGCCCCGTTGAGAAGCGAGCAAGCAAGCAGGCTGGGTAGACATCGGTGGGGCACCTCTAAACGGACCATCACCATGCGTATGTACGCTTCTGTGCGGGGAGCGGTGGTGTAGCGGTTAGCGTGACGCTGCGCTACGAACCTGGCGGCCCAGGTTCGATTCCCGCTCACGGCAAACACCGGTGACGATGATCGGGGCCTCCCCTAGGTCGACTCAGCCTCAAATGAGTACCCGGTGCGATGTGTAGACGTCACCACTGGGGAGACAAAGGCGGCCGGGCGTGGTGCTGGCCACCCACCCCCTCGTGTGCCGTGCCGGCCTTTATAGGTGCTCGCTAACAGCACTTGCCCCAACAGTCTGTTAAGGCTTCACGGGGGGGATCTTTGTCTTTGGTGTATTTCGTGCACTCGGCCCGTTAGACTGAGGCCGATGGCTTTCGAAGGAAGAACGCAGCAACGGTGTTCCTGGTAAATCGTCGCGACATAAACAGTGTGCTCCGATGTGTCCGCTTGCAGTTGTGCGCGCTTGCTCGAGTGAGTGAAAAGAATTGCTGCCCACGTAATCTGGCAATGAGTTGTTAACGGTCGGTAATGGGGCCGGGTTGTAGGCCTGGAATGAGACCATCTGACTAGACCAAAAATTTATTGAGACACTTGAAACGCAATGGCCCACTTAATTTGTGGGTTTGGTTATGTTCCCCCCCCCCCACCCCTCTGCCCGTGGCCTGTTACCCTCACTGCTTCCCCCTCTTACGCTGTTCCCATATTCCCCGCATTTTCTCTCCCGTCTCTAATCCCTCCCCTGGACTCCGATATCCAATTATTTCCGCCCTTTATCATCGTCCTCCTCTCCTTCCCCAGGTTTAGTCTCGTTTATTCCCTTCCCATTCAATCATTCTCTAAATACCCCCTCCCTCCTGCTCCTCACCCTCCATGCCGTCTCTCTTCATCGCTGTCTATCTCCCTCTGTCTGTCTCGCACACGCTGTATTTATCTTTCGATTTGTCTTCATGCCTCACTCGTAAAGTGTGCTTGGGCAGGATACGTTTATTACTGGCTGCTTGCGTGTCTGTAGGGGGTCAGTATATGTCTACCGTCTCACTATCTCTCTATCAGTTTGTGTGGCTCTTACGCTGTCAATGTGTCTGTTACTCACTATTCATTTTCAACTGCCGTGCCGGGACATCAAATTGAACCGGAGACCCTCTGCATTGCAGGTGCGGTGTGTGAACCGTCACACCGCAGCAGCACCGTTACACCGTGGCAACACCAGTATGTTGTGTAATAATAATGGTAAATGAAATGTTGATGATGCTGATCATTACAATGTATTTTTTGGTGTCGCTATGTCCCATTGGCCGATGGTCAAGAAGAACAACGGAGTGGCAGCCAAGGAATGGAACGCGTCCAAGCGTTTCGTCCACCCAGGAGATGGAGCGATGAAATCGGCCCGTGTGTGTGGTTGCTAGGTGGATGAGTAACATCGCAGGATCGTGCGAGGCGTTGGCGATTTTGTGTGAGGCCTTCATCTGGCGGTGAATTGACCATGTATGTTGAACTTCTTTTTCACTGTAGTTAGCCAACCGTGCTAATCGGAGGTGCCGGGGAAAGACAACAAACTAAACACAAGAAGCAGTTCTAAGGGAATGAGTTTTCAATCTAGGTTTGAAAGTGCATAGCTCCAGTGGCTTCCTGATGTCAGAAGGAAGAGCGTTCCAGACGGCCGCAGAAGCGCATCTGAAAGCGCGCGATGCACCATGGCTGATGGTGACGGTGTGTTCCTCCAGTCTGTCCATCCGTGTGTCTCTTTGTCTGTCTCTGCCTTTCCCCATTCCCCTCCCGCAGGGTCCGTGCACAGGAAACCAGAAGAGCCTCGCTCACAGCAGGCTCTGGGATGCCGTCGTGGGCTTCCTGCACATCTTCGCCCACATGCAGATGAAGCTGGCGCAGGTAGCTAGAACCATTCGCACTGCATACAAAAAGAGCCACGTGTCAAAAGTAACAAATACAGATAGTGGTAAAGATTCAGCCCTGCAATTGCTTGCTCATGCCACTGTTGGTGGATGGGCCTCCCATTAGAGGGAGGTCTGCCAGAGCACATCTGTGTAAGGTTGCTTTTGGCCTACTCTTCCACGCTGCCCAGATGTCTTGGAATAGGTGGGAACACCCGAATTTGGCCTTAATTCACCTGCCGCCCGAATAACCGTGGTGTCACCCGTTTATACTGCCCGGGGTACAATAATACTGCACAGTAGCCATCCATGTAAGCTTTCTTGCGTTGAGAGTGCATTCAATAACTCGAAAGGCATTCATATTTCACGTACTAAAAAAAAAAATCAACATTAATGGAAGAAAACGTCTTGCTCCCTTCAAATTGACCTATTTGATTAATTTCCTCTTCTTGTAGCGCGGTAGAGTATCCAAACGCGTGACATCTCGCACACGGCGCTACGAATGTATGTTCATGGAAGCAACGATTCTCGTAGCGTGGTAGAGTATCCAAACGCGGGACAGCTGCTGATGGCCCCGGCTCGTCGAGGGAAAGTGCTTGCGCGATTTCCCACGATCCGCGTTGCGGTCGTCCGCAACCCCCTCCCCCCCACCCCCCACTCGGTGCACGTTGGAGTCTCGAGTCTAAACATTGAGCACATCCCATACCCCCCCCCTCCCCCCACCGGGTCTGCCGGCCGGAGGTGGTGGGGGTGGGGCATCGATCTGCTCACGACCCTGCGAAAAGTTGGCACCAGGAGGGAGAGAGAACTGCTTTTGGGACTGTTAGCAGCAGCTGTAACGTGCAAACAGTTTTGTTATTTCGATTTAAAGCTTTCGTGACTGCAAGGATTCATCTTCTTTGGTTCTTTCGGTAAAGTCACCACGTAGAATGAGAATAAAATAATAAATTGATAAAATAAAATAACACAATAATATTCTCACGACGTTTCGGCCACAACACAAGCGGCCTTCATCAGGTGAAGGGACGAGACTGTCTGGTAGGACAGCACTGGAGTGAAAAAGCCACGCTCAGATCACGACCTTTAAGCTGTGTGAGAAGAAACAAAGCGCCTTGACAAAGGAATTAGCATATAATTTAGCATTGAAATGGCTGAGTGATTAGCTTGTGACTGGTCACATAAATGGCTATGTTAAAGTTAAAGCATACACATCCGCAGAGGCACCCCTTGACAAAGGAATTAGCATAGAATTCCTTTGTCAAGGCGCTTTGTTTCTTCTCACACAGCTTAAAGGTCGTGATCTGAGCGTGGCTCTTTGACTCCAGCGCTGTCCTACCAGACAGTCTCGTCCCCTTCACCTGATGAAGGCCGCTTGTGTTGTGGCCGAAACGTCGTGAGAATATTATTGTGTTATTTTATTTTATCAATTTATTATTTTATTCTCATTCTACGTGACTTTACCGAAAGAACCAAAGAAGAGTTTTGTTGTTGTTCTAGAGCCAACGTAATAACGGCCCACGTGCTTGATTCAAGCATTGCCCTCCGCTAATTACTGTTGGCGGAGCTGAGACAGGAGTTGAAATCCCACGCGTAAATGGTGGCGGTCAGCGGCTATGGAACGCCCGTTGTTGACTTCCCAATAAAGTGCTAATTTGGCCATTGTTTAGATTTATTCATATATATAAAAAATCCTCATGTTTATCCCGATTGTGATGAGACGAAGTATCCGTTCGGGTTTCTCGCAGAGCGGTGCATCCCCTTCGTGTCAGAGAATGGTCCATGGAAGCAGATGTCGCAGAACTACTTCTGAACGCCATTTAATTGACCTCAAGTCCACGTGGTAGAGGGCAGCACTTTTCAACCCCCACTCTGCCACCGAGAGGAATGTTCGACATGTCTACTGGGCTGGGACCATCATCAACTCGCTGCACTAGAGAACCCCAGTTGAATGTCGTTGAATCACAGGGCTCCTGCCTGGATTCAAACTCAGGATCTCGAGCAGTGTGGTAATATTTTTTTATCGAACTCCAGAGGGATGACGAGCTAAGTTACCTCCCTGACCAGGATTTAATTCGCGTAAGCTTCCAATTGCGAGTTGAGCGCTGTGCCCCCCCCAGGAAAAGCCCAACCAGATATTTCAGATATTTCAACCCATCTTCCCGTATATATATGGGATGGCCATACTTTCCCAATGCAGAATCATCGAGCTCGGGCAAATTGTTCACACCAGTCCTGGATTCCTTTCCTCGCTTGCCTGTGCCATCCCACACCTTTGCGCGAAAAGCTGCGCGTGTTACAAAGTCTACGGATTTTCTTTTGGAGATGCAATTTGCATGCGTGACGCAGCTGTGTACAAAAATAGAACAATGTTGTTATTATTTTTATGATTTGGGACTACAAAAAAAAACGAGTGGCACTTTGTAGGAAGTGAACATTCGGTTGTTCTGTGGAGAGACAGGCACACCGTCATGGGAATGTGGAATTTCTGCTCCTGACTCAGAGCCATCAGAGGGCTATGCAACGTTCATTTGATCATGGATTTTTTTTTCTATTTCAAGGCAGGAACGTTCAGTAATTTATGCTCATGCGTCATTAAAACTGCTATGTTAAAGATTTTAATGAGGTTGTGTTTGAAGATGTGCATATTTCAGTACCCTAAAAGCAGCGTTATTTGATAAAAGGGCTCTTGCTGAATTTGATCTGCTTGCGATACGGTCTATTTTTGCTGACTTATTTATGGAAATGAATGAACATGTGGTGATTTTACAAGGCAACTGGACCGATCACTCGTCACCAAGATACTGGCCGTGAAACATTTATGAATGACCTTTGACATCCATCGCCATTGTCGCCAATCATCCATTCGTCATCATTGTCAATGAACGCGGAGAGGCCGATCTGTGAGTGTTTAAATCTGTCTAATGGGAAGCATTTTGATCTTATACGTATGCCTTTTCCTTTAAGGCAGTGGTTCTTAACCTGGGGGGTGGGGTGCCAGACACAGCCAGATTTGTTTTTAGAAGGTAAATAATTGAAACACAACTTAAGGAAGGGCACGTAAGTACAACTACTTTGTTTCATCAAACCTATGTATTCACATAGTAATAGGTTTTACCCTTTTAACTGGCACAAAAACTGACACCTTTATTCAAGGCATCATGTCTGCAATAACCACAACACAAGCAGTCAAAATGCAAACAAAAAAGACAACTCTGATAATAATATGCACTGTCCTTGAATTTGATTAATGAATTGGATTGATTCAAGGACAGTGCATATTATTATCAGAGTTGTCTCTTTTGTTTGCATTTTGAATACATAGACATTATGAGACCTCCTTTGCCAGTAGCAAGATATATATTCCTATATCTTGCTACTGGCAAAGGAGGTCTCATAATGTCTATGTATTCACATTTAAATATATATTTTTTTACAATTGAGAACCAAAGGGGTGCAAGGCTGTAGTAATGGTTAAGAACCACTGCTCTAAGGAATATTTCATAAACATGCATACGGTGTATTCCATGTATCCCAATATCGGTCAGTGTTTCAGCAAAAACAATTCGATTTACACGTCGGCTCTTGGCTATTACATCCGAGCAAACATTTTGGCAATCAAGAAAGCAATTATGGTTTGCTGATGAGCTCCAAAATCACAAATCTGTCAAAAGCGGTGCTGATTTTTTTTCAATGTGCCAAAAAGTTCGTCGACATTTTTAAAGGATTAATATAAATACAAATTTGCCACGTGTGTGTAAAGTGCAAGAATGCAGCACTCCATTCTCTGCCTCCACGGCATAAAAAAGCAACGTTTAATTCATAAGCCTATTAGCCATCCAGACCAATATTATCAATCAGCATTTGTTCATAATATTAGTCTGAAAATCCAATAAATGGGCTGACGGACTAAACAAATACATTTAGCGAATGTGTGTAGACAGCCGGGGCGTTCTGCCCATAGTTGCATTTTTTTAACCCATCCTGGTCGATGGCAACGCGCGATGCGATTGCGCGTTCGTAAAAAGCAGCCAGCGCTCGGTGGAGGTCAGCGAACGCAAAATGAGGCCCTCCGATCGGCCCCCACGAATCCCTTGATTTGCCCGCCACGCACACGGATGACCCGTGACGACGCTGCCGCATCCGTGGCGGTGGCGGACCTTCGCACTCCGAAAGCAGCTCCACCCTCCGGCTCCAGCCTTGCCTTGAAAATGCCTCGCAGTGTTCGGTGGGATGTCGCTGCGGGTGCAGGTTCGCGCACGACAAATGTCTCAGGGCATTTTTTTGCGTCGCTTTTTTCTCTCTCTTTCGTTTCTCCTTTCTTTTCTCCACCCTTCTGTGTTTGGTTCTTTCTCTCTGTGCCAGATTCACGACATTCGGACGGGCTTTCGTATTCATGTAAGGGATACATGCTTGCCCGTTCCGCCCGCCCGCCCGCCCGCCCGCCTGCCTGCCTGTCTGCCTGCCGCTTCTTCCCTCCCCTTACCCTTGACCCGCCTTAATGGAGAGGGTCCCCTACCCCCTTACCTGACCCCGGCACCCCAATCGCACTCTGACGTCAGGAGCCTCTGAAGCGTGCGCCATAAATATCAGACGATTGTTCCCAGGGAGGGCTTTTTTTGCCATTCAAATCCTAGAAAGCTTTTTTTTTTGTTCGCTTCGGTCGCTTGGACGAAATCGTTATTAAATACAGTTTATTTTTGTTACTGCTTGGGAGAAGTCCGCTCGGCCTTTATGATCGGTGCTTTTAAGGCCGGACGAAGAGCATTTATTTTCTCTTCCGTTTCGTTGATTTTTTTGTTAAAATGTTTGTAAGTGCCATTCCGCGCCACCGTCTCAGCTTTTTTGCTGAATACGGTGCGTTAAAAATCTTGGATAGATTGATCTAATGATTGAAATTGTAAAAATAAATTTAAAATAGGGGACATTGCGAGCAACGGACCCTTAAATTTTGATTTAAAGCTTTCGTGACTGCAGTAATTCATATTCTTAGTTCTTTCGGTAAAGTCACGTTGAAGGGAAACAATAAAATAATAAAATATATATAAAACAATAAAAATTCTCACGACGTTTCGACCTTAACACAAACGGCCACCAGGGGCGGAGCCAGGATTTCACCTGATGACGACCGTTTGTGTCATGGTCGAAACGTCGTGAGGATTTTTATTGTTTTATATATATTTTATTATTTTATTGTTTCCCTTCAACGTGACTTTACCGAAAGAACTAAGAATATCAACGGACCCTTGTTCACCGGAGAGATATGACCTCTCACATGTTGTATTTTTCTGATTTATCTGAGAATCAGGTACACGCACCCAACGTGCGTTCAGGCCATTGGCAACCCATTGCATTCGAGTTCAAGTTCAGCGCTGCGATACATATCTCCTGTTATACCGTTGAGAGTCGACCAACATTTATGCTCATTCGATGATCCATCAGAACATTGCACGGCAGGTGAATCACCCCCCCCCCCCCCCCCACCGCCCACACTCCCCACCGCCCTCCCATCCACCCCGTGTGACCGTGACTATCGGCCAAAAAACACGGAACGCGCCATTCAGCAATGCCCGCGCTCCGCTCGTTCACCAGCAACGGCGTCTCGGACATTCACAACATCGTCGCTACCACAGCCCTCGACTTGCCTCAGCAGCAGCAACAGCATCGACGTCCAACGTAGAACGTCGTTAATAATCCGCGCCACGACTCCTCTTGGCCATTTTAAATTGCGAACCCGATTTCGATTGTTTTTAAACGGTCCTGTGACCTACGCTCGCGTAGTGGGGTATGAATGAATTAAGACGCCGCATTAACGTTTTAACGCTACGTCTGATTTCACCCACAAACAGCCTGCTGTCAGCCTGCGGTTTTGGTGCCAATGTTCGGTGCAAATGTTCCCCACTTGTCCTCTCTTTCCTTGCCACCCCCCCCCCCCCAAACCCCCCTCCCCCCCCGGTGATGTTTGGATTTTGCTGCTGATGTTTGGATTTGCAACCGAGCTGGCCAGGAGCCTTGTGTCGTGCCTCACAATAGCCCCCGTGCCTTGTCAGTGTGACTTGACAGTGTGCAGTCAGTGTGACTTGACTCTGCAGTTTTTCTTCACTCACACTTTGCCCTTCACTAACCGGCGTCCGAGGTTAATTTTAGCACGGCGCTTCCAAACGCTCTGTCTGCCTGCCTCCCTCAATGGTGGGGTGGGGGGGGAAGGCCCTCTTCCCAATCTACGGACGAGTTCCGCGTGCTAATTACCGAACGCCTCCATCATCGTCGTACTGGTTGTCCAATGGATGGACCTGCCCGCCGCCATATGAATGTGGAATTTACACCATTGGCTGATGGCCGTAAGGAGGATACAGGCGCTGCTGCCTCCGTGCTCGTTTGAGCGGGGGAAAGCACTTTCACTTTCGCCGCCACGATCATCGGTCATGTGAGCGGGGAGGATAGTCGATACTTTTTTTTTCCCCCCGCGACCATGAAGGATTGGTTCCAAGGTAGCGGAACGCGGCACAGACAGACGGCAGTCCCTTCCCTCCCTAGTTTCCCGCCACCAGGGGCGGAGCCAGGATTTCAGGCCGGGGTGACATTCAACAAATTTTAATTTCAAGAATGATTTAGAGAGTCAGGCTGTTGAACTAGACGCCATCGGTTGGCGACGCACTCTGACAATGCAGTTGCAGGGAGTCCGCCAGACCGAGTGTCGTACACTTATACGCAGAATGTCACCCCTGTCACCCCCCCCGGCTCCGCCCCTGCTCACCACTGTCGCACATTTTTTTTTCCACGGTGGCGGATGAGCTTTCTGATACCGTTAATTGGAATAGAAGTCATGGTTTTTTTTGTTACTCTGTAACCACATTTTCGACCGCAGTAATTACCACTTCAATTGGCTTCCAGATCTCCATGCGCAGAGATAGCGCCTTTGAAACTGTAATCGTCTTTAGGTACGCGTCGGGGAGCATTAATTGCATGTGTAAACAGCAGAGGGGAGACTCTCGCAAGAATAAAATATCAAAGAACACATGTCACTGTGGCCCAGTGTTTTTGAAGGCACTGCAATTGCTGATTATAATTACACTTCTTATTATCCCGTATGGCTGATGTAGATGCAGAAGAACAACTACACAATTTCACGATAATTACACTGCACCGTCACCATCTCTGCCCGTCACGTATCCCCCCTGACCAATTAACCACCCCCGGCCCAAGTGCAGTGTTTGCGCCCGGTGTGACTCTCGTTTTCCCTGGGTCTTCACAAAACCGACCATTTCACACGCAGCCATGCGCTCTTAATCTCACGTGGATGTGCCAATTTATAAAGCGCACTGAAGCATTTCCCCACGTTTGAAGCAGCTTGCACTTTGTGTTCGTCCGGTAAACCAAATTCGTGCCTGACGACGGTGTAACCGCCATTTGATATAGACGTCCGCATGTCCGACCACTTCACATATCCGCCTGCTCCTCAGTCCCCAGGGACTCGGATACGCAACGTTGTATTGTACTTTCCGTTGCGCTGGCCAAGGTTGAGAGGTCATGACGTCGAAGCGACCAACGTCCCCGCCATCCCTTCCTTCCTCTTGCTCAATTCCTTCCATGTTGCACATCCGACGTCCGACCGCCGAGCGTCTCGCAGTGTCTCACCATCTGGCATTAGCAATTCCCCCTGGATTGTCGATCTCCGGGTGCCCCTCCAACGATTGTTCGGATCGAGCGGGGGGGACATTGATTGTTAACGTCGAAGAGAGTGGCTGATGAGGAGGCGCGCAGGCTGGCATTTTTTAGGAGCCGTGTCGAGCGTTTGCACAAAATAGAATCTAGCGGCAATGACAGTAACACGCACGACGCAGAATTAACGACGTCCCTCTTTCAGGGTTAATTTCACGACCGCAAATTTTAATTGCTTAACCGGTTGAGTTCAACGTCGTGGGTAAGTGGTTGTGTGTTTCATGGCGGTTGAATGAAAAAAAAACCCTAAAAAGTTAACGCTGGCCATTATGTGAAGAAATGTGTTAATAAAGAGCACTGAATGAATGCAGTGAATCAATGAATCGATGTTGAACGTTGTGAACGGACACTCACTGATGTCGTTTCCTTTGCCCAGTGTCTGGTTTGACACACACCGGAGCTTCGGGGTTGGGTAGGAGGTGTGCAGCTCGGGGCCTCGGATTCTGTGTAGGGGGGGTGCCCGCCAAACGTAGACAAATCACCCGCTCTGCAATGGTCAAAACACTGGACTCTAACATCGTGCCGAATCTTGACGCGTAATTCGGTAATCGAAGCCACGGCGTCACTGTGTGTACTATCGAATATGAACACGATGTATGTTGGGTTTTAATCGGTGTAGAGCAGAGGGTGGTGGGTGACCGCAATGAGAAGGAGATCCATTTTTTTTTTAATGTCAAATTCGGTAATAAAAAAAAACCTGAATAATTCAAAAGCCACAGTGCAAGTGGTGGATACGGGACGGTGGGTCCTTAATGAATAACTGTCACGAAGCAGCAGTCCTTAAAGAGCCATCGCATGCGGATCCGGAGGGGCAGGTTTGCCGACCGCTGGTGTAGAGTATGCCATCATCGCAAAAAACGTACTATTGTATTGCGTTACCTTCTATATTCCACTGTCGACATATTCCCAGATCATGAGGACACCGTGCGGATGTTTGCGTAACAACTAAAACTTATTTTTATTTTACCAGTTGAGGCCCACTCGAGCGATATAGCTCATTTTCACAAGCAACCTCGCCACACAAATGATAGCTCAACGAAGCGGCTTATCATCACGTGGAAAATTATAGCAGCTGAATACTCTAAACGCGTGATGTTGATTCTAAATGTGGAGGGGAAAAATGGAGGACCCGGAGAAAAATTCACACGACCACGAGGAGAGAGACACGCAAACTCCAAATATACAACAGGCATCAGAGTGGGGATCGAACCCACGACCTCCTGTATACCAGGCGAGGTCATTGACATCTCGCCACCGTGGCACAAAGATAATCATTGGCGTCACAATAACAAAACAATTCAGCGGACAGTTGCCCTTCTTCGCATATATCTGCCCCTCGAAGTAAACAAATGAATAAAAGCGTGCCGTTTGCACATCTCGTTACCGTCCGCTTATTTACGTGCAAAAGGTAGACGGACGAATGGTTCGCTTGTCCCGCGACCACATGCGGGCCTGTGTGCTTGCGCTACGACTCTTGCAGGACTCGGCGCAAATTGAGTTGCTGAAGCAGCTGCTGGACCTGCAGAAGGACATGATTGTCATGCTGCTGTCCATGCTGGAAGGTTGGTTGGGTTTTTTTTGTCGTTGTCGTTCATGGGTCTTGACAGGAGAGAGCCGTGTGTTTTAAAGACGTAGTTTTTCACGAGCGTTTTTATTTTAGCATAACCACCCTTGATTATTGGGGACAAGGGTTGTTTTGGGGGTATCCTGGTGCCCTTTCCACCATAGGAATGTAACGTTTCCATCAGTAACCCAGAGCCAAGACTCTTGAGCAAACAGACTGATCTCTTGGTTCTTGTTTGTATTTTGTTGAAGATAAGTTGCACATATACTTCGGTTAATTTTACACGTTGGCATTTATATTTTTTTACTCAACTGCATTCTGCTCATTCTGCTGAACTTGAGATCATTTTACAGTCATTGCAGTGTCATTTTCAATCGTAAATGTGAGACCCGCTCCATCCATTCTCAGTCTGCGAATCGATTAATGCCTCCCCAATACCTCCTCGGTCATCGGAGCTTTTGACCATACTTCATCACGCTGGTCAGTGCTGGTTGGTGGAGGAGGAAGGTGGGACTGATTCTGAAATCACTTGCCACGGATGATAGCCGTGGCCCGGAATTTAACTCAAGTTACCGGGTTTGTAGCACAGCATTGTACCAATTCTCATGATAATTAGTTTTGTTTTTACGCCATTTCTTGGTGTAAATGTGTTTGTTCTTTTCTAATTTACGAGGGTTTGTTTGCTTGATAATTGCTATCGAGATGATTTAGCCCTTAGTGTAATCGTACAAATAATTATTGTACAGCGTTTTGAGATGCAATTGGCATGAATGACGCTATATAATAGTGACGTATTATTATCATACAAATAATGAATATTTAAATTCAACCATTATCGACAATACAGTAGTATACAACCCAAAAGAGTATGAATCGCTAAAAATAAATAACCAATATCTCCATCACATATTTGTCTCCAGGTAAAAGTTATTTTCACGAGTTATTGATTCAAGACGAGAAAAATTTCATTATCCCCAAAGGGGTCGATAAAATCGGGACCAAGTTGTGTAGAAGTCAAGTTAACCTCACCCCACCCTTCACCCCTCCCACCCCTCAAACGTTCGCTTTGCGTTCAGGCAACGTCGTCAACGGGATGATCGGCAAGCAGATGGTGGACATGCTGGTCGAGTCGTCCAACAACGTCGAGATGATCATCAAGTTCTTCGACATGTTCCTGCGCCTCAAGGAGATCGTCTCCTCGGACGCCTTCCGCGACTATGACCCCGAGCGGAAGGGGCGCATCTCCAAGCGCGACTTCCAGAAGGCCATGGACTGCCAGAAGGCCTACAGCCCCTCGGAGGTCCGCTTCCTGCTGTCGTGCGGCGAGATCGACGAGAACGAGATGCTCGACTACGAGGAGTTTGCCGATCGCTTCCACGAGCCGGCCAAGGACATCGGCTTCAACCTCGCCGTGCTGCTCACCAGCCTCTCAGAGCACATGCCCAACGACGTGCGCCTTCACAACTTCCTGGAGAAGTCGGAGAGCCTGCTCAACTACTTCACGCCCTACCTGGGCCGCATTGAGATCCTCGGCAGTGGCAAGCGCATCGAGCGGGTGTACTTCGAGATCTCGGAGTCGAGCCGCAACCAGTGGGAGATGCCCCAGGTGAAGGAGTCGAAGCGGCAGTTCATCTTCGACGTGGTGAACGAGGGCGGCGAGAAGGAGAAGATGGAAATGTTCGTCAACTTCTGCGAGGACACCATCTTCGAGATGCAGATCGCGGCCGACATCTCGGAGCAGGACGAGGAGGACGGCGAGGAGGCGGAGGGCGAGGAGGCGGAGAAGGAGAGCGTGGACGGGGAGATGGAAGACCACGGCATCTTCTCCCTGGGCTTCTTCAGGTCGGCGGCGGGCACCGCCGTGGGGCACGTCTTGACTGCGCTGTGGATCGTCTCACCCTGGAACATCAAGCGGCAGCTGAGGAAGCTGATGAAGATGACCTTCAGGGAGATGGGCTCGTCGGTCGCCGCATTCTCCACCGCCTCCGCCGTGACCCTCTTCAGCGTCCTCTACAGCGTGGGGCACGGCTTCGTCCGCATCGTCACGGGCAGCGTCTTCGGCGACAACCTCGTCGAGGGCGTCAAGAAGATGACCGTGACGGACATCTTGGCCGGCATGCCCGACCCGACGCAGGACGACGTGCGCCGGGAGGCGGCCGAGGTGGAGCAGAACGAGGAGGAGGAGGAGGAGGCCACGCAGGACCTCATGGACCTGACGGCGGCCGACGACCAGGCCGACCTGTCGGCGGACATCTTCAACGTGGACCTGAAGAAGGAGTCCGGGCTGGGGGCGGGCGACGCCGCCGAGTCGGCCTCCGGCAGCGCGAGCGCGTCGCCCGCCGACATCATGAAGACGTTCAAGGTGAAGGGAGCGCGGGGTTGAGTCGTAGCGGCTGACGGGTGGCTGAAGGTGATGGATGACGATTGATGATGATTGTTGATCATGGTGACCGATGATGATTGATGACGATGGATGATGATGATGGTGATTAAAAATGATTGTTGATTATAATGATTGATGATGATTGAAGTTGATCATTGAAGTTGATGAGTGAAGATGATGGATGATGATTGATGATGATTGTTGATCATGTTGATCGATGATGATTGAAAATGATTGTTGATCATAATGATTGATGATTGAAGTCGATGATTGAAGATGATGGAGGATGATTGATGATGATTATTGATCATAACTATTGATAATGACTGAAGATGGTGGATTATTGATGATGATTTATGATCATAATGATTGTTGATGGACGATGATAAAAGATGATTGAAGATGATTGATTGACCCGCCCATACTGGACATCTCTGAAAAATAGTTCAAAAGCTCATTGGATTCTTCCATTCTAAATGCAGATTCTGATTCTCATGATTGATGATGATGGATGACTGATGATGATGATGATGACCATCGTGTTAGTGTCAAGAGCAGCGAGCTGCACTGAACCGAGGTAATAGGCTCACTTGACCCCATGCTGTAATGCGACGAAGGGCAACCTCGTTACTGCAGCACACGGGATGAGAGGTCGCTTGAAGAGGTCTCGGAAGCAGTTCTGTGACGTCTCCTTCCGCAGACCGTTCGCTAACACGGGGGGGGCGATGCGCCACTGTGTGAGAGTTCCCAGTGGACTGAAATTCGGGGCGAAACATTTCACGAGCTTTGTATTTACGCGTCCGTGTATGTGCGTGTACGTGCGTGTACGTGCGTGTACCTGTGTGTACGTGCGTGTATGTGTGCGTGTACGTGCACGTACGTGTGCGTGGGGCCAACTGCCTTTAGCGCGAGTGCACGTAGCGGTTTGTGTTCGAGCGGTCGCTCGCTAAGCGTCGGATTTCACTCTCTCGCTGTCCCCTCTTCACAAGGCGGCGAAGAAGGCGCGCACCCTGGAGCCCAGCGTGGAGCCCGAGAAGGCAGAGTAAGGATTCTCTCTCTCATCCCTCGACTAAATCATCGACACGTCACCCGTGTATAGACCCCCACACGTCACCTGTGTATAGACCCCCACATGTCACCTGTGTATAGACCCCACACGTCACCTGTGTATAGACCCCCACACATCACCTGTGTATAGACCCCCACACATCACCTGTGTATAGACCCCACACGTCACCTGTGTATAGACCCCCACACGTCACCTGTGTATAGACCCCACACGTCACCTGTGTATAGACCCCACACGTCACCTGTGTATAGACCCCACACGTCACCTGTGTATAGACCCCACACGTCACCTGTGTATAGACCCCACACGTCACCTGTGTATAGACCCCACACGTCACCTGTGTATAGACCCCACACGTCACCCGTGTATAGACCCCCACACGTCACCTGTGTATAGACCCCACACGTCACCCGTGTATAGACCCCACATGTCCCTGTGTATAGACCCCACACGTCACCTGTGTGTAGACCCCCACACGTCACCTGTGTATAGACCCCACATGTCACCCATGTATAGACCCCACACGTCACCTGTGAATAGACCCCACACGTCACCTGTGAATAGACCCCACACGTCACCTGTGTATAGACCCCACACGTCACCTGTGAATAGACCCCCACACGTCACCCGTGTATAGACCCCACACGTCACCCGTGTATAGACCCCACATGTCACCCATGTATAGACCCCCACACGTCACCTGTGTATAGACACCACACGTCACCTGTGTATAGACCCCACACGTCACCTGTGTATAGACCCCACACGTCACCTGTGTAAAGACCCCCACACGTCACCCGTGTATAGACCCCACATGTCACCCATGTATAGACCCCACACGTCACCTGTGAATAGACCCCCACACGTCACCCCTGTATAGACCCCACACGTCACCTGTGTATAGACCCCACACGTCACCTGTGTATAGACCCCCACACGTCACCTGTGTATAGACCCCACACGTCACCTGTGTATAGACCCCACACATCACCTGTGTATAGACCCCACACGTCACCCGTGCATAGACCCCACACGTCACCTGTGTATAGACCCCACACGTCACCTGTGTATAGACCCCACACGTCACCTGTGTATAGACCCCACACGTCACCTGTGTATAGACCCCACACGTCACCTGTGTATAGACCCCACACGTCACCCGTGTATAGACCCCCACACGTCACCTGTGTATAGACCCCACACGTCACCCGTGTATAGACCCCACATGTCCCTGTGTATAGACCCCACACGTCACCTGTGTGTAGACCCCCACACGTCACCTGTGTATAGACCCCACATGTCACCCATGTATAGACCCCACACGTCACCTGTGAATAGACCCCACACGTCACCTGTGAATAGACCCCACACGTCACCTGTGTATAGACCCCACACGTCACCTGTGTATAGACCCCCACACGTCACCCGTGTATAGACCCCACACGTCACCCGTGTATAGACCCCACATGTCACCCATGTATAGACCCCCACACGTCACCTGTGTATAGACACCACACGTCACCTGTGTATAGACCCCACACGTCACCTGTGTATAGACCCCACACGTCACCTGTGTAAAGACCCCCACACGTCACCCGTGTATAGACCCCACATGTCACCCATGTATAGACCCCACACGTCACCTGTGAATAGACCCCCACACGTCACCCCTGTATAGACCCCACACGTCATCTGTGTATAGACCCCACACGTCACCTGTGTATAGACCCCCACACGTCACCTGTGTATAGACCCCACACGTCACCTGTGTATAGACCCCACACATCACCTGTGTATAGACCCCACACGTCACCCGTGCATAGACCCCACACGTCACCTGTGTATAGACCCCCACACGTCACCTGTGTATAGACCCCACACGTCACCTGTGTATAGACCCCCACACGCCACCTGTGTATAGACCCCCACACGTCACCCGTGTATAGACCCCCACACGTCACCTGTGTATAGACCCCCACACGTCACCTGTGTATAGACCCCACACATCACCTGTGTATAGACCCCACACGTCACCCGTGCATAGACCCCACACGTCACCCGTGCATAGACCCCACACGTCACCTGTGTATAGACCCCACACATCACCTGTGTATAGACCCCACACGTCACCCGTGCATAGACCCCACACGTCACCTGTGTATAGACCCCACACGTCACCTGTGTATAGACCCCCACACGCCACCTGTGTATAGACCCCCACACGTCACCTGTGTATAGACCCCCACACGTCACCCGTGTATAGACTCCCACACGTCACCTGTGTATAGACGCCTACACGTCACCCATGTATAGACCCCCACACGTCACCCGTGTATAGACCCCCACACGTCACCTGTGTATAGACCCCCACACGTCACCTGTGTATAGACCCCACACATCACCTGTGTATAGACCCCACACGTCACCCGTGCATAGACCCCACACGTCACCTGTGTATAGCCCCCACACGTCACCTGTGTATAAACCCCACACGTCACCTGTGTATAGACCCCCACACGCCACCTGTGTATAGACCCCCACACTTCACCTGTGTATAGACCCCCACACGTCACCCGTGTATAGACTCTCACACGTCACCTGTGTATAGACCCCTACACGTCACCCGTGTATAGACCCCCACACGTCACCTGTGTATAGACCCCCACATGTCACCCATGTATAGACCCCACACATCATCTGTGTATAGACCCCACACGTCATCTGTGTATAGACCCCCACACGTCACCTGTGTATAGACCCCCACACGTCACCTGTGTATAGACCCCACACGTCACCTGTGTATAGACCCCACACGTCACCTGTGTATAGACCCCACACGTCACCTGTGTATAGACCCCCACACGTCACCTGTGTATAGACCCCACACGTCACCTGTGTATAGACCCCACACGTCACCCGTGTATAGACCCCACACGTCACCTGTGTATAGACCCCCACACGTCACCTGTGTATAGACCCCACACGTCACCTGTGTATAGATCCCACACGTCACCTGTGTATAGACCCCCACACGTCACCTGTGTATAGACCCCACACGTCACCTGTGTATAGACCCCACACGTCACCCTGTGTATAGACCCCACACGTCACCTGTGTATAGACCCCACACGTCACCTGTGTATAGACCCCACACGTCACCTGTGTATAGACCCCCACACGTCACCTGTGTATAGACCCCACACGTCACCTGTGTATAAGGACCCCACACGTCACCTGTGTATAGACCCCCACACGTCACCTGTGTATAGATCCCACACGTCACCTGTGTATAGACCCCCACACGTCACCCTGTGTATAGACCCCACACGTCACCTGTGTATAGACCCCCACACGTCACCTGTGTATAGACCCCCACACTTCACCCGTTATAGACCCCACACGTCACCCATTGTATAGACCCCACACGTCACCTGTGTATAGACCCCACACGTCACCTGTGTATAGACCCCACACGTCACCTGTGTATAGACCCCCACACGTCACCTGTGTATAGGCCCCCACACGTCACCTGTGTATAGACCCCACACGTCACCTGTGTATAGACCCCACACGTCACCGTGTATAGACCCTACACGTCACCTGTGTATAGACCCCCACACGTCACCCGTGTATAGACCCCCACACGTCACCTGTGTATAGACCCCCACACGTCACCTGTGTATAGATCCCACACGTCATCTGTGTTTAGACCCCTACACGTCACCTGTGTATCTACCCCACACGTCACCTGTGTATAGACCCCACACGTCACCTGTGTATAGACCCCACACGTCACCCGTGTATAGACCCCACACGTCACCTGTGTATAGACCCCACACGTCACCTGTGTATAGACCCCACACGTCACCTGTGTATAGACCCCACACGTCACCTGTGTATAGACCCCACATGTCACCTGTGTATAGACCCCACACGTCACATGTGTATAGACCCCACACGTCACCCGTGTATAGACCCCACACGTCACCAAGTATAGAACCCACACGTCACCTGTGTAAGACCCCCACACGTCACCTGTGTATAGACCCCACACGTCACCTGTGTATAGACCCCCACACGTCACCTGTGTATAGACCCCACACGTCACCTGTGTAAGACCCCACACGTCACCCGTGTATAGACCCCACACGTCACCTGTGTATAGACCCCACACATCACCTGTGTTATAGACCCCACACGTCACCTGTGTATAGACCCCCACACGTCACCTGTGTATAGACCCCACACGTCACCTGTGTATAGACCCCACACGTCACCTGTGTATAGACCCCCACACGTCACCTGTGTATAGACCCCCACACGTCACCTGTGTATAGACCCCACACGTCACCTGTGTATAGACCCCACACGTCACCTGTGTATAGACCCCACACGTCACCTGTGTATAGACCCCACACGTCACCTGTGTAAAGACCCCACACATCACCTGTGTATAGACCCCACACGTCACATGTGTATAGACCCCACACGTCACCTGTGTATAGACCCCACACGTCACCTGTGTATAGACCCCACACGTCACCTGTGTATAGACCCCACACGTCACCCTGTGTATAGACCCCACACGTCACCTGTGTAAAGACCCCCACACGTCACCTGTGTATAGACCCCACACGTCACCTGTGTATAGACCCCACACGTCACCTGTGTATAGACCCCACACGTCACCTGTGTATAGACCCCACACGTCACATGTGTATAGACCCCACACGTCACCTGTGTATAGACCCCACACGTCACCCATGTATAGAACCCACACGTCACCTGTGTATAAGACCCCACACGTCACCTGTGTATAGACCCCACACGTCACCTGTGTATAGACCCCCACACGTCACCTGTGTATAGACCCCACACGTCACCTGTGTAATAGACCCCACACGTCACCTGTGTATAGACCCCACACGTCACCTGTGTATAGACCCCACACAGTCACCTGTGTATAGACCCCCACACGTCACCTGTGTATAGACCCCACACGTCACCTGTGTATAGACCCCCACACGTCACCTGTGTATAGACCCCACACGTCACCTGTGTATAGACCCCCACACGTCACCTGTGTATAGACCCCACACGTCACCTGTGTATAGACCCCACACGTCACCTGTGTATAGACCCCACACGTCACCTGTGTATAGACCCCACACGTCACCTGTGTATAGACCCCACACGTCACCTGTGTATAGACCCCCACACGTCACCTGTGTATAGACCCCACACGTCACATGTGTATAGACCCCACACGTCACCTGTGTATAGACCCCACACGTCACCTGTGTATAGACCCCCACACGTCACCTGTGTATAGACCCCACACGTCACCTGTGTATAGACCCCACACGTCACCTGTGTATAGACCCCACACGTCACCTGTGTATAGACCCACACATCACCTGTGTATAGACCCCACACGTCACCTGTGTAAAGACCCCCACACGTCACCTGTGTAAAGACCCCCACACATCACCTGTGTATAGACCCCACACGTCACATGTGTATAGACCCCACACGTCACCTGTGTATAGACCCCACACGTCACCTGTGTATAGACCCCCACACGTCACCTGTGTATAGACCCCACACGTCACCCGTGTATAGACCCCACACGTCACCTGTGTATAGACCCCACACGTCACCTGTGTATAGACCCCACACGTCACCTGTGTATAGACCCCACACGTCACCTGTGTATAGACCCCACACGTCACCTGTGTATAGACCCCACACGTCACATGTGTATAGACCCCACACGTCACCCGTGTATAGACCCCACACGTCACCCAAGTATAGAACCCCACACGTCACCTGTGTAAAGACCCCACACGTCACCTGTGTATAGACCCCACACGTCACCTGTGTATAGACCCCCACACGTCACCTGTGTATAGACCCCACACGTCACCTGTGTAAAGACCCCACACGTCACCCGTGTATAGACCCCACACGTCACCTGTGTATAGACCCCACACATCATCTGTGTTTAGACCCCCACACGTCACCTGTGTATAGACCCCACACGTCACCTGTGTATAGACCCCACACGTCACCTGTGTATAGACCCCCCATGTCACCTGTGTATAGACCCCCACACGTCACCTGTGTATAGACCCCACACGTCACCTGTGTATAGACCCCACACGTCACCTGTGTATAGACCCCACACGTCACCTGTGTATAGACCCCACACGTCACCTGTGTATAGACCCCACACGTCACCTGTGTAAAGACCCCCACACGTCACCTGTGTATAGACCCCACACGTCACATGTGTATAGACCCCACACGTCACCTGTGTATAGACCCCACACGTCACCTGTGTATAGACCCCCACACGTCACCTGTGTATAGACCCCACACGTCACCTGTGTATAGACCCCACACGTCACCTGTGTATAGACCCCACACGTCACCTGTGTATAGACCCCACACGTCACCTGTGTATAGACCCCACACGTCACCTGTGTAAAGACCCCCACACGTCACCTGTGTATAGACCCCACACGTCACATGTGTATAGACCCCACACGTCACCTGTGTATAGACCCCACACGTCACCCATGTATAGACCCCACACGTCACCCGTGTATAGACCCCCACACGTCACCCATGTATAGACCCCACACGTCACCCGTGTAAAGACCCCCACACGTCACCTGTGTATAGACCCCACACTTCACCTGTGTATAGACCCCACACGTCACCTGTGTATAGACCCCCACACGTCACCTGTGTATAAACCCCACACGTCACCTGTGTATAGACCCCACACGTCACCTGTGTATAGACCCCACACGTCACCTGTGTATAGACCCCACACGTCACCTGTGTATAGACCCCACACGTCACCCGTGTATAGACCCCACACGTCACCTGTGTATAGACCCCACACGTCACCTGTGTATAGACCCCACACGTCACCTGTGTATAGACCCCACACGTCACCTGTGTATAGACCCCCACACGTCACCTGTGTATAGACCCCACACGTCACCTGTGTATAGACCCCACACGTCACCTGTGTATAGACCCCACACGTCACCTGTGTATAGACCCCACACTGTCACCTGTGTATATACCCCACACGTCACCTGTGTATAGACCCCACACGTCACCTGTGTATAGACCCCCACACGTCACCTGTGTATAGACCCCACACGTCACCTGTGTATAGACCCCACACGTCACCTGTGTAAAGACCCCCACACATCACCTGTGTATAGACCCCACACGTCACATGTGTATAGACCCCACACGTCACCTGTGTATAGACCCCACACGTCACCTGTGTATAGACCCCCACACGTCACCTGTGTATAGACCCCACACGTCACCCTGTGTATAGACCCCACACGTCACCTGTGTATAGACCCCACACGTCACCTGTGTATAGACCCCACACGTCACCTGTGTATAGACCCCACACGTCACCTGTGTATAGACCCCACACGTCACCTGTGTATAGACCCCACACGTCACATGTGTATAGACCCCACACGTCACCCGTGTATAGACCCCACACGTCACCCAAGTATAGAACCCACACGTCACCTGTGTAAAGACCCCACACGTCACCTGTGTATAGACCCCACACGTCACCTGTGTATAGACCCCCACACGTCACCTGTGTATAGACCCCACACGTCACCTGTGTAAAGACCCCACACGTCACCCGTGTATAGACCCCACACGTCACCTGTGTATAGACCCCACACATCATCTGTGTTTAGACCCCCACACGTCACCTGTGTATAGACCCCACACGTCACCTGTGTATAGACCCCACACGTCACCTGTGTATAGACCCCACATGTCACCTGTGTATAGACCCCCACACGTCACCTGTGTATAGACCCCACACGTCACCTGTGTATAGACCCCACACGTCACCTGTGTATAGACCCCACACGTCACCTGTGTATAGACCCCACACGTCACCTGTGTATAGACCCCACACGTCACCTGTGTAAAGACCCCCACACGTCACCTGTGTATAGACCCCACACGTCACATGTGTATAGACCCCACACGTCACCTGTGTATAGACCCCACACGTCACCTGTGTATAGACCCCCACACGTCACCTGTGTATAGACCCCACACGTCACCTGTGTATAGACCCCACACGTCACCTGTGTATAGACCCCACACGTCACCTGTGTATAGACCCCACACGTCACCTGTGTATAGACCCCACACGTCACCTGTGTAAAGACCCCCACACGTCACCTGTGTATAGACCCCACACGTCACATGTGTATAGACCCCACACGTCACCTGTGTATAGACCCCACACGTCACCCATGTATAGACCCCACACGTCACCCGTGTATAGACCCCCACACGTCACCCATGTATAGACCCCACACGTCACCCGTGTAAAGACCCCCACACGTCACCTGTGTATAGACCCCACACTTCACCTGTGTATAGACCCCACACGTCACCTGTGTATAGACCCCCACACGTCACCTGTGTATAAACCCCACACGTCACCTGTGTATAGACCCCACACGTCACCTGTGTATAGACCCCACACGTCACCTGTGTATAGACCCCACACGTCACCTGTGTATAGACCCCACACGTCACCCGTGTATAGACCCCACACGTCACCCGTGTATAGACCCCACACGTCACCTGTGTATAGACCCCACACGTCACTTGTGTATAGACCCCACACGTCTCCTGTGTATAGACCCCACACGTCACCTGTGTAAAGACCCCCACACGTCAACTGTGTATAGACCCCACACGTCACCTGTGTAAAGACCCCACACGTCACCTGTGTATAGACCCCACACGTCACCTGTGTATAGACCGCACACGTCACCTGTGTATAGACCCCACACATCACCTGTGTATAGACCCCACATGTCACCTGTGTATAGACCCCACACATCACCTGTGTATAGACCCCACACGTCACCTGTGTATAGACCCCACACGTCACCCGTGTAAAGACCCCCACACGTCCCCCGTGTTTCGACTCCATGGAGGTCGCCCATCTCCCACCTAGCCAGGCAGGGTATGAAGGCAGTTCAGCAAGTAGATTGATTTCCATCAGTTTTCACCTATACGGGGGGTTGAGTGTCACCCTTGCCTTCCACACCTAAAAACGCTCATCCAGATATAGGAACACAGAACTTGGACAATCGTCGGAGCCGGTTCTGGCCGGCTTCACCGCTTGTCTGCGGTTGGCCGTGACCGTGTGGAAACTTACGAGCGTCATGGCTGCAAACTTCCTTCTCATTTCCGCGGCATTTCGTTTCGAAAGGGAGGAACACAATCAAAAGTAAAAAAAAAAATGTAGGGGATTTGTTTAATTTAAGATGTTCTTGCTCGTCACAGCAAGGAGAACGGCGAGAAGACGGGAGGGGAGGACCAGACGGAGGGGACCCCCAAGAAGAAGAGGCGGCTGAAGCAGCCGAAGAAGGCGGAGGAGACCGAGGAGGAGGAGTCCGTCTTCTGGAAAAACATCACGGCCTACCAGAAGACCTTCGTGGTGAGCTCCTTGTGACCCCAAGTGCTGGGCTGAGGTCAACCTGCCGTGTTTTTTTTTACTATACGGGGAAAAAATGTAAAACGCAAACGGAGCTCTCGCTCTGTGTCTCCGCGTGCTCGTAAACAGACGCATAACAGAGGTTTGTGGGTTAGATCGCGTAAATATAAATGTGTCGATAAACCCGCCACCACCCGACACAGCCAATTAGTAAAGTTTGTCACGTAAACAGAACGTGCCAATTAGTTACTCGTACAGCACGCCGGTGTGTTGGAGAGTAAACCCAAGAACATTTAAAATCTGAGTACGACGTTTTGCCAGCGATCACGACCAGCATCATCAGGCGGACAGGCAGAGTTGTGGAGAGATCCTCCTGCTTCGGTCCTAAAGCAAATGCATTGTGTGACCTTCCTCAGCCCATCGGCTTTTGACACCACCGTTGTATGGGAGATTCTTCGGCAACTGAATTCAATTTGCCGAAGAAGCTCCCCCAGCTTGCGTGCGTGGAGTGAAAACGAATTTTCTGTTCTTCGATTTTGAAGAAGGCACCCAGGTTTTTTTTATTTTTAAAGTGAACATCTCCAGAGAGCCAAATATCCCTCGGACGTGTTTTCCGGTTGTTACCGAGCATTGCCCGGCACGATGTCCAACGCCTCACTTGACAACTGAATTCTCCGAGCACACGGGGCAAAACGTCGGACATCGTTCCCGCCGAATGTGCGGGTAACTACCAGGAAACGCCTCGGAGACCTCCGCGTCGTGGAGGGCATGAGGCAGCACGGGTGATCTGTTTCTTCGCGGGACGCGACCTAAGGAGGAGGGAGCTCTGGAAAGAATGCTTCACAGTTAAGAGGGCGGCCGTGTGCCGACTTGATGGATGGACGAATTTACAAAGCGATGGGCTCGCAGATTAATTAAAAAATATAAATATTCATGAGCTGGCTGGGTGGGTAGGCGATAGATAGATAGATAGTAGCGGGACCCATGGGCATTGCTTGCCGGGTGTTATTTTTGTTGGCGCTGTCAGATTTCCGAACTCGCTTCAGCTTAATTGCTGCCCACGTTCGGGATGCGCGCAGTAATTGTGTCGGTGCACGCGCGAGAGACGAGAGATCCATTCGGAGCTCACCATCGCCGGCGCGGGAGCACTGGGCGCTGGGCGAGAAGCTTCGGAGGCGCCGTGGTTGTTGGCGAACGCGAACAATCCGCACCTTCCCCACCGCGGCGGGATTACCGACGCACGAATGAAACGAGATGCCGACCGCATGGGATCGTCTCTTTAAACTGATCGGTTGCCCCGGGTTACGTTTTGCTTTCCTGCTTTTCGTGCATTGCGCGTTGGGACCCTAGGATGGAATGTGCATTGTAAATTTTAATCATTACAATCAGCGCGCGCAGCGCCGCGATGGTTACGTTCGACTTCGAACGAAGAGGGACAAATTGCGGAAGTGGGAATGCAAAAATTAGAGATGAATAGATGAGGAATGTGGAATGAGGGGTTGGTGTACCCCGTCTCAGACATGAGACAGAAAGGCGGCTCAGACAGCTAGGGGGGGGGCGGGGGTGGGGTGGGGCGACACGCGCTCCGTGAGACGAGAGAAATCCCACATGGGAAGAGGAAGGGTGCGATGCGGAAGGGACGCACCAGGGGTGGAGAACTAGAGGCAGACCTTGATAGAGGTGGCTCGAAGTGGTGAGCCGCCGGGCTGTGAAGGACTGTGCGGGGGAGTGGATGTGAACAACGTGGAGAGTGTGTGTACGTTGAACTTCTTTCGCGCCGTACGTAGCCAACCGTGCTAATCGGAGGTGCTGGGGGGGAGAAGGACGGCAATGAATGAGTGGAGAGGTGTGGGCAGCTCACGAGCCCTTAGTAACGTCACGGTGGTGGGGTGAACAAAATGGTACGGGTGCGATGGAATTATAGAAGGCGCCGTGTGAACGAGATGGGGGACCAAAGACAGGTGAAAACATTCGTTGTCGAGTTTAATTGAGGCCCTAAAATTGTGACGGATCTTGCAATCTCCAGAGAGTGAATCTTTACATACCTGATTAAAAAATGCATATCCATTATGCCCAGATGCGTACGTACGCGTGTTTGATGTTTAGTGGGTGAGAATACTAATTTGTTGAATTATCTTTCAATCCCTGTTGAGCGTGTAATTTGCATGGAGCGGTTGAGTACAAATTAACGGGAGGGTGTTTACGGCCGTGTCTCTGTCTCTCTCTATGCGCGACGAATGAATAAAAATCAATTTAGGCAACAACAAAAAAACCCACCCACTTTTCCTTCTCTCGCTAAATTCGACTTGAAAACCGCAAAAGAACCGTGATCGGGGAGGCCTCTTGAGCGGAAGCAACAGCGAGAGTGGTGGCAAGCAAGCGGCGGCACTGCTCAATGTGCCCGCACTCCCGTCTCATCTCCCGCCTTGCCCCGAGAACCAATTTACACTGGGGGAGGACCGCAAGAGGCGGAGGGGATGGTAGGGTGAGCAACAACAGGAGCATTGAAATGTGCGTTGTTGTTTGCGAAAATGGAAGGGGCCAGAAAGGGAGGAAGACCTCGCAGAGAATTGCTTGACGACGGCGAGGACATCATAAGAGATCGGCGCCAGAACGACGCGGCCACTGCTGGAGAATATTGGCACAAGACGGAGGAAAGTGGAAACAAATGGCAAAATGTTGCGGTGGAGACCTACGGGGCGATTTGCCCATGGGTCGTGATGATGAAGGTGGGGGGGGGGGGGGGGGGGAGCAAGGCCGGTTGGGATTTCACTCGCCACCAATGTTAGCCGTGACCAGGGGATCGAACTCAGGTCGCCGGTTTTGTAGCGCGGTGCGCTAACCACTGTGCCACCCCTCGGGAACATGACAATCGCAGGGGTTTAATTACGTGCGTATTATTATCGTACGTAATTGATGTACAGAATTGTACTTAATATGGTAGTTAATTTTCGTAATTATATCAGCTCATTGTAAGGTTCGGTTTATAGTTGTTCGCTCAAATATAATGGGTTTTTACGCGGTGGTTAGGCTTTGTTAACATTATTTAATTGCGAATAAACATTGTGTGTGCTTTCAATATCTCCGAACCTCTTCAAAGCCTCATAATTGACGTACCACTTTTAATCTTGTAAATGTTAAAGCACGCACGCACACACACACACGCCACGTGCTCTACACTGTGTGTCTTTGTTGTTTGTTTCTTTTCCAGAATTCGTTGGCTCGGAATTTCTACAACCTCAGGATGCTGGCCCTGTTCGTCGCGTTTGCAATCAACTTTATTCTTCTCTTCTACAAGGCAAGATGCCACCATCATCATCATCATCACAATCCGTGATCTGCTTACTCCGCGATGGACAGAAGGGCATCCATTAAAGGGAACTGTACAGAGCACCTCTCGGGCAATATTTGGGCCTACTCTTCAATGCTGGTCAGATAACTCGGAAGAAGAGGGAATATGTAAGGTGTGTTCCTTTGCTGACACGGCTCCTACCCTGTGGAATTATCTCGGTTAGAAACACTTCGTCTGTGCCACTCTCCAGTTTCCCGGGAGAAAAGGTGGGGTCCTGGCTCAAGAAACTTAGCAAACTAAACTCAGGGATTGCCCGACCCTCAACATTTTCAAAACCAACTTAAAACCCCAAACCTGTTTAGCCTGGCATTCACTGACGAAAACGAAACATTCTCAAACGCACGTTTGTAATGTAACCTGGTTACACTTCTCAGCGTGCATGTACGAATGCTGAACTTCCTTCGCACAGTACATAGCCAACCGTGCTGATCGAGTGCATGCTTGTAACGTTTTAACGGAGGACGAGAATGTTACGTCGAAGGGCGCCTTGAGAGAAGTGAATTTTGATTGGTTTACGTTCCGCTCGGGCTGCAATCCCCAAAAACAACACAAGCCCAGATCGGCACGGTCGGCCACGTGCGGCGCGAAAGAAGTTCACCGTAGATGTGTGCGTTGCACCTTGTCGCTCGGGCACTAATCCTGAACGCTCCGAACGCCGGTGACTCGCGCGGCCAGGTGACGACCGACCTCAAGGAGATGGCGGAGGAGCTGGAGGAGGCCTCCGGCATCGACCTCGACGAACTGCTGGGCTCGGCCGCCGGCGACGATGACGACGGAGGAGGAGGCAATGGCGGAGGCGGCGGCGGCGACGACGACGACGACGACGACGAGGGCCTCTCCTACTTCATCCTGGAGGAGAGCACGGGATACATGGCCCCGTCGCTCAAGTTCCTCTCCATTGCCCACACGGTGCTCTCCATCCTCTGCATCATCGGATACTACTGCCTCAAGGTGCCCTGGCCTGCTGACGGGGACGGGGGGGGGCGAGCAAAGGGATTCATGGTTGTCCGTTGCATCACGTGCGTGTGTGTGTGCGCGTGTGTGTGTTGTGGGGAGTGGTGGTGTAGTGGCTAGCGCGCCGCACTACGAACCTGGCGAACCGGGTTCGATTCCCGCTCACGGCCAACACCACTGTGATGATTATCTGAACCGGTCCTGGGCCTCCCCTAGGGTGACTCAGCCTCAAATGAGTACCTGGTGCGATGTGTAAACATCGCCACTGGGGAGACAAAAAGTGGCCGGGCGTGGTGTTGGCCACCCACCCCCTCGTGTGCTGTGCTGGCCTTTATAGGTGCTCGCTAACTGCACTCGCCCCAACAGTCTGTAAAAGGCTATATGGGGGATCTTTGTCTTTGTACGTGTGTGTGGGGAGCGGTCGTGTAGTGGCTAGCGCGCTGCGCTACGAACTCGGCGATCCGAGTTCGATACCCACTCACGGCCAACACCAGTCCCAGGCCCCCCCTAGGTTAACTCAGCCTTAAACGTGTGGTGTGTAAACATCGCCACTAGGGAGACAAAGGTGGCCGGGCGTGGTGCTGGCCACCCACCCCTCGTGTGCCGTGCCGGCCTTCATGGATGCTCGATTAATAGCGCTCGCCCCTAAAGACTGTAAACACTCTACGGGGGGAATCTCTGCGGGTGTCAATCTGATTCGCAATTCGTTGTTTGCGTAGGTGCCGTTGGTCGTGTTCAAACGGGAGAAGGAACTGGCCCGGAACCTGGAGTTTGACGGTCTGTACATCACAGAGCAGCCGGACGACGACGACATCAAGGGCCAGTGGGACGGACTCGTCATAAACACCCAGTACGTGCGTGCGCGTGCAAGTCCTCCACGTAATGCGTGCGTCAACGGAGATACCCACACGCACCAGGTGGCCCAGCGGCAGAGCGAGCGGCTCGCAGTCGGAACGTCAAACTTTGCGGTGAAGGAAACCGGTGCTTTGTGGAATTTCTGCCACTTGTCTCAGGGCTGCGTAAACAGGAGATGAGCGACTACTGCATCGGTGCTCATGTGAACGGGAAGTCACTGTCGATTTTGACGATCTGAGGGTTGCTGCGATATCGTGTTTCACGATGCGATACGATTAAAAACTTCCCAATTGCACGATGTGAGTCCAGTTTTACCATGGGAGTCCAGTTTCACCATTGGAAGTCCAGTTTCACCATGGGAAGTCCAGTTGTACCATGGGAAGTCTAGTTTTACTGTGGAAGTCTAGTTTTACCATGGGAAGTCTAGTTTTACTATGGGAGTCCAATTTTACCATGGGAAGTCTAGTTTTACTGTGGAAGTCTAGTTTTACCATGGGAAGTCTAGTTTTACCATGGGAGTCCAGTTTTACCATGGGAAGTGTTTTACCATGGACGTCCAGTTTTACCATGGGAAGTGTTTTACCATGGGAAGTCAGTTTTACCTTCCTGAAATAATCTTGAGAATCACTGGGGTCTTTCCTGAGAAAAAAAAAGACAATGCATAAAGACAATGCATAATAATCGGTAATAACATGGTTACACGTTTTAACCTCTTATTCAGTCAATCATGCCTCTGTAGATCCATGAAATACACGCGAATTTTTCAAAGAAAAAAAACATATATATATACAATTGTCCTCTGGATAGATTGGTCCTGACCATTGAAATGTATAATTTCCACAACCGGTTCGGAACCACCAATAGGAAATGCTCATTTTAACACAATTAGACTTCCACTGGAATTTGACAACCTTCAGCTGGCACTGACGGTAAAACACCAACACGCATCACCCATCGTCGGTAACAGGAGCTGATGCATGCCTCTCATTTTAACTGCATTACTTTTGTGCTCGCAGATCATTTCCCAACAACTACTGGGACAAGTTCATTAAGCGCAAGGTATGAAAGTGAACACTCAGGACGTGCTTTGGGCAAAGCGATCTAACAAGCGTTGCAGTGTTTAATAAAAAAGGATGCTTCTCCGGTCATTACATAAAGAACATTAAATTGATATTCTTGGTTCTTTCGGTAAAGTCACGTAGAAGGGAAGCAGTAAAATAATAAAAATATAAGACAATAAAATTCTCAGGACGTTTCGACTGCAACACAAGCAATCATCATCAGGTGTGATAGCCACAACAATATATACATATTTTTTTTAAGTGGCGGGTTTTTCTTAACGTTCGCACCAAAAACAAACCGCCACTTTTTTCAAATTTTCTTGCTGTGGTTTTCACACCTGATGATGATTGCTTGTGTTGCAGTCGAAACGTCGTGATAATTTTATTGTTTTATATTTTTATTATTTTATTGTTTCCCTTCTACGTGACTTTACCGAAAGAACCAAGAATATGAATCCCTGCAGTCACGAAAGCTTTAAATCAAAACGTTAAATTGAAATATGTAATCCCGTTATGTGTACATTCACCACTGAGAACCGTGCTTCTGGTGTGGCATACGCAATCGCACGTTTGTGCGCCCGAGAGAGGGGTAACGATGAAGCGGACACACAAAGAGGCCGCATTAACGTCATTTGTTGGATAAGCACAAAGTGGATTATGCAAAGAGGCGAGCGTGGCGATGACTTATCGTGCGAGCGATCCGACTTGTTGCCGCGATTCAGGACCGCGCTGACATTAAACCGGTGGGTTTTCACTTTCTCACGTCGGATCGTTTCAAACGAGTGCGGTGTGTGTCGCCGATACCATGACAACCGTGTTGAAGTTTAGACGGATAAATCCCGTACTGCAGAATCCTAATAATACCAAGCTTGTTTGTGTATGCAATTGCATCTCCCGTAGCTCAATCTGCTCTCTCTATATATATACCCAAGGACCGCCACTTCGATGCCATTCGCTGACGAGGCAGTTGGAAAACAATGGTGCAAGTTGACCCCTCTGATCGGCACAGTTGGCTACGTACGGTGCAGAAAAAGTTCAACATGCACACGTACAAAGTTTCTGTTATTTCCCTTGTCTGTCCAACCCAGCGGTAAACAGCGCATGGGTTCACCACATGCGGTCGATCGGCATTTCACGTGTGGTGGGGTAGAGTGTGGATATTCCACCTCTTCCAGGGTGTCTGGCCAGTGTAGAAGAGTAGGCCAAAATAACTCTGGGTGGAGGCCCTTCTGGCTGCAGGAGGTAATTGCAGGGCTGCACTTTTACCTTAATCAATAATACATTATACTTTTGTGAACACCCTTGATATCTATTGTTTATATTTCTCATTTGCGAATATTCAATGCCATGCCCGTCGCACCTCGGTCTGATAACTATGGTAATATTTTAGCTTTCCCCAGTGCGTTTTTGGGTCGTGCCACACGTCGTTGCGTGATGTCCGACGTTTCGTTCCACGAGCCGGGAAAGCTTGCTCGGGGAGAACCGCACCTGGTTAAACAAATTGAACTTGAAACTCGAACTTGTTTTTAACGCTTTTCCTCGATTCAACGTAACCCGTCGCTGTCGTTGCATCGGCACACAGGTAATGGAGAAGTACGGAGATTTCTACGGCCGCGACCGCATGAGTGAGCTCCTGGGTCTCGACAAGAACACGCTGGACTTCAGCAAGGAGATGTCCGCACCTGAGGAGCAGGAAAGCCTCCTCACCATCATGTAAGTCCGGAATGTTCCATGGTAGCAGCCGAGCGTCGGTGTGTGTGTAAGTCAGGCAGGGTCCATGGATAGCAGAGAGCGTCGGTGTGTGTGTAAGTCAGGCAGGTTCCATGGTAACAGCCGAGCGTCGGTGTGTGTGTAAGTCAGACAGGTTTCATGGATAGCAGAGAGCGTCGGTGTGTGTGTAAGTCAGGCAGGTTCTATGGATAGCAGAGAGCGTCGGTGTGTGTGTAAGTCAGGCAGGTTCCATGGATAGCAGAGAGCGTCTTGTGTTTGTTTGGGTGGGGAGACCTTGCCACACAAAGTGACTGTAAGGGTTTGTGTCTCAGGTTGGAGCTGGTGACCCAGGCATTCGCATTATATTTCTATATCTGTGTACACCTATCAGACGCATAAAAGTTGCATGCGGCTAACAGTGCCATCATAGAAACATGAGATTTTGACTCTCCACTCCCACGCTGTCACCAGGGAGATAAAACCAGGTTATTAAGTGCCACAAAATTGATGGTCTCAGCAAGCCAATTATACTAATTCCTGCGGGTGACCAGGTGAAAGGGAGGACAGAAACTATTTTTTTAATGAAAGTAATGATGAGAGGCATTTAGCGATGCATCGTTTAATCGATTGAAGTCGGTTATTACGCTCGCAATACACATGTCGAATAGTGCTCGTGAGGCTCTACTCTGATTCCGATTGGAGTATCCGCTATTGCATGAGATTAGTTCAGTGCCGCGGTGGTTTTGCGAGTTGCGCTTTGAACCCAGCCACTTGACTTCTGAGTTCAACACGTGACCAATGTTATTCATAAAAACGTATTTTTTTTCCGGTTAGATTATGTAAATATACATGTGTCGTTAGCCCACCACCACCCGACGCAGCCGATTAGTAAGGTTTGTCACGTAAATAAAACGTGTCAATTAGTTACTTATTCTGCACACCAGTGTACTCAAATTGTAAATATTGTGGGTTTACTCTCCAACACACTGGTGTGCTGAAGTTGTAACGAATTGGTACGTTTTTTGTTTATGTCACAACCCTTACTAATTGGCTGTGTCGTGTGGTGGCGGGTTAACGGCACATTTATATTTACGGGATCTAACCCCAGAAAAACTTTCATTATGAATTGAGCCCTGGTCGCGGTTTCAATTCGATTAGCCAACGGTATCCGAATCCGCCCTCACTTCCGCCCCAAACATCCCCCCCTTCAACCAGAATCAGAAATCTTTAGTTACACTGCAGGAGGAATCCGATGAGCTAGAAAGCTCTCTTTCACAGATGTCCAGTCGGGGCGCTGGGTCAGAAAGTTACAACAAACAATCCGAAAGCACGATATGATGTGAAAAGTATATAAAAGGTAAGCGAATCTTTGCAGAAACATATGTATGTTTCTTTTACCGGGTTAATCCCACTGAGCTTTTCGCTCTTTCAGAAGCGACCTGGCCACAAATGATAGCCCAACGAATTGGCTTATCATAAGAGCATTTATCACAGCCAAATAATTAATCTAAATACTCCAAATAACCTCATCCAAATAATCTAAACGCGCCCTTCGAAGCATTGAGAAGTATGCTCAAATTACGCCCAGGACTGACACGTTGTGGGGAGCCTCCATCTAGCAGCGGATTTGCAAATGGCTGGAAATTTACTTGATCACCTATAACAATGGGTTCACACGACCAGGGCCGGATTAAGGTTTCGTAGGCCCCTGGGCTACAGGTACTGCGTAATATTTCCAAAAGGAAAACAAAGTTAAAGAAAAAAAAATATTTTTTTACAAGGCTCACAACAAATAGAATTCAGGATTCACAAACGAAATAACTTTTCACTTCATCTCTGGAGGCCCTCCAGCTGGTGGAGGCCCCTGGGCTGCAGCTCCTAAAGCCCCCGTGCCTTGATCCGGACCTGCACACGACCTCAACAGCCACCAGAGGCGCTACATCCAAAACGCGATCGCCACGATACGGAGAGTGAAAAGAGACCCCCGTTGGACAAAATTCAGCATTTACGGTGACATCGCAGGTAGCGGAAATAAAATCTGAATTGGCCTTGATTGTCATTTTCAGGTTAGCCTCACTCCTCTCTCTCTCAGAAGGGTCCTGGCCCGCCCTGGGTATGTTTGGCCAGGTTCCGTTCACGAGTATATGTTTCCACGTGGGATTGGCTCGCCACTACTCGACTGCCTCGTAGTCCCGGCGGGCTTCGGGGGCACGCGCGCGTGACGCAAACGACGATGTTTGCGCACCTCACCGGATCACGGAGGTTTAATTCGCGTGATATTTGAGCGGAGATTAAAGCAATGTCACCGTATACGCCCCCCCCCCCCTCTCAGGGCCCACGTATTTGCATGAACGCAAATAAGTGTCCAGTTGTCTTGCGACTCAAAGCAATGACGCTGGGATTATAACGGCGGCAGTTCGCACGTTGCCAGCGCAACACACGAGGTGGCTTCGAGCAATCCCGGGAACAGTGTTCGTGGATCGAGGACAAAATGCAGAGTCCGTTATTAGAGCTGTAGTTAAAAAGATTAAATGCGGTTTAGTTTCATGCTTCGTCAAAATACGAAGCTGCGTTTTTTGACGCCGAAAACATTCGTAGTGTTTTTGTATACCATATTTTCTTTGCCGACATAGTTAGGTGGCTTTGCGAGCCAGCAGCCACTGCATTCTGGCTTTCACATTCTGAATTAAGAGGATAATGATGCTGAGGATAATGTGGAGCGGTGGTTAGCTTACTACACAATGAACCCTGGTCACCCAAGTTAGATGCCTGCCATGGTTATCGTCAGCAGCAAGTGATATCTGAACCGAACTTGGATCCCTTCAGCGTACTTCACCAACCCTTAATGAATTGTCAGAATGGTGAAGTATGGCTAAACAACCCCCCACGACTGGCGTGGCATGCGGAGACCATCATTCAGCAGTGGATTGATAAGGAAATGTGCATTTTATGTCCTGTCCCATTTCGAGGGATATATTTTTTTAAATATTGCTGAACACTGATGTGTAAAAACCACAGGTTTAATAAACCACAGTTTTTTAATAAACCACAGTTTTTTACAATGCATAAAATGAGCATTGTTTAATGTTGTGTAAGAGATGCCTTTTTATAGTACGTAGGTTTTGCGATATAATTTTTTAGGACCATTCCCTAATATGACACAAAGGTATGGTGATGATTTAAGCAGTTGCAAGAAGCGATAACACAAGACAATTGGTGGTAACATATAAAACACTTCTTAGAATTTAATAATGCTTACCATGTCTAACATTTCAAATATAATGATTGCATTTGAATATTCCGCGTATAGATGCTAGTTATGACAATTAGATACATAAAATTGCCTGCTAAATATAAATTGTTGGACGTAATGTGAGATTTCCTACTTCCCCCGTGCTCATAATTACATAAGATGTCAGCATTTAATTGAATTTGTCTCCACGCTTTGTCACAACCAATGTCACTCCAGAAACTTTGTGAGGCCTGCTCAAGCAGACTGTGTCATCATCACAAGCGCAATGGATTGTTGGAGATGCATTTTCAAATTGTGTCTGCCACTAACAGCCATTCGACTAAAAAAATGCCATTCGTTTGTGTTATCAATAACCGCCATCCCTGAAAGCCACACTAAGCTGTGTTCGTTTTCGCTCGTGGTCTGCTTCACAACGCTAGGTTAGTCGGGTCAAATTTGTACGACGATTTGCTTCTGAGGCTTATTCGTGAAAAATTTGAGAGTTCATCATTTTGCGTTTTTGCACATTTTGCGCCCAGATTTACACCCAAGAATCCACGTTTCCATTTTAAATAATCCCCATTAAAACCAGTGTAGGTAAAAGGCCCCTTTCATGCACGTTAGTTACAGCAGTGTTCGCTATGAACACAATAATGATAATTTCGTGGAGCAGCGTCTTTAACGGGAAATGCCGATTTCACACCGCTGGACACACGAGGCATAGTTGGGACAACCGCCCTTGCGTAACGGTCAGCGCGCTGGACTTGCAATTGATTCGATCTCTGCGGCACGGCGGTTGAAACAACGTTGGGGCAAGTTTTTTTTTTTATAAAACGCAAAAATCCTCACCGTCGACTCTTTGCACCCGATCGTCTCAGTGGGTTCACCACAGCTCGTTGATCAGCGGCGGGGCGGGGGGGGGGGGGGGGGGGGGCACGTGTGGTGGGAGGTAAATTGCCGGTACTCCCACCTCTTCCAAAGACTGTCGGGCCAGCGTGGAAGTGTAGGCCAAATACCCGGCTGGAAAGGCTCTCCTGACCTCTGTCTGGAGGGGGTGGGGAGGTGGGGGGGTGGGGGGGGGGCTTCCCTTTCTGCCGGCAGTGGCGTGATCGAGGAATTACAGGGCTGCACCTTGATCGTAAGTTTTCAGACGCACGTCTCAGATAAATTCATTTGGCAGCGGGGCTTGTGAGATTGCAAAAATCGTCACTGTCATTAGTCACCACTTGGTGAAGTGGTTGCTTTAACGGATGCACCGCTGCTTTGGTCCTATCCATTAAGCCTACGTGGAATGCTCTCCACGGTGACGAAGATCATTATTCGTTCCCTCTTTGAAAGAACAAACGAAAAATACAATTGCGTCGTATTTTCTCAAGTGCGCGAATGCATTTGGGCAAGTTTCCATGATCTCCTTTTAAAGTGTAGAACACCCTTTTAGAAACACATTTGGTGATGTTTTCATTGTTGCACAACATCCCCCCAGATTTTGATCAGTGAAACAAATGTATATATCTAAATCTCCTCAATATTTAATGATATCGAAGTTCATTACCCAAAACAGGAAAACGTGAACTTCTATGCGTATTTGATGTGTGATCTGAAACCTCGGCCATTAAAAAGTACAGCTGCTTTTCATGATGTGATTTACATGCTATCTTGAATTATGTTTTTTTTTAAATGCATAAAATTACGAATTAATGCACCACCGAGGTCCTGGGTTTCAATCCAGGCAGCTGCATGTGATTAAACTGGGTCCTTAAGATGCGTAAATTGATCGTCTAAGCCCGGCTTCCAAAATGATGGCACAAAAACACCGTCACATTAAATTTGGTTCCGCTGATAATTCGGTTAAATTACAGCTATTGAGAACAAAAATATCCGTTTGACTGCCATGCCATGAACTTCCACTCGTATATGCAGGGTGAGGTGTGGATTGCGCTGCTGGCTTCCGTGTGAACCAGAGGTCACTTGAAGGGATCTCAGAGGCAGCTCTGTGATATCCACTTCTGTGGGCTGTTTTCTAACGGAAGGCTCTAGCGCGGCATCCAAGCGGATTCTTGGTCTTGCGATGACGCGGCGACAATAACACAATCTTGGTACAATTCGGGGGGGGGGAAACTTCTCGAAATTAAATTTTTTATGCACGTTTTTTTTTTCTTCCATATGCAGTACGTGAAAAAGAAAAGCACAATTCAATGTTTATTTTAAATGATTCTCAATTATTGTTGAGATCACACGTGTCTGTTTGAAATGAAGAGCCCTTCATTGCGATGAAACAGAGTATGTTGCTTGCTGTCCATCGTTAATTGTATGTTGTCCATTTCATAACCCTGTTTTTCTCCACGACGCGCTTGCACTGTGAAGCGGGTTATTTACTGGAAAGCAGAAAAGGTAGACCCATCATTTTGACTCTCTTCTCTTGGTTTGTTGTTGTTGTTGTTGCATGCTCTTAACGTTGCTTTCCTTTTCACAGTGTACCCCTTTCCCCCCCCCCTCCCCCAACTCTGTTCTCCCGGGTCGAACCTGTCAACGTCGCTCCAGTCCATGCAGGGGGTAAAACTCCACTCCAGTTGCTTGCAGTGCTTTCGAGTAAATAAAAAAAACGTACAGATAAAACTTGTTTGTCCTTATTACCGTTTTATTTCAAATCAGTCATTTTTGACACCCTCCATTCGCCAGGCGGCAAACGCAGTGAGGTGACAGGTTTCTAGCATAATCAATCAACTTATGCTACATTGGGACAGTTATTGCTACTTGTGGAATTCCAATTCGTCATCACTTATGAACAATAATATATATGGGTTATCATGCCAGTACACAACGGCCGATTCTCTTGACTGGCTATATCACAGGGCCTTAAACGTCCACTTTCCAGCTGTGGGTATTTACTGGTAATTCACGACGCAAATTACTTAAATTACGACGTGGTTTTGAGTAGGAATCAAACCGTCAATATATCCCAGGTGACTCTACCCTGGAGCCCATGTAAACACAGTGGCGACTGGTGGGTCAACATTTATTTTGCGAGGTGGTGGCGGCCCAAGGAGGCCTTCATCCAGCAGTGGACCGTGACCCATGGCTCGTTATGATGATGAATTGAATTTGACGGTGGGACACACTTGCCTCGACGCCCCATGCCAGGCCAGCCACCGCTGTGTAAATGGCTCGATGCGGACTGTTCTGATCACTAGGATATCAAGTCTATTGGTGCAGGGTGAATCAACAATGGGGATAATATTGCTGTACTCATTGCAGCATTTTCCTGGCACTTTATCCAATTGTCACACTTATTGGGCCTTCATTTGGTATAAAAAGGACAGGCTCATTCCAGAGGCTGTTTTTCGAATCAGCAGGCGTGCTTGTATCAGAGTTCACCTTGGAGAGATCATTCCTAGGGTGTCTTTTGCAATAGCTGGTAATAGGGGTTGAACGATTTGTTGTGAAGACTCGTGAGATGTTTATTGCAAGTGAGGTCACGGACTATGTGAGAAACACAGCCTCTTGTGGGAAAATACGAGCCCCCTGAAGCAATCGCTACAAGGCAGATAAAAAAATAATAATGTCTCCTTCCCACGTTTGTCTCTCCACGCAGAGAGTGCAATTCCGTTTTCCGCCATCCATCGACTGCACGGCCTTCTGGCTGCATTGTTTCAACGTTAGCAAACTGTGGAGCGGTTTCAAGAGTCGGGTTTGCTTGAACCAAACGCTGTTGAACTGCCCCATGTTTGAAGGCAAGGACTATTTTCTGTATGAAATGGGTCCACGTTCAATGCAAAAAGGTGCAGATAGACATTTCACCTAGGTCGCAAACACAGTTGGGGTTAATTTCTGACCTTCAGTAAACGTTTGTATTCGCAGTCGTAGCTTACGTATAAACATGGCTTATTGATGAATTCTCAGTGCTCTGCGTGTCGCCTGGTGTTAGTCTGACTAAGGAGTCGCCATCAACTGTGGAGGAGAGTCACACTTGAACCTCACATTGCTTGCATTGAGAGCATTGCCAATGGCGAAAGTTGTGTACCCCCTGCTGTGTCTGGAGCCACGTTGAGAAATGTGCTAATGTGTAAAGTGTTGGCTCAATACGGCCCTAGTCACAATCTGTGTGATTTTTGTGTGTGAAGAAATCAGGTATTGTATTCATTCACCCATTCGCCCATTTACGCTTTTCACCCATCGTTCAATGTACTTTTAAAGTAATATTGACGCAGTTCATATTGATTCCTTATTATTCACTTATTTTCTTTTACGGGTATCTCTATTCAGCGGTCGATTTGAATTACACATTAATGCGTTTTTTTTCATTGTTCGCTTTTTACGAACATTTCTGTATATTAACGTGCCCCTACTGACCTACTTATGATCCTTCACCTACTTATGTTCCTTCAACGCTCAGTTGTGATACCTTTAGTTACGTATTTAAGTGCAAAACCAAACCTTTAAAACGTGTTTCATCTTGGCAGCCGAATCCAGTTTGCCCCCACCATGTATTTGTGAAGCCGGGCCAAGTTTTAAACGCGACGGCACTTTAAACCATGGACACGTGAGGCCACTTGTTTAGGGTTCCTCTGTTCCTGTCGTTTGGTTTCAGGCCACTGTTTTCAGGCCACTGCTGTAGGCTAAAACTTATAACCAGCGATCATTCCGCAATCTCAATAATGGCAACACCACCGGTGGATCCAGTACTTTGGAGGCAAGAGTTGGTGGCTCATATAAGATGAGTGAGACTCCCAAACCTGCTGGCCCTGGGTGATGGAAGTACAGCAAGAAGGTTAATTAACTCACCCCGCGTACGCAAAGGTCTCCTCTTAGTAATCCAGTTTCTTCCCACATACAAACTACTCGGAATTGGCCTAAAGCATTATAATGTGGGAACTTTCTTTAGGAAGAGGCTTGAGATTCAGTGAAGCTTGCATGGTCAAAGTTCATGAATGTTCTGAGTTTAGTGCAGTACTATAATCTACGGCCCTATGTCGTTTTTAATGACTGCTGTATTTGCCACCAGGGAGGAGCGTTCATTGTCATGATAGATGAGGCAAATATTTCTCACCGTAATCTTTGTCAGTCGACTGTGCCCACACATGCGTGACAAGAAAAGCAGTCTCAGCTTCCAATGTCATAACCCCCCACCCCACCTAAAAACCCACGTCTTAACGCCTAACCCCTGAACCTAACCCCTTCGTCATTAAGTCCAACCACTAACTCCTAGTCATTAACCCTACTCCTAAAACCTAATGCTAACTGCGAACCACAACCCCTTCCTTACCCGAGACCATAATCCAAACCCATAGTCCTAATGCCTGACCTCTAACCCGGAGCCCTAACACCAAGCCCTTAAATTAATGCCTTACCCTGAACCCTAACTTTTAACCCCCTCAACCCTTTCACCTTTAACCCAATCCATAAGCCATGACGCTTAACCCATAACACTTAACCCCCCAATCGTTAACGCCCAATTATAAACCGTAACATTTAACCCCTAAACATGTAACCCTACCTATGAGCCCTAATCCTATCCATGAGCCCAAACCCTTAACTATGACCCTAAATCGTATCCGTAACCCTAACGTCTAGTGATAAACTCTATCCTTAACCTTAACAGATTACTTTAAAACTTAAACGTAAACTCCTAACCCTATCCCCGAAACATATAACCCAAAATCCTATCCATAACCTGAACATATTACTCTAAACCCAAAACGTTGATTCCTGAACCTAAACCCATAACCCAAAAACCTATCCCTAACCTTAGCAGATGACTTTAAACATTAACCCTGAACCCTCTGACCCCTAGCCCTTAACCCGACACAAGCAATTTAAGAAGTGGCATCCATCATATTTAATCAATTGGAACCCGAGGAAGCTCTGCGTTTAGAAATAAAATTTCCCTTGTCAACTGGATCAGCGTCTGCAGGCATATTCGTGGCAGGTTTCACGGAATATCTACTTTGAATGGGAGCAGCGTGCAAACCCCACGCAGTGCGAACAACGCTCAAACTTTTCAGCGGGATTCTTTAGACACCTCCTTGCTGTTCTACCCCCCCCCCCCCCCGCCCAACCACCGCCCCACCAAAGTCATTACCCATCGGTTCATCGTCAGATGCTTTTGATGGCTCTAACATTTTGGTGAATTCACCAAACCTTGCCCCCGAGATTGTTGGATTACAAATCCGAGAAGCGTAAATGCACAAGAGGGGGGGCTCTGTGGATCGAACCTTTGACCAGAAAGTTGAGAATTCACATCCTGGCAGGATGCTGAACTCGGGTCCCGCAGTTATCGTTTACGGGTTGACCAAATGAGCACCACCTTGAGACATCAACGGTGGCTGAGTGTAGGGATAGACTAGCCCATGCCATAGAAATGTGGAATTTCCATGACTGGCTCAGGTCTACCGGTGGTGCCATCTTCCCATACAAGGATACTTTTTTTACTTTTAGATCAGTTCATGCTTTTGTCGGACCAAAATGGGATAATCTTAAAGAGGAATAGCATTTTTTTGTGCGAGGCCTAGATCCCAGAACTCTTGATCGTCTGATTGTCAAAACTGACTTTTGCAGTGTTCTATTGCATCAAATCGTGTTCGGTTTGTGTGCTGCCACAGAAGCCAATGAATGGCATTGATGTGACCAGGGGCATGGGGGTGTGGGGTTGAACTTCCACTCAAGTGTCATAGAGTAGAATTCCCCCCCCTCCCCCGAGTGAATAATTCACTAAACCTAACTGTAGCTTATCCCTTACAAAAATAAACCTCCCCCCCCCCCCCCACCTGCCCCCCTTCCCTTGGGTTTTGTTAAGGTTCTTAGGGAGGCATGTGCCGAGATAGCAGCCGATTGTCAATGCCCTTGTCAGAGCACTGAACCAGCACCGCTGTGGGTCCGTTTAGGGGGTGGGGGGGGGCGGCGGAAGGCGGCGGGGGGGGGGTGGGTCAGGAAAGGACAAATCCTTCACTTTGACAAGGGTTGCCTCCAAATGTAATCTGTCCTATTTTTCTACGTTTTTGTTTCTTCTGCTCCCGTATTAAATGTTGCGTGGCGTAGGGGCGGCGGCGACAGCAGTCACAATGTTCCACGCGCGACGTCGCAGGTCCGGCGGCCGCCGCGGGCGTGCGTGCGGTCGCCGGTCGGCCGATGAATCGTCCGCACCCAGTGCGGTGTCCGTGCACGCGGTGGAGCGGTCGCTTCGTCCTCTCCCATGTTTAAACACAGTCGGACCTCTCCAAGGCGCAGCGGCAATTGTTTAATCTTCGGCCGATTTCGACGGGCCTACCTCGGCCTTGGATGCATTTCACGAATCCGGCGCGCGCCCATCGCCCCTTGCACATGTTCACCGTCGTCTTAAGCCGAGCGAGTTGAATTTAAAACGTCGCTCGAAACTAATTATGATCACTCCCCCCCGCGTCGCCGCCGCCGCCGCCGCCCCCTGACTATGAAGGGGAAGGGAAGGTGAAGGGATGCGGGGTAGGGAAGGGTCATAGGTCACGGAGGCTGTGGCATTCGGTCATGGACACGTAACTTTAGTTTCTCTAAATTAGAACGGATGGAACTACGGCTGGGTTTAGTTGTTTGTATGTACGTTGAACTTCTTTCGCACCGTACGTTGCACAACCGGCCGTGCTAATCGGAATCGCGGGGGGTAGGGCAGCAAACTAATCACAAACGTCTACAATGACAGCCAGTTGGTAGTACGTACGTGACGCAGAGATAACTCCTCTCGCATTTCCTACAAATTTGACAAGTGACGTTTAAGAATGCTGTGTGGCCTTAAAAGTAAATACGTAATTATATCATCGGGGACGTTTCAGGCAATTTCTTCACAGCACATTTCTTCCAGCTGAATTCCTCACTGCTTCTTCAGCTCTCCCAGCCTCTCAGAAGTACTGAGTAACCACACGATCGCACAATTTAGGTCGATAATTCCAATAATAATAACAATTATAACAAATTCTTTGGGTCTTTTGGTGAAGCCACGTAGATATAAAAAATAATAACAACAATATCACGACGTTTCGATCACAACACAAGCAATCGTCATCAGGTGGCTTTAACGAAAGACCCAAATAATATGAATTCCTGCAGTCACGAAAGCTTTTAAGTCAAGAATGTTAACAAACGCTAATTGTGCCGTTGCGTGCAATCTGGTGGTTAGAGTATCGGCTTGTTAAGGTGGTTTAATGACTTCCACACAACATAAATAGGACGCGGACTTTATAGACAGAAGCCTTGTACCTTTAAACGGAAGAATTTGGGGCATTTTTTTCAGAATGGAAAAGCGCAAAAATAAACGCATGAAAGATTGCATGAATAAAATAAAAAAACCCAACAGCAAGCGTGTTGTGGTGCAGACATTTCCTAAAGAGGATATCGTTCGAGTGGCTTGTAGGGTCCAATTTAGGATTTAGGTTTTTTTAATGTATGGGACGTATGAGTTTGGTTTGATGATTGCCCTCCAGTGTGCATCTGATGACCCCTGCCGCTGAATCACACAGCCCAGCAAGGTTCTCGTTCAGGAATGATGAGTGCATTTTGCGCCCTAACCATCGAGAGGAGCCAATTGAAGGCAGCAATTTTACAAAACGATGAATCGTGGCCAATAGAACGTTTGGTTGCTCGAACTGTCACAAGTGGTCCAACGACCGCTGCAAAATCACACGCGTTCACTTGCACACATGTACAGACACTCGCGCATACAGGGAAACAAGGATAAAGGTCCCCCTTATAGCCTTAGCAAACCATTGGGGCAAGAGCTGTTAGCGAGCACCTACAAAGGCCGGAACGGCACACGAAGGGGTGGGTGTCCAGCATCACGCCTGGCCGCCTTTGTCTCCCAAGTGGCGATGTTTACACACCGGAACAGGTACTCATTCGAGGCTGACTCGACCTAGGGGAGGCCCAGCTCAGATAATCGTCACTGGTGTTGGCCGTGATCGGGAATCGAACCCAGGTCGCTTGGTACGTAGTGCAGCGCAGTAACCACGGCACTACCGCTCCCCACAGGGAAACACACACGCGCAAGACAAAGCTCCTCTGTAAAGGCTACATTCATGCGGAGTATGGTCAAACTACCCCTGCGACTGACAGCGTGTGGGGGAGGCCATCATCCAGCAGTGGATTGACAGCGGCTGTGTCATTAGCACAGATGCTTGCCGACACGTGGAAAAGTCATAGGCAGCTGCCACGTGCACACCAACAATGCCATATTTAATCCTACCCAGTGCGTGCACGTACGTTGAACTTCTAGATTTAAAGCTTTCGTGACTGCTAGGATCCATACTCTTTGGTTCTATTGGGTAAAGTCACGTAGGTAAAAAATAAAATAACAAAAATCACGACGTTTCGGCCACAACACAAGCGGCCTTCATCAGGTGAAGGGACGAGACTGTCTGGAGGACAGCGCTGGAGTGTTGTCCTCCAGACAGTCTCGTCCCTTCACCTGATGAAGGCCGCTTGTGTTGTGGCCGAAACGTCGTGATTTTTGTTATTTTATTTTTTACCTACGTGACTTTACCCTATAGAACCAAAGAGTACGTTGAACTTCTTTCGCACCGTACGTAGCCAACCGTGCTCATCGGAGGTGCGGGGGTGGGGGGGGGGAAGGACATCAAACTAACCAACAAAAAAAGCCGTTCTAAAGAGAAGAGTTTCCAAACCGGATGATTTAATCGTACATAGCTCCCAGTGGCCTCCTAATAACGGAAGGGAAGAGCGTTCCAGACGGCCATAGACACTTGATAGAAGGGTTGGTTGGTGGTGGAGGGGACATGGGGTGAGGTCGGGGGGGTGAGGTCGCGGGGGGGGGGGTGATGTCAGGGGGGGGGTGAGGGGGGGACAAGGGGGGGGGGGACTGTTGTTTGCTTGGTGCCCCCAGTTCTGTCGTACTTGAACGATTGTGTCGGTGGGGGGGGGGGTAAATCAGCGCCATTGGTAATGGCCACGTGCTCGCGCCGATGGTTCGCAATTTTCCTACTTTTGCCCTCGCTGATTTGTGTTGTTGTTGTTGTTCTTACCAGAATCAACTACATCGACTTCAAGTATCAGCTCTGGAAGCTTGGCGTTGTGTTCACCGATAACGTGAGTGGCGCGTCCGGGCGACGCGTTAAGTGTGTCTGCTTTTGTTTTGCCCGTGAGATGTCGACCCTCCAGCCCCGTGGCGCCTCCTCTCTCTCACCCAACGCGCTCCGCATCACCCCGACGACCTCTAGCCGGCTGTAGGGCACACAGGGTGGAACCATTCTTGGTTTAGTATTGGTTAACATTGATTCTGGTGCCGCTGATAATGATTATGCGGCTACTGATAATGATGGTGACGCTGAGTTTGCTGCTTATGCTGCTGCTGATGCAGTTGCTGCTGACGAAACTAATGCTGGTGCTGCTGATGATGATGCTGCCACTGCTGATGTTGACGTAGCTGCTGCTGATGCATCTGATTCTGGTGCTGTAGCTACAGATAATTATGCTGATACTGCTGCTGATGATGTCGATACTGCTGCTAATGCTCCAGTTGTTTCTCTCGCTGCTGATCATAATTTTGACGATGCAACTGCTGCTGATTCTGTTGCTGCTGCTGTTGATCTTGCTGATGATTATGCAGCAGCTGCTGCTTGCTGTTAATGCTGCTGCTGATTGATGATGCAGCGACCGTTGACTCTGCTGCTGATACTATTGCTGCTTCTGGTGCGACTGATGACACTGTATAAAAACATTTTTTTTGTTCCTGGGTAGTAAGTTTTATTTCCTAATTGGTTATGCCTCAAAAGTACAGAAAATGGCTATTATTCCCCACAACCTTTGCTTTTGTGACCAGGACAGTGATATTTAAAAATGTACCTACTTTCCAGAACATTCCAGATAGATTCAGTGCTGCGTAAACCTGGAGTAACTTCTAAAACATTCTAGAACTTTCCAGTAATATAAATAATAGTATAAATACAGGGGCCTTAAGCCCACCAGTTCAGTTTAGTTCCAGCTGCCTAAGTGGATACATTTCTGCATTTTTCTGAGATGGCATCAAGAGGCTGCACGCATCCGGCAGACGCATTTTGCTTTGTCTGCGGCCAATTACTCAAGACGAGCGAAAAAGTTTTCTGTGGAAGCATCTGCTAAGATATGTGAGGCCTACAAGGCATATTTTGGCATGCTTGTCAGGGATCAAGGTAAACCCTGGACACCTCATTTCACCTGTGAGCAATGCAATAAAACTTTGGAAGGTAAGATGGACAATTGTTGCTTGGAATTTTATGTTGTACAATTTTTTTTTTAGATTTTTAAGATGGTAAAAGTTTGTAATTTTAAAATGTTTTACAATTTTGAATGTTATTGAAAAAATATATCATATATGAAAAATGTTGCGAGAATCTCTTACACATTAGTCATGGGTGAAATGAATGTATTTTTGTAGGATGGTACAGAGGGGTAAAGAGAGCCATGAAGTTCGCTATCCCAAAAATTTGGCAGGAACCCACTGACCACTCAAGCAACTGCTACTTCTGCATAGTGGACCCTTCCAAACGTCGGGCTGGCAAGAATGCACCTGCCATGAGCTCCCCGTACCCACTCCTCCGGAGAGAGAGCAGCCGTCTTTAGAAGAGAGCAGCAAGTCAGAGAGCGAGGAAGACGTTGTAGATCCCGATGACAATTTAAGAGGTGGAGCTGAGGAGAGAAACCCATACTACCTCAACCAAAAAGACCTCAACGACTTGATCAGAGATCTTGGTCTACCCAAGTCCAATGCCGAGCTTTTGATGTCTAGGCTCAAGCAGTGGAACTTGTTGGATGAAAGCGTGCAAGTCGCAGATCAGAGAAAGTGTCACCAACCTTTTTGCAGCTTCTTCACCCGTTAAGATGGGCTCTGCTTCTGCCACAATGTGACCAGTCTGTTCGAGGCAATCGGAATCGCCTGTAACCAGAATGAGTGGCGCCGCTTCATTGACAGCTCATCCAGGAGCCTCAAAGCCATGCTGCTCCATAATGGTAACAAGTACCCGTCTCTTCCCCTGGCTCACTCGGTGCACCTCCAAGAGGATTACAACAGCATCAAGACCTTGCTGGATGCCTTGAAGTATGATGAGTATGGCTGGAAGGTCATCGGAGACTTCAAAATGGTGGCATTCCTGATGGGTCTCCATGCCGGTTTTACTAAGTTTTCCTACTATCTTTGCCTTTGGAACAGCAGGGACACCAAGGCGCACTACCACAGACGGGACTGGCCACAGCGGACCGAGTTCTCTGTGTGGGAGGAAAAACGTCAAGTGGGAGTCACTGGTGGACCACCGGAAGGTGCTGATGCCACCACTGCACATCAAATTGGGCCTTATGAAACAATTTGTAGGAGCTGTAGCTGAGGAGCCGGCAGCCTTCCAGAACCTTGAATACTTCTTCCCTAAGCTGTCTGAGGCAAAGGTCAAAGCCGGTGTTTTCATCGGACCACAGATAAAGAAGATCCTGGAGTGCATTGAATTCCCCAAGAAGCTCACTAGTAAGGAGAAAGCGGCTTGGAACAGATTTGTCACAGAGGTTTGTGGCTTCCTGGGCAATCACAAGGTCGAAAACTATGTGGAGCTGGTTGAGACTCTGGTGAAGAACTACGGCACAATGGGCTGTAGGATGTCCCTCAAAGTCCATATCCTTGATGCTCATCTTGATAAATTCAAGGAGCACATGGGAGCGTACTCGGAGGAGCAAGGCGAGCGCTTCCAGGATATACTGCACTTTAAACGCTGCTACCAAGGACAGTATCACGAGAACATGATGGAAGACTACATTTGGGGGCTGATTCGTGAAAGTGATTTACAATACAATCGTAAATCTCGAAAAACTACTCAATTTTAAATATTTTTGTAGTAATTTTTCTATTACTTTAGTATATATACATGTTAATTTTGATTCATGTTTTTTTTCTGACTTTATGTCAAAGAAAAGACACAAATTCGCCTGTTTTCTCATTGAAAATAGGTACATTTCTAAATATCACTGTCCTGGTCACAAAGGCAAAGTTTGTGGGGAATAATAGCCATTTTCTATACTTTTTAGGCATAAGCAACTACGAAATACTACCCAGGAACAAAAATTGTGTTGCATAGTTTGATAACAATGAGTCCATGTTGCCGGAGCAGAGACTGGTCCTGCCTAAGGTGGCGAGAGTTTAGCAACAGCCGATGTGTTTATTTGACAAATAAAGAGTGGATTGTTTAATATCCCACTCAATCCAAACGGTTCGAACATGTCTCACGGTTATTAGCCGAATCAATAACTTGGATCCGCTTACAGCTATGCCGCCGTCAGCTGGTACCGACAAATGAGACGTCTGGTCTGACTGGACTCTTGTGCCACGCCATCGCCACTACCCCCATCGTCATCATCACCACCACCCTTCCCGCGCCTCCGATTACCGCGGTTGGCTACGTGCGGTGCGAACGAAGTTCAACGTGCGTACAAAAGCAGCATGCGGGAAAAACAAAGCTGCATTTTTTTGCATGCACTAAATTGTGGTTGCGTGCCTTCGACGTTTACAAAACGCACTGCCGTTTACTGAATGCAGAAAACACGCACGGGGTTACACATGACTCACCGATTATAATGTTTTTTTTTCAAATTCTTACATTTTCTGCGTTGTCTCTACAGAAGCATAATTTGTGCTAATGGACCCATCGTAAAAAAACAAAACGCAAAACGTTCGTCAGTAACACATCCTTAAAAATAAATATATATCAAATAGGTGATGATTCAGCCATCTTCATATCACGTACATGGAAACGTCGTGAGAATATTATTGTGTTATTTTATTTTATCAATTTATTATTTTATTCTCATTCTACGTGACTTTACCGAAAGAACCAAAGAAGATAAATGTAACGAGTTATATGCTCGGAAGAAGCGCCCATCACGTGACACGTCGCCGATTTTACGTGAATAATGCGTCCGCTAATTTGCAACGCGCACGATTTTCTCTTTGCCCGAAGCAGCGACCCTGAGGCGCGGAAAGCCCAGCTCAGAGATCCGCTCAGTAAAAGTCAAATAAAACGGGAGTTTGGTTTTTTTTGAGAAGGCGCTTAACGGTAGAGGCCACGGTGTTGTTCGTGACGAACGAGTCTTTTTTGTTGTTCTTGCTGCTAATTGTGCTTTGCGCACCACCATAAAAGCAGCAGCAGCAGCAGCAATCGGCAAACGATGGGGAACAAAAAGAAATGCGCCGCCGTTCAAAGAAATCCAATTCAAGATGCGCACCCACAACAGATTTCTTGCGAATCGTCATCGTCGTCATCATCATCGCCATCATCATCATCGTCGTTGTCATCGCCATCCATGGGCAGATCGCCCAGTAGGTGTCCACTGCACATTTCGTCATTTGCTTGCACTTTTCTCTCTCTCTCTTGTGCCAATATGGCTCAAGTAATGGCCGCATCTTTCTAGCACCTATCTCCTGTGATGTCCTCGTCATCAAGCCATTCTCTGTGAGGTCTTCCTCTCTTTCCGGTTCCTTCCATTATCCCGAGCAACAACAACACTTTTAATCTTCCATTTGTTGTCCATCCTACGTCCGTGTCCAAATAGTGCCAGTTCCCATCTCATCACTGCCTGCATCATCAGGTCTTCTTCTAATGTGCAACCTTTTTCTCAATTCTACGTTGTTCACACCTTTTGCGAATGGATCGAATTTAATATATTAGTTTTTCTGCAACCAGCACGTTGTGCCGGAATAACGTTGTTTGTCACAATAAACAAACAATTTTTGTTTTGTTTTGGTTCAACACGTAGGCTTTCCCGACCGATATTATTCGTTGTTTACGTGACAAACCTTACTGGCTGTGTCGGGTGGTGGAGGGTTACGGCACATTGACACGTACGCGATCTAACCCAAAAACCTTTATTATGAATACTTGTTTTGCCGTGTTGCTCTCGCAGTCCTGGCTCTACCTGACGTGGTACATGATCATGTCCATGCTGGGCCACTACAACAACTTCTTCTTTGCCACCCACCTGCTGGACATCGCCATGGGCGTGAAGACACTGAGAACCATCCTCTCGTCCGTCACCCACAACGGCAAGCAGGTGGGGAACACTGCCACCGGCACCAGGCTCAGTCGGTTCTCAGATATCGCCGTTTTACGTTGTTGTGCGTGCGCGCGCGTGAGTAGGAAGCGGCAGTGCTACCTACCAGCGTGTGGGCACGTGTTTGTCTCCGAAGGCGGACGGGCTTGATTCTGTTTGCCACCTATTCCATCACAGACCAAAGCCAGAAATATTTCTCGATCGGCCCAAGTTGATTAAAAACAAAAACTGTTTAAACTTGATTTGGCGCTTTCTTGACTGCAGGAATTACTCTTTGGTTTCTTTCGGTAAAGTCACGTAGAAAGAGAAAAATAATAAAGTAAAAGATAGCATTGCTTGTGCTGCACTCCAAACGTCGTATGCTATTATTTAATTTATTATTTTCTCCTTCTGCGTGACTTTACCGAGAAACTGTGCAGGTTTATTGTGATGACGTACAACACATACCGGCACTGGATCGTGGTGCAAGTCAATTCCTGTTTCCACCTGAACGCAGTCGGCCGTTCCCAGGCTGTCCGTGTCAAACCCTGACCGGTGGCAACCCTGGGCGTGGTCGTTTAGCGAGCACCGATCAAAACCACAACATTGCACGACAGGGCCGTGAGATCAGCCCGTGTCTCCCCCAGTGCTGCTGCTTACACACAAAACCAGCGACTCATTTAAGGCTGAGTAGACTCAGCAGAGCGCCCAGAACCAGTTCGGTCAGGAATTAAACTCGAATCGACAAGGTTCATTGAGCAGTGCACTAGCCGATACTCCACCACTTCCCATAATAAATATATACGACAAAGACAAATAAAAAGATCCCCCGTGTAGCCTTTAATAGACTGTTTGGGCAAATGCTGTGAGCAAGCACCTATGAAGGCCGGAACGGTACACGAGGGGGTAGGTGGCCAGCACCACGGCCGACCGCCTTTGTCTCCCTAGCGGGGATGCATGTACATACGCACACACACACACACATACGTACGCAATAAGCAGTGCCGAACATTAATCAGCATATTGGAAATGTCTGGTAATTCTTTAGTGGATTTTAAATGAAATACACACACCATACAAGCGTGAGCATTAAAACAAACGGGCTTTTCATATATATTTTTGCTGCCATCGCATACAGATTTCGTACAGGTCCTGCAAGGGTTAATGAGCGATTTGTGTGCAGCGCTGGCTCCTGTGCTGCTAAACCCCATTAGTAATAAATCGTTAATGGAGAACCACTCGTTACGACCTCATCCCAGGCAATTTCTGATCATTAACCCCTGTCGTCCGCCGCGCGTTGCTTCTACCGCTTGTCCAGCAGCAACGGGCATAACGACCGAGACTTTCCGTTGCTGAAACGTCGGCCCCGCAAAGGATTGTAACGCGCGCGTAGGGACGCGACGAGCTCCCTCGTCGCATCCCTCGGCTCCCGTGTGTGTTGGGGCCGCATTCTTGGGAAGGCCGCACGGCAATGGGGAGATTCGCGGACGAGAGTGGCGCTCCCACGGACTGGGTGTGATCTCCAAAGGGGTTAACCTCTCGACCAGTGGCAGCACAAACATGCGTCAGACGGCCGAGCAGATGTGCCCACGCAATCCCCCCACCCAACACCGACGCAACATCTTCTCGTTGAGACGGGCTCCCTTCGCGAACGAAAAGAACAAGTTGCTACGGGGATGATCGCGGCTGCGTTTGACGCGCTCGCGCGCACACACACACACACACAGACTACGTGTGCTGTAGTCTGTAATGTATGCATATTTAAAAAAAAAACCATGATTTTCACACCGTAATTTATTTTCCCAGGCGTTGTTTCATTCGTTCGGACAGGGTCTGGGTTGCTCCTCGCTCAGAACGTAGCCTCTCTGTGCCAATGAACTTACATTGATGGCATCTTAGGTTTTTTCACCGCAATCCATTGAAAACGGGGTGCCACGGTGGTGGAATGTTAACGGACTCGCCTGGTGTGAAGGAAGTCGTGGGTTCGATCCCGACCCTGACGCTTGTAGTATATATTTGGAGATTGCGTGTCTCTCTCTCTCCCCATGGCCGCTTGGATTTTTCTCCGGATCCTCTGGTTTTTCCCTCCACATTTAGATTTAACATGTGTTCAGAAGATTTGGCTGCTAGAAATTTCCACGTGATGATACGCCACTTCGTTGAGCCATCATTTGTGATAGCCAGGTCGCTTCTGAAAAAGAGCTTCATAGCTCAGTGGGCCTTACCTGGTAAATAAAAAAAAGCAACAGCCATTTTGAAGTCTGAGGTTGTGTTTGTGGCACTGAATGTTGCCGCTGTCATGCCAGTTTGGTGCTGATCAAGGTTGCAGCGTATATGTCACTCACATGCCAGTCTTCCCACAAAGTGGTACTCCTCATTTTATTCACACCGGAGGAATAGTCATGAGCCGAGTTGACCACCAACCACAATTTGAAATCACAGACTTTAGATAATGCATCAGACCTCTATTGCCACTGTCAATGGCGGAGCCAGGATTTTCAGGTAGGGGGGGCAACCCCTCCAGTAAGTAAGGACTTTTCCCTTGCTTTTCATTCGACTCGTGTGTGGCGATGGTGCAGCCACCGATCGAGGGTCAAATTCGAACCGTGTGATCGGCATCGCGCTCGCTAAAGGTGTTTGCCTTCAGGGAAGTCGTGGACTGTATACGCAACTGCGCACAATAATGTGAGTCACTTATAACCGCTTTTCCGTTACTTATTGCCAATTATGAACTCAGACTATTGTCCTAGCACGTAATAATATGGTACACAGTGGCAGTGGGGGTCGGAAAATGCCGATTTATTTCTAATAAACCCCAATGATCCGATCGACATTAGGGATTTCGATCGGATTATTGGGGGGGGGGGGCACGTGCCACCCCCCCCCCCCCGCCAGTGGCCACTGTGCCATGTGACCAAGTGTAAATATCTTGACAAACATTTCAACATTCATTTGAACTCACCTTGCATTAATCGTAGCAGCCAATTCTTGTTATTCCAGTGTAAAGCATGCACACGAGGCTGTGTTTTGCTGATTTCATGCTACGCTTGCAATTCCGTGGTCAAGCATGGATGGACAGTCTTCACTCATTCTCATCATAGCCATGATTAATCCACTGCTGTTGTTACAAGATGTTTTTGGAAAATAAAAAATTGGGGAAGATAAAGGCTTAGAGATGTATGTGCGTCAATGAAACTCTTCTTACCTTTCGCCAACAATATCAATTTGGATCCCAGAAGAGAATCCTCTCCTGGGAATTATCCATAATCGATGTTTTTAAAAAAATAATATTAACCGCGAAAGCCTACGTGTTTAATGCTCCTGGGAATGCTCTCTTGAAAATTCTAGATCCCATGAGATAATTCTGGAATCTGGGAATTCGCTCCTGGGAGAGAATTCTTGGAATCCAGAAATACAGAATTCTTCCTGGGATCCGGGAGAGAATTCTGGAACCCAGGAGAAAATTCTCTTCTGGGAATTCTCTCCCAGGAGGAAATTCTGGATCCCAGAAAATTATGGATTCCAGAATTCTCTCCTGCAATCCAGAAATTCTGGAATCCAGAATTCTGGATCCGAGAATGCTCTCCTCCTCGACCCGTTCCCAGCCTCTCGTTCCCGCCAGAGGCGCTCGGCACTCCTTCACGAGTTTGAGCCTCTGCTGACGGTGCGTGACGTTGTGGGGGCGTGCATTTGTATAATGAGAACTGGGGTGCGCTATTTTTGAAGGTCATTGAAGCAATATGCTCGCATGGTTCCCCGGTTTATTAAAAACAAAAATAAGCCAACTGCATGGCGGTGCATATCTCTGCAACGCCTGCAATGCCGGGAAGGTCGCTTCAGCGAGCGGCGTGCAGAGGGTGCTGGCGTGACATGGGGGTTAACGCTCTTCCTTTGCTTGTCCCATGCGTGTGTGTGTGTGAATTTGTAGCTGTGGCGCAGTGGTTAGTGGGTCGTACTCCAGACCCGGCGACCCGAGTTCGATTTCCGCTCGCGACAAATAACCTTGGCGAATTTTTAACCGGTTCTGGGCCTCCCCTAGGTTGACTCAGCCTCAAATGCGTTCCTGGTGCGGCGAATGCCGGTTGTTATTGCTGTTCAAGTGCTGTGTGTGAGGGGCGGTGGCATTGTGGTTGTCGCACGTTGCACTACGATCCTGGCAACCTCGGTTAGATACCCGGCTGTGGCTCACATCAGAAACAATTTTAACCTGTATTGAGCCACCTCCCTTAGACTGACTCAGCCTTAAACGAGCACGAGGTGTAAACACCAGCAGCAGGAAGAGACGACGATGCGCTGCACGTGGTGCTGCCCACGCCACCCCCCCCCCCTCGTGTGCCGTGCCGGCCTTCGTACGTGCTCGCTAACAGCACTTGCCCCAACAATCTACGTAGGTTACATGGGGGTGGGAGGGTGGCATCTTTGTCATTGTCTTTTGTTCGTGCGCGTAAGTGATCCCACTTCTGAAGCTGTGCTCCGAAGGTCATTGGGAATTGGACGTGAGCCGTGCTGATGGCTCCAATGCTGTGCATGTGTGTGCGTGCGCGTGTGCTGCGCAGTTGGTGCTGACCGTGGGGCTGCTGGCCGTGGTGGTCTACCTCTACACCGTCATCGCCTTCAACTTCTTCCGCAAGTTCTACAACAAGAGCGAGGACGAGGACGAACCCGACATGAAATGCAACGACATGCTCACCGTGAGTGGAACTCCGTTCCGCTCGCCGGAGACCTCATCAGTGACCCCCCCCCCCGCCCATCCCTCTTCCTCCCCCAACCCCCCCTCCCCCCGGCCAACTGAACCCCTTTCCTGGCTTCTCGCTTCCGCGTGAACTCTGCACGGCGGTGAATGATTGCGTTCGGACGCCGTGCGGTCGACACACTCGTCTCCGCCACGAGTGGAAGATAAGAGACGCTTCCCACCGCTTAAATCTCCACGGGGGCCATTTTTTTTTGCCACTGTCATTGGTATTGAATGATGGAAGAAAAAAATAAAAGGCTTTACACTCCGTGGCATTCATACATGGAGGGTGTTAAGGTGATAGACGCCCTGTTACAAGGCGTTCGAGTCTGCATTAGCATACATTTGCAAAGAAAAATGATTTTGATACTGTACACACTGTACAGCAGATGAGCGCCCGCCTCAGTGTGAGCTACTCCGGAGGACTTCCCGTGCTGCCATTCGTACGAAGCGACCGTGGAGTTCCACAGTTTCTGGCCCTTATTAGTCAAACTACACGCGATGGATGAGAAGCCTTTTGTAGGCCCGTAATGACAGCGAGTCCCTCAGGCTGCGTCCGTCAAACGGGCAGAAGGCAGCGCTGCTGTGCTTGGTAGCCGAGCGAATGGATGAATGAAGGAATTAATTTAAAGCCATCTCAAGTGCGGCCCAGTCATTGTCGTGTTCTTAATGTGGGGCCGCGGTCCAATGAGATTTATGAACCCGTGTAAAATACGTCCTGTTAACCGAGGTTATGCGAGGAGAGTTACGGTGGCGTCCTTAAAGTTTCAAAGACAAAGTGCACCCGTGCTCATGCTGCCATTTGCTGGGCCTCATCTTCATCGGATGCCCAGAGCCAAGGGTGTGCATTCCACTTTCCTATGGCAAGGACCAGTCCATCCACAAGACAATCACTCTTGACTTTTCCCGCAAGCGTTCATGAGCAAATGAATTGGCCGAACATCCCAATCCATGGATTGTTTTCAATTCGCGATTCATCCATGGGCGTAGACTGCGGTGCCCACGGAGGCCAGGGGGGGGGGGATTAAAGGTCAAAGGTCCACACAAATGGGCTAGGAACCCCCCCCCCCCTTCGCTGTTCTCCTGCTGGTCACCTCGTAGCCCGAGCGGACTGGGCAATCTCGCACCACACGTTGATCTCTGTGTGATCCATCAACTTCACTTCCATGAGACACGAAGGAGGCATCGCGGCGATACACTACTCCGCCACCACTGCTGCTGACGCAGTTGCCTGGCTTGACCACCTGAATGTGAAATTGGGGTTGTTGCCTCTGCATCTACATCAGCCGTACGGAAGAAGAAGATGAAGAAGGAGATGAAAAAGAAGACAGAAAGACGAAGAGGAGGACTTCGAAAGCAACTGCGTCGTTGTGGGTGCACACACCACTACATCCGGCAAGGGCAACCTTGGCAATTCTATTTGGGTATCCACTCCCTGCTGCTGCTGTGGCTGCTGCTGCTGTGGTAGCGGCATAATGGCGAGCGTCGCTGCCGCGGTCTAATGATCAGCAGCATGCTGGGCTTGCAATTCAAATCTCATTGGACTGCAGCCCCACAAAGCCTCTGCAAATCTCCCCCCCCCCCCACCGCTTCTGTCCATCCAGCAGCGTCCGTGGGTTTACCACGGTTAAAAGAAACCTCGAGACAGCCAATATCAATGTGGAGGCGCGCGATGGAAAGTGTCAAGGGCCAACCGCAAGCAGTGGAGAAGTGGCCGCGCGGCCAATTCGGTCAAGAGAGTTGAAGACAAAAGGGCACAACGTTCTTTTTTTATCGGCACCAAAGCACCAGCGGCACGACGCGAATCCCGTCCAGCAGACGAGCGGCAAACTCTTGCCCCCCACAGACGCTCCTGCTCAAGGGCTGGGCTCTCACCTGGTCGGCGCGCAGGAAAATGCTGCCTCAGCTAGCCGTCCTCCGCGCTCTTCATCGTTCGCGATGAAGAGCCGAAGAAAGAAGAGACGACCGGCAAGGTCTCGCGTGCGAGATGGCGCAAAGCGAGGGTACGCCAACCCCTTACCAAGGTGTCTGACCAGGGTGTAAAAGTAGGTCGGCATACCCTCCTGGAGGCGGGAGGGGGGTTTCTCGCGGCTCTTCTGTTGTTGTTCGGAGGTGCCTGTGGCCCAGCAGCGGCGTGAGCAACCGATATCAGGGCTGCGCCTTTGCCCACCTCCCCGCCCCCTCCTTCACCTTTTCCGATGTCCACTCTCACAATTACCGCGATGTGGTATCACTGATGAGCTTGCAGTTGGAGTTCACGCCGTCGTCAGGGTAAAGGGCCAAGCATTGCTCGGCTCTCCGCGTGACATTTCGGGCGAAATCCGTACGGCAAAAAGGTTTCGAATAATTGCCGCGCAACGGTCGCAGGTGTTGCCTCTTAACACGGTGTTGGTGTTCAATTCGGTGTTCGAGGGGGCCGGCTGCTTGGCCCCCGGCGATGATTTATTGCGCCTGCCTGGTTGGCGCGCGAAACGGGGAGGGGGTGGAGGGAAGGAGGAAGGTGGTGAAAATCCGGAGGAATAACAAGCGGTGCACGTGGGGGGGGGGGGCGTTGACGACCGGTGGCGGTTGCTCGTACTGGCGGTTGCTCGTACCGGTTGCTCGTACTGGCCGTTCGGTTGCCTGGAGTGGTCTGTGGCGGACGCTCGCCGGTTCTGTGTGGACCTCACGGTTCGATTCCGGGCAGGCGTCTCGGTTACTTTTGCCACGAGGGATTTTAGCCAAGTCCCCTGCCAACTCTACGGCCCGCGTTGTTGTACGCACGTGCGTTGTGCGTACATTGAACATCTTTAGCACCGTACGTAGCCAGCCCATGCAAATCGGTCACCACGTTGGATTTGCAATCCGGAGGATGCCGGTTCAAGTTTGTCTCCTGGCGCGGCAGTTGAAACGATGTTGGCAGTGATGTTTTTTTAAATCCCTCCCAACCCGCCTCTGTCCACCCAGCAGCTTACATCGGGTGATGCCGCTGTCACTCGATTGGAATGTCGCGTGTGGTGGGGTAAAGTGTGGGTACTTCCACCTCATCTAAGAGCATACCAAATACCTCCCAGATAGGCTCTCCAGAGCTCCGTCTGGTGGAGACCGTACTGCCAGCAGTAACGTGATCGAGCAATAGCAGGGCTGCATCCCTTTACCTACTGTCCCTTGTGACGTGTGCCCTTCATAGGCAACTGAAATATCAAGAGATAAACAGCCTGCCCGTTGCTCAGGGAATGTGGAATTTCCACCGCTGGACTTGGGGGACCCACCAAATGAGATGGTGGGGAGCCCCAATGCTGATTTTCTGTTTGGAGACACAAATCGCCTTTTGAAACACAAAGAAATGGTCAAGTTCCTCCGCTTAGCCCGCAGAGCGTCAGCAGGTGCACGAGTGGGCCACACATCAACGCAGGCTTGGCGATGTGTTTAATTTTGTTTGTCCTTCCCCCGGCACCTCCGACTAGCACGGTTGGCCACGTGCAATGTGAAAGGAAGTTCGCAGCACAATGAAGAGGATGGTGTGGCCAGCACCTGCTCATTGTTTGAAGCTTAATTGGCTGAGCTGAGGTCCTGGCCAGGTTCACATCGCTTGGCACTGATGTTTGCACTTGAGCAGGATTCGGAAGCTACGTTGCTGAGAGTGTAGCGCAGCGTGCAAACCACTGTGCCACCACTCCCCGATTGTAAGTGTCAAGCCCTTTGTCAGTTCGCTGCTCGGATGAAGGACACACCCACCCCTTGATGATTATGGGGGTGGTTGGACCATACTTCACCATACTGGTCGGTGCAGGTCGGTGAAAGGGATTCCCAGGCATCACTCACGAACTGTCGTCAGCCGTGGCCAGGAATCAAACTCAGGTTGTTGGGTTTGTCGCATAGTACACTCACCACTCTGCCACCGTTCCCCTATTATAAATGTGTACGGCCCTTTGTCAACCCACTGCTGGGATGAATGCCTCCTCCGACTGCATCAGTGGTTTGATTTGTCTGACCATACTTCACTTACTGTTAGCCGCGGCCAAGCGTTGAACTCAGGTGAGCAAGTTCAGAGCGCAATGTGCAAACCACGACACCAACGATGCCCCCAGTTGTCTATACAAATACGTAAATGCCCAAAGGAGACAGTAAATAAAGCAACGTGCATGTTTCCCAACCATTCTTAAAAGAACACTGGATCATTAGACCTCCTTTGCCAGTACCAACATATAATAATAAGGTTTTCCCCTTTTTGGCGTCACCTGGTCGAGCACCAATTGGGCCGAGGCTCAAAAGAAAGCCTTCCCCTTGGTGTGGACTAATCAGTTTCAAGGACAATGCATCATATATTATCATAGTGTGTTTTTTTGTTTGCATTTTGACTGCAGGTATTGCGGTTAATGCAGACATGAATCCTTGTAAAAAAAGGTTTCAGTTTTGTTGCCAGAAAAAAAGAGGAAAACCTCTATTATTATTATTAGAACCCTGGATGTCAACGGTACTTTGTTTTGTGGAATACAATATTGAGTGATGCCACGCTGGCGGCTGGTGCACGATCAGCACAAAATAACAGAAAACTCGACGCACGCGCGTCAGACACACTGTGGCCTTAACAAAAAAAGATATATATTTACAAACAAATGTAATTTTTCTTTTTTATATTTAACAAAAATATTAAAGAAATATAAAAAATATATATATAAAAAAAGAAATATATTTTTAAAAAATATTTTACAAAAAAATATGAAACTAGTTCCAATAGGCAACGTTTTGGGCAATTTGTGTGCTGTGCAAAAAGGGCTGGAGCCAGAGACATCACGAACATTGCCTCTTATAATATTTTCTTCCTTTTAAGGCCACACAGTTTTTTATTGACACATGCGTTGCTTTTTTTGTTTTGTATATGTTCATTAATATTGTCCGTGTCGTATTTTTGAGAGAAAATAACATTGGTTTTAATAAATAACTCCTACTAAAAAATACTATATAGCTCATGTGCGCAACCTTACAAAGGTTATGCGAGGGATATATACGGGTATGGATTTAATTTGGGAGCATGATGAATGGATGGCAGATGCAGGTCCACAGATAGAGAGAGAGGATGTTCCAGAATGCAGAGAATGTTCCGTGGAAGAGAATGAGCTTTACCCTGTGTGAGACGTACCACAACATTCCCGCTAATCACCACACTATAAATTAATCCGTTCTCCATCCCCATACGCATCCCGACGGGACGGTTCCACCAGGGAGAGAGATGGAGCAATGAAATAATTGCCCGCTTTTTTCCGATGCTTATATCGACGGTCTGAGCAGGATCGTTATTTTCCCGTAAAAAAAATCATCTTCGAGGAGACGGATCGATGAAATCGGCTCCTGCTGCAGGCGCCAGGTGGACTTATTACGTCGCAGGAATTGTGAGCGATTGCCGGCAGATTGGGAAGGGCTTCTTCGTCCAGCAGTGGATTGACCATTGCCAACGATGCTTGTGATCATCGCACGCCCCAGGCCAATCCGCTTTCTTGCAGCATTTTGACCAAGTGCAATTGTCCCACACTCGAACAAAACTACTGGCGTGACATTGTCTGCCCTACTACCAAACCACCAACAGCATCATTCATCATCGGGTTCTTTTGTCCTCTTCACCCCGCACCTCTGATTGGTACGGTTGGCTACGTACGGTGTGAAAGAAGTTCGACGTACATACAGATAGTGTAGGTGTAATGTCAATTCGCTGTATAAACCACCTCCGACCGCCCGACAAACAAATTAAGTTGGACTCGAACTCCTGCAACTAGCGGCGAACGCTCTACAGCTGGGGGCCCCATCTCGACCCAAGACGTGTGAAGCTGAACCTTTGTGAAACGACACAAAACGTCGGCATTTATGAAGGTTTTTATTTTATTTTATATTCAAGTCAGCTAACCAAAGGCTCTCAGCGGGTAAATCCCCACAATATCTATAGGGAATCGATCCACGATTACTCCTCAACGAGGTTCCCGAGATCTTCGGATCGCTGCCCTCTAAAGCACTCCCGAGGTCAAGGCTCTGTACCTGCAGGGGGCTGGTCGGGAATTCACCACCCTGCAGTTCCCAAGCTTTGGGAAAGGTTTCCCTTTGCTGATGACGTCACGCACCTGGGGGGGGAGAGGGGTCAGACATTTGTGACGATGTGTGACGAGGGGAGGGGAGGGGGGGTTGGGAAATGTGACGTCACATCAAAATGCGCAACTCTAAATAAATATAGACAACACGTTCTATTATATTCATATTCTTAGCTCTTTCGGTAAAGTCACGTTGAAGGGAAACAATAAAACAATTATATATATAAAACAATACAAATTCTACAACATCAGAGTGCAGCGCCACATTAAATACGCACTACAATGACAATAGTTTAAAGCGATTTGAAGCATGTTTGATTTTTTTTGGGAGGGGGGGGGGTAGAGCTTTGTGACGTCATATTTGAGGGGGGGGGTCTGACTTTTTGTGACACCGTGTGACGAAGGGGGGGGGGGTCCAAAATCGTCCAAAATCGCGTGACGTCATTTACGGACGGCCCCTAAGCCAATCAGAGTCGTGAGATATATTTAAGTCCCGTCTTGAAAACTCACCTCCCTCGGCTGGCCTCGACCCCTCTGCTCGTTTCTGGCCGTTTATACCCCGCAGGTTCTGTTCATTCCCCGGCTTCCCGTAACAACAGTGACGCATTGGAATCTACGGACGAAATGCGACACTTTACACACGCGGATGACGCTTATTGTTGTTATTGTAAGCGTTATCAATACGTAGGTGTTGTTTCGGGATGAGCAGCTAAATCGTAGGACCTCCCTTGCCAGTATCAAAATAGAAGAATACCCGTTCTGGCAAAGCTGTCTCTGGTGCGGACCAATCAGTTTTATGGACAATGCAGATACTTCTTCTTTGGTTCTTTCGGTAAAGTCACGTAGAATGAGAATAAAATAATAAATTGATAAAATAAAATAACACAATAATATTCTCACGACGTTTCGTTAGGGCTGTCCTACCAGACAGTCTCGTCCCTTCACCTGATGAAGGCCGCTTGTGTTGTGGCCGAAACGTCGTGAGAATATTATTGTGTTATTTTATTTTATCAATTTATTATTTTATTCTCATTCTACGTGACTTTACCGAAAGAACCAAAGGAGATGAATCATTGCAGTCACGAAAGCTTTAAATCGAAATTTAATGCAGATACTATCAGAGCATCTCGTTTTGTTTGCGTGTTTTGCCACAAGCACTTGTGGTCAACGCAGGCACGATTATTTTGCAGCAGGTTTTCTGTTTGGTGTTTTAACATCTTAACATCAGCTGTTTTATTGCCAGAAAGGGTTTAAACCTCTTCTTATAAGTACGCGTTGTTTGTGAAATTACCCCGTGACACCGAACGCGCAATTCTCAATTTGAGAGAAGGTTTTTTTTTCACCTGAGGAATCGCGCGTTTGTAAGGCGCAAGTCCAGCATGTTTATGATTCGTATTAATGAGACTGCAGATTCTACTCGCTTTTTGAAATGTGTATTCGTGCTATATATATAATAAACGATCGTAAGTTCAGCAAAGGCTGCAACTTTCTCTCAACGCGCAAACTTTTTCCCGCCCAAAAAACGAAGGCCGTATGTCTCTGTCAGTTGTATTTATAACATGGAATATTGAGCTCCTGCAAGCTAAGGTTATTTGCCTGAATAATGTTTTGACAGTATAATGAGCACCCACCCCCCCCCCCCCCCCCCACAGTGTAGTGGCTCAAAGACAGAACTTGCAATCCAGAGGTCGCTGATTCGATCTCCGGGCACGGCAGGTGAAACTGTTGAAACGAAACTAATCTTTCAACAATTTAAGGTACAATTAGCTATTTAGCTTATTTTCAGAGGCGACCGGGCCGCAAATGATAGCTGAACGAAGTGGCTCATCATCCTCATGTGGATATTTACAGCAGCCAAATACTCAAAACGCGCGATGTCGATCCTAAATGTGGAGGGAAAAACCGGAGGACCTGGAAAAAAATCCACACGACCACGGGGAGAGCGAGAGACACGCAAACTCCAAATATACAGCAGGCGTCAGGATTGGGATCGAACCCACGACCTCCTGTATACCAGGCGAGGTAGTTAACATCTCCTAGTCACCGTGATAATGATGAGAGAGAGAGAGAGACACGCAAACTCCAAATATACAGCAGGCGTCAGGATTGGGATCGAACCCACGACCTCCTGTATACCAGGCGAGGTAGTTAACATCTCCTAGTCACCGTGATAATGATGACAGAGAGAGAGAGACACGCAAACTCCAAATATACAGCAGGCGTCAGGATTGGGATCGAACCCACGACCTCCTGTATACCAGGCGAGGTAGTTAACATCTCCTAGTCACCGTGATAATGATGAGAGAGAGAGAGAGAGACACGCAAACTCCAAATATACAGCAGGCGTCAGGATTGGGATCGAACCCACGACCTCCTGTATACCAGGCGAGGTAGTTAACATCTCCTAGTCACCGTGATAATGATGAGAGAGAGAGAGAGAGACACGCAAACTCCAAATATACAGCAGGCGTCAGGATTGGGATCGAACCCACGACCTCCTGTATACCAGGCGAGGTAGTTAACATCTCCTAGTCACCGTGATAATGATGAGAGAGAGAGAGAGACACGCAAACTCCAAATATACAGCAGGCGTCAGGATTGGGATCGAACCCACGACCTCCTGTATACCAGGCGAGGTAGTTAACATCTCCTAGTCACCGTGATAATGATGAGAGAGAGAGAGAGAGACACGCAAACTCCAAATATACAGCAGGCGTCAGGATTGGGATCGAACCCACGACCTCCTGTATACCAGGCGAGGTAGTTAACATCTCCTAGTCACCGTGATAATGATGAGAGAGAGAGAGAGACACGCAAACTCCAAATATACAGCAGGCGTCAGGATTGGGATCGAACCCACGACCTCCTGTATACCAGGCGAGGTAGTTAACATCTCCTAGTCACCGTGATAATGATGAGAGAGAGAGAGAGACACGCAAACTCCAAATATACAGCAGGCGTCAGGATTGGGATCGAACCCACGACCTCCTGTATACCAGGCGAGGTAGTTGACATCCAATAGTTTTGAGTTTAATTGTTCTGCCCAACCGCCACGAAGAGTTTCACGAGTGAGCCTGGTCTTCTCCCCCTGCGCAGTGCTACATCTTCCACCTGTACGTGGGCGTGCGTGCCGGCGGGGGCATCGGAGACGAGATCGAGGACCCGGCGGGCGACGAATACGAGGTCTACCGCATGATGTTCGACATCACCTTCTTCTTTTTCATCATCGTCATCCTCCTCGCCATCATCCAGGGTGAGCCGTGCCCGCCGCTAACGCACCCCGGGCGTTTTTTTAATTTTTATTTTACATTTCATTTGGCGCTCGCGTGTGCATGCGTGTGTTGTTCGGCCGGATATGGGGGGCTGGACGGGCGTGGCACGGGCTAGATAAGAGATGGAGTGATGTGGTACAGGAGGACGTGGAGCTGAGTGGACTTGCCAAAGACTGGTACCAGTGGTGTCAAGATCGGCCTCTGTGGAGGAGGCTCGTGAAGGACGCTACTGGGCAGTTGGAGGCAGTCGCCCTCCAGCAACAACAGAGGGTGGAGGAGCGACGCTCACAACAACGAGCGACGCGCCTGGTGGCTAAAACACAGCGAGTTGGCAGAGTAGGGGGCACAGGTGGTGCATCGGCCACTCATCTCAGTGTGTACCAATCAGTTTCAAAGACAACGCAATATATGATCAGAGTATGTTTTTTGTTTGCATTCTGACCACAAGCATTGTGGTTAATGCACACATGATTCCTTGTAAAGGGTTTCAGTTTGGTGTTTTAACATCTTAACACCTGTTTTGTTGCCAGAAAAAAAGGGGAAAAACCCTATTCTCGGTGTTCAGCCGTTGCTGACTCAGAAAAAAAAGCAAACACTTTCTTGATGAATACTTACGTCACTAATTCCGCTGACAGACTGAACGCCGCTGAGCCCGCGGATCGCAAAATCACCGTGCGGTGACTTTCCATGGAGACTATGAATGCACCTGCCTTCCTGCCTACCCGCCAGTGTACTCACATACCTACCTACCTGTGTTATTCAGCGGCCTTCTTGTAGAGCTATCTATTCATTTCGTAAACGACCTCCCAATCAATTCCATCGTTTTGCTGCGCTATGCTCCCATGCCTATGTGCATGACCTTCGCCAGCCCGCACTTGCCAGCAGTGTGAAATACAGTAAAACCTTGGATTGCGAGCATCATTCGTTCCGGAAACGTGTTTGTAAGCCAAAGCACTCGTATATCAAAGCACTCGTATATCAGTTGTGATCACGTGATGCTCGGCAGACAAAGCGTATACGTACTGCTCGTATTGCAAGACCTCGCTCATTTATCAAATTAATATTTACAATTTTTGCTCGTCTTGCAAAACACTCGCAGACCAAGTTACTCGCAATCCAAGGTTTTACTGTATGGTCAGATCACCCCCATGTCCCGCATGGCATGGGGAGGCCCTCATCCAGCAGTGGATTTTGGCAAAAAGGCTGTACATGTACATACATATCTACCTGCCTACCTGTGTACCTACTTCCCAGTCTATCCAAATAAATACCTACTGGTCTGTTCAACTCACCTACCTGTATACACTTACCAGTCTATTCACCTGCCTACTGGTCTGTTCAACTCACCTACCTGTATACACTTACCAGTCTATTCACCTGCCTACTGGTCTGTTCAACTCACCTACCTGTATACACTTACCAGTCTATTCACCTGCCTACTGGTCTGTTCAACTCACCTACCTGTATACACTTACCAGTCTATTCACCTGCCTACTGGTCTGTTCAACTCACCTACCTGTATACACTTACCAGTCTATTCACCTGCCTACTGGTCTGTTCAACTCACCTACCTGTATATACCTACCAGTCTATTCACCTGCCTACTGGTCTGTTCAACTCACCTACCTGTATACACTTACCAGTCTATTCACCTGCCTACTGGTCTGTTCAACTCACCTACCTGTATACACCTACCAGTCTATTCACCTGCCTACTGGTCTGTTCAACTCACCTACCTGTATACACTTACCAGTCTATTCACCTGCCTACTGGTCTGTTCAACTCACCTACCTGTATACACTTACCAGTCTATTCACCTGCCTACTGGTCTGTTCAACTCACCTACCTGTATACACCTACCAGTCTATTCACCTGCCTACTGGTCTGTTCAACTCACCTACCTGTATATACTTACCAGTCTATTCACATGCCTACTGGTCTGTTCAACTCACCTACCTGTATACACTTACCAGTCTATTCACCTGCCTACTGGTCTGTTCAACTCACCTACCTGTATACACCTACCAGTCTATTCACCTGCCTACTGGTCTGTTCAACTCACCTACCTGTATACACTTATCAGTCTATTCACCTGCCTACTGGTCTGTTCAACTCACCTACCTGTATACACTTACCAGTCTATTCACCTGCCTACTGGTCTGTTCAACTCACCTACCTGTATACACTTACCAGTCTATTCACCTGCCTACTGGTCTGTTCAACTCACCTACCTGTATACACTTACCAGTCTATTCACCTGCCTACTGGTCTGTTCAACTCACCTACCTGTATACACTTACCAGTCTATTCACCTGCCTACTGGTCTGTTCAACTCACCTACCTGTATACACTTACCAGTCTATTCACCTGCCTACTGGTCTGTTCAACTCACCTACCTGTATACACTTACCAGTCTATTCACCTGCCTACTGGTCTGTTCAACTCACCTACCTGTATACACTTACCAGTCTATTCACCTGCCTACTGGTCTGTTCAACTCACCTACCTGTATACACTTACCAGTTTATTAAACGTACCAACCTACCTACCAGCCTATCCACCGACCTGTCCACCTACCTACAACGTACCGCTCAGCATCGCTACTATTATTATCCTGTGCGATGGCAGCTGGACAGGATTCAACTTTATTAACCAAGTGCCATTGGCAATTGCTGAGCACGTGATTCATTCATGTTTGTAAGAGCAGAGTCTGGAGGTCAAGGTGTCGACCGTGCACCATCCGTGTGATCTGGCAGACTTGAACGGAACGGCGGTTATGAGCGGTGGCATCAAAAGTCATGACCTCTTGACCTTGACCGTGCTCTTAACCGAGTTGGTGACTAAAAGTAATTGTGAGTGTGTCCTGTGCGACGCTTAATGACAAAAAGAATTTCCCTGGGTCGCATTGACATCGTACGCGTGTCCTTGTTCTGGTACACACACACACACACCGATTATTCACACACGCACATCAAGCGTGGGCTGGTCAGGTCACTCACCGCGCCAAATATCGACGCGCTAAATTAATTCCACAGCGCTTCACAGAGCTGTGCATAGGACTGGTAATCTGCACACGTTTACATGAGCCTGTGGGGTCCACGCACCTTCGTAAACTAAACTTTTTATTCTACCAGGTAAGGCCCACTGAGCTATATAGCTCTTTTTCAGAAGCAGCCTGGCTATAACGAATGACTACTCAACAAACTGGCTTATGTGGAAATCTATAGCCGCCAACTACTCTAAAGGCACGTTGATTCTAAGCGTTGAGTGGGAGATAACCGGAGGACCCGGAGAAAATGCACGCGACCGTGGGGAGAACATGCAAACTCGGGGTTGGGATTGAACCCGCGGCGTCCTGCATACCGGGCGAGGGAGTTAACATCTCGCCAGGCGCGGCACCTCCCAATTTACCCGTGTCAGTGTCTCACTTTGGGGTCATATTGTGGCGGTTATTGCCAAACCACTAGATACTACGTGCGTAGGCCTTTGCGGTTGTGGTGCTGCCGCGTAGCTCCACGGGCGAGTTTTCGGGACGCACCGCTCCTTGTTTTCGGCACGACGTCCTGGCGTTTCCGCTCCGCCTGCCCCAGGTAGCTTCTTCAGGAAGTGAAACGGCTCAGCGGAGCGGCACACACACACACACACACGGTACAACCTGCAAAGACGTCGGAGGGCAAAGCGACCCAAAGGCTTACTTATTGATGCTCCCTCGAGGGTGTCCAGGTCACCTTGCAGGAAGCGAGCGCTTGGGCCACTTTGTGCCAAGTCACGGTCGAGGAGACGGAGCGATGAAATCAGCTCATGTTCATATCGGGGATTGTTGCATCACGTGACTGTGGGGGAGATCGCGATAGCTAGGGGAGATCTTCATCCAGCAGTCGCTGATAACGATGACGATTGTCCCAACCCATTGGGCTGCGAGGTGGCCAATAGTTGGACATCTGTGAGAAAGATATTCAAAGCCCTTCGGACTTCTCCAGGATATAATAATAGGGGTTTTCCCCTTTTTTCTGGCAACAAAACTGAAACCTTTTTCCAAGGATTCATGTTACTGCATTAACCACAATACCTGCAGTCAAAATGCAAACAAAAACATAGTATGATAATATATGCATTGTCCTTGAAACTGATTGGTCCACACCAAGGGACGGCTTTCTAAAGGAAGCGTGGACCCCGCAGGCTCATGTAATTGCGTGCAGCTTTATAAAGAAAGCCGTCCCTTGGTGTGGACCAATCAGTATCAAGGACAATGCATATATTATCATAGTATGTTTTTTGTTTGCATTTTGACTGCAGGTATTGTGGTTAATGCAGTAACATGAATCCTCGTAAAAAGGTTTCAGTTTTGTTGCCAGAAAAAAGTGGAAAACCCCTATTATTATTACATTTTGGTACTGGCAAAGGAAGTCTAATGATGTAGATTCTTCCAGGATATATAAACATTCCGATTCTGAGTTGTCACTTCTTCGCATTATCCCCTAACGTAGGTACGTGTTCTTCGGGAACTCACCGGCAAATGCGTTTGTTTCCCCCCCCCCCCCCCCCCCCGTACACCACCAAAGGTCTGATCATCGACGCGTTCGGTGAGCTGAGAGACCAGCAAGAGCAAGTGAAGGAGGATATGGAGGTACGGTGCCTTCTCACACCCTCGTAGCTTCACGCGCACAGTCAAGGGCTACGGGTGGCTCAGGAGGGCCCTCTGATGATCGTGTCGGCACTGAGAGCCGCAGCTTAGAAAAAAAGTCGGGCGAAACCATCGTCACGGCAACATCCTCATCGAAGGTCTGAGGACCGCGTTGAGGTCCATCGCCCCAGGAGAGAAGACGTTCAACAACGGGGCATGGTCAGGGCTGGATTTCTCACTCGATATTTTCGGGAATGCTGGTAGGGCTGGCTAGGAGTAGGGTGTTCCGGCGAAGGGACACTTCTGCTTGGAAGTACAAAGTGCACCTATTAATTGGAAGTACCATGCTGCGAAACATCTGCTAACCCCTGAGCAAAAACATGAATGAGTTTTTTCGCAAGCGCAAAGCCCCCCCCCCCCCTCCCCCCGCATCGCCTTCACAGACTGTTGGGGCGAGTGTTGTTAGCGAGCCGCACCTATGAAGCCCGGCACGGCACACGAGGGGGTGGGTGGCCGGCACCACACACACTGCACTGGGTACTCAGTTGAGGCTGAGTCGACCTAGGGAAGGCCCAGGACCGGTTCAAATAATTGTCACTGGTGTTGGCCGTGAGCGGGATTCGAACTTGAGTTGCCGGGTCCCGAGTGCAGCTGGCTAACCGCTACACCTACCACTGCAGTTATAATGAGGACAGAATAAGGCAAGATGGATGAGTGGGGCATGCTAAGATAACTCCTGGAACAGCATTCTGGACTGTACCAGCAGAAATTTAAGCACCGGAGACACGGTCTTTGGCCAAATTGCATTTCAGGCCAATCTGAGACATGCATACCTGTCCAACTTTTGCAGTTATTTAACAACTTCTGGAATGGCTCCTTTCCAAGATCATTAGGTGCAATTGTATTGACCCAAGAGATATAATGCTCCATGAACCAGATTGAAATTCTAAATGTTATGGTTATCGGAATGGGTACTCTGCCCACAATGCCACCGGGTCCAATCACCAGTGGAGATGTCCAGAATTGATTCATTTTCCTTTTCCCCCCCCAACGCATATGTTGTGTACATTATTTAAAGCCTGTTTAGCTGATGCTAAGTTCATTACTGTATCGAGGCTGTATAATGAGCCAACTGATTTCAGCAACATCTCTTGCATTATCTCTAGAACTATAAAAATTGACTCGACGCAAGAGCAATGCGAAAAGCTACCCAAACATGATTAATTCTCTATCGCAGAGTTGATTATGACACACGTCTGTCGATATATATTCGGAGAGGTTATTTTTGTTCGCACTGATTGACACCGCAGTGGAAAATGTGAACAAGAGACATCTATCAAACTGGTGTTTTGCACGTAGCAAAATGCAGTAAACAGTTACTCCGTTCTACCTCGGTACAAATCTGCGAGTGCATTAATCGCCAGTGATTTGTTGATGTAAGCAGTTTAATTAGTCAGCCGCGTTGCCACCTGACGACCCTCGTGACCCCGCGCATCGTGGGGGAGGCCTTCATCTGGCACTGGCTTGACAAAGGGCAGCTAATTATTTTCATATAATTATTATAATTGTTATTATTATAATTAAACAGTCAGGGTGGCGCTCAGGCTTGCAATTGAAAGAGCTCAAATCTCAGGGGTTGAATCAGCCCATTTATTGCCGCGGTTGTGCCGTGGACAAACCGGTCCCTGCCGTGGAAATGTTAAATTTCACCGCTGGCTTCAGGCCACCGACTTATATTCGCATTGCCCGATGCTTATTTCAACATGAAAACAGGATTGGTTGGAACAAAGCACGTGCACGCGTGGGTGGAGCTGTGGCGCGGTGATTAGCGTGCCGCGGTACAAACCCGGTGACCTGAGTTCGATTCCCGGCCACAGCTAACATTGGTAGCGAATATTACCTGAGCCGGTATCAACACGCTCGTCAACGACACTGTGGCCTTAACAGGCAAGAATTCTCATAGGCTGCGTTTCAGGCAACATCTATTCTTCACAGCAAATAAACAAGATAGGCCAGGGAGACAGAGTTGATGATTTGAGACTGCACTTCTACACAATGCGGCCTGATAAGAATAAAATAAAAAATATATATTTTTTCGATGACCAATTTTTTAATTGGCATACCTAATTCACATTGGCTATTGAGTAACAGACAAACCCTTCATGAAGCAAACCATTTTCCTTAACTCGTTTATATTAAAAGTGAAATTCGAAAATTTTGCTGGCACATTGCATTGTAGAAAGACACAAGGCACAATCCACTTAGCAGCGCATTTCTGGGCCCAGTCACCGTCTCGATAGAAGGAATTTACCGGAGAAATCTGAGAAGTAAAATGTGAGGTACACATATCTCAAACTAAAAGAAAGATTTTTACTAAAAATGGGTGAAGTTTGTCTAGCATTCAGTGATAAAGCTACGTCTTCAGTGAAGGTGATGCGTTCATTCATATCCTGCCAGGTGAATGGTATTCCGTTTAAACATGGGGCAGTCTTGTGGCCTTTTCCCTCTTCACAATGGACCAGTGACGAACGTCTTAACGTATCTTGACGATTGTTGAGTGCCCTTCTAAAAGGCGTGCAATGTAATGGCGCGATATAAAAATCGTCATAATTATCAGTATTATTATCATTATAGCGGTTGGCATTCCTGGCCACATGCGACCATGACGATTGATATCTGAACCTGGCTCGCACTTGCTGTAGTCCGACATTACCTTACCATCGGGATGCGTGTACATCAGCAATGGGGGGAGAAAATTGTGACCAGTCACGTTCCCGCGCTAACATTCTGTTGTCCTGTGCCAGCCCTAACAGGTCCTCACGCTAATGGAATTTGTGTTGTTGTTTACGATCGCGATGGGCGTTTTTGATCGATTCAAAACCACTGTCGTTGCATTGACGCATTATTGTTGTTGGCGTTGGCATTATTGTTGTTGGCGATGGCATTATTGTTGTTGGCGATGGCCGGGCTGCTGCAGGTCATTGGGAGGAGAGTGAATGGGAACCGGATGCTTGATTAATGAATGACCTCTCTCCCCTGTGTTTCCTTTCAGACGAAATGCTTCATTTGTGGCATTGGAAACGATTACTTTGACTCCGTTCCGCATGGCTTTGAGACGCACACCTTGCAAGAGCACAACTTGGCCAATTACCTGTAAGTACTCTCACTAATGTTACTCTGCTGTTATCTGTCTGTCAATCGAGGTCGACTCAGCCTTAAGTGAGTACCTGGTACGGTGTATTAACCATGCAACTGGGGAGACAAAGGTGGCCGGCTGTGGTGTTGCCCACCCATTACCTCGTGTGCCGTGTCGGCCTTCATAGGTGCCGCTCGCTAACAGCACTTGCCCCGACGGTCTGTTAAAGGTTATACGGGGAACCTTTGTCTGTCTATATGCCTCGCTACGTCATTCACCTGCAGATCAACTATTCAACACTCTCATTCGGTTTCCTGTTCTCATTCTTGGTTCGAATAGGTGTCATTTATTCTATCGATAGTCGTTTGTGAGAATTAATAAGACGGGTACTTCCTTGCAATTAAAAAAGTACCCTGCTCGACAACCGGATGAAAAAATGTACAGGCGACGGTGCAGCCCTCCATTTGCTCACTCACACCACTGCTAGTGGAAGGGCCTCCGCCAGAGGGAGCTCCAGAGGAAGGTATTTGGCCTACTGTTCCACGCTGACCAGCTGTTTTGAAAGAGGTGTCAGTACTCACACGCCACCCCACCACACGCACGCACGCGCGCACAACCTGCCGATGGACCGCACACGAAAATGTAGAATTTTGTTTCTCGAATCAGTTCATTTGGGAAGCGGGGAGCAGTCGATCAGCGTCCAGTCGACGTAAGCTACACGTCACAATATAAACAGTCGCAATCGCGAACGGGCTCTGAACGAATGCGGTACATTGCAGAGGAAGAATTATGATTTGGAAAAACGTTGCTCGCGCCTCCGATTAGCACGCTTGGCTTGCGTACCGCGAGAAAGACGTTCAGCATACATACATCAATTTTGATTTCAATGAGCTGAGTTAGTCTCCCGCCCCTGCTTACGAACGAGAATCCCAGTAATTGGTATCGGAGACTCATTCGCGACCTTGCTCCCGTTCACACCCCCGATGTAATTGCTACGCCACTGTGCGCGGAATAGAACGTGGCAGAGAAGCATTGAAGGCTTAATCAAGAAGATAAGGTTGCCCGAGGTGAGATGCCTCAGTGGTAAGTGGTGCCTCGACCTGTCTTGGGCCTCCCCCCAGTTAAGGAAAAAGTCTTGCGGCCCCGCAAGCACTTGACCACGCCACTGCAGGCAGTGGAACTTCCACCAGTAGAGATGTCTCGAGAAAGTTCAAGTTTGTTTTGTTAAACCAGGTGAAAAATCTAGGGACCAGCAATGTCCCATGTGCAGAGCACCCCGAGAGATTGAGGTAGTTTTTGGGGCCAACTATTCTAATCTGGCCAGACATTTTGTAAGATGTGGGAGTGCTCACATTTGACCCCACCCGCGTGCACTTTGAGCGGCGTGTAAGTGTCATCTTTCAGGAGACAAAGGCGAGTTGGTATGGTGCGGGCTACTTCACCCTGTTGACCATGCTGTGCCGGCCATAATAGGTGCTTGTGAATAGTAGTTACTCTGAGGATGTCTGTCTTCAATTGCGTGTGCATGTCTTTATTGGCTTATGTATCCATGTGTGTGTGTGTGCGTTGATAGTTCTGTATGGGGAGCGGTGGTGCAGCGGTTAGCACGCTGAGCTACGAACCCGGGCGACCCGGTTTCGATTCTCGCTCATGGCCAACACCAGTGACGATTCACTGAACCGGTCCTGGGAGTCCCCTAGGCGGATTCAGCCTCAAATTAGTACCTGTTGCAGTGTGTAAGACATTGCTACTGGGGAGACAAAGGCGGCCGGGCATGGTGTTAGCCACCCCCACCCCCTCATGCGCCGTGCTAGCCTTCACACGTGCTACTCGCTAACTGCACTTGCCCCAAATAGTCTGTCAAAGCCTATGCGGGGCACCTTTGTCTCGTTAGAGTCCTGTATCAGTCTGCATGCCTCTGTTATCTCCTAACCTACCTGCCACCCGAACCCGTTCCCTCAGCCGCCTATGAGCCGATCAATTAATTCGCAACGCGACGTTTGCGTGTGTGTGTCCCCCACACACACAAACAACATTGATCGCAACAGCGCCGCACCGCTAAAGCTGTTATCGGGCGCGTCTGGGAACAGTGATTATACCGCCGCGTTGTTGTTTTTTTCTCCGCGGCCGTGCCAAGCGGCTCCTCCGACGCGTCGCCGCTTGGCGCTTTGCGTCTTCGCTCGAGTGCCGCGCGTCTCCGTTTTGCTCTGTCGCGCATCCCCACGCGTTGCGCGCGTGCTTGACAGCCCTGTATCGGCCGCGCGGCGGTTCGCGCAGCACGTAGCACGGCAGCGGCTTTGCCTCGCCCGGCGTCGGCGGGCAGGGCGGGCGAGTCGGGCGGCGGCGGCGTCGCGAGAGCTCAAGAAAGAGATTTGTTTGCGCCCACGGGCAAATCTTGAGCGCCATCTTCATTCCGTGCACCTCGTGTTGTTCTAATGGAAGTGATATCTCACGCCTGGCTCGGATAGAATTATCTGCCACCCCCCGCTCCACGTTCCCCTCCTGTGCATCTCAGTTGAGCACGTGCATGTTTGTACCCGTTGCGATTCATCCTGTCGTCCCTTATTAAATCAGGTCTGACGATCCGTTAGGATGTGTTATATAGACATACATTAGGGATGCCTGGGTGTTCATTGTATAGTGGGGACGTGTATTATTGTTTACGCAACTTCAAATAGAGGCAATGGAATCATCATCATAATTCCAAGCCATAGACTGGTTCATGCCAGGCTATGCTCACACCTCCTCCGATTAGCACGGTTGGCCATGTACGGTGCGAAAGAAGTTCAGCACACATTTATAAACATGCATTGTGATTATTTAGATTGTTTTTCTGCTATAAATGTCCAAATGATGAGACACTTTGTTGTGCTATCATTTGTGGCCAGGTAGCTTCTGATAAATAAGTTAATAAGCTCAGTAGGCTTTACCTGGTAGGATGGGGATGGTTTATTGTTGTAATTGTGTGTGTTTGGGTTATTCGTTTATCTCTCTTGTACTTTTGCACTACTATCATGTTTTGTATCGTTTGTTGTTGTCACGTTCTTACACGCCCCTACTGGACATCTGTAAAATAACGAGCTTAATCGTTTATCGGATTCCACCAACATCAATAAATATTCTGATTCTGACATACACGCCATAGGAATGTGGAATTTACACATTTGGCGAAGCACCTCCGATGCACAAGGGTGCAATCCCTGCAAGCGACCTCTGGACACGTGATTATGATCTCTAATTATACCACAGGATATTGAGATCCACCAGCAAATGATGATCCTGGAAATGCCCTAGACTTGAAGTGTGTACTCACACAAACTATGGCTCAGTGTCGAATACACACACAAATGTATTCACACACACACACACTCTCTCTGTAGTTCAAAAAGTAAAACCTCATTGGGTGTAAAGTCTTTTTGGCCAATGGCCTTCCTATGTCCGCTCTTTCACAAAAGAAGATCCATGTTAAAAATGAACACATTGCTACTTTCTTGCTTGGCAAGAACCTTCCCTATGAGCACATTGTTTGCCAAAAGTTGAACGACACGTTTATATATTTTTACGCGATCTAAGCCAAGAAACCCGTTTTATTGGTGAAATATTTAACCTGCAAATAACTCAAGTGGGATTACGCAGAGCAATCATCACCCCTCTGCTGTGAAACTACTGCAGGCTGTGTGAAAAATAGCGCGATTGCCTTGCGCTATGAGAATAATAGTGTGAATACTAAATGCACAATATTATTGTATGTATGGTATGTTGCACTTGTTATGTTAATCAGAAGATGCGGGGGAAGGACAACAAACTGAACGCAAAAAGCAGCCCTAAAGAAATGAGTTTTCAATGCAGATGATTTAAAAGTGCACAGCTCCAGAGGCTTCCTAACGCCGGAAGGAAGAGCGTTCCAGACGGCCGCGGAAGCGCGCTTGAAAGCCCCCGCGCGACGCTGTCTCCTGAACCATGCGCCGTGAGTGGGGGAAGCGTGCAGAGCGATGATTGAACGGATTTCTACGCCACACTGAGAGCCTTTTGATCGCTGCCCAAGAGCATAATGAACCGGCAAATGCCGAGCCCCGGAATGAACTAAGAGCTCTAAATATATCAGTAACGCATTAAACATTGAACGGCGGCGCGTCGGCGCTACGCGTATATCTATTGGTGGGAAAGTGCTCTGCATCACGTCAAAGTCTGGAGATTAAAAACGTCCCAATAATCATGAACTTTGTCTATAAAAGATTATTAAAGTGGTTGGTGAAACCGAGAAAGGTGATCGGTGCAGCTCTGCAATTGATTTCCCACGCCACGCATTTTGGGCCTACTCTTCCACGTGACGTCTTTAAAGAGCTGCGCGTGCCCGCACTTTGGCCGACCACACATGACCTACCGGGCGACGAACTGCGGGGTGGTGAATCCATTTGCACCACTGGGTGGACAGAGGCAAAGGGTGAATTTAAGAAACCCTTCACATTGGTTCAACCTCCGTGCCGGGAATGTGAGTCCAACGCATGCTGACCATCACATCAGGGTAGCATCCGTTATTTACAGATACTCCCCTTCCCCCCCCGCCCCCCCCCCCGGAAAAATGTAGATAAACTTTAGGTAAATATACGTATTTCCATCTTTTAACTCCTCTCTAAGACAATTGTATCCATCGCTTCTCGCAGCATTCAGTCAGCTGTTGAGAAGAGAGTAAGAGGCTTTTTTGAAATCGGTGGGGTATATATATATTTTTTGTTATGGCGGCATTCCCGTAGCATATGGAAACCATATACGATGTTCAGTTAAACGCGTGAAATGATTCACCTGAAACGTGCAGCGATTTTTGTTGATGTGTCATGTGTCAGTTTAACACGAAGGCTTTCGCGAGCAATTGTATCATAATAGAAGCTTCTTTGGATTAGATTGCACAGATATAAATGTGTCGTTAAGCCCACCACCACCTGACACAGCTAATTAGTAAGGTTTGTCACGTGAACAAAACATGCCAATTAGTTATTAGTACAGCACACCGGTGTGT